CAAGAGATATGTCCACTTTATCCACCGTGACTGATCATGGGGATAAACAGGAAGTGAAGTTGCGATAAGCTGCAAGAGAAACGGGAAAACTCTAAGAGAATAACCAAAGACCTGCCAGGAGGAAGCACAGGGCAGAGGAGCAAGTGACAGAGGATCTACCACTGACCAAGAAGGTGAGGAGGACGAGACAAACCCAAGAGGAAGAATCCAAAGAATGCCACTGTGACAAGCAAAACCAAAAGTAAGGAGATGGGAAACGTACATATTCCTGGATCTTGACAAATAACACAGGGGTTACAGAGAAAACAGCATCTCTAGGGCGGGAAAAGAGAAGATAGTCCACCAAACCAATGAGGAAATAGTGGGGCAGCTTTTACCAACAGCCAGCAGGTGGAAGAGGATGGCATCCGGATGGAATCCAGGCCTTCCACAGGTGAGTTTAACACTGGACCAGCCTGTGTGGGGAAGTAGGGCACCTAGATCCCTCCGACAACAAGAATTCAGTGAGACAGCTAGAAGAGTACCATCTGGGGCTTCCTTTCTGCAGTAGACTTCAGCTCGGGTTCAAGGTCTTGCCTGTGGAGCTCTGCATATCCTCCTGGTTTCCTGGGAGCTCTCCTGGTTTGACCTGTAACTTGTCCGTGACCCCTGACTCTCGGGAACTTTTTCCCACTGTGTGACTTGAGGAGCTCTTCTGTTTTCCATTGATTCGTCCTGGCCCTGTCAATGCTTCCCGGAGCCTGGTTCACCTTCTTACCCTGTTCCTCCTTGATAAAGATGCTACGTGCCACCTCTCAGGATGAGGGAATAGAAAGGCCCACAGGATGGAAAAGGAGGAAGGGCCATCAGAGTAACCAAACTCCAGAGAGTGTGGTCCTCCTAGAAATCTCAGAGCTGGCCCTGGCCGGTTTGGCTCAGCGGTTAGAGCATCGGACTGCGGTCCAGAGAGACCCGGGTTCGGTTCCCGCTGGGGTCAGGTACCTCAGTCGCAGTTTGGCCCCAGCCCTGGTTGGGTCGTGTGGGTGGCAACCACTCGATGTGTCCCTTTCACAGCGATGTTCCTCTCTCTCTCTACCTCCTACTCTATCTGAACAAAAAATGGAAAAATGTCCTCGGGTGAGGATTAAAACAAAAACAAAAACACGCCCTGGCCGGTTTGGCTCAGCGGTTAGAGCGTTGGCCTGCGGTCCACAGAGACCCAGGTTCGGTTCCCGCTAAGGGCATGTACCTTGGCTGCAGTTTGTCCCCGGCCCTGGTTGGGTCGTGTGGGTGGCGGCCACTCGATGTGTCCCTTTCACATCGATGTTTCTCTCTCTTCCTCTCTCTCCTTCCTGCTCTATCTGAGTAAAAAATGGAAAAATGTCCTCGGGTGAGGATATAAAAAAACAAAAAAACAAAAACAAAAACAAAAAGAAATCTCAGAGCTAGTCCGGCCGGTGTGGCTCAGTGGTTGAGCATCAACCCATGCACCAAGAGGTCGCCAGTCAGGGCACATGCCCAGGTTGTGGGCCAAATCCCCAGTGAGGGGCATGCAGGAGGCGGCCAATCGATGTTCTCTCCCAACGATGTTTCTCTCTCTCCCTCTCACTTCCTCTCTCTCTAAATCAATAAAAGAAAAAAAAAACTTTATAAAATATTTTAATTAAAAAAAAAAAAACCTCAGAGATAAATGGATGCCAAGAACATCTGTTCAGTACTTTAAACCTGCAAGTCCACGTGGCAAGAATGCATAACTAGCGTCCTGGTCAGGTAGCTCAGTTGATTAGAGCATCGTCCCAATATGCCAAGGTTGGTCAGGGCACATGTAAGAAATCAACCGATGAATGTATAAGTGGAACAACAAACCGATGTTTCTTTCTCTCTAAAATCAATCAATAACAACAACAAAATAATGCATAACTGGGAGAGCCAATAGCTATGCAAAGCCAGCTAAAAGATATAAAGTGCACGTGAAAAACTCTCAGTGCCTCAGAATCCCCACCATGCCATCAAGGGCCAGTGGTCCACATTAACCTAAACACGGTGTGTTGGAGTGGACAAGGTGGGGGCCAGCAAAGTGAGAGAAAGTGGGAAAAGGCAGGATTCCGGGCCCCTGGTCTTTGGCAGGAAAACCTTTCCCCTTTGTGTTCTCTGGGGGTCAGAGGAGGGAAATCTGAGCCATGACAGGAGTGAGATGAGAAGTCATGCCCTATTTTAGCTCAAAGGCTCCTTAGGAATTCAGCGTCATTCATTCTTCATACAGCCCACATTGGAGCCGTTCACTCCAGCGTCAGAGTGATGGAACTCAGGTTTCTCATCAATGGACAGTCTTTTTCCGAGACAGAAAGTCCACTGAGGACATTCACAGAACTTGTCTGATAAGGCAGCACTCAGGGGGCAGGGCAAAGACGGCCTTCAGTTCAGGAGGCCGACCACCGCATCACAGTCTCATCTCGCCTGCACGAACCACTGCCGTAATCCCGGCCGGAGTATACTGGTTGTTCAAATCTTCTGCCCAAGGCAGCAGAATTATTTTAATGGTTTTTTATCTTAACAGTGTGATTTTATGTTTTTTGCAAGGACCTGAATATTTCCACTTATAATAGAAATAGGATCCAGGTAGAATAGTTTATAATAGAAATAGGATCCTGGTAGAATATACAAAGAATTTTAGAGCTAGAAAGACTATCAGAGATCTTAGTCCTCTTTATTTTATGAAAGAACTGAGGTCTAGAATGACTAACTATTTCAACTCAAGTCATGCTTCCATAAGATCAAAAATACGATTCCCTGAAAAACGCAAGGCTCCGAGGGCTTAGTTAACTCACCTGAGGTTGACAACTAGAAAGGGGTGAAGCTAGTACTCAAATTCACATCTATGTGTTTCCGTTGGCTCTGGAGGTGGCTGTGACATGGTGGAGAAAAGCTACCAAACAGCAGCACCACCGTGTGCATCATGCTGGGCGGCCTGTCCGTGCAGCAGGACCCGGCTCCACACCTGTCTCTGCCGGTGAGGTGACGCGCTGCACACTGACGTGACGCCAAGCAAAGGCAACAAGGATTTGGGTTGTCTTTCTACTTGAGTTTCTGGAATCTGATCCTACTGACAACAGAATAACAACCAGACCTGCACCTGGTTCTTCCCAAGTCTTATTTGAATTCTTCTAGCTCTTCCCCAGCCTTGGAGTCTCCTGTCAACCAGTGTTCCTTAAAGGGTGTTATGTGGACAATTCAAAACAGTTGCTCACTTGGGGGTCCTTTTAAAAACATACAGATTCTTGCCTGGCTGATATGGCTGTGGTTGAGCGTTGACCCAGGCACCAAGAGGTCACTTCCCGGTCAGAACACATGCCCAGGTTGTGGGCCAAACCCCCAGTGGGGGGCATATAGGAGGTAGCCAGTCAATGTTCTCTCTCATCAATGTTTCTCTCTCTCTCTCCCTCTCTCTGTCTCCAAAATCAATAAAGAAAAACATTTTTGTAAATAAAAAATAACAAAAATGAAATAAAAACATACAGATTCCTGGGTCCCACTCACAGTTACCCAATCAGAATTCTGGAGGGTGGGGAAGGGGGGACTGGGAGTCTGCATCTTTTAAGTCTCCCTGGAGAAGCGAATGTACACTGACGTTGGAGAATCAGAGATCACTGAACAAGAGTGACACACTTAAGGCAAGATTAACCATGAACTCATCACGTCACCGCCAACCCTGACTCACTCGGGCTTCCCAACCTTGCTTCCTGCGCGTCCCCACGCGGCACACCCTGTCACAAGCTGCAAGGATCACGACTCTGAAGGCCACAAATTTATCCCAACCCCCCAAAAACTATACTAAAAGGGTAGTTTTACTCTGATATAAAGATATATTTCTTATCTCATTTGTTATAAAATTATAAAAAATTATCTACGGTGTGAAAATATAAATAACAAGCAATACCGTCACCCTCATCTTCAAAGCAAATTGAACTCAACTGCCCAAGGCCACGGAAATCGCTGACCGGAATCACAGGGACTGTGGAGCAGGTTTTCTCGTTCTGCTGTTCCACAGGCTAGCTCAGCACTTCCTGAACAGATCCTGCACCGCCCTCTGGATTGACATCTTGGACTGTTTTAATCAACACAGGGTCAAGTCCCAGACAGAGCCAAGTTTTAATGAACTCTCACTATATCATAGCTCAGCAAACTGGTTCCGACTGCCCCCAGGCAGGAGTGGTCGAGGCGTGGAGCGCCGGGGTGAGCACACGGAGCACTGAAAGGCACGCTGTGCTCCGACGACACTCCGTGCACACGGGGGCCGAACAGCATAGCTGGGGCTGAAAGTCTGCAATTCTCCTTGTTTGGTTTTCATAACATATTCAACAGATTCAAAATCGATGTTTTACCAAGCACCCAATGAGAAAGAAGGTGCATAGAACTAGAATGAGAAAGTGCTCATGAAATCATTGACACGGCCCAGCTGGTGTGGCTCAGTGGTTGAGCATCGACCCTGCACCAAGAGGTCGCCAGTTCAATTCCCAGTCAGGGCACATGCCCAGGTTGTGGGCCTGATCCCCGGTGTGGGACATGTGGGAGGCGGCCAATCGATGTTCTCTCTCATCGATGTTTCTATCTCTCTCTCCCTCTCCCTTCCTCTCTCTCTAAAATCAATAAAGAAAAAAATAAAATAAATAAATCATTGACACAGCTAGAATGTGCAGGAAGTAAGCTGTCTCATCAGTATGTTACATGAGCCCTGGATGGTATGGTTCAGTGGTTGAGCGTTGGCCCACTCACATAAGGGTCACCGGTTCAATTCCTGGTCAAGGGCATGTACCTGGGTTGTAGGTTCAATCCCCGGCCCTGGTTGGGGTGTGTGCAAGAGGTAACTGATCACTGTTTCTCTTTCTCTGCCCATCCCCTTCCACTCTCTCTAAAAATCAATAAAAAAATATCCTCAGGTGAGGATTAAAAAAAACTTCACATGAGACTCCAGCAAAGTGATCAGAACTACACAGAAATTCCAGTCAACTCGAAATCCCGACTTAATTTATTACGTAAGGAAGAAAAGCACACTTACTTCAGGGAAAAAGAATATTTTATATCTATACTTTCATACTGAAATCAGCTGTCAGATCCACCAACTGATGTATCTCACTGTGCACACGTCAGGAGACCTTCGGGCAGACGGTTGGTGACACAGCCTCGGCAAGGTGAGAGCCCTCTGGACTCCGCCTCCGAGTTTAAGTCCTTCCAGAAGTTACTTCTTACTCCTTGTTTCGTAGTACTGAAGTGAATTAGTGCAACAGCTCTGAGGTACCCTAAAGGCAGACACCCTAAAGATTTGGATTTGTCATCCCAATCCCTTGGCACTCGATAATGTAAGTATCTTTAGAGGCATCTTCTTCATCTTCTGATTTCTTCACAGTGAATTTAGCCTGAAACCAGAAAAGTATACAGAACATAAGTAATAGGAGGAGAGATAAAGGGAGAGAGGAAGAGCCCATAACTCCAGCTTAAACAAGCGGGGAGTTAATATCAAACTCCTTTTAATTTTACAATCTTTAAAAACGCTTAAGGTCAGCACTTTCCTTCATGACATTTAGTTATAAATTTTATAAAATTATATTATAAAGACTACAGTAAAATGGAAATATGTTACATGTTACTGAAAAAGGCAAGAGATGAGGCTGTGTGCATTAACTGTAAAAAAATACAGAGAAATAATTTTAAGAGGAGAAAATACTTAAAATGTCAACAGTGACTCTGCTAGCAAGGAGAATTACAGGAAATTTTTCTCTCTATTTTCTAAATCTTCTATAAAGAAATGATATTGATTTCAGATGAAATATAGGTTAATCATTTATTTTTTTAAATGAACTGGGACAGCCTTTCATTTGGTACGGTTGGTTGTGGCTCAGCTGGTTGGAGCGTCAATCCATATACGGAAAGGTCATGGCTCCATTCCTCGTCAGGGCACATACCCAGGTTTCAGGTTCGATCTCCAGTTCGGCTGTGTATAGGAGGCAATTGATCGTTGTTTCTTTCTCTTACTGATGTCTCTCTCTCCCTTCCTCTCTCTAAAATCAGTAAACATATCCTCAGGTGAGGATTGAAGGGAAAATAAAGGAAAGGTGTAAATATGAGCTTACATAATTTTATATCCCTTTTCACTAAAACTTGTGATTCTAATCTTCTAAAGTTAAGAGAACTGGTACATGTTAAGATATCAGCAAATACTCTATTCTACTGATAAAATCACAAGAAAGTAAAGCACTTAAAGTGCTATACGTATATTTAAGTTGATAGCCAATGACAAATGCCTGTGATTTGATTTCCTGGTTCCCATGGAAACATCTTCACATCCTGGGCAGGGCAGCATCACACCTGGGCTTTGACTTACGATTTCCTGGGTTTGCCCAAAGCCAGCTCTGCCAGTAAGAAGCTGTGTGGTCTCAGCCATAATTTACCCCCACCCCCCACCTCACTCCACCCACATGTAAATGGGAATGACCATCCCGATTCAGATACACAGCTGAGCTAGCACGGTGTCTGCCACACAGGAAGTACTCAGTGAGCGATGCAAATGATGAAAACTACTGGGTTTCTGTTTATTAAAATTTAACCCCAAATTGGCTACAATAAAAACCAATTACTCTTTTTGGATGGAATACCCATACTCACCTTTGCTAGTTGTTCAGCAAAATGTATAGCCGTTTGTGTGTGGAGTGTAACTGGTCCTGTTTTTATTCTGGAAACTCCGCTGGCTAATGCCATGAAAATGATCAGCTATTAAAAAAAGAATCCAGAAGCAATATCTCACACATTCACTAATACTTGGAGTTAAAATTCTATTGCTTTCCATATAAAAATACCAGTAATCAAATTAGCTAAAAGAATTCCTATTCCTTCAGGTTTCCAGAAGTTCTAAGAAGAGGACAGAACACCTATGTCACCCAAAGTCTGATACAGATGTACTCAACCACAGTCCTCAGTATAGATTTTTTAAGATTGATGTTTAAGAATAAAATAGAGAGTTGAGCCCTGGCCAGTATGGCTCAGCGGTTAAAGCGTTGGTCCATGGACCAATGTGTTGATTCTAGTCAAGGGCTTGATTCTAGTCAAGGGCACGTACCTCACTTGTGGTTCGTCCCTGGCCCTGGTTGGGGTCGTGTGGGAGGCAGCCACTCAGTGTGTCCCATTCACGTCGATGTTTCTCTCTCTCTCTCTCTCTCTCTCTCTCTCTCCCTCCCTCCCACTCTATCTGAACAAAAATGGGAAAATGTCCTCGGGTGAGGATTAAAAAAAAAAAAAGAATAAAATAGAGAGTTGAAAGTCGACCTATTTAATCAGCCCAACAATCTGTAAAGGCTGGTATACATAACATGACAAGCTTCTTCCACTCTCTAAAATGAACCTTTTTTTTTTTTAATCCTCACCGGAGGACATTTTTCCATTTTTTGTTCAGATAGAGTGGGAGGGAGAGAGAGGAAGAGAGAGAGAAAGAAACATCAACGTGAAAGGGACATATCGAGTGGTTGCCACCCGCACGACCAACCAGGGCTGGGGACAAACTGCAACCGAAGTACGTGCCCTTAGCGGGAACAGAAGCCGGGTCTCTCTGACCGCAGGCCGACGCTCTAACCACTGAGCCAAACCGGCCAGGGCTAAAATGAACCTTTTAACAGGTAAATTAATACACTAATTCAGAATTATGGTGAGTGCAGAATAGACCTGGGCAGGAAGGAAGAGACTAGAAGTAAGGAAAACTGTCTTAAGAAACTGGTTAAGGAATCTTGAAGGGTTTCTAAATGTAGACTGCTGACTTGAGACCAATACTCTCAACAATAAAGATTTCAAAAAATTAAAATTAAAATAAAAAAATAGAGAGCAAGGTATGGTAGAAAGAAAAATCTATCAAGACCATAAAAAGATGCTATTTGGAAATATTCGCTAGCATTTCTCAATAGGTGTTAGCTTTGAAAGGTCTACGGCACTTCCCCGTGGAGATGCTGGCGGGCATGCACTATGAGGAGGAAGGTCTAGGTTACGTAACTGACAGATTTTGGAGTTGTCAGAGCAGAGGGAGTACTGACCCACAAGACAGGCCAGAACAGTGAGGGAGTGAATACAGACACTGAAAAGAGCTGTGGGCCTGAGCCTAGGGGCTCTCCAACATGTAGAAGCTGAGAAGATGAAGAAAACAATGAAAAACTCGCAGAGACTAGAATAGATGGCCGGTGAGGCAGAAAGATAATAGTACATCAGCAACTACATGAAATAAGTATTTCAGGAAGGAAAGGTGATCAGTTGGGCCAAATGCTGTAGCCAGGTCATGGAAGGTGAGGTCTGGAATCTGGGGAATATAAATTCCAGAATACTTTAATAACTAACTGAACCATGACACACCAATCAGTGTCTGAAAGTCAATGATTAAAATTTATATTTAACACACAATGGGAAAAGGAGAAACATCTGTGACAAAACCAAATTAATTTTAAAAATGTATATTCAATACAACTACAAATATTCAAATCTAACAGGCTCAAAGGTACCACCTGAAAGTGTCATTACCTGGTCTTGCAGATACTCATCCACGGCACCACCGTATCTAAGGTTTGCTAAGAGCATTTCAGCAGCTTCAATTCCAACCTTGTCTGCGTTTACACCTACAATAGGCACAGTGTAAAAAAAAAAAAATTTAATTAGGAGGCAAAAACTTGAATTAATATATCCCCATTAGCACTGATATAACATTTTTTAGGCCTTTCAACTCATCCAATGCAACTTTTAGGACAAGAGCTTTACATATATTTAATCTGAGCATTCAGCATATATAAATATTATAGCCAATCATGAGACAATCAAACAAATCCAAATAGTGGGAAATCTTATGAGAAAATAGCCTGGACTTTTCAAAATATCAATATCATGGAAAGAAAAAAATGATAAGGAGACTATTCTGTAGTAAAAAAAAAAAATTAAACAGACATGATGACCAAATGCTGTGTATGCTCAAAAAAAAAAAAAAAAATCCAACATTGTTCTAAAGAATATTTTGGAGGCTACTGGTTATATCTGAAGATGACATACATATTCTTTGGGGGTAAGAATGGCATTGTGACTATGCAGGTGTTGTCCTTTGGAAATACATACTGCAGTCTTCAGTCTTCCTGCAACTTACATGAAATGCTTCAGAAACACACACAACCTGTAGCTCAATGCTCATTATTGGTGGATCAGGGAGAACAGTAAATGGACCTTCATTGGCCATTCAACTTTCTATGGGTTTGAAATCTTTCAAAGGATAAAGTTGGGGGAAAGATCGAAAATTTAATTGATTCTAAAACAGAATCAGTCAACCATATCCTTTTTAACTTGTCACCCATCACTCTAACATTCTCATCCTGACAGAGAATTAGAGAATTCTACTCTAGCGCTGGACATAGTAGAACCCCTTCATTTGCCTATACCTCGTTTACCAAGTGATGACCCAGCCAACAAGCAGCCCGTGGATGTCTCAGCAATGACGCTATATAAGAAGAAAAACGTATTACTGCCAATGCCACAAATATTCTAACATTACATGCAAATGTGGCACAGGAGAATGATGACTGTTAAACACAAAGGGTTAGATCTGGCTAGCATGTTGCAAAAGTGAATTCTTCACACAAAGTGGCATGACTAGCATTTTCCATCTTCACCAAGGGTCAGCATCCCTCACCCTAGATTCTAATCCACCCGAAGGTAAGGCGTGGCCCTCCCGGAAGAATGTCCATCACTAAGTGACACCGTTTCACAGCCACTCTGCACTATAAAGTATTTTATGATATCTTAAATGAAAAGGTCTTCTACAAAGATGTTTTGTTTTGTTTTCTAGGTTTCAGATAGTATTACCATACATAAAGCATTACTTTAACCCCTTTAATAGAACCTCTGAAAAAGAGACTTTGAAATTTAAATATCCACAAAAGATAAACTTTTATACTTCAAAAACATCAATTAAAGCATTTTTATAACACTTAAACCACTAACTGCTAATTGGGTTAATATAGTGGGTACATTTCGTTTCTAAAAGATCTCTGCCATATCTATTATTTGCTTATAAACTGACTTCACACTGAGGTATAGAAAAACAACTGGAAATATTTCTCTCAGGATCAGCTTCAAAGGCTAACTTCTGATTAGCATCAACGGTGAAGATCACTATATAGACAAAGGGCTCTTACAGTGCAATAGAGACAAACCATCCTCAGAAAATAATTCGGAATAAAATAGTCATCTTAATTCATCGTACAGTTGCTTTAGGTGTAAATGCCCTTTAAAAGATATCTTCTTAAAACTATACATTTAAACAAGAACAACAAAACCTTACAGATCTTGCATTTAAATAAGATAATGATTTCAGGGCTCTCAACTAATGTCTAGGACAAAGTACAGAGTCGCACATGATCCCACTGCCATTGCCAAAGGCCTGGTCTTTCGGCTCCTGGACTGGCTGGATGTTCACGTACAAATCCCGAAACTCCTTTCTGATGCACCTCACCGCCGCCGCCGCTATCTCCTTCGCTACCTATTTTGGCAAAACAGAAAAATAGAGTAAAACATGTTGATTATTTTGCCAATTGTTTTCATGCCTTTAAGACAAAGGAAATAACTTTCACATGCATTCTATAAGAACTTGATTTTCACCCTGGCCGGTTTTGCTCAGTGGTTAGAGCATCGGCCTGCGGTCCAGACCCAGGTTCGGTTCCCGCTAAGGACGCGTACCTCAGTTGCGGTTTGTCTCTGGCCCTGTTTGGGTCGCGTGGGTAGCAACCAGTCGATGTGTCCCTTTCACGTCGATGTTTCTCTCTCTTTCTCTCTCCCCCTCCTACTCTATCTGAACAAAATACCGAAAATTGTCCTTGGGTGAGGATAAAAAAAAAAAAAGAACTTGATTTTCATGAGAACACATTTTAAGAAAAAAATATAATAAAAAGATGTATTAAGATATTAAATTCTTCCAATAATTCAAAATTTAGTTGATATAATACTTATCAAGATATATGCACATTTCTTAAAATTTTTTCTTTTCCTTTATTGATTTTTTAGAGACAGAGGAAGTGAAAGGGAGAGAGAGAGAGAAACATCGATGAGCGAGAACATCGATTGGCTGCCTCCTGCACGCCCCACCTGAGGATCAGGACCACAACCTGGGCATGTGTCCCGGCCAGGAATCAAACTGGCAACCTCTTGATGCAGGGTCGACGCTCAACCATTGAGCCACACCGGCTGGACTATGCACACTTCTAAGAACATCTAGACAACTTACTTTAAATGGCAAAACACCAGCAACAAAAGCTCTTCCATGTATCTTGGTCACAGAGCCACGTTCAGTGAGGATCACTGGGTTCAACCGTTTAACTGGTGACATTTGGACAATCACTTCACCGCCCCCTTTTGGGTAATAGCCCCTATTAAAAAACAGTATGACAAACACTCACATAAACTGATTGCATGACAAAAATAAAGCTCAATATTTACCATAAAATAACATATGAATGATATCCAGGGGGTGGGGGGGCATCTATAATACTTTCAACCACAAAGATAAATTTAATTGTTTTTTTCCAAATAGTCTTTTAGATCTGTGCTGCCCAATATGGTAGCCTCAATCACCAAGTGACTATTTAGTCAAATACAATTTGAAACTCAGCTCCCAGCCACTCTAGCCACATTTCAAGTGATCAACAGTCACATAAGCAAGTGACTACCATGCTGGACAGAGAGAGGGACAGATAGGGGATGATTCCCTCATCGCAGGAAGTGTTACTTGACAGGGTTGTTTCAGAATAAAACCTTGATGTAGGGCCCTGACTATGTTGTTCCTGCCATATTCCAGTGCCTAAAACAACGGCTGGCACGGGTAGGTGCTCAGTAAATACTGAGCATTGAAGTAGCTGAACACCAATAAAATTTAACTCCAACACTTAGTGTCACTGATTCTACGGAAGATGCCAAGGACACGCAGACGAGAACGCAGGGCTCCTATCTGCAAGGAGCTCCCCATCTGGGAGGGCGATGGCCCCACGGACACCCTAGCAGCACACGAGTCGGGGTGAAAGTGGGTATGAACTCATGGACAAGTCACACAGGAAATGGCAAGTTTCATTTGAAAAAATTTCAGATTTCCAGTTTTTAGAAGAGCAGGGAGGAAAAACTTGAACAAAGACATGAAAGTGTGAAGGCATAAGGATGTTTAAGGACTAGAACATGTGGGGTGTTGAAAGGAAGAAGGGGACAAGAAGGTAGACAGGTACATTGGAACGAGATGGCAAAGCTCTAAAGCGCCACAGCGAGAGGTCTGGCCTTTCTCAAGAAAATCATTCTGACTGCACTGCGGGACAGAACCCCTTTAACGAGCCTGCAGGCCTCATGCAGATGTCAGCACGCGGTGGGCATTCGGTCCGCACGGAGCACGTATCCCACCAGACAGGAGGTGCCTCCATGCAGAAGCCCCTTGCAAACCACAATGCAGTTATTCCTACGGGAAATAGAAGGCACGTGGGTCCCAGAAAGCTGGTTCTCTACAGTCAAACTTTTCCACTTTCACTGTACGTAGTGGGTCAAATGGCTAAGAAATAAGTAACTTACCTCATTTTAATGTCACAGTTAAGTTTGAAACCAAATTTTTCAACAATTGGCTTGAAAACCTGAAAAATGAGATTATTACCTTCACACCAATATTCACCAACTCAACAAGTATATTTGTGACACAGCAGTGCTCCGCGCTAGGAATGAGGTACTACACATAGCGATGAGAAAATGTGTGGGCTAGTTCCAGTTTTCAAATAAAATAAGTGACATGGAGCTGAAATTAAAAGTTTAACATTTAGGCCCTGGCTGGTTTGGCTCAGCGGTTAGAGCGTCGGCCTGCGGTCCGGAGAGACCCGGGTTTGGTTCCCGCTAAGGGCATGTACCTCGGTTGCAGTTTGTCCCCAGACCTGGTTGGGTCATGCAGGAGGCAGCCACACAATGTGTCCCTTTCATGTCGATGTTTCTCTCTCTCTCTCCCTCGCACTCTATCTAAAAAAATTAAAAATTAAAAAAATTAAAAAAAAAATAAATTTAACATTTAGTTAATCAAGGCTGTGCAAGTCTGTCTAATGAAAATAAAAATCGCAACTCAGGATATTTGATCCCAATGGTCATTTTACCCCAAAGGTCACTATTTCCCAACCCTTCTCAACATAACACATTGTAAGAAATTAGGGGTTTTAGTGAACAGAATTCTATTATACCTTCTCATTTTTTTTTATAACGGACATTAAGGTTATTTCCACATCTTGGCTATTATGAATAGTACTACAATGAACACAGGAAGGCTACTATCTCTTTGAGATCTTAATTCATCAATTCTTTTGGATAAATACCCAGAAGTTAGATTACTAGATCATATGGTAATTTTATTTCTAATTCTTTGAGGAAACTCCATACTGCTTTTCCACAATGACCGCACCATATTGGATTCCCACCATCAGTGCACGTGGGTTCCAGTTTCTCACATCCTCACCAATACTTGTCAAATATAGTATTTAATTCTTGTCTTGAGTTTTTTTCTTCCAAATCATAAGTCTTGTATTTGTAAAAGAACTGATTTGTATACTAGGTAACATAATTCATATAATAATTATTACACTTGAGTTTTTAAAGGATTCACTATGAACACATCTAAGATACAACACTAATTCCAGTGTCCACATAATCCCACCATGAACAAATACACCAGTACGTACACAAAACCACTGAGGGTATATTTAAATAGAGAATACACCAGTCATCTTGGTTTGTCAACAACATCAAAAGCCCTCACCATGGCCGTGTAATCGATCTGCGGTGCCATCTCAGCATTGGTCCCGCCTCTCAGACGGAGTTCTGATGGGGAAGCAGCGAAGAGGACACAGGGCAGGGACACCTGCAGCAAGAGGCACACGCTCCTGAGGGGAAGGCAGAACAGGCTTAGCGGCACTTCCTTTCTGAAGTCCCAAGAAAGTGATATTGACACATCGCCGGCGGAAGCATGGACACCTGGGAAGGCAGGTACATGCCCTCAAATTTAAAGTTAAAATACCACTCCAGTAACTGAACGGTGAAATCCTTAATCTTAAAAAAATGTATTTCAAAGCAAGAGAAGCCGGCCTTACATTTGTTATATATCAATTTTTCCAATGGGAAAAAGGAAAACCGAGATCATGCCCAGACTAAAAGCAGTAGAATATGGTTCATAATTAGCTGTAAGTCAAGAACGAAATACACTACAATGCGTAGACTAGGGTGACTACAGAGCATGAAAACGGTCATTTTCAGATATTTGATTTCTCATCATAAAAGGTAGAGAAACAAATATGCTACACTATACACAGGAAAAAGTCTAGATACAATAATAGCTACAATTAATAAACAATTAAGTATCCCCAAAGTCTCTAACCCTAAAAGGTAAGTGTTTTATCTCCGTTTTTAAAGTGCAGAAACTAAAGCTCCGAGTGTAACTGCAAAGCCCGTGCTGAAGCGGAAGGAAGTGCCACATACCCTGCTGTCTTGGTATCTGCTGTGTGGGTTCCGCCTCTGATCTTCTCTGGGGTAAACAGTATCTCTGTGGAGCCGATTTCTGCCCCCTCCAGTTGCCCATCACACAGATCTCGAATCATTTCCAATCCAGATAAGTGCTGAGGCCTTTAGGTCATAATACTGCATCACAACGTGGGCGATCAGACTGCCTATATCCCCACATTCATGACTCAGTTATAAAAGTGTAGAGGCAGGAAAGCGTCAAGGTCTAACCACAGGTACTGCTGTGAAATCTTCAGTATCAGTGCTGCCTTGGGGGTTTTATCACCTAGACTACCTGCTAGTAGGCATGGTTTTAAGGGACCCTTCTAGACCTTTTACTATAAACACATGCACTGATATATTGTAAATCAGAAGTGTGCCAAAGAGGAAAAGTAATGAAACTACTTTCCCTTTCTTGAAAAATCTGTGGTACCTGTTAGGAGCTGAATTGTGTTCCCCCAAGATTCATACTTTGACGTCCTAACCCCCAGCACCTCAGAATGTGACTATATTTGGAGACAGGCCTTAAAAGAGGTGATTAAGTTAAAAGAGGCAGTTAAGGCGGTAATTCACTCTGTGCTGTCCTTATCAAAAGGAGATCAGTACATCAGCACATACGCACCAGGGATGCACATGCACAGAAGGGCGACCATGAGAAGAGCAGCAAGAGGATGGCCATCTCCAAGCCAGGGAGAGGCCTGAAACAGAATCCTCCCCTATGGGGTTTCCTCAGAGGAATTCCAGCCTCCAGAACTCTGAGAAAATAAATTTCTGTTGCTGAGGTCACCAAGTCTGTGATATGTTGTTATGGCAGCCTCAGCAAAGTAATCAACTACCTAACACAGCCTTAATGAACTGGATTTCCCTGCTGGTGAAATGGGTTGCAGCAAACAACCGTGGCAAACAACCATGTGAATGTTCACATATATCACTCGTTACCTTTTAATCATTTCAAAATGGATTGTGGGTAAAAGGCTAAGAGACAGCTGATCTACTACAATGGACTACATACAACATACATAAAAAGAAATTGGTTTGGCTTCAACCTGAGTCCTCTTCTAACAGGTGCATGTCTGATGCATACCTGGTACCTGAACCTTATCTGATGGCATGCCTAGCTTCCCAGACAGAAGGAACAAGGTCAGGTGTCATCCGTTTTTCCCTCTCCACAGCCATCGTTCTGGTCCTAGTCACAGCTTCCCGGAAAGCTGGACTGACATATCTCTGGGTCCTTTCCTGTTCTATGATTCGAAAATGTGCGGCAGTAGAGAATGTGCTGTTTTAAAAGTGGGGTTTCGCCCTGGTCGGTTAGGCTCAGCGATTAGAGCATCGACCTGTGGTCTGCAGAGACCCAGGTTCGGTTCCTGCTAAAGGCACGAACCTCGGCTGCGGTTTGTCCCCGGCCCTGGCTGGTTCGTGTGGGTGGCAACCACTCGATGTGTCCCTTTCACGTCGATGTTTCTCTTTCTCTCTCTCTCTCTCCCACTCTATCTGAACGAAAAATGGAAAAAATGTCCTCGGGTGAGGATTAAAAAAAAAGAGGTGCAGTTTCCTCTGGCTCCATAGGCCCATCTGCCTTGATCTATCATGCCTGCTGCTCCCAGCTCTCCAGGTACTTGGAATGCCCAATAAGGTGGGGAAACATTTTAAAAGATAGCTCTTTAGGAAATGAGACAGCTCTAGCCAGAGAAAACATGGGCCTATTTTCTTTTTTCCTTTCTTTTTTTTTTTTTATTGAATTTATTGGGGTGACATTGGTTCACAAAATCATACAAGTTTCAAGTGCACAACTCAACAAAACATCATCTACACACTGCACCGTGCCCATCACCCCAAGCGAAATCTCTTTCTGTCCCCATTTCTCCCTCCCCCTGACAGCTGTCAGAGGGAGGGGCGTTGGGGGGTCTATTTTCTAAGTTTGCCCCTGGAGGATTTCAAGGCAACTCAGCCCAGGACACGGTTAACAGCCCTGGATGAATCACAGCACCCTAGGGACCCTGCTGCCCGCATCTTCTCAGTATCACTGAGGGGGGACTCCTGAGTCCCCAGCCCGGATCCATCCCCAAGACCCTCGGCCACTCAGCCTGCCCCTCCCCCCCGGCCTGTCTCCCAGCCCCAGAGCCTGCCCCTTATTGGTTGTCTCCCTAGTCCCCAGGTCCCCAGCCCCACCTCGGCCTGCGGCCTGACCCGCCTTGCCCCCGCCATCGCCCAGCCCCACGCCTCCACCCCAGACCCCAGAGCCCGCTCCCCAAGGCCTGTCCCGGTAACCCGCCAGGCCCCGCAGTCCGCCCCCAGCGCCCCGGTTACCGCAGGCCCGGCGTGCTGCGGCCGGCTCGGATCTTCTGCACCCGCAAGGGAAGGCCCAGGAGACAGCTCAGGGCGGTGGACACCCTCAGGATCTGGCCGCCCTGCGCAGGGTGCGGGGCGAAGAAGAAGGAACGTGAGACGACAAAGCACGCCCCAAACCTCACCCCTCGGCCGGCCTCCGGCTCGGCACTCACCCCTTCCAGGAGCGCGCCGTCCACCTCCACCCGCGGCCCCGCCATGGAGGGCGCCCTGGGGCCCGGCCCGCAGACGCACAGCCTCCGCCCGAGTGCGGCGAAGAGGACACGCCGGCTCCCGCCCCGCAGCTCCGAAAACTGGTCCTCGCTCGGGGCCGCGGGGGCGGGGCGAAGAGCGAAGGGGTTGCGGCCGTGGAAGAACCTGATCCCGCGGAAACCACCCGAGACACGCAGCGCCCGGAACCCGGTCAGACCGCCCAGCAGTCAGTGCGCCTGCGCGCCGCGTGGTGCTCCCAGGGGCGGTGCCGACAAAATTCCAGCAAATCGGGGGCTCCGACGGCGTCGGAGTGGTGGCCCCGCGGTGTCCCGGGGCGACTCAGGAAACGTTCCTTGAACACCGGCGCCCTCAACACAGACAGCAATACCTACAGATTGCAGAAGCCTTTGTTTCATCTGTAACTGGCTCCTCCAGATGTCCCGCAGGCTTGTGCGAACATCTGTGCTTACCTGTTTTCTCGACGATCCCGCAGTACCCTGAACTGGATGGAGCCTCTTGGCTTGGAGCTGAGATGCGAGAAAGGGCCGGACCCTGCAATGCGCCGTCCTCCTTCTGGTCTGAAGTGCCTTCTCCGCAGCCTGTCCGTTGAAATGCATGTGCCTGGTGTAGTCTTTATTTTTCTCTCCTGAGACACATGTAAAATGGTGCAGACACTTTTGAAAATAATCTGGCAGTTTCCTCATTATCCTGTTTAAAGTTAAAGATACATATAACCCATGTCGCAACAATTCCATTTTTAGGTGAATATTCTTACCTTATCATGCAAATGTAATTGACTAACCAATAGCATCTGTATCACCTAGTGCTTGTTAGAAATACAGAATCTCAGGCCCTACCCTGATCGATTGAATTGGAATCTGCATATTAATCAGATCCCCAGTTGATATGAATGCTCATTATAGTTTAAAAAGCACTGTTCTAAAGAAACTCTTGCACAGGCACCAGGAGAAAGGATCAAGAATGTTCATAGCAGCATTGATGGTAACAGCAAAGAACTGGAAACAACACGAGTGTTCGCTGATGGAGAAATAAATTGTGCTATCGTCATAAAAGATAGTTGCAGAAAGATACCTACACAATTCAGGTTATCTCAGGGGGCCAGGGAGGGTTTAAAAGGAAAAGCAGACAATGACCTTCACCAGCGCAGGAAAGGTTCTCTTTCTTAAATTGGGTGGTGGGTTTAGGATATTTGTTATGTGACTTATCTATATGTTATATTATTCTTCTGTATGTATATGACACAATTTTAACATCATTATTGGTGTACATATACCATAAAGTTCACCTGTTCTAAGTGTACAAATAAGTACTTGTTAGAAATTCACAGTTATGCAATTATGACCACAGCCTGGTAATAGGAAATTTCATCACCACAAAAAACTCTCTTGCTCCTTGGCAGTCATTCCCCATTTCCATTTGGGCCCCAGGCAACCACTGATCTGCTTTCTTGTCTCGGTAGATTTGCCTTCTCTGGACAGTTCATATAAATGCAATCATGCAATATGTGACCTTTTGGATCTGGCTTCTGCGACTTAGCATAACATTTTGGAGGATGTGGCTCAGTTGGTTGAACAACGGTCCCAAGCACCAAAAGATCCCCCGCTGGATTTTCAGTCAGGGCACATGCCCAGTAGGGGTCGTACAGCAGGCAGCCAATCCTTGTTTCTCTTAACATTGATTGATGTTTCTCTCTCCCTCTCCCTTCTTCTCTCTCTAAAATCAGTAAAAAAATATTTTTAAATTGAGGTTCATGCATGTTAAAGCATGTATCAGTAATTTTTATTAACTAAAAAAGTTTCTTTTGAGTGGAAGGAATAACTAGTGAGTAGGTGGCATGTTTCTTGATTTTGGAAAGACAAGGAAACAAAATACCGAATTTAGAAGCAATAATCCATTGACGTAAAAGAGGTTAAAATAAAGATAATAAACTAGATATTTTCTTGGGAGAAGGTAGAGTTGAAGGGATCATTAAGAAAAAAGGTGGCATAGGAACCTTAGGAAGAAAAATAATTAACATCAAAGACATTCCATCTTTTTATATAAACACTTGTATGTAGTATTATAAAATACATTAACAGTGCTTTTAAAATGTTTTGCTAGAGGGAAAGTTAAAAAATTAGTTTTTATAAGATTGTCTTATAAAGGTAATGGATTTATTGCTTACAGTTGTCTGTGTATGTGTATTTGTGTGTGTGAAATACACTGAAAGGTAAATAAGGCAAAAAAGAAGGGTAAGTTTGGATAATATTAGTGAATCTATAAAATACTTGAGATTTTGTTTCACAGCCACTAATCTTCAATATTGAGGATTTATAATGTTTTCTTTGTTCTTTTTCTTTCTTTCTTTCTTTTTCTCCATAATTCTTTAGATATCTGTGCAGATTTTCATTCCCCCCATAGAGGCAAAAACAGACAAATGTTATCCTGGGAATTGACTATGCAAGCTCTAATCTTACCTTTACTGGTTCTAAATTTGACATTTCTCCAAGAGGCAAATAAATCAAGTTTATATGTCTGTGACATATATTGCATGTGCTGGGCAGCTGCATCGGACAATACTCTCTAAGAAGGAAAGAACACGTTGATAACGTGTTTATTTTAGACATTAGGGTAACCTCGTTCATCTTCTATGAAAAAAATTGAAAAGCCAATTCAAATCGTCAAAAACATTCATTCGATGGGAGTAAGAAATGCCAGTCATCCGGATATATTTCAGTGTAGACTTGTGACTCAACCGGTGGTTCGGAGCTTTACACTAAGTACGTAATTAAGGCAGTTACAATACTAGCTGAAGACAGCAGGTATTTTCCTACACATCCTCAGGTCTTACATCACATAACTTTCCAGGTAAGTGCCTTTCCTTTGTGTTCCCTTAACACTATTTCGCCCATTGCATGGACTACAAGGACAATCTTTGGTGCACTTTGTCCCCGAAATTAAATTGGGCTGCCCTCCTTCCATTTGTTCCCCGTCTTTCGGCTTTTTACCTCCCGTTGGTAAAACGGCCCCGCCCCCTTTCTCATTGGCTGGCCGGTGGGCAGCTCCTTCGCTCTCATTGGCCGCTCAGGGGAGGTGCGTTTTCCGGTTCCCAATAGGTGGCCTGGCAGAGGCCACGCCCCCAACCGCGGAGCAGCTGCGGTTTCCGGAGTAAGATGGCTGCAGTGCGTGTGTTGCGGACCTGGAGCCGGAGTGTCGGGCGGCTGGTAAGCAGGTTGGGGGCCGGTCTGAGGTCGGGAAGGAGTGATTAGTATGCAGTCGTGTGGGAGAGGTGTGCTAGTTTGTCCTCCGAGTGTCACGCTTACCCGGCATGCGTGATGGAGAGGTGGAGGGACATATGCAAAGCAAAGGGCAAAGAAGGTGGCGAGCAGACCGCTGTGGAGACCCACCCCCGCCCCATTCTGGGCGCGCTCCTGGCGTGATTCGGTCGCCCTCCCGCTTCTTCTACACCCCGAGGCCCAGCAGGCCTTTCATTGAGCAGCATCTGGGTGCCGGGCAGTGTGATAGGCAATGGGGACACGAAGGTATACATTCATTCAGCATTTATGGAGCACCCGCTTGGGTGCTCGAGCCTTGCCTTCAAGGAACTTACTGTCTGGAGGAAGAGACCCTTGGAGCAAAGCAGAAGTGCCCCGAGCAGCTGAGACGCTTGCTCCAGCTTAGTCCCTTGGGCGTGTACTTGTCTTCCACGTCTGCACCAATATCTTTCCAACCTTTTTCTCACCAGAGCTACTACTCACCACCATCTCCCCTGCAGTTCCCCACTTTCACAGTCTTTTAGCACAAAACAGTTAACATCCCGTAATCAGTGTTTCATCTGATTTGTATAGCGTTTTTTACCCCTTGGTTCCCTTCTTCCCTAGATCTTTCGACAGTGGTCCACCCCTAATCTTACAAAGCCTTTCAAGAGCCTGCTATGTACCAGGTATTGTGCTAGGCATTGAGGATGCAAATGTGAATGACACGATCCCTGCCTGCCCAGAAGTTAATTACAGCCTTGTGGTTGAAGACAGAGAGAGAGATAGACATTAGACAAGCCATTACAGCACAGCATAAGTCATACAGCTAGAGAAACACATAGGGGTCTTGAGGTTCAGACTGGCATTCCAAGAGGATACTGTTTAAATTGAATTTGTAAGAGGAGTAAGAAGTAACCAGGAGAAGAAAGTTGTCCTCCGCAGCACCTTACTAGGTACTGGCCTCCCTTCTTTGAGAGTTCTCCGTCCTTGGCTTCTCTAACACCAGCTTCCTGATATTCTTCTTCCTGTCACTGATGTGAGGTATTCTGATTTGGGTCCAGATAATTTCATATGTTTATACAGTGATAATGATCATTCTATTTTTAGAACACACTTGAAATTCAGTGTATACTTACAGAGATAAGCCATTAAGATCACTTATCAAAGCTTTTACTTTTGGTTTTCTCATCTCTAGGTTTGTGTTCGCTACTTTCAAACATGTAATAATGTTCATGCTTTGAAGCCAAAATATGTGTGTTTCTTTGGTTATCCTTCATTTAAGTATAGTTATCCACATCGACTGCTGAAAACAACTGCCAGTGAGTATTGTCAAAATAGCCGAGTATAATCAAAATAATGTTTTGTCTTTTACTCAGTACTTTATTTGAAGTGATTGTAGATTTATCATAGTAAGAAAAAGTTGACCTTTATTTCTAGCCTGGCCCTCCTTGCTCTCCCAGCATTTATCCATTTCTTATTTTCTTTGCACCCTATCTATACCCCACTTCCCTTTCACACACTTTCCCTTGATACTTGTGTCATGGTAATGTTGGGAATAGTTGTTCTTTATCATCTTACTCATCTAAGGGCAATAATAGTCAGTATTGACCCGACTTTCTCAGTCATGGTAGATTTGACTTGATAGTTTGATATAATAATTTGTGCTCATGTACTCACTGTAGTATTGTTTATTGGAGGAGGACTTCACCTGTCCTGTTGGAATGATGGGGTGAAACCAGCCTGAGGTGCTCCTAAATAGAAAGTTCCCTAGCTTTTCCCATTTAAGTACCCCCCAACCCCCACTTTTTCTATCCTCTGTAAAGAACTTGAGGTTTTAGGTATTAGATTTGTAAGAACACGAAAACTGCCCTGGCTGGTTTGGCTCAGCGGTTGGAGCGTGGGCCTGCGGTACAGAGAGACCCGGGTTCGGTTCCCGCTAAGGGCACGTACCTCGGTTGCAGTTTGTCCCCGGCCCTGGTTGGTCGTGCGGGTGGCAGCTACTCGATGTGTCCCTTCACGTTGATGTTTCTCTCCCTCTCTCTTCCTCTCTCTCCCTCCCGCTCTATCTGAACAAAAAATGGAAAAATGTCCTCAGGTGAGGATAAAAAACAAAAAACAAAAAACACGAAAATTTTTTTTTTCCTGATGTTCTCTTTAGAAACCTGATAAAGAACCCTGGACTTCTGTTATATCATTAATCTTTTGCCAGATACTTGGCACCTTAGTCTGTGCTAGCAATGAAAAATAGGAGAATTCCAGGCAGATTATTCCTGAGATGAATCAGTCCTTCCATGCCTTTGACACCTCATCTTCCACAACACCCTATGATGTGTAACCCTATTTTCACCATTTATTTTTAAGATTTTTCTTTTCAAAAGTTGATCTTTGCTTAGAGAAAAAGAGAGGCCATTGAAGCTCCAGTGTGTAAGCAGTTATCATGAGCTCTAGGTTCATGGTCTGCCAGTTGCTAGCTGTGTAACTTTAAGCAAGTTATTTAATTTCACCCTGAAAATGGGAGTAATCATAGTATCTGACCCTTTGTATTGTGAGAATCAATTCATTCAACACAGATATTTATTGATCACCCACTGTGTGCCCTGGCAATGCTCTGTGAGCTTGGGATACATTCTCTTCTTTATTCCCAAACTTAGTAAATAGTTAAGCTGAAAACCTCGAGCCTGATTCCTGTCTCACGCCAAATTGATTGCAAGATCTATTCATTTTGCATCTCCTATGTTTCTTAAATCTGTCTTCTCCTTTTCAGACAGGTTTGAAAGTGTATAAATATATGAAGTTCCATACTTTAGCTTATTAACCTGCAGTAGCCTCCTAACTGCTTTCTCTGTCACCCCTTCCCCAACTTTATCCACCACACTCCTGCCAGAGAGAATTTTTTTCTAAATTTATAGACCTAAAGTTACAGATCTGAAATTGCAGATGGAACTCCCTATTAGTTCATTATTGCTGAATAAGAACCCTCCGCACAATTAAGAGGCTTAAGAAACTATGATTTTTATTTGTCAGGATTCTGGGCGTTGACCTGACTGTATTTGGCTAGAAGATCATCTGGACTGGAGGGTCCAAGATGGTCTCTCTCATCCTCTACCGGGTTAGATCAGCTACCTTGGAGGGGTGGGGGGGAGCATTCTAAGAAGGACAAAGGAGAAGCTGTGAGCTTGAGGTCCTTTGAGGCCTGGGTTCCAGAACTAACACACTTTCACTTCTATATTCTATCAGTGAAAGCAAGTCACAGGCCAGCAGAGATTTAATTTAAGGAGTGGTGCATTAGACTACCTCTAATGGGTGCAGCTGCAAAGAGTTCATGACCATGTTTATTTACCACTGGCACCTGGTTACCTTTAGGGTAAATTCCAAACACCTCACTCACATCAGCATGGCACACACTTTTTAAGTCTGGGCTGATTTCTCCCACATAGCCCGGCTCCAGCCACGTGGAACTGTTTACCGTTCCCAAACCATGCTGCATACTGTCATTCCCCCACGCTTGCACCGCTGTTTGGCACATGCTGCTCCTTGCGTAATCTTGCTTTGTACAGAGGTGTCACTATGTGCTTACTTGTCACTTTCTAGTTACTTAGGTTGGTTTATAGTTAGTTCTTTATTGTAACTCCACTGATCTCTATGTACCTCTCTATGTCCATAAGCAAGAAAGTCTTAAAACTAGACTTACTGGCCCTGGCCGGTTTGGCTCAGCGGTTGGAATATTGGCCTGCGGACCAGAGTCCCAGGTTTGGTTCGCGCTAGGGCCACGTACCAGAAAAAAACTAGAATTACTGGCTCAAAGTTATGAAATTTTGTTTCAAGGCGTCTGACACTTAGCACTAAACTTCTTATTTCAGTCCTCACCTGAGGATATTTTTCTATTTATCTTCAGATAGAGTGGCAGGGAGGGAGAGAAAGAGAGAAATATCAATGTGAGAGAGACACACTGACTGGTTGCCTCCCACATGACCCCGACCAGGGCCAGGGCAAACCGCAACCAAGGTGCTTGCCCTTGACCATAATCGAACCCGAGACTCATTGGTTCATGGGCTGACACTCTACTGCCGAGCCAAACCGCCAGGGCGACACTGAACTGTTTCTCAGAAGGGTTCCAGTTGATACTATGAGCAGCAGGCTGTGAGAGGGCATACTTACTAGAACAGGAACGAGGGTCCTAAGATGTCCATTACGAAAGATACAGTTTGGATTTCTTTACTACTAACTTATCTCCTCATATTTACTAAATAAAAACTTACTACCTTAATCAGCTTGTTTGTGTGTTTTATAAGCAATTTAATTATTAGCAGTCTAAAAATAGAGGCACACTCTTGAATCAGTGCAGAGCCATTTGTTAACCCAAAATACTTCCTTTCTTGGGAATAATTACCATAAAGTATCATTGGCATCCAAGTGTTATAAAAAGGGGATAGAAATTTGAAAAGGGGTAAAAAGTAGAAAGAAGAAAGAAAAGACTCAAATTTAATGATAAGCTGACAGAAGAACATAGTTGGGCAAATAAGAATTTTTCTTCAAGTTTTCTACACAGGGATCTGCTTGATATTTAGTCATTAAGAATGAGAGTATGGCCCTGGCCGGTTTGGCTCAGCGGTTAGAGCGTCCACCTGTGGTCCGGAGAGACCCGGGTTCGGTTCCTGCTAAGGGCATGTACCTCGGTTGCAGTTTGTCCCCGGCCCTGGTTGGTCGTGCGGGTGGCAGCCACTCCATGTGGCCCTTTCACGTCGATGTTTCCCTCTCTCTCTCTTCCTCTCTCTCCCTCCCACTCTGTCTGTACAAAAAATGGAAAAATGTCCTCGGATGAGGATAAAAAAAAAAAGAAAAAAAAGAATGAGAGTATGAAGTCAGACTGTAAAGTCAAAAAAGATCTAAAAGCAGGCTGTTGATGGTTATTACAATTTTATAACATGAAGCAAGGGGATCCAGTGGGGGTCTCCCTTAGTACCATTTCCTGTTTTATAGCCTGTTCATTATGAATGTTTCAAAATCTCCTTTGTCATAGGCCTTCTGTACCCTTGTAAAGAACATTATTTTGGAAGTTGGCAAACACAAGTTTTGTGGCTGTGGCAGTAGGTCTGTGTCATTGATTATTTAAATCTTTGACAATTATGAATGACAATCATGCTATTAAAAATTATGAAATGCTTTTAGGGGGAAGGGAGGTGGGTGGAGATGGAAGAGGGTGTAGGGAGGATAAATAGTAATGAAGTAAAGGAAAAGAAAGTTAGCAACACGTGACATGTTTAACGAGATAATTTCTCATTGGTCTTTGAAGGTCAACAGGGACAGATTGTTCAATTCAAACTCTCAGACATTGGAGAAGGCATTAGAGAAGTAACTGTGAAAGAATGGTAAGTTATTTTGAAAGAAACTTTAAATCAATCTTAAAATAATGAGAGTAAAAAGAAGTAGGACTCTGTTTAAATGGAAAAGCATCTTTCTGTTACATACAGTGTTTTTTTCAAGCAGTAGATAAAAGTAATATGTGTTGTCGATATGCTGGTGACACAGTTCATTATCCATCGCGGCCTGTTATTCCATGTTATTTATTAAGGATCATTTTTTCCTCTTTTTAAAAACTGCTTTCACTGCCCCCCCTCCCCCCTTCAGCTAAAAAAGAGAAAGGAACCTCTGAGAGATGACGTCTATCAGTGTACTAGTTGCTTTTCTGGAGAAGCAGAATCCCAGAGGCCTTTGTTCTATTCTGGAAGTGAAAACCCACCCCCAGCAGTGCTTTTAGCCTCATTTCCATGTCACGGGTAACAGGTTATTATGGACTGAGAATTGGTTAAGAAGGAAGACAAGGGATAAGAAAGACTGAGCAATAATTATGTTAATTTATGGCAATAAGTCAGAAATGTGCTAGACACATCAAGAATGGTGTTAGAATAGAAATTGTTTGTAGTATTTGAGGTTTGTCCCATTCCTGCTGTTTGGTAAAGCATACCTCAAATGATTGCAGGACAAAGGAATCCATATTCAAGGACAGACTAAAGTAATTCTAGAAAGAAAGATGGAGAACTCAAACCAAAAGTCGTGAAATTACAAAGGATGTGTATGGGGATATTAGTTTTTCACTCTAATTCTAGAAATAACAGGTATCCCTTAAAGTTTGATACAGGCTACTATAAGACAATGAAAGAAAGAAAACACATTTAAACAACTTTTTTATAACTTTTTCCAAGGAGTGGGTGGAGCAGAAAACCTGAAAGTTTAATTAAATTTTTAGATTACAGAATTTATGAATGATTTTTTAAATTTTGGAATTAGAGATACACCAAGAGATTCTGGAAGCCATTATAGTCTTTTCTGGAACATTTTTTGGTGCCCTATCTGGGACTACACTGGACTAAATGGACACTGACCTAATTCAGTGTGGCATTTACATTGTAGGATAAGGTGTACTTATCATTGGTTCTGTAGCAGGGTCTTACATCTTTTTTCTTGTAGGTTTGTGAAAGAAGGAGATACAGTGTCTCAGTTTGATAGCATCTGTGAAGTTCAAAGTGATAAAGCTTCTGTTACCATCACCAGTCGTTACGATGGAGTCATTAAAAAACTGTATTATAATATAGAGGATACCGCCTATGTGGGGAAGCCATTAGTAGACATAGAAACAGAAGCTTTAAAAGGTAATGTAAATGTACTTCTCTATTTGCCAAATTGATCACTACCATCCTTTGGTCATTGGTCAAAGTGATGTTTACCTTTACTAACTTACAGGAAATCAGGAAAATAGAAAAGATCCTTTGTGGTGCATGATTATCTTTTGACCAGTTACCATGGTAAAAACATGGACAGTAATAATTATTTGGTGGCCAAGCTTTTGGAAACCATAGTGTTCACAGAAGCAACAAGCCCTCTTGGGAATTAAAGATAATAACAGAAGTTGTAGTATGCGTAATGGGATGGTTCTGTTTGCCATGGGCACAAAAACCAAAAAGCACTCTCGTGGTGATGGTTATGAAAGTCAGAGGAGTAAAGAGAAGTAGAAGAGAAAAGAAGGAAAATAAGAATGAAAGTGAAGAGACCAGCAGTTGGAAGAAAGAGCAGACCTTGGAACTTTTAAGCAGTGCGTGTCCTGACAAAGGAAATTGGTCATGAGAACATTACAAGAAAACTAAAGCGGGGCTGTTCCGGTGGGAGCAAACAGCTCTGACGTTGGACCTGGGGTGGGGGTGGCGAGAAGTCCTGAGATGCAGCCCTCAGCCAGCCATCTGTAGGAAATGCAGAGGTTAAACATTTCTGCAGTGTGATCAGAAGTGAATCGTGGAGGCTCCACAGTCTGTGCAATAACAGAATCTCACTTCACAATCTATCAAATGTTTCACACTTATTATTATTGTTTTAATCCTTACATGTGAGTATTTCAGTTGAACAGATGAAGAAACGAAACCTAGAAAGGCTGGGCCTTCGCCTAGTGGCAGTGACAGAGCCATATGCAGACTTGGAGGTCCTGAGTCTTGATCTACCACGACCAGCCACCTCCAAAAGCTGCAAGATAGCTTATTGAAGCCTTTCTGTTATTTATTTAATTTCTGTTACAAAAGCCCAATGTGCATTTGAGAAAGTTATAAAATATGGAAAAAAGAAAATGAAAACATATTCCTGGCTACTTGGAAATCACCACTTTTTTTTTTTTATCCTCACCCGAGGATATTTTTCCATTTTTTGTACAGATAGAGTGGGAGGGAGAGAGAGGAAGGGAGAGAGAGAGAGAAACATCGACGTGAAGGGACACATCGAGTGGCTGCCGCCTGCACGACCAACCAGGGCCGGGGACAAACTGCAACCAAAGTACGTGCCCTTAGCGGGAACCGAACCCGGGTCTCTCCGGACCGCAGGCCGACGCTCTAACCACTGAGCCAAACTGGCCAGGGCGGAAATCACCACTTTTAACACATCAGTGTATGTCTTTCCAGACAGTTTTCTCACAGAATTATTCCTTGAACTATAGGAGTTGGAGTCCAGCTTATTTGACCATAAAGAAAATTTACTAGGGCCGTGAAGTAATTCTCCATCTATGCTCTGAGTTCTTAACTGAGACCCCAGTAATAAAAGACAGATCAACAAGAGGAAAATAAGTTAATTAATATGTACAACTCGTGTGTATGTGAGGCAGGCAGGGAAAAGGAACTCCAGGAGCAGGTTTAGGATTGGGGCTTAATAATCAACGTAATAGGTACAGGGGCTGGGGGAAATGCAAACCCCTTAGGGGACAGTAAGTGATGTTTAGGAAACATACTGGGTATTTGCTTAGAATTGAATGTCAAAGCATGCTGATTTTCCGAGGTTTGAGCTCAGAGTCACTAATTCCCACAGGGATTCTGTCACACTGAGTTCATTTCCTAGCATCAGACTTTGACAATTAAATGCTTTCAAAAACTTTTTTTTTTGGTTGCAAAAATCCATGCTAACCGCCTGAGATGGGTTTCTTGTGTCCGTATTCTAAAGTTAGAGACAACCAGTTCTAATTAGCATGGAGAGGAAGTCTCTAGTGTTCCTTAAGCCATGTGCAAAGAAGGAAACATTTAAATGCTGTGATCTTAGATTTGTCACAGATTTGACATGATTCTTTCATGTGAATTACCTCATGTTTGATCCTTATTTCATGCTGCTTATAAATATAAATGAGAATTTTATTAGGAAAGTATTTAAAATACATGTGAAATTTACAGAAGAAGCTCTCTCTTTTTTTTAATCCTCACCCAAGGATATTTTCTGTTTATCTTCAGATAGAGTGGGAGGGAAGGAGGGAGAGACAGAGAGAAAAAAACATCAATGTGAGAGGGACACATCAACTGGTTGCCCCCTGCACGACCCCAACCAGGGCTGGAGATGAACCGCAATGGAAGTACATGCCCTTGACCAGAATCGAACCCGAGACTCATTGGTCCACCGGTTGATGATGTAACCACTGAGCCAAACCGGCCAGGGCAGAAGCTCTCAGTTTTTAACTGGTAGCTGGCTACATGATTTTAACACAAATGAAGTAAACACCAGGTAATAATAGTCATTAAACAATACCAGATACCCGTACCTGCCCTCCCCCCCCCACAGTCTCTCTCTCTCTCTCTGCCTGTTTGTTTTTCCATTCTGAAGTAGCCCAACTATTATACTTTTTGACTATAAAGATTAAGTTTGCTCAGTGGTTAGAGCGTCGGCCTGCAGGCCAGAGAGTCGTGGGTTCAGTTCCCGCTAAGGGCATGTACCTCGATTGCAGTTTGTTCCCGGCCCTGGTTGGGGTCATGTGGGTGGCAGCCACTCGATGTGTTTCTCTCACATCTGTGTTTCTCTCCCCCTCCCACTCTATCTCAAGATAAAAATGCAAAAATGTCCTCGGGTGAGGATAAAAAAAAAAATTAAGTTAAATTTATATGTTATATACCACTAAGCTTGTTGGGTTTTTTTGGTTCTCAACTAAACAGTAAACACTTACCTTGTTACCAGATTCAGAGGAAGATGTGGTTGAGACGCCTGCCGTGTCCCATGAGGAGCACACTCACCAGGAGATAAAAGGCCAGAAGACACTGGCCACCCCGGCAGTTCGCCGCCTGGCAATGGAAAACAATGTACGTTTTCTTAACATGTAAACGTGAGATCACATAGAAAGTATATGTTTGCATTTGAAAAATTAGCCAACTATCTCATGATGGGGTGGCTCAAGTTGGGATTAAAGACAATATGAGAATGTCTGTTACTGAAAAGTGAAAAATGAGAAAAGCATCGTGAACTTATTACTTCTGTTGATTGAGGATGTGACTTTATCATTCTTTCTTAGAGCCTGAGAACTGGCAGGGCCACCATGTATGGCGCGCTTATAAATAGAAGGTCTGAGCCGGCTGGAGAGCACGGCCACCACGCGAGGCCAGTGTAGAGCAAAGTGGCTTTACTGCAGGCGCCTGGGTGCAGGCGGCTGAGCTGAGAAGGGGTCAGCCTCAAAGTAGGGTTGGGGTGTTGGTTATATACCCTACTTTGAGCTTCCGGCAGTTCCTGCTGATGTACTTTATCTGGCCCGTTGTCCACCTTGCAGAAGGGTTGGTCTGGTATCTCGTCTGGCATCTGCTGGGTTATCCATCGCCTTGCTGATAATCCAGATAAACTTTATCCGGACTCAACAGAAGGCTGAGCCAAAGTCATGCAAGCAACACAATTTCCAGTTTCTGCCTTTTGCAAACTTTTACCTTTACCCTTTAAAACATTACTGACCCTTTCATTTCCATCTTATAATGATGATAAAAAGGAAAAAGGGGTGAAGTTTCTCTTTGTCTGCTTCCTGCAGGTGTGGGGTCGTCGTGGACCCCTAAAAAGAATGTGTTAGAGAACTTCCTGGGGAATGGGGCCATAGGGTCCTTTTACCTGTGCTGGAACAAATTGTCCAACTGTCCGGTTGACTGAAATTTGCAGTCAGTTTTGTATAAACCTAGTAATCAGGCGCAAGAGGCAGGGTCCAACAAGCAATAATAAGGAGGCTAATACTTGGGGCCCTATGAAGGGGAGTAGCCAGGTTAGTGTAGGCAAGGCTGCCTCTATACTTGTCCAGATAGACTGAGCTAAGGATCCTGACTGAATTCCTTTAGCCACTGGGCATTGTCTAGATTTCGTTGTGTCCTCTCCTCAACCTGTCCAGTTGAGTTAACAGAAGCAACAAGATGTATTTGCTATCATGCATACGCCCCCTTCTTTAGCTAGTAAATAATCTAGTGCAATGCAATTATCTATTACCAGGCAGGCAAGAGAGGCGAGGGATTTTGAAAGAAGCTTGAAAGTTTCACCTGTATCTCTACCTATATTTGCCATGGTGGCAGTTACATTTTTTGCTGTCATGGCATCATAAGTAATTCCTCCCACGAGGCCGCAGTGGTGATTGCAGCTGTGACTCTTGCTATGAGGAGTCCGACTCCCCTTTTTGCCCTGTGATGGCTTCCGGGCTCAGGGCTTGATGAGGTTGAATTATGGATGAAGAAATGGATTAAGGCATTGGCTGGGGTGACATGTTGTACTGCCCATTAGCCACCCTGTTTTTCTGGGTTTGGGCATTGAATAGCAATTCCTCCCCTGGGGGCCAAAATGTTTAATGCACCTAAAATCATCATTCCCACTGGTAGGCAAAGCAGCCCAGTCCCATTTGGGCCTCGGGAGGTGTTTGATAGACTCATAGTAAGGCTCGAATGATTAAACCATGAAAGAGGGAGATGAGGGCTAGTGCCACCACAGAATTACACCCTGGAGAGCGAATAATTTCCCTGGGATGATTTTTTTGGTATTGCATCAAGTCCCTTGAGCTTGCACATATAAACTCCAACTGCAGGGGTTAGACACATCATGAATCGTGAGATTACAGGTACCCCTCGTAAGGTTATAGTGAGAAATATTATACGTGGTGCCTGCTTTCATGGTGTGTATTCAAACAGAATCAAGATCAAGGGAGCGTTTGCCCTTCTGCTCCCTGAGCTCGCCTTAGGACACCTGCATTATTGATTGACGGGTGTACCGTCCCAGTTAAACTCCCCACCTAGTACTGTCCCCAGAGCAGGTGACACCCAGCCTGCGCAGCCTAGTGCATGGCACCGGAAGCGAGAGCCCCTCGGGGCTCTCCTCCACTCCCCTGCCTCACTGGGTCAGTGAAAAAATGGTAAGAGTAGTGGTATTTCACAGGAGGCCAGCAAGGCCTGCGGACCCCGCCCTGCCCTGCCCCCTCAAGGGGAAGGAGGGGCGCTGGGGGTTTATGTTAGGAGAGGAAGTAGATTCTTGGAGGGGGCAAAGTAAAGAATGAGAGTGGTTGGTGGCGAGAGAAGGAGGAAAGGTTAAAGTAGCATGGAGTTTAGATAGAATGTCCCACCCTAACAAGGGAGTGGAGATGCAAGGGACAGGCTAGTAATGCAAGAAAAGAGTGGAGAAGGATATAAGGGCTAAAGAACAAGTGAGTGTCTGGGTTGCAATATTTGGCCATCGATTCCTACAACTGAAACCCCAGAGTGTCGAAGAGGTCCCCTGAACTCAGGGAGGGCAGAGTAGGTTGCCCCGGTATCAATTAAAAATGAAATTGGCCTACCTGCTGCCATCAGAGTTACCCAAGGTTCGGAGTTCAAAATGACGGTCGGGGCGTCTTCAGCAGCAAGGCCAATCAGATCAAGGCCCGGATTGCCCAATCCACCAGCCCGAGGAAGGGATGAGGACCTGCTCTGCGCAGTCTGTCTGCAGTCCGGCTTCCAGTGGGCCCTCCACACTGAGGACATGGCTTAGGCGGGGGTTGGGGGTTGGGGCACTGCCTCACCCAGTGGCCAGTCTGATTGCACTTAAAGCTGGACCTGGGGGTCCGCTCTGTTGATCCTGGTGGGGCCCTTCTGTCCGCTGATGGAGGTTTGCTGACCCTTTTGATTAGTGGGGCTCTGATGGCAGAGGCAGGCATTTGGAATTCTGCTATTCTTTGCTGTTTAGCCTCTTCATCGTGATTATTGAATGCCCTAAAGGCTAGATTTAGAAGTTCCTGTTGAGGGGTTTGAGGGCCATCTTCCAGTTTTTGTAACTTTCTCCTAATGTCTGGGGCTGACTGAGAGATAAATCTTTGGTTTAGAATGAAGGTTCCTTCCGGGCTGGTGGGATCTAAGTCAGTGCATCTTCTCATGGCCTGTGTAAGGGGGACAGAAAGGCTGCAGGGTTTTCATTCATCTCCTGGGTTACTTCAGAGTAAAGGATTCTAGTCTTTTATTTATTTGGGACAAATCTGAGAGAGAGAAGGGGATGTGAACTCTGACAGTCCCTTCAACTCCCGCTGCTTCTCTCGGGGACATTCTAAAATGGGGGCCAAGGGAGGGGATGGATAGGGACCAGAGATGGTTCCCGATCGATCCTGTGTGCGAGGGAGTCATTTGCAGCGGTAGAGGAGTCGGAGCTGGAGTAGAAGGTTCAGGGTAGGGTGGGGGCCCACAGAAGGGGCTGGAAGAGGAGGGGCTGAGGGAGAAGGTGCGGGGAGATGGCTGGGACAGAGGAAACAGAAGAGGTTAGAGCACAGTAGGAAGATTTGTGGGGGAGCAAGAGTCATAAAGAGAGGTGTGATCTGAGTGCAAAGGGGCCTGGATGTAAGGAACCTCAGACCATTTTCCTTGCCTTTGACAGAAATTGTCTAGGTTGGTAAAATGTCGAAAGTGCCATTCTCAGGCTATGGTGACCCACTGTCTAACTTGTACTAAGGCCACGCAGTGTTGCAGTAAACAATGAGTTGCTTGGGCCCTGGCTGGTTTGGCTCAGCGGTTACAGCGTCAGCCTGCAGTCCAGAAAGACCCAGGTTCGGTTCCCACTAAGGGCACATATCTTGGTTGCAGTTTGTCCCTGGCCCTGGTTGGGTCATGCAGGTGGCAGCCACTCGATGTGTCCCTTTCACGTCGATGTTTCTCTCTCTCTCTCTCTCTCTCTCTCTCTCTCCCTCCCTCCCACTCTGTCTGAACAAAAAATGGAAAAATGTCCTAGGGTGAGGATTTAAAAAAAAAAAAAAAAATGAGTTACTTGGGATAAAAGTCCTGAGCAGAGCCCTGGGTCTGTAGAATTTTTAGGAGACAGCCTAGAGGTGTTGTCCCATGTTGCGGTGTGAGAAGTCATGGTCCAGCGGTCTGAAGGATACACTAGTGGAAGAAGAAGGTGTCTCCCCTTCTCTAGAGTAGAGAGATGTGCAACTCACCTATATCAGGCGTCCCTAGATGTATGGTGAGCTGAGGGGGCCTGGTTCCAAGGAGCATGTCCCGACCAGCGCTGGATTTCGAGAGGGACGATCACACAGATGGACTGAGAAACCTGACCCTCATGTCCCGGACGGAGGGTAACGAGACAGCCCAAAGAATCAGACCGGTAGACAGAAAAAAACACTCACCAGTGAATTAGTGTTTGGTGTTGATGCTGGATCGGCAGGAAAGGTTGGAGGTCTGGTTTCTGGCTGAGGATCTGATTCATCCTGGTCCGACAGGAGGCCTGGAGGGCTCCCCCCTATGCAGGATCCTCAGACCTCCCGGGTTTCAGCACCAAATAAAAGGTCTGAGCTGGCGGGAAATCACATCTACAACACAACTTACTTACAAGGCCAAGGAATTACTTATAAGGCCAGTGTAGAGCAAAATGGCTTTATTACAGGCGCCTGGGTGCAGGCAGGTTGAGCCGAGAAGGGTTCAGCCTCTAATCAGGGTTGGGTGTTGGTTACATATCCTACTTTTAGCTTCCAGCAGTTCCTGCTGATGTACTTTATCTGGCCCATTGTCCACCTTAAAGTAGGGCTGGTCTGGTATCTCCTCTGGCATCTGTTGGGTCATCCATTGCCTTGCAGACAATCCAGATAAATCTTATCCATACTCAACAGAAGGCTGAGCTAAGGTCATGCAACAACACAATTTCCACAGTTTTCTCCTTTGCAAACTTTTACCTTTATCCTTTAAAACATTACTAACCCTTTCAGTAAGTGCTAGTGTCTTAGATCAGGTGCCCAAGGAGTGCAGATTGAGACAAGGATTGGGTACACATAACTGATTGATTGACTGAAAGAGTGAACACGTTTACTGGGAATGAGCACAGGGCAGGGAAGTGATAGGACATGGGCCAGGCAAGAATGTGGTCTCTAAAGTGTGACCCGATCCCAGGGAGGTGGGGAGAAACCTAGAACTGCACTGACTGGAGTCAAGGAGGCTGGCCTTCCGTGTCCCCTACCAGCCAGTCCTTGGTGCCCGGGGATGGGGGCTCCCAGGCAGGGAGTATTTACATGGCATTTCATTTAACCTTCAGTACTCTGTGAGATAAGATATGAAGAGGTCAAGTAACTGCTCCAAGGTCATACAGCTGTGGTGGAGCCAGGATTCTGCAGTCAGTTTCTGGGACCCCAATTACTGTTTTTGTTAGTAGAAACTTAGCCAGACACCGCACACGCTCTCACTGACCCTCACAGGAGCCCCGAGAGGTGGTTCGGTACCCCCATCTTGCAGATGTGGGAGGGCAGAGAAGTTGATTAAGTTGCCTGAAATCAAGTAAATAGCTGAACTGGGATTGGAACACCAGTCTCTCTGTTCCAGAGCCTGAGTTTCTTCCTGTATGCCCCACAATGCAGGGTGGTTGGTTGGTTTGTCTGGTTTTGAGAGAAGTATTAAAGTTACAGTGGGAAAAAAACAAACATTTACATTTTGGAAGTATAAGAATCATTAAAATGTTCATATTTCTTCAGCCAGCTATCTGACCATTGTTCCAGAAGCTATCCCAAGGAAATAATCTAGGGTGCATTCTTTCAAGTACTTTATAGCCAGAAATTAGAAAGCACCTGTGTTCAAAATCAGAGAAATGCTTATGTAAACTGTTATAAACCCTTAATGACAATTTTTTAGCCATTCAGTGTGTACAAATATGAAGACCATTTAGCATAACAGAAAATAGAAATAACAATAGGGCACACTAGATTGCTTAGAGCATCCGATGACCTTGTCTATTGCTCTGAACGCTGTAGAGCATTTTACCAATACTTTTCCTTAATTATATGGAAAGACTACCTGTAGGAATACATGTTTTGGCTTTCCTGTACCACTTCCTAAAGATGTGTATAATAACTAGAGTATTTGTATAATTACTAGAAATCAAATTGTAGATTTATTATTATAAATCACAATTTTTTCTTTACTTGTGATTTGCATATTAATTGAGTTTGATTAAAATGGAAAACCAATGGCATTTATAGTTGTTTGTAATTGCATAAAAATTATTTGTTTAAATTCTCAGAGTTCATTGTTAAAAATGAAATGTGTGACATATAAGTCCTTTATTAACTGATACAGACTATGCATGAGGGTACCATCCAAGCTGTAAATAAAATTTAATGTAGTGAGAATATTTTATCCCTGTAACCAAACATAGAAAGTGATTAAATAAAGCAAGATCATGTATGTTTCCAAAAAGTATCATGAATGTCTAGTGGAAAGTAGAATATATCATCTATTATTTATTCTGGAGAAAGCAGTAGTAAAACTTACGTATTTGACCCTTAACTTGAGCTGAGGAACTCACATTCCAAACATGCCTCAGTAAAATTGCTCCCATTGTTTTGTACTGAACTTTCTGAAATAAGCATCAGAAAAAAACTAACGTGAGAGAGCTTTGGTATGATGATTATTTTAACTATTGCGTGTTTACCAGTAGCCAAGGTCAGAAACATTGGTCTACTTTTGTTGTAGTATTTAACTCTTCTTTAAACTTTCATTTCTTATGTGGTTTCCAAAAATAGGAAAAAATCAAATAAGAATTATGCAAGAAATTTAAGAATAGTTCACTGTTTAAAAAATGTAAGTTTTCATAAATAGGTATGGATTATCTACAACATAGATACTGAACTGCTACCACGTGGGCAAATGAACAGCATGTACACAAGCAACGTGATTACTTGGAGGGGAGCTTTGTTTATTAGCACTCTGTTAAGAGAATGAAAATGTTATTTTCTTTACTAACTTATTGGACAGACATACTTATTTTTCCCTACAATTCATTGAATTCCATTTAATCTTAATGATGGATTTATTTATTTTTAGGTAGTTTTATTATTCACATTAAAATGTGTCATTTTTCAGATTAAGCTGAGTGAAGTTGTTGGCTCAGGAAAAGACGGCAGAATACTTAAAGAAGATATTCTCAACTTTTTGGAAAAGCAGACAGGAGCTATATTACCTCCTTCACCAAAAGCTGAAATTATGCCACCTCCACCAAAACCAAAAGACAGAGCTGTTCCTACACCAATAGCAAAACCCCTGGTATTCACAGGCAAAGATAGAACAGAACCCATAACAGGTAAAATAACAACTGTCAGGTAATAGTATAATTTATTCGGGGGGGAAGCTACCTCCATAGGTCCATGCATATATTTTTATTTTCATTAAAATTTTTTAAAATAATATGATATTTTTAATTCTTACTGAAGGGCAAGTTCAAATTCAACATATAATTTCTTTTTAATGATGAATTTAGTTTTTCCAGGAAGACCTTCAATTGATACTGTTAATCTCTGAAGAGTAGCATGTGAGCTGGTTATACTTGGAAGATAAACATATATATGAATAACTGTTCTGTTTGAAGACTCAAAATATTTTAAATATTCATTATTTTCAGTTAGCTCTCGAAGTCAGTACTGACTCATAGGATGCTAACTTCCAGAGGAGGGATCCTGCAGGAAAGCCGTTGGGTGGACACCTGGCTTGCAGCCTTCAGACCCTTTTGCACACACAGCCTTGAAAGCAGCCACCTGCTGTCTTACTGAACTTGGCACTGGGGGTTGTGCAGCAGTCACAGCTTCAGCATTGAAACCAGTGGCTTTCAAGTTATGTAACGATGTGGGTAGCTCCAAGAGGAAGAATTTAATTGAAATAAACAGGATTAGAGAACCTTCTATTTTAGGTTAAAAGGGGGGGGGGGGGTGGTAAAGGATTTAAGAATTTAAAATATGTTTTCCAGGCTTTCAGAAAGCAATGACCAAAACCATGACTGCAGCCCTGAAGATCCCTCACTTTGGGTATTGTGACGAGGTGGACCTTACTGAACTGGTTAAGCTGCGAGAAGAATTAAAGCCCGTTGCTTCCGCTCGTGGAATTAAACTCTCCTTTATGCCCTTCTTCATAAAGGTGAGGTTTCACTCATTTCCAGCAAGGGTTGACTAGGACATTTAAATTTTGTTTTCCAAATATTCAATGTGTTAACTATGGGCTTGAATAAAAATATTACTTCTCACCGTATCACTTAAAAGGATGTACACATACATGCCTTCTTAGTTCCATAGGAATTTATGAAATTGCAATATTTGTTGTATTTGTATCCACTACCTCTTTGAGCTAGGTGAGGATTGTCCTGTCAGCTAGGTAAAGCCTTTAGTTCTGTAAGGATCACTGCAGCAAAGTCCTGATTTAAACAAAAGTGAGACTTTGTATTGATCTTGTGTATCACTGACATATATTTACTTTCACTTATTCAACAAGCTCATGTTGAGGGAATTGTTTCTAGTACTCGGCCTTGGGGCCAGTGTAAATGGAATGAGACTATCTGCTGACCTTGAGCAGCTCACGGTCTAGCTCACATTAACCACCACTTACGAAGCTGGTGCATACTGTTGCCTTCAGGATGGTTTCTAAAGTCCTGAGTGTGGCATACAGACATGAGCATGAGATTCTGCTGCCCACCTCTCCAGTCCGAGCTCTCAGTCACTCCCTCTGCTCTAGTCAGATGAAGCCTCACGCAGTGGCTGTCGTGCACAACTCCGCCGAGGTGTGCCCTCCTCCCTGGTCAAATACTTGCGCATCCTGAGTATCGAATTTTGTTCACATATAGCCTCCTCCATAAGCCTTCTGTGGCTGTCACAATTTGAGTTAAATACCCTTTTGTTTCCTGGAATTTATCTCCATGTCTTGCGAGTATTTACTGAGTTGTCTTGCTGCTGAGCCTCATTCAGCAGAAACTGTTCTCCTTTATCTCCATCTTTTTAACACCTACCCTAACCAGCAAACATGAGATGTGATTGATGTCCAGTAATGGGAGATCTGGACTCTATTACAGCTGTAGAGTCTCATCTGTAGAGACACGGCAACTGAAACATGTGGATGAGATCGCCCAAACTGTGGGGATGAGAAGAAAAGAAGGGAACATTCACACCAGTGTTTAAGGGGAGGTAGAAGTGGAGTTGGCCAAGACAATGGAAGAGAGTAAGTGGGGCCACTGGTCTGATGATAGAAAACAAGGGCAGAGCCACTTAGAAGCCAAGTGTATCTATTGCTATATAATGAATCCCCTTTTTTAATGATTTGAAACAACAGCCACTTATATTTCTCATGAGTCAGCAGGTGAATAGGACCAGTCAGCTGATCTTGGCCAAGCTCACTCATGTCTTTAGATAGCTAGTAGGTTGGCTAGAGGCCGCTGGTGTAGGATGGTCTTGGCAAGGATGATTCATTCCTCTCCATATGTCTCTCTCATCTCCCCAGCATACGAGTCTTCACATGGTCTCATAATACTGGCAAGGGTGAAGAGAGGAAGCAGAACATAATTACTTTTCCAAGCTCTCCTGCATTGAGTTTGTTCTTAACTCATTGACCAAAGCAAGTCACACAACTAAGCTCAGAATTGGCTCGCAAGAGCAATACTGCCAGTGAGTGTGCACAAGGAAAAACGGGGAAGGTTGGGACCACTGATTCAACCTCTCACACCAAGAGAGAAGAAAAATGTTTTAAGAGGGGAGTAGATAGCGGTCATCTGCATCACGGAGATTAAATAGGATAAGGGATGAGAACAGGCTGTTGGACTAGTAATTAAGAGGTCTGAGTGGCTTCAGCCAGACTGGTTGAGTAAAGTGTTGGGATAGGAGCTTGCTTGCAGTTAGTTGGGGAATGACTGTCCTGGGGGAGGAACACCCTACCCTTCTAAGTTCTTCTGGCTGGACTAATAACTAAATTAACATGAGACAGATTAACAGGAGAAAATGACCACATTTTTTTATGTATGTACATACAAGGGTTTGTTCCATAAGAATATGAGACCCGAGGATGGTAGTTAAGGCTTATATGCCATCTCAGCTAACGTGGAGGGTGGCTGGTGAGGGTGGGCTTGGGGTGGGTTCAGCGGTTTGGACTTGAAAGGGCAGGAAGGCAGTTCACATGGAGATGGGAAAGCAGATGTCTGGTAGATAAATACTGGCGTTTGATCACACAGGTCTTGCTGGGTTCTACCCGGTCTGTCACACCCAGTTCATAGACTAGTTACCTGTGACGAAAGCTCCTTCCTGAAGCAGGTTCTCTGTCTGAAGTCTTTTAGGCAGTTAGGGGGAAGGTCAAGGTTTTTTCCTGAGTCTTATGTTTCTTAAAAATATCCAGTTTAAAATAATATATATTCCAAAAAGGCACATTTTGGTGTGGCAAACTGCGTCCCCTCAACAGAAGGTGAGTTCGAGGCGCCTCAGACGTCTGGTGAGAGGCAGACAGGGCCTGGGCCCAGGGGTGGTTGGAGTGGTTGGTTGGGGGAAGGTCACACCTGCCCCCTGCCCTCCTGTGCACCCTTAGGGGAAGACTGAGGAGCTACGTAGGCTGAGGAAAGGAGCTAGAAAGTGGAAAATAAAAATATGTAAGTGGGGAGGATTATAAGAGCAGGAGAGGAAGGACCACTGTGTTTCAGACTGGGTTCCTCTTAGTGCTGCCTGGTGACAGGTCTGTTGTGGAGCAAGGATAGACCCGCTCTTTAATATATTGAATTGCTTTCATTATTTTTCCTCACTGTTCCAGTCTGAATGAAATACCTGATCTTTATTTTGAAAGTAAAATTTGGTATGCTTTAGTTGTTTTAAAACAACTTTTGTTCCTGCCTATTTAAGTTTCAGAACATTTGGAAAATATTACAAAGTATTGTACAGGGGCAAAATGACCTCTAAACCATGGACACACACCTTGTTTTACAAAATCTGGATTATATTCAAAATACTTTTTTTATGTGTAACACTTCAACCTTTAGTTATAAATTAAATTTTACATAAAGATTTGTTACAGTTATCAAATGTTTCATAATACTTTCCGTTAACTCTTTACTTCAGCATATGATTTTTTTTTTCTGCCAAGACCACTGGCCCACAGACAAAAGTAATACTTAACACACAACATATGACGAAGTCTTTTTTTATTTTTATTTTTTGGTACGTGCCCCTAGCCAGAACCGAACCCGGACTCTCTGGTCCGCAGGGTGACGCTCCAACCGCTGAGCCAACCCGGCCAGGGCAACAACGTCTTAATGGGACTAGATGGGAGCAGTGGTGGAGGGAATTCTTTTTAAGGACAATCCTAAGCATTTTTATTTTTCTATTTTAAAAAATTTAATACAAGGCATGACAACCAAATGCAATATGTGGACCTTGATTAGATCCCAGATGGGCAGGAAAAAAGCTATGAAGGCCATTTGGGGGACAGTTAGGGAAATCTGAATGTGGACAGAAGAGGAACAGTATTAAGAAAAAGGAGAGTGATTCGGGGAGAAGGCAGAGCAGGAAGGCATACGTGTGACTGATCCGGGAACACGCCCTAGAGCAAATAAATATTCCACCAGCTGTGCCCTTCACTTGGCCAAGGACATGAGACGGAACACTGACCTGTGACGGTCAGTGCACCGGGCAGTCGTTGTCACTGTTCTTTCACCTGGGGAACTAGCTTCCTGCCTCAGAACTACGGTCTCCTTCTCAGGAAGTCTTCAGACCTCACTCTGTCAGGGAGGAGAGCACGTGGAGTTTGGCGTTTTCCCTGGTACGTGATCAGCCAGTATGCGGGGTGGGGCAAAAGTAGGTTTATAATCGTGAGTCCATGAAGCGCAGTTTACTCTTGTATTATTTATTAATTATTGTATCATTTTCCATACAAACAGCTGTAAACCTACTTTTGCCTTCACCCTATAGTGATTTTGAAAAATCTCTTCTAAATTAAAATTTTTTTTTATTTTTCTGTTATGAAAATCTTGATGTTTACAAGCTCCTTGGCTACCTTACCTTTTATTCTTAAATGATTAGGGTGACCTTGTACTACCCTGCTGGACAGTCACAGGCTTGCGTGCCTGCGGATTGAAATGGAACCGGCCTAAGTGGGGTCCCCCCACACCTCATCCCGTCGCTCCGCCCCCTCCTCCTGGCCAGCGCAGGCGCTAACGTGCTCTCTCTGTTGCACAGGCCGTTTCCTTGGGGCTGCTGCAGTTTCCCATCCTTAATGCGTCTGTGGACGAAAGCTGCCAGAAGGTCACGTACAAGGTGGGTGTGTGCTGCGGACTGCCCGTGTCCACGCAGCACGTGGTGCACCGCGCTGGTCAGGCAGGCAGCTGGCCGCCTCAGACCCCGGCCTTTGTAGGTTAGACTTAAAGGCAGGGCAGAAAACGTTAAACTGGGGTCTAATGTGCAGTTTTTGTTGCTGGCTTTACTGGTTAATAATGATATTGTTCAGCTATACAGAGTGCCACTTTTAAGCCCTTTTGGGTTTTAGCTTAAATAATGGAAATATACAATTGTGAGGCAATGGATATATTACCCATCCCATGTACCCTTCCCTGAAAAAGAATAACCGCTCTCAAAATGGAATTGCTGTGATTTTTAAAACAAGAATAATTTAAATGAGAAAAGTAAGGAAAGTTTGAATTCCATTTGCATGAACTCTTTTGTTTGGAGTGAAAATTTACTAAGACAGAACTCTTGGGGATGCTAATTCTTATTTATATGTCTCACTAGAAATGTACAAGCAGGAAGTGAGCTTAGATATTCTGAGGGGTTGTATCTAAAATCTACCCATAATATTAATACACTTGTCTGATTAAGTAGATACTGGTTGCAAAAAATTCAGATAACAAAATAATGATGTTTGTCTTCAATCCCATGGTCCTCAGATAACTCACTGTTCATGTTGAGATGTGCGTCCCTCCGGGGTTTTATTTTACATATGCACATATGTATATATGGAGTTATACACATTGCTTATTTAACTTTGAACTTTATGAAAACTTTCTTTTAACCTTTTTACTTTTCACTTAATATAGACATTATTACATGTCAGTAAATACTTTGTTATGATTTATTTAGCCAGTGGCCTATTGTAAACATTTTGGTTGTATTCAGTGTCTCAGATTTATAATCTGAACTTAAAATTCCTGTGTATCTCTACATACTTCTGTATTTATCTCCATAACATAGTTGATCCTTTCCCATTAGCGTATGAAAAGGCCTACTGTGTATATTCACCTTTTTTTAGGCTTCTCATAACATTGGGATAGCGATGGATACTGAGCAGGGGTTGATCGTCCCCAACGTGAAAAATGTCCAGATCTGCTCGGTGTTTGAGGTCGCCATGGAACTGAACCGCCTCCAGAAGCTGGGCTCCACAGGTCAGCTCAGCACTGGCGACCTCACCGGGGGAACCTTCACTCTCTCCAACATCGGCTCAGTGAGTAACAGCGAGCTCAGACTGACAGACCACAACTCGAGAGTTCTGAGCTGATGCTCCAGTAAAAATCTCAGATTTCATTGGCCATTTGTTCTCCACAAGCTTCATTTTTCTACCCTTGCTTTTTTGGTGTGTTTTAGATCGGCGGTACCTATGCCAAAGCTGTGATATTGCCACCCGAAGTAGCAATTGGGGCTCTCGGATCCATTAAGGTATGTTTATGAAATAACTTTAAAAAAGGGTTTAAGGCCCTGGCCAGTTTGGCTCAGCAGTTAGAGCATCGGCCTGCAGACCAGAGAGACCTGGGTTCGGCTCCTGCTAAGGACACGTACCTCGGTTGCAGTTTGTCCCCGGCCCTGGTTGGAGTCGTGGTAACAACCAGTCAGTGTGTCTCTCTCACATCAATGTTTCTCTCTCTCTCTTCCCCCCTCTCTCCCTCCCACTCCATCTGAAGATAAATGCAAAAACGTCCTCGGGTGAGGATAAAAAAAAGGGTTTAAGCATATTGGGAGAGTGAACCCAAAGAAGAGGAGCCATTCCTGAGGGTTCCCTCTTGCTTTGTAGGTTAGAGTGCAGTGTCTGGCTCAGTAAGCCAGTTGTTTCTTCCCAAGACCTAGCCTGCAGTTCCTGGTCTGTAGGGAACAGTAGTGGCCTGACTGGTCTCTGTGGATCCGCCACCAGCCCCGCCTGCACACGGCCAGTCTTTGTGGGCAATCACAGACACAGCCCACCTGCTCCTACCAAAGTGGCCTTGTTTCAGAATGCCACAGAAGAATAGCCAGACCAAATTGTTCCTTACGCTGCTTAGAGCGTATTTTCTCACTCTTGACTCTTTCAAGAAAGACAGGGAGTACTAGTTTAAAATGCAGATTTTCTGGCCTTGGGGACAGAGTCCCCAGAACTTGGATTTTTAAACAAAAGCCCAGGTGGTTTGGGGAGTTTCCCTGTTTTAGGAGAAATTGACTTAGAATGAGGGTTGCCAGGACTGTTAACCTGGCTATACATTAGAATCATCGGGGCTTTTACAATGTCCACGCTCACCCTGTACCAACTGAGTCAGAATTTGGTCGGGGCAGGGGAGAGGGGCTTGGGCATCCTTATTAACTCAGGGTGCAGAACCCCAGAGTTAAAGCAGGAAGGCCCTGGACACCGTTTCTGTACCGCCATTATTACATGTCACTATCACTGTATCAACTTTGATTTTGGTCTTTATGATTTCAAAAGACTTTTTCTTCTTTTTTTTATTTCATTTTTTTTAGTAATTCACTTTTAATACATGTTTTTAAAATAGCTTGAAATGGCCTAAACATTTGGGGGAAATATAGGTCCTTTACCGAAGACAGAGAACAGTGGTTCTGAACCGCATGCCCACTGTCATCGTGCTCCCTCTGCGACCTACTGCTGATCATCTGCTGGTGCCCACAGCTGCCTGCCCGCCCTGCTGGCCCTCCAGCCATCCTCTCCTCCCTCTGTCTCCACCTCTGGGTGTCCACACGACTTGTTTCCTTGCTGCCTCCAGTAGTGCCCACCCTGTCTAAGATGTACCGCCTCCCCCTGCCACTCTGCACACTACCTTCTAATGCTGCATCCCTACTACTCTACACACTACCCCTCCAACAGCTGCATCTCTGCCGCTCTGCACACTACCCTCCAACGGCTGCATCCCTGCCGCTCTGCACACTACCCTCCAAGGCTGCATCCCTGCCACTCTGCACACTACCCCTCCAACGGCTGCATCCCTGCCGCTCTGCACACTACCCTCCAACGGCTGCATCCCTGCCGCTCTGCACACTACCCTCCAACGGCTGCATCCCTGCCACTCTGCACACTACCCTCCAACGGCTGCATCCCTGCCACTCTGCACACTACCTTCTAATGCTGCATCCCTACTACTCTACACACTACCCCTCCAACAGCTGCATCTCTGCCGCTCTGCACACTACCCTCCAACGGCTGCATCCCTGCCGCTCTGCACACTACCCTCCAAGGCTGCATCCCTGCCGCTCTGCACACTACCCCTCCAACGGCTGCATCCCTGCCGCTCTGCACACTACCCTCCAACGGCTGCATCCCTGCCGCTCTGCACACTACCCTCCAACGGCTGCATCCCTGCCGCTCTGCACACTACCCTCCAACGGCTGCATCCCTGCTGCTCTGCACACTACCCTCCAAGGCTGCATCCCTGCCGCTCTGCACACTACCCTCCAAGGCTGCATCCCTGCCGCTCTGCACACTACCCCTCCAACGGCTGCATCCCTGCCGCTCTGCACACTACCCTCCAAGGCTGCATCCCTGCCGCTCTGCACACTACCCTCCAAGGCTGCATCCCTGCCGCTCTGCACACTACCCTCCAACGGCTGCATCCCTGCAGCTCTGCACACTACCCTCCAATGCTGCATCCCTGCCGCTCTGCACACTACCCCTCCAACGGCTGCATCCCTGCCGCTCTGCACACTACCCCTCCAACGGCTGCATCCCTGCCGCTCTGCACACTACCCTCCAATGCTGCATCCCTGCCGCTCTGCACACTACCCTCCAAGGCTGCATCCCTGCCGCTCTGCACACTACCCCTCCAACGGCTGCATCCCTGCCGCTCTGCACACTACCCTCCAAGGCTGCATCCCTGCCGCTCTGCACACTACCCCTCCAACGGCTGCATCCCTGCCGCTCTGCACACTACCCTCCAAGGCTGCATCCCTGCCGCTCTGCACACTACCCTCCAAGGCTGCATCCCTGCCGCTCTGCACACTACCCTCCAACTGCTGCATCCCTGCCGCTCTGCACACTACCCTCCAATGCTGCATCCCTGCCGCTCTGCACACTACCCTCCAAGGCTGCATCCCTGCCGCTCTGCACACTACCCTCCAAGGCTGCATCCCTGCCGCTCTGCACACTACCCCTCCAACGGCTGCATCCCTGCCGCTCTGCACACTACCCTCCAAGGCTGCATCCCTGCCGCTCTGCACACTACCCTCCAAGGCTGCATCCCTGCCGCTCTGCACACTACCCTCCAAGGCTGCATCCCTGCCGCTCTGCACACTACCCTCCAACGGCTGCATCCCTGCCGCTCTGCACACTACCCTCCAACGGCTGCATCCCTGCCGCTCTGCACACTACCCTCCAATGCTGCATCCCTGCCGCTCTGCACACTACCCTCCAAGGCTGCATCCCTGCCGCTCTGCACACTACCCTCCAACGGCTGCATCCCTGCCGCTCTGCACACTACCCTCCAACGGCTGCATCCCTGCCGCTCTGCACACTACCCTCCAATGCTGCATCCCTGCCGCTCTGCACACTACCCTCCAATGCTGCATCCCTGCCGCTCTGCACACTACCCTCCAATGCTGCATCCCTGCCGCTCTGCACACTACCCCCCCAACGGCTGCATCCCTGCCGCTCTGCACACTACCCTCCAAGGCTGCATCCCTGCCGCTCTGCACACTACCCTCCAAGGCTGCATCCCTGCCGCTCTGCACACTACCCTCCAAGGCTGCATCCCTGCCGCTCTGCACACTACCCTCCAACTGCTGCATCCCTGCCGCTCTGCACACTACCCTCCAATGCTGCATCCCTGCCGCTCTGCACACTACCCTCCAACTGCTGCATCCCTGCCGCTCTGCACACTACCCTCCAAGGCTGCATCCCTGCCGCTCTGCACACTACCCTCCAATGCTGCATCCCTGCCGCTCTGCACACTACCCTCCAACTGCTACATCCCTGCCGCTCTGCACACTACCCTCCAATGCTGCATCCCTGCTCTTGACTTTTCACAATCTGACACCCTGTATGTTTTACTTCTTTGTCTTCATTGTCTGTCTCTCCTATTAACATGTTACCTCCAGGGGGGAAGGATTATTTGTTCTGTTCACTGCTTCATCCCCAGAGTCTAGAAAAGCACCTGGTACATAGCAGTGCTCAATGAACATTTGTTAAATAGCTGAAATCCAAGATGAAATTCACTGCACATGTGGGAATTGTACAGGGGACCAGAACTACTCAGAGAAACTGAGAGCTAGAAGCACGTACTCAAAGATGAAGCACGTGGGAGTGGGTGTTTTTAGAAGTCATCTGGGGTGGACCTGTCTTCTCCGTTGGAGGGGACGGGCCACATCTCCCAGCAGTGCTCTTGCTCAAACTCGTGCTTTGAGCACTGAAGGTTGACTCTTGTTCTTTTCTGTGTTTCTAGGCCCTTCCTCGATTTAACGAGAAAGGAGAAGTATGTAAGGCACAGATCATGAATGTGAGTTGGTCAGCCGATCACAGAGTTATTGACGGTGCTACAATGTCACGCTTCTCGAATCTATGGAAGTCCTACTTAGAAAACCCAGCTTTTATGCTACTAGATCTGAAGTGAAGATGGGCGACATCTTTGAACTTCCAAAGAAAATGTAGAGCCTAGCTGCGCCCGCACGTGTCTCTCATGACAGTTTATATTATAAATGGTTTGGGTTGGATGATTGAAGTTCTAAGGCACAACATTTATCACTATTCTGACACCCTTTCTACTGGAAATGAAAACAGTGTACTGGTTCTTCTGGGCATGGAATTCTCTCTTAACATGGTGCTGAGGTCTCCATGTCAGTGGGTTGAAACTGCAAGAACAACAATCCCTATCACTAAAAGACAGGTAGCCATAGACAGTATTTGCCCTATTTCTTTTTCTTATCTTGAACTGACCCAATGAAACTTTTGGGTTACACTTTGTTGGGAAAAGGACTGTATATAAAAAAAAATATTTTCCATTTCCCAACAATAATGCCAATAATTGTATAAACCAAGTGCAATTATACTTAGGATTAAGATTCCCGGAGGAATGTTACTCTGCAGAAATCATCTGTAAATGCCTTATTTATGTAAATTAATATCTTTTAAAAGGGGAAATTATAAGTGGATCTTAATGTCCAGTTATGGTGTTATAACCAGTAAAGAAGAGAGAGAAGAGTCTTACGGATGTTAAAGTAACACGACAAGCTGCACACAGATGAAGACATCGTGACCGTCGGGCAGAGGCCCACTTCGGTCAGAAAGAGCATCGAGATGAACACAGGCCAACATTCTAATGCGATTCGGAAATTTAGTCGTTTCAAATACTGTCTAAAAAACTTCAAGTGAAGTTTTATGATAGAAGTTGTTTTAACATGTACTTGATTGCTTTAATAATGGAAATAATGTTTCTATTAGAAAACAGTGGCTCGGCCCTGGCCAGGCATCTCAGTTGGCTGGAGCGTGCGGGTTCAACCCCATCAGGGCACATGCAAGAGGCAGCCAGTGAATGCAGAAATAAGTGGGACAACAGATTGATGTTTCTCTCTTCTCTAAAAATCAATAATAAAGTAAAAGGAAATAATGGATCAACTAAATATTATTTTTTAAATTCAGATAATGAAGAGTTGCAGAGAAATCATTCATAATCCTGCCACTATTAACATTGATCAATGTATCTACTATAGACATAGCAATTCTTTTTTTGTTTTTAAATATTTTTTCTTTATTATTGATTTTAGAGAGAGAGGAAGGAAGAAGGAAATAGAAACATCAATTGGCTGCTTCCTGCACGCCCCCACTGGGGATTGGGCCCACAACCTGGGCATGTGTCCTGACCGGGAATCAAACCAGTGACCGCTTGGTGCATGGGTTGATGCTCAGCCACTGAGCCACACCGGCAGGTAGACATAGCAATTCTTTTTATAAAAATGAGGTCAGCTCAGCGGTTAGAGCGTCAGCCTGCAGACCAATGAGTTGCGGGTTTGATTCCCAGTTAAGGGCACTTACCTCGGTTGTGTTCGTCCCCGGCCCTGGTCGGATCATGCTAGAGGCAGCCTGTCGATGTGGCTCTGTCCCGTCAATGTATCTCTCTGTCACTCTCCCCTCCCTCCCACTCTATCTGGTGATTAAAAATAAAATAAAAATGAGGTCATACTATCTCTACTATTTTATAATTTTTGTTAAATTTAACATTATATTATGGGTAATTTAAATGTCAATAAAGAATTCTACATTATTGTACATTTAAATGGCTGGAAAGTATTTTATTGCGTGTATTTATTATACATTTAAATACTAAACGTCTATTGTACACCAGGCATGGTGCCAAGCACTGTGCCCACAATGCCCACCCTCCCTCATGGTCTCTGCTTTCATTGGGCTTACATTCTAGCAGAGGAGACAGATACTAAATTATCATAAAAATAATGCAATTACACCCTAGTAGGAAAAAGAGTGCTACAAGAGCATCTAATAGAGGTTAGGATCAGGAGATGGATGTACCAAAATGTAACCAGTTCCCTGTGGATAGCATTAGCAGAATTTTAAATGAAGAATGGCACAATATAAAAATTTGCTGCTCATTAAAAGACTGCAAACTAGGGAAACAGGAGTCCTAAAATGAGTACATAAAATATTCCCCTGAAGGTCCAACACCATTGGTGCTAGATGTTCTTTACATTCCCAAGGAACCGTTGAGCTGTCTGTCCTATCCCACCCTGCTTGTGCAACATCTTGTCTTTAGTCTCAGCCATTGAGGATTCAGGACAGGATTTGCTTCCCATTGTGTAGGACCGTTAGGTGAGGATCCCCTGGACCAAGGGGCCAGGAGCACAGTGCTCCCGGCAGAGCTGATGCACAGGGCTGCACAGGTTGGGCGGTGGGCCCACAAGGCTTTTGCTGTATTCCTAAAGGTTGACATGAAAGGGGAGGAGCCGGAAAACTCAAGTCCTTCGCTCGTATGTCTGGAGGTTGGAAGTACTATATGTACATGAAGAAGAAGCCAAGGGTATTGCTGGAAGAGGCCACCAAGAAAATCATGGTTCCACCCTGGCTAGTGTGGCTCGGTTGGTTGAACATCCTCCCTATGCACCTAGAGGTCACTGGTTCAATTCCCCGGCAGGGCACATCCGGTGGCTGTAGGCTTGATCCCCAGTAGGGGGCGTGCAGGAGGCAGCCAATCAATGCTTTGCTCTCATGTCTGTGTTTCTATCTCCCTCTCCCTTCCTCTGTCTCTAAAATCAATACTTTTTTTTTTTTAATCAAGTTTCCATTCAGTGTGTAGAGCATTCCTCTGACTTGGAAACCTAACAGGAAAGGAAGTTGGAAGAACGGAACCAGAGTTGGTATTAATTTCCATTCTAGAGATCGAAATGCGTCCATGTTAAAGCATGCCACGTTTATGTTCGCTAGTTTGCTGTCCTGGCTGTGTTCCTTTGCTCCACCTCATGGAATCTCTTAGGTCAGTGCTGCTTAGGATCTCCTGATATTTGACCCCATGCAAAGGTGAAATGTACATGAGTCCCTTTGACTATTAGGTTTACGTTCATGGAAATAAAGTAACTAGAAATGTGTTTGCACACACACACACACACACTCCAAGAAGTGGTTAGGTAGGGAGAAGAGAGTGCAGTTGAGTTTCTTTGGGAAGCTCACAGGCCTGCTTGGACATCTCTCATGGATTTCCAGGCAAAATGGACCCCAAAGGTCGCTGGATGGGTCTCTGTGCTGACTTCTAAGGTTTGAGAGAGGTGATGGTGGAGTTCAGCACTGCCCTGTAATGCCAGGAGTGCAAAGCTTCCCTTAAAGCCTTCGAAGTCTTTCCAATATCCACCCTGTAGCCGATGAATTCGTTCAATCTGCACGTATTTATTGAGTGTGCATTCAGGTCCTGGGATGGACGCTGTGGGTAAAGAGGAATAAGAGAGGACACTCTGCCCTCACAGCAGGGGCTTTGCTGATCATGGGGGCTGTCACCAGAGTGGATCGGGCCAGTAACCGAAGACAGTGCACTTCCAGAACTACGTTCCCTTTCCCGTCAGTTCTTAGTGGTGGTTTTGCTCTTTTCGTACTGAGGCTGGATTATGGTGTCTTTCCAGCTGGGCCTCACATCAATAGGAGCACAGACTCTATTCGCAGCCCACACACTCAAGCCACTCACGTTCTGTAGAAGGTTATGGCTCACGTGTTGCTTTTCATGGGGCAGGCGCCACAGGTGAGACCCTGGACTGTTTAGGAAGCAACATCTGAGCATCCGACTTTCAGAATGTACAGCCAGGTACCATGGAGGAGCCCCCGGCTTTCTGCCAGCCACGCAGGGGCAGCGACGGAGAAACCCTGAGTAAAACTGAGACGATAATCCTATGAGCGCCAGGCACGGTGAGGGCTTTACCCAGGTTGACCTCTTCTAGCAGCCCTGTAAGGGAGGTGCCATGATTGCCCCTGCGTTAAAGGTGAGGAAACCGAGTCACACTTCACGTAATTAGATGCACGTGGATTAAAAGACTCAGAAAAAATGTAAACAGCTAAACCGTCTCACCTCGCATTTCAAATGCTGGGATTGCCGTGATTTTTTAATTTACTTATTGCTTTTAGAGAGGAATTGGGGAGATCGTGTGTTGTTCCACTCATTTATGCATCATTGGTTGCTTCTTGTATGTGCTCTGACTGGAGATCAAACCCAAAACCTTGGTGTATGGGGACCATGCTCTAACCAACTGAGCTATTGGCCAGGGCTGGAATGTATTACCATTTATAGCAGCCTTTATATTTATTGAAAATTCACAACAAACTTAGATGCTGTTATTCTTTTTATTTATTTATTTTGTTAATCCTCACCTGAGGAATAGAGAATAGAGTGGGGGGGGGGGACGTCAATGTGAGAGAGACACATCAATTGGTTGCCTCCTGCATGTGCCCCGACAGGGGCTGGGATCAAACCTGCAACCTGGCGTGTGCCCTTGACCGGGAATCGAACCCAAGATCTTTTGGTCTGAGGACTGACACTCTAACCGCTGAGCCAGACTGGCCCGGGCTATGCTGTTATTCCTTTATTTCAGTGACGAGGGAGCAACGTCTCAGAGAGGACAACAGCTCGCCCAGGCCCCACAGTAAGTGGCAGAGACGGGAGAGCCAAGCAGACCGGCCTTCACAGTCAACTTCTCAACCCCACCTGCCCTGCCCTCCATCAGTAATGTCCTGCAATACATTCCCTCCCAAAGATTCTGCCCCTCCACAATTCCCTAGGTTTGTATTTAGATAAGTCGCCCCCTTAAGCTGGCTGTTTTCTGGGCACAGGACAAGGGGGATGTGCAGGACAAGGAGGCGGGGAGCACGTGCCCAGTGTCTGCTGTGCACCGGGCACCACGCCCCTATCTGCATCTCACTTCATCCTCGTGACAGCACTTCCCAGGAAGTGCCTCAGTGAGGACCAGGTTTGGTGACACCTAAGAGGGACCCAAACCAATGGTGGCTTAAACAACAAAGCTCTCTCCCGTGTAAATGGTCTTACTGGTGTGGCAGCTCTGCCCCTAAGTCCTTATGACCCAGGTTCCGGCCAGCTTCATGCTCCGCTGTGCCTGTGGTGTCGCACCTGTCCTCCCTGTCCAGGGCGCTGCTTCTGCCATCACGGCCACCTCCCGCGAGGCGGGGTGGCGGGGAAAGGGGCTAGTTGTCTCTTAAAGAAGATCCCCAGAAGCTGCTGGAGCCGCTCCTTGTCATCTGGCGTCCTCCTCCTGCGCTCACTTGCAGTCACGGCAGAGGTCCCCATGGCCTGTCCCAGAGGCCGGCTGGAGAGGTCTCTTCAGACCCACTTCCCCGCGGAGCTCTAGCCGCTCTTTGTGACTGAGCACCTCAAGGTCACCATGCATTTATTTCAGCGACATCAGACAGACCGCGTCGACTCTGCAGTATTTATGCCAAAGCTGACATGGTCCATGCTCTCATTGTTTGCTCGTCAAAGTCACCACAGGCTCTTTAGTGCTTCAGGTCGCATCACCGTTTAAATGAACAGCAAGTAGCTTGCTGACATCAGAATGCAAGGGAGATGAACTCACTGCCGGCAGTCCCAGCACTGAGCAAAGGGCTTGAACCCCAGGCTGATGCTCGGGCTGGTCAGACCCTGCTGAGAGAACTCGAGGCTGCCTTGCCAATGATCAGGAGAATCTGGTGACGGCCCACAGGAGGGCCACGAAGCAAGAGAAGCACGACAAGAATACCTGCAGTGCTGTCAGAGAGAGACCTTCCGCACGGGCTTTTACTGAGCACCACGTGGACTGTTCCCAGGCAAAGCGTGGGGACCAGCTGTTGTGGGTCTTGACAGCCAGGGCAGAAGAAATGCAGACAGAGGGAGGAATTTAGGTTCGGTAACTGGGGGAGAGTTGGGACAGTCAAAGAAGGGTTCACGCTCATCTCAGGCTGGAGAGGAACCCACGTCCCCACTCACCCACATTTCCAGAGGGGCTGTCACACTGAGTGAGACTCGCCAAACACTGTTTAACTTGAAGTTTGCTGCAAGAAGCTACTGTATGTGTTCTATACATGTAGTAAAAAGTTCTAAACAATGTGGGGAAAGAGGGAAGTCCTAAGTGAGATAATAGTTCTAAAAAGGTGGTAAAGAGGAATGTAAGAGAATGAATCAAGGTTACAAAGTCTATACAGAAGTCATCAGAGAAAACCATCTGGAAAAACCAAGCAATTTAATTTCCTGGGAAAAATGCAGCCAGAGTGCCAACTGTGGGAACAGAAGTGAGTGACATCGATGGCAGGTGTAACCCAGTTCATGTGAACAGCAGGGATGAACATAAATCAGACCTTGACTAGCAACTGGGAACATGATATTTAAGTGGGACAGAGAGGAAGCCACAGGCTAGGCCACCACACGAACAAGGCTGCAAACCAAGGGCTTCACAGGTTGCACGTGAACCTGGCCTCGGCCTCACTGTGCTTCTGGCACAAGGTTAGAAGGGCCGTGTTGGTCCCAGAGCTGCTTGGACAGAGCAGGACAAACTGTCACAGAGGTGGTGTACTTTTTTTAAAAAGCCGCCACTGTCATTTGTAGCACTCGGTTCCCTACTAAGTTTGTGACTATTAGAAATACTGGTGCAGAAAGGCTTGACAGTCCACTTTTAATAGAATGCTAATAGTTCCATACAACGTCTCTTTTTTGGTTCGTAACACTTTCTAAATACAATCAGAATTGTCACAATCCCATCTTTATAGATATTACGGGTTCTGCATGGTGTTTTTGTGGAAATGTGAAAAATGCAACTTTTGTAGTTGCCTTTTGAAATGTATACAACATATCCTCAAAGGTTGGGTCAACAGCCTAGAAACAAAGTATCCAGTGAAAGAGTTTAAAATTCAGTGTAGCTTTGATTCTGTAGAACCAAAAAGTAGTACATAAAAGTAAAAGCAGGGCCTACCCCGTGGCCCTGCTCAGGGTGGCTCCGTGGGTAGAGTGTCAGCCTGCCCACGAAAGGGTCTGGGGTTCGATTCCCAGTCAATGGCACGTACTTGGGTTGCTGGTTTTATCCCCAGTCGGGTCAGGGTACGTGCAGGAGGCAACTGTCTCTCTCACATTGATGTCTGTCTGTCTCTCTCTCTCTGCACCCCGACCCCCACCCCTTCAACTTTTTCTAAAAATCAGTGGAGGAAATATCCTTGGGTGGGGATTAACCAAGAAAGAAAGAAAGAAAAGCAAAAGGAATATACTTTTCTAGGTTGTTATATGGCCAGAAATACTTCCCTCAACACAGGAAGCCGGTGTAGTTCTGCATCATCATTTGGTGGGTATGCCACAGGCATTACCTTTTCTTTCCTTTTGCTTTTGGTTTTCTTTTGAAGCAAGACTATAAAGGCTTTTATCCTCTCCTCTTCCAATTTGAGGTCTAAATTGCCCCCAGGAAGTTGCATAATATTCTGATGACCACCACTTGGTTCTGTAGTTCACAGAACTGTGTTGACAATGGGAAAGACTACGCAACCTTCACTCCTAAGGGGAGTTATGCTTGGTTCATTTGTATTCTGCTTGCTAAATGACTATCCGTTACTTAGACTCACAGATTACTTTTCTCCAATGAAGATTTTAAAATCATTTCTAATGAGCTTCTCATTTCTGGCCAATTCCCAGTAAGCTAGCGAAAGAATGGTTTCCTTATGATACTGACTTTTATGTCTCCACCGTTGATTGGTTTAGGGAAATGTGTATGTGTGTGTATCAATAAAAAATGACAATTTAGTATTCTTCCAACTGTGTACATTCACTGGCCATCTTTGGAAGGGCACACAAGTAACTGGCATTAGGGACTGCTTTCAGAGAAGAGGCAGGGACCAGGAGGTTCACTGTCTTTTGGACTCTGTTCCATGAGCATACATTACCAATTCCAAAAAAAAAAAATATACCATTTCTTAAAGAACCAGGAGTTAACTCTTATCCAAGCAAGGCTGAAGAGATGAAGGTTGAGAATGAACTTTGAAGTCGGGATACAGGAGGAGCTTGGGGAACTGGCACCGCTCCTTACGCCTTCCTTTCCGAAGCACCTTTCGTTTACACGGTTAAAGATGCGTGGTTCCCAGGTAGGGTTTATGTTACGCACACATCCTCATCTTTCCAAGTTTCAGTCACTAAGTTCTATCAGATACCCAGGGTGTGGGAGTCGGAAGAGCGGGAACCCGGCTCCCCTCGGGGGCGCCCACAGCTGCGAGCCTGCAGCTCAGCGTCCTCCCCCCGCGCGCCCACGCACATCAGCTGAGCCCGCGCCGCAGCTCCACGTGACCCTTGCTATTCTCAGCTTTGTCCAGGAGCTAAATTTAGAACTAGGCTGCCGTTACCTTTCACTTGGTTACAGTCTGACCAAGGGTTTTACTCGTTCGGAGCCGCTCTGGAAACAATACCCTGTGAGCCGATCGTCGCGGACTTTGGGCATGTCAGCTTCTGCAGCCACTGACGATGGTGAGTGTTTTTTTAAAAAATTTTTTCCCATTCTTCTCATATAAATTGCTGAGGATGCCTTTACTGTGGCTGTGCTTGTTGGAATGCACAGTTAAACTTGGAATTGCATTTAAACGTCTCTTTGGGGGTTCACGTTCGCTCGCGTCATTGTCCTGTGGAAGATCGATGTCCCTGACCGGTAAGAAGCATTTGCTTTGACATTGTGCTGCTTTCCTTTGACTTTGGGAAGCTGACCTTCCCAGTCATGCGATTGCCATCCCCAGCTCTCAGCCAGGCCATGTGCTTGTCAAAGTAATAATCAAGGTAGAGGCAAAAAATACACCCACCTTCACTGACCTGTTTCCCTCTAAGGGAACTTGGTCGCTGTTACAGGAAAACTGAAGGCTGCCCAACGCTTACTGGCAGATGAGGAGATGAATGAGCACATACATGTCTAGTAAAATACACATTTATATGTAGGTACTTGGGATTTTAAAAATACTTGATTGATGGATAAGCAAATCATTCAAACTTGCTAAACTCTGAGACAAATTGTTGGCTGTGATATACCCAGGTAGTGGGATTATCAGCATTTGTATCCCAAATGCTGTCCCTGCATATATTCTGCACGCACTGCTTAGAAATAGGGACCCTCTCCTGAGGATTTTCTGCATATTGGCAGTTATATATCAATCCTGATGTTTTAAACATTTTTTCCTCTGTAATACACTTCTTCTCCCTCTCTGTCTTGGTCTCTCACCACACACTGCATACTTCCACTTTAAAGAAATCAGTAATTTAGAGGCAATTAATAATGAAAAGCAATACTTTTTACCCCATTTTCTCCCTATCACCCTAGAAGTAACATTTGAACTATTTCAGGATTTAGTTTGCAGTTGTATCTCCAGATTTCTTTCCCTTTTCTGCAAAGGCAGTTACATGCTATTTCTTATCCATGTTCGGCATGACCCGTGGAGCTTTATTATTAAAGATGACGCCTACGTCTCTCTCTTTTTAAAATCCTCATCTGAGGACATGTTTTTATTTGATTTTAGAGAGAAGAAGGGAGAGAGTGAGAGAGAGAAAAACAGTGATGTGAGGGAGAAACATCAATCAGTTGCACCCTGACCAGAGATCAAACCCTCAACCTAGATAGATGTCCTAACTGGGAATCAAACCCAAAACATTTTGGTGTCCAGGACGACACTCCAACCAATTGAGCCAGCCGGCCAGGGCAGGCATACGTTCTCTTATGTGTCCTAGAGTTATGTCCTATTTGCACTGTCTGTTGATTACTTTTATACTTAAATACTCTATATCTTGTTTCATAAAGTACCCCCAGTATCTACTGACTCCCCACTTGAGTACCAAGAAGAGAAACACTAGAGCTTTAGAACCAGTATTGCTTCTAATAGCACAAAGCTGAAAGCCGAACCCCCACACTCGTCAGGCGGACGGATAAGCTGGGACAGTCATAATTTCAGCCATTGAGGCATGTCAGTACCTAAAATGCTCGTCCTTCTTTAGGAGCTATGTCATTTCCCACGATGTGGATGCTATTACAATTCACTGATGGAAATGTATGCTGTTTCCAGTCTTTTGCTGTTACGAAAAACATCATGGTGGGTAACTTTGCAGTGTACCATTTTCAATTCAAAACATTTGCAGTATCAATTCCGACAAGTGTGAACATGCATTTGTAAGTCGGATCGCTATTACCAGCTTTCTCTCCATAGAGAATAGGACACCACACTTTCTGTGTATGAGAGCGGCTGAACTTCACTTCTCCCTTTACAAACTTCCTGTTTACTCCCTTGCGTGATAGCATTCCAGAACAATGCCGAACAGATGTGGACATCACTGACTTCCTAAATGTGGGAGAGATAATTCCATTAATTATGTTATGAATCAAATTCTTTCACTGTTATGAAAGTAACTGGGTGAAAAACCAATACCATTATTTGTGAAGCGAACAGGGCATCAAATGGACCTACCGTAATTTACATAGCCATTCCCTTATTATTAAAGTTTTCTCATTTCTGAGATTCAGGTGAAAATCTTCAATAGTACATCTGTCTATTCGCAACTTATTTCCCACAAGCTCAAACAGCCCTACATGTTACCCCTTCACCGTTTTCCAGCTAGAGTCCGCAGATACCCCCAGAGACCTGTTGTATTTTAAATGTCCACTCTTAGCCATTTTCCTGTCATTGGACATGTAGACGAGTTGCGGGTTTTTGTTGTTGCGAATTACAAGGTAACAGAGGAAGCGTACTTGGCATCAGTATACAGCTCTGCCACATGTTATATGTGAACCTTGAACAAATTGCTCATCTTCTTTAAGGCTTGGCTTTCTCATCTGTATTTTAGAGACAATAAAAGGACCCATGTCACAGTATTTTTATGAGGATCATTGGGTGACATATAGCATGTAAAGTGTATAAATGGTGTGGGGAACGTGGAAAGTGTTCAATAAATAGAAGCTATGTGATGATTACGGTACCTAATGAACATCCTGAAACACATTGTTTGTTTCCTCTGGTACAACTAGGTTCTTTCTGAGATGGCATCTGTGATTCTGCTATTTAGAACTTAATGAAGTTGGGGACTCTGCGACAATGTGGAGAAATCATGTCAGAAAATGTGGTTTGTACTGGGGCTGTCCATGCGGTAAAGGAAGTATGGGAAAAAAGGATAAAGATCATCAATGAAGACCTGAAGCGACAGAAGGAATTTCAGCAGAAGTATGCTATGACATGCTTATCATTTTGAATTAGTAAAAATTCATAACATTGTTATAAAAAAATTTGTTAAATGCCTTGTTACTAAGTTTGATAGAGATTTTTATTTATTGAAAACTCAATATGTATACCCAAAGGAAACACCCAACTCAATTAAGTTTATGATGGGTACTTGATTAATTCTTTAACTAAAGGTAAAGATTAGGGAATAAGACAATTGTATTTGTCATTTGATCTTGCTCTGAAATACATATATCTTTTGATGAGTATAAGTATTTAATAATCATTATGCTTACTGTTTGAATAGTTCTTTTCTTATAGAAATTATGTAAATGGCCCTGGCCAGTTTGGCTCAGCGGTTAAAGCATCAGCCTACAGTCCAGAGAGACCCGGGTTCGGTTCCCACTAAGGACACGTACCTTGGTTGCAGTTTGTCCCCAGCCCTGGGTCATGTGGGTGGCGACCATTCAAGGTGTCCCTTTCATGTCGATGTTTCTCTCTCTCTCTCCCTCCCACTCTATCTGAACAAAATATCAAAAAATGTCCTTGGGTGAGGATAAAAAAAATATATGTAAATGAAGAGATGACATTATATATTTTGTCTCAGTTAACCACACTAATCAGAAGCTTAGCTGTTCAGTCTAAAAGGCTACACGCAGTGGTATTCCCTTGTTAGCAGATTAGTTACATTTTAGGTAAGTGGCAGATGAAAATACACAGACCTATAGAACTAGTTTGTAAATACAACCATATAGACAGCAGATATTACATTTTTAGAGATATTTGGGTTTCTGTTCACTAAAATAAAATCCTTGCTGAAGATTAGTTAATAGGCAGTACTGTTAAGAATATATACCACCTCCCAATGTCAAGAGATTTTGGCAAATAAATATTCAAATGAATTAAATTTATGTTCTTTGATGACTGATTACATGTTTTGGATTAGATGGTTGAACAACTCTGTGAATATACCCAAACCACTGAACTGTATACTGTAAAAGGATTAGCTTTATGGCATGTAAATTACATCTCAACAAGGCTGCTATAAAAACACTTACGAAGTTATGATACTTTTCAATGACGTCAAGGCAAGGCATTGGTGATACTGATCATATTTAAAATTACAAAAAAAAAAATCCTTGTTGGATTTCCAGATAGTATTGATTGAATGGTTGTTTTGATAGGCCTTTCTTTATATAAAAGTGAATGCTTTTGGCTAAAATCAAGTGTAGTGTCTGCTCTCATGAGTTCAATGCAACAGTGAATGCTCCTTCGCCATGGCCTGTGAGCTAAAATGACTCCCCGGTCGCCAGGCTCGTGCAGATCTGGGAGGAACGCGTGAACTTCACCAGGCTGAAAGGAAAGGTCACCAGGGAAAACGGGAGAGTTATTCTGAAGATAGAACAAGAGGAGTGGAAGGTAAACTTTACAAGGAATATTTGATTTTCTACATTTTGCTTTTTGCAGGATCATTGCGAGACTGGTTCTGAGACTGCCCTTAAGACTGAAACGGTTAGAAATGCCGATGTTCCTAGTATGCCCGTGATCTGGACCACTGAAACATGAACAACTGAAAAGAAACCTAATGTCACTTTTTTTTTTTTGGCAAAAATTCAATTTGCTTCTACTCAGCCTAAACTTAAGTCATTTGTAATATTTCTTCTACAAATCCTTTTAATAAGTAATTTCTCATTTTTCCATAAAATAATGGCTGTCTGCCTAATGAAAAATCACATAGCTTTTCCAAAGCAAATACTCAGTTAAAACTTCACAAAATGGAAATGGGTATTAATATTTTAATTAGGTCCACCACCTACTTTCTTATCCCCCACCCCCCTCTCTCTCTCTCACACACATACACACACACACACACACACACTCTGCTTTGATGACATGAGGTGTACTCTAGTTTTTACATGGGCCTCTCTCCCTTGGTCAGTGTTTTCACGCAGATAGGTATATTTAGCTAGGGGTTAGCTCTTTTATTTTCTCTTTTGACTATTTTAGGCTGAAAGGGAAAAGGCAGAAACTTTAGAATAGCTGAAACTCTTAAGATCCTTAAATTTTTTAAAAATTCTCTTTAAAAACTTGTATAAACAGAAGGGAAAGAGAAGTTTGAATTAAAGTTGTATTTTTAAAGAATTAATCTTTTTTTTAAATAATTTTATTTTCAGTTACAGTTGATGTTCATGATGTTCATGAGTTAAATAAATTATTTAATCAAATAATGATACAAATCGCCCTGGCTGCTTTGGTTCAGCAGTTGGAGCGTCAGCCCGCAGACCAGAGAGTCCCGGGTTCGGTTCCCACTAAGGGCACGTACCTCGGTTGCAGTTTGTCCCTGGCCCCGGATGGGGTCGTGTGGGTGGCAACCACTCGATGTGTCTCTCTCACATCGGTGTTTCTCTCTCTCTTCTTCCCTCTCTCCCTCCCACTCTACATGAAGATAAATGCAAAAATTTCCTCAGGTGAGAATAAAAAATAATAATAATAATAAAAATGCTTTTTTGGTTTCTCTATGATTTTAATTACCCACCATATTCTCATAGTCTACAGCATAGGTACTCTAGGAAAACCCAAGACAACACAATCTTTAGGACATAGTTCTAATTGTTTAGCCCCCCAAAAAGTGAATAACATAAAGCACTTGGAAGCACATTGAGAAAAACATATCCCAAGTTCTTTTACAGATCAAATAATACCTCTAAGTCACACTTCAGCGTGGTAACACTAAGTAACCTAAGTACTAAAGTGACTGTGTTTCCTTTTCCTTGCGTCAGACCCTTCCTTCTTCTCTGCTGAAACTGAGTCAGCTACAGGAGTGGCAGCTGCACAGAACTGGGCTGTTGAAAATCCCTGAATTCATCGGAAGATTCCAGAACCTCATTGTGTTAGATTTATCTCGAAACACAATTTCAGAGATACCTCGAGGGATAGGTAGGGAAGACTGCTTGTATCCCTGTGCTAGTTTATCTGCCCGTAGGTGTGCTTGTCATGAAGATTTTTGCTTGAGGATGTGAGGGCGATCTGGTTGTGACATCTGTCACCCCACTGATCGCCAGGGTGGATTCAGCGATCTGGCGGCTAGGCGGGTGCCCCCTCCCCCCTCCCCATCCACAGGCAGCCCTCGGGAAGCTGCGCACCCTCGGTGGAAGAGTATGGCCTTCCCCCAGAGGAGCGCACGGGCCTTCGGTCAGGGGTATAGGAGTAGCGCGCTCCCCTGCCAGAACCTCCAAACAAGCTCTCAAGGTCCACGGAGAACGTAGGGTAGTCAAGCTTCCAAGACTCCAGACACATCCAGATGAGGTGCTGCAGGTGGCAGCCTGCCTTTCTTTAAGAAGAAAAAGAAGAGAAAAAGATTTTTGTTTGAGGCCCTGGCCAGGTAGCTCAGTTGGTTAGAGTGTCATCCCAATACACCAAGGTTGTGGGTTCAATCCCTGGTCAGGGCACATACAAGAATCAACCAATGAATGCATAAGTAGAACAACAAATCTCTCTCTCTCTCTCTCAAATAAAAAGAAAACTTACTTACATTTAAAAAAAGATTTTTGTTTGATACATGGAATAAAGATCTCATTGTTACACAGTCCTGAGTCTTGAGAAAATTTTAGACATCTAATCTACATTGACGTTCTGCGGGGGGATCCAAATTTCTTGTTAATAAAGTGATTCAGGATGAAATATCAATGCAAGAAAAGTCTCTTTGGAAGTATAATTGAATAGATGCTAAAACCAATATTGCTAGTTTAGTTATTTCTCCTTGAAGGTGATAGGTTGAAGGCAAGAAAGAAAATTAGAAAGATTTCTTAAAGGAGAAAAGAAATCCTCAGATGGAAAATTGGTCAGGGTCAGGATACAGTATAGATAAAACAGAATGAAAAAAAATGTATTTTTGCCTAAAGCACTGATAAACCTGCCCCTTATCTGGGAAGAGTTAAGAACATGCAACTGAATTTATCAATATGAAACTGGCAAATTCTTAATGCTGTAATGCTTCATAACTTGGAAACATTATTTTCTATTCACCTGCTCTTTACTATGCATTATTTTTGTAGGACTGCTTACTAGACTTCAGGAACTGATTCTCAGTTACAACAAAATCAAGATTGTCCCCAAGGAACTGAGTAATTGTGCCAGCTTGGAGAAGCTAGAACTTGCTGTCAACAGAGACATATGTGATCTTCCACAAGAGGTCAGAGAGATATAAATGCTGATGATTATATTTCCCATCTGCTAGTGGTTTACTTCTCTTAATTGCATGATCGTTAAAAATAACACTAGTAAAGAAATGTTATAAACTGTGTTTCAGGAAACATTTAGTGAAAACCACTTCAAGTAAAATGCATTGTTTGAATAAGAGAAATCTCTAGCATAAAAGATACTTCTGTTATTGTCACAGTACTGACATCTTTCATTGACTAGACTATGATCTTGGAGACCAGAGTGAGTTTTACTTATTTCTATTCCCAGAGTTGAAGGCACAGCCTAGGTTGTAGTTGATACTTAATAAATATTTATTGAGTGAATAAATAATCATCATGAAGCACAGACAGTGTGTTGATTTTTTTAAAAAAGCAACTCTTTTGCCCTGGCCGGTTTGGCTTAGTGGTTAGAGCGTCAGCCTGCAGTCCAGAGAGACCCGGGTTCGGTTCCCGCTAAGGGCACGTACCTCGGTTGCAGTTTGTCCCCGGCCCTGGTTGGTCGTACGGGTGGCGGCCACTGGATGTGTCCCTTTCACGTTGATGTTTCTCTCTCTCTCTCTGTTCCTCTCTCTCCCTCCCGCTCTATCTGAACAAAAAATGAAAGGATGACCTCGGGTGAGGATTTTTTTAAAAAAAAGCAACTCTTTTGTCCACTAGTTGGTGGTTGTGGCGCGCTCAGTTCCTGAGAGGTGAAGTGGTAAGACGTGAATTCTTCAGATCAGGGACAAGTGTTTCCTTTTTAGGAAAAGCAGCTTCCTGGGCTCCACCAGTGAAAGCACAGCAGTGGGTTGGAAAGCCTTCAGACTGATTTCGTCGAGATTCTGATGTCTTGTTATTGTAAAAACCAAACTGAATCATAGAGATATAGACATTTGTATTGCTTTTCAAACATATCTGATGCTCTTTGAATCAGAAAGGAAATTTCCATGGTGCTTTGCCTCAAAAATGATGACTTTGCAAACAAAAGCTAAGAAAAATAATACAACTCAAAGTAAAATACACTAGTACCTTCTCCCATTGCATCTCAGTGAAAATATCACTTTTCTTTTTTCCAAACCAGTAAACATGTCGCCACTAATTGTTGCTCTTGCAAGTAAAACTTAGCCTTTAAAATATCTATATCTATCTCTTCTTGTACTAGTTCAATTTTATGAAAAGTATGTATCTGCTTATGATGACAATGGTGATTGCAGAGACAATTTCTTTATACCTACAAGAGGGCCAATAAGTATTTTATTTCTAATTTCTAATTCTTATTGTTTCTGGGTTTGGTTCTATCGCCAAAACACTGTGTGAACTTGGCCATGTCTATTAACTTGTCTTTACCTTAATTTCCTCACTTAGAGAAATAGGTTTTACTGGAGCAGATACTGTGCTGAGATCTTGAGCCTGGGGTTATTTATTCCTTGAACACATCACTTTATGTGACTTGGTCTCAGTTTTCACATTTGCAAAATTAAGACTGTTCAACTGTAACAGTTTCACTTCCCTGAAATCAGAGCGTCCTAGTACCAGTGAGAAGTCAGCAGTGGGAGGGCTTACCGCTTGGCCTTGGTGCACACTCTAGACACATAAACATATTTTTGCTAATGTCAAATCAATCTCTTCGTACTCTGTTTTGAGCCATTTAAAGTCTGATGACAGATTTTGAAAACGTGTTTTATTTATGGTTTAAACTCTAAAGCTGGAGAAACATCCATTACTAGATGGAACCTTTGTGCTTTTGTTGCCTACAAAACACTGTGTTTGTGCATTTTTCTGTGGTGTTAAAGTTGTGCATCCTGAATGTGCCCTGATACAGAACTAAAACACAGAGCTCTCCTAGCTAGAAGGCGAGCCCTCAAATACAGCTACCTGCATTCTCACACTTGAAGCTTATGCTGCTGCTACATGGAAAGAGGGAGGACATGCCATGGCTTTCGGTGCGTGGAAATCCGAGGGCGCAGCAGATAGCCTTACCTCCTAAGCCATTCGTCTATAAAATGGAAATGAGGTACTCACCTTGTAAAGTTGGTGTCAGCATTTATCATTTATTTAAGGTCTGATGGTGGAGGACTTATGTACTCACAGTTTTCCCAAACTGGGGGTGGGAAACGGATAACTAAAGGGCTACTTTTTAAATGAATAAACTAAGAAAAAAGACAAATAAAAATAAACAAAAACAAAAAATAAACTATAAACATCAATGTTAATACTGGATAGGACAGGCGTCACCTCTGGAGAGGAGGAAGGGATGAGGACACAGATGCAGTCATAGCAACATATTTTCTTTCTTAAGCTGAAATAATTAACCATTTTTATTGATGTTTTCATTTAAAAATAGAATTACTAAACAGTCAATTCTGTAACCATACGTAACGCATCCGCCAGAAAGAAGGGGTTTCCATAAGTATTATTTTGAACTTGTGTTTTCCCACACCAAGCTCACTCCTGGGTGAAAGGAAAGCATCAGGTATGTTTACTGCAAGAAAGAAAGAAAACAAAGTCTCTCCCAGGCAGGTCCCACACATTTTGGAAGATACATTTTCTTTGACTAGATGAACTTTCTATGAGAGTTCTGGAGGCTACTTGGGTTTATTTTGATTTCAAATATGTTGTGGACGACTGACAAACACAGCCCAAGCATAACAGGAGCATTCCTTGACATGCAATCTCTATCTCCTCTGCCATGGGAGAGTCTAGCCCACACGGTGCACCCTCATTTTGGAAAACCTTGCTTGCCTCTCCAGCTCAGCCGGCTGCTAAAGCTCACTCACCTGGACCTGAGCATGAACTGCTTCACCACCATCCCTCCTGCTGTGCTGAACATGCCCGCCCTCGAGTGGCTGGACCTGGGAAGCAACCAACTTGAACAACTTCCGGATACCATAGAAAGGTAAAATAAACAACTTTTTATGCTACCAACAGATGTGATGAAGTCATCTAAGATAAGATGACTTCAAACAAACAAAACAAAGGGGACCTCCAGCATAATCAGTCACAATACATATATCTAGTTCTGTGCTGCCATTTCAGAGATTTTCATTTACTCATAAGAAAGGAAAAGAGAAAAACTGGCTGACTTCCACAAAGTGGCAAGAATATTGCACACTATAACAACACAGCTTCACGCAAGCCACAACTTCTGTGCTTTAAAAAGGGACGAGCAGCACAGAGATGTTGGCCAAACTACTCAAGGTCACAGTAAGTGTACAAACGAGGACTCAAACCTAGGCAGCCTGGCTTCAGTCTACTTACTTTGAATATTACTTTGCCCTAAATGGGTGTATTAGTCATTTCCGATTTTTCTCGTAAGACTAAATCAGGTTAGACCACATTTACAGCAGTCCTTCTTTAAGAAATTATATGAGAACAGTGAAGAATTCTAGAATACACTATTTCATTTCTACCACCACACAATGAGAGCTGTACTATACAGATTGATTACTCAATCCAGTTTCCCTAATAACCAGGTGATGGGAAGTCAGGTAACTCAATGTTATAAAAGGTGACACTTCTTTGATTTTTAAATTAATAAGAACCAGGGTTTTCATATTCTATGTGATTGATTAATCGCAGAAACCTCTTTTAATGCTTCAGAATGCAAAATCTACATACATTATGGCTGCAACGGAATGAAATAACATGCTTGCCAGAAACCATCCGCAACATGAAAAGTCTGGGCACTCTTGTTCTCTGCAACAATAGACTGCGAGATATTCCAGTGTGCATGGAAGAGATGACCAGCCTGAGGTAAGCGCTTGACACAAACCTGACATTTACTCTCTGGCTGCAGAACAAAGTAGCATTAGAGAATGACCACAACTAGATTTGCGTTCTCATTCATATGAATGCATGCACTTCAACCGCTTGTCCAACTTTGAAACTCTGTAATTTATAAGTAGGATTCAAATAATTCTACATTATTCAAGAATGAGTCCATAAAACTAAGGCAGTGCTGGGATTTATCAGAGTCAAGAAATGCCCTCTGTTGGTAATGTTTTCATGAAAATCATCCAAGTTAACTACTATTGAAACTCCTTTGGTGTTTTCCTTCCAAAATGCAACTCCCTGACAGTGAACATAACACATGAGAATTCATGCCAAATTCCACAGCATCCATAACAAAAATCATTCACTCACTCACTCACTCACTCACTCAGCAACAACTAAGGTCTGTACCAGATGGTGAAGCTATGTTGATGAAAAGACACAAGTAAGTCTATAAAATATGCAAACTTTATTGTGTTAATTGTACAGATGGTCCCTGGATTTGACACTGGTGCAAAAGTGATACATGTAATAAATTATATGAGCTATTCAACACCTTATTATAAAGTAGGCTTTGTGATAGATGACTTGGCCCAACTGAAGGCTAATATAAGTGTTCTGAGCATGTTTAAGGTGGGCTAGGTTAAGCGATCATACTCAGTAGATTTGGTGTATTACATGCTTTTTCTACTTATTTTCAAGTTATGATGGGTCTACTGGGACATAACCCATTGTTAAGTCAAGGAGCACCTGTGTGTGTGAGATGCTTTAGAACTGCCCTGGAAGTTCAACCATATGCTGTGGACTGACAGTCACTTTTATAAGTTTTGAAAATTCATTGTCTCAAGCTAGTATTTTTCTCTTCTAGGGAAGAAGCTTAAAGATTCTTGGGATGTATCACATCTCACCAACATGTTCAGTTTTTGAAATCAGTTGAAAAGGAGTAATTTGGAATATTATCATTGGTCTTCTCCAGGGAAATAAGTGTACACTTCTATGGTACCTCTAAAAATCTCATTGTTTGTGTAAACTGCTAGGTTTGTCAACTTCAGAGACAACCCACTGCGCCTGGAGGTGACACTCCCCCCCCTCGAGAGCACGGAGGAAGAGGAGGAACAGGAACTGTTTGGCCTTCAGTTCATGCACACCTACATCCAGGAGTCACGGAGAAGAGCGGGTGAGACCGGTATGTGACACAGGTCCAGGGTTGCTGTGGCTGAGGAGTGGCCATGCACATGAACGCCTTTAGAGATCTCTCCTAGCTCACCTTTTCTGTCACGCTCTGGTCTCTGGGTCTACATGGCGGGAGGGAGAAAAGCGAACTTCCAATAGGTTCCCAGGTTTGACGAAGGTGTACAGGTATCCGAACTTTCAAGTGGAGGGGGAAGGGCATGTCTCGGGCAAGCACGGGAGCACAACCAAGCGGAGATGCGATTCTCGAAGCTTCACTCTGGTTCGTCACACTCCCGTGAACGCTGCCTCTGCCACGTGTCCTCTCTACAGTCCGCGAAGACAAAGCAGGTTCTGCCTGAGGATGACAAATCTTGTGAATACAGATTTTTAACCAATACTTCAAGTGTGAGGTTTTGATAAGCAGATTTCAATCAGTCTCTGATAATTTAGAATTAAATCACTTAAAAGAAAAACAAAAAAACAGCCCTGGCCGGTTTGGCTCAGCGGTTAGAGTGTCGGCCTGTGGTCCAGAGAGACCGGGGTTCGGTTCCCGCTAAGGGCATGTACCTCGGTTGCAGTTTGTCCCCGGCCCTGGATGGGTCGAGCGGGTGGCAACCACTCGATGTGCCCCTTTCATGTCGATGTTTCTCTCTCTCTCCCTCCCTCTCTATCTGAACAAAAAAATGGAAAAATGTCATTTTTGTCCTCAATTAGTGAGGATAAAAAAAAAAAAAAAAGAGAAAGCCTTTAGCTTAAACCAAGATTAAGGGAAGGACAAGCAGCAAAAGTCATGTTAATAAAAACAGGGAAACAATAGTATAGTAATAGAAACCATAGTTAAAATTTTTTATTTATTTATTTGAGAGGAGAAGTGAGAGGGAGAGAGAGAGAGACATTGATGAGAGTGAACAACTGGCCGCCTCCTGCACGCCCCCCACTGGGAATCAGGCCCACAACCTGGGCATGTGCCCGGACCTGAACTTGAACCTGGACCCCTTGGTGCACGGGTCAACATTCAACCACTGACCCACACTGGCCAGGCAGAAATCGTAGTTTTATAATTCACTAAAATGTTGAGTTTTCCGGTCAAAAGGTAGATTTTAGTTACATCTTCAAATGGTTACCTTGAAGAATGAGTATAATCTGAGCAATTCTAGAGCTTTTCAGCTGGAGGACATGGTTTTCACCAGCATCCAAAGGAGCTGTCTAGACGACTGGGTCTGTTGCAGGTCATAGAAGCAATGACGTGGACGGTGGTTTGGTAGAAGACAAGTAAAAGAGTTGCAGTAGTTTGGGTCCTAGTTTTGGAAAGCGTGGGATAATATTAAAGACAACTGGGCGACAGAATGGACGATTGTGAAGAGAAAGGGGAATCAGGGCGAATCTGCGTTTGGTTTGAGCAGTGGGACCAGTGGTGATGGGGAAACGAAGCCCTGGAGCTGGCTTGGGGGGCAGACCAGGTGAAGCGGACGAGCTCTGGTTCAACACAGCTAATCTGATGAACCCGTGGGACATGCAGGAAGAGGCAGTTGTGGAGATGACTCTCAAGTTCAAGGAGTTTGCTGAACATTCAGATTCTGCAGGCCAAGGACTAGCTATGTGCATGTGCCACATATATCACTTTGTCACATTAAGGGAAATAAACAAGGTTGGGGAAAACTGTCATTGACCTACGGCTGGCATATTGAAAGATAAGCTTTACTTCCCATAAAGTACTTGGTACTATTGTCAGAAAACATCATTAAGCTAAATGGGCCACAAGATTCTAATCAGTGTAATTTTGTTTTATGAAACATGTGATCATGCCTGTTGTAGAATATCATTTATTTCTGGGCATAAGTTATTAAATGATACAAAATGGATTGTATGATGCAAATTGTCTGACCCAGTAAATCAGGTTAATTACTGAATGATATATTATCTTTGTTGATGTTTCCTTGATTGGGAGGCATAAGTAACTAACTTAAAATATAATCAAACTACCTTACTTTAGTTAATATTTGACATAAAACTTATGCGAGAAAAACGTTACAACTTAAACAAAAAGACAATAAAGCCAAGTCTGCTTATTATTTATTTAAAATAGATTCATGAATTAGTACTATTCATAACAGTTGATATTTATTGGGTACTTCATACTCTGCTCCAAACTGTTCTAAGCATTTTACATTTATAATCTCATCTGATGTTCACAGTAACCGCGTGAGGTAGTTTTTATTACTGTCATCATCCCCATTTTAAGAGGAGGAAATTGAGGCACAAAGAAAGTAAATGGCTTGGCCAAGGTCATACACCGAGGTCATAGGGTTGGGATTTGAACCCAGGCAGTTTCACAAAACATAAGATAAAACTAAAATAGAAAGGTCAGGAATTGCCCTGGCCGGTTTTGCTCAGTGGTTAGAGCATCGGCCCAAGACCAGAGAGTCTCGGTTTCGGTTCCCACTAAGGGCACATACCTCAGTTGCAGTTTGTCCCCAGCCTGATCAGGGTCATGTGGGTGGCAACCAGTCAATGTGTCTCTCTCACATCAATGTTTCTCTCTCTCCTGCTCTGAAGATAAAAGAATGCAAAAAAAAAAAAAAAAAAAAAAAGTCCTCAGGTGAGGATAAAAAAAAAAAGGTCAGGAATAAAAGATAGACTAGGTGTTTAATTTATAATTCATGTAGTCGTAGACCTACAAGATAAAAAGTTACCTAAGAATATCATTATAATACACAGAATTAGTAATTCTGAATCTGTACCTTGGCAAATGTACCCACAGTTAACACATTTTTTTTTTTTTACAAATAAAGGCACAATAACTCAAGGACAAGCCATGGGAAAGAGTAACAGTCCTACCATATGTTTGGATTAATACTTGCTTGTGCATAGAAACTGTTCGAGTTACATGAGCCCTAAATGTGAGGTTTTGGGTTTCACTACCTAATTTCTACTTTACTCCAAATTATTTTCCCAAACAAGAGAGAATATATTTATATTTGCATTTATACATGTAAAAATAGCCTGTTAAAATAGATGAGATACTTAATTTCAGAAGTTATTTGCAAATTTCCAACTTAATTTGTGAAGTGGGCTTATAGGTGTCTTTCTGGAAGTTCTAACTACATAATTATCTAATAAAATGATATAGTTTTCCCCCCTTGAAAACATCTCTTTGGTTTTGGTGTTTGCATGGACAAGTTCTGATATAATATATAAATAGAGGTATGACCCTGGAAATCTGAAGTTGTATTTATTAATTGTAAACATCTCTGAATTACTTTGCATAGGGAAAAAAATCACAACCGACTATCCTTTCCAGATCTGCACGGAAAGAAAAATCCACACAGAGGCCAAATTCTCAGATTGGCCCTTGTTAGAAACTGATCATTGATCATTACATCTTGAACTTGAGAGATAAAAAGTATTAAATAAAACCAAAGGAAAACAAATTTTCAAAATGAATGCAAATAGAAAGTTACTGTGTTGTGTGTTTCAGATGACCCAGTCAACTGCGTGACAACTTTCCCAATCTCTGAAAGTCCTGACGGGTAACAGATCTCAAGATGCCCTGCTGAAGATTACTTTGGAATTTGGTGAACCTTCAAGTCTGGACTTCTCAAGTAAAGCTATTATCAAAGTTCAGTGAAGCCATAACCTTTTTTAAAAGTTCGTATTATCTGCTACTTATATTTTTATGAATATAAAAATACAATTTAAAATGCTTTTCTTTTCTGGTGGAAGACAGATGCTGTTTGCAATTTCTTTTCTGTTAAGAAGTTGCTTCCGCTGATGAGGACTGAGTTGGTAAAGCAGTTAACAGCACATTTTCCAAAGACACTCCAGGGTCTGCATAGTACTGTAGCATGGGGTGGAATCCCTTCTGCTGCAAATACTCTATTCGGCCTTGGTCAATCAGCAATTTACAAAGATGCCCTATTTTCTTCTTTTCTTCTACAGTAAGAAACCTGAATTGAAAAACACATACAAAACAATGTCAAAATTTTGTCAAAGCTTATAGAAAGTTATTTGATCACTTCTATTTATTGATGAGCCACTAGATAACCCACAATATTCTGAGTGCGTGCTGTGTCCCATGCTTACAAGACACATTTTATTTATGACCACAATAAAAATGTATGTATTATAACTTATGAGATGATAAACTACATTTCATGACTACATTCTGGTAGTATCATCTGAAAAGGAAGTGCAGCGATAATCAAGTATTTCTGCCCAGCGCCGCACATTTCAGCCACTCACCTAGGCAGACTCGCAGCGTGGGCGGCAGGGGTTCTGGGACCCCTGTCCTCGTGATCCTCGCTGTCGTCACTCTCACTCTCTCTGCTCCGGGGAACAGCTGAGGCTTCCAGAGAAGTTGTCCGCATCCCACAAGTGGCCCAACTACTCATTCGCTGGAAATAGTGGAATTCCTCAGCTCCGAGGCCCAGAGCCCTGAAATACTCTTTGCCCACATAGTGTCTCCAGTCACACCTGTGGTGACAACAGAGTGCAATAACAATGCCAGCCACAGGGGTCCACTTGTCTGGGACATTTTTTTCACTTCCTTCCTTGGCCAAAGTGTTAATTTCTTTGTCTGCTTTATCATTCTTTATGCGTTTGGCTAAAGGCTCTTCGTTCCTTTCCTCACAACTGGCACCACAGGTTTCAACCAAACATCGCAATGCAAGATCTGCAAACACAATCATGTGGCCCCGACGACATTGTCTTTAAAATGAGTATTTTTCACATTGAGTGAGCACTATGGTTTCTAAAAACCCCAAACCAAACAACAAACCTGTTTAGCTTTCTACCTGTAACAATTCTTTCGTTCATGGTCACCTTTGTTCATATCTGCTCTCTTCTCATTATCATCTAACTTTCTCTAATGATACATTCTGCGTAAAATCTGCTTCCCAATAAAACAGCCTGAAGCTTACGATCTACCGTTTGTAAAAACTTTCAGTCCAAATGCTTGGATTGACTCTCATTTCTCCTACCCTGGCTGAGAAATGACTTGTACAGAGTAAATTATCTACCTACACTTACAATCCACGGAAGTTTTGATCTCAAGAAAAGCCAAAGAAAGAAATGAAGAGGAAAGACATCCATTGGCCAACGGTAGGTGTCAGTCCTGAAAGGAAAGACGGAGGGACTGATGGAGAGGGAGAACCAGTAAAGAGAGCCACAGAGAAGGAAATAATGTCGAGAAGGGTAAGGTAGCTATGGCAGAGGTTTTTTCAGTAAGATGACGACAGAGTCATGAACGGGAATTCAGACACAGAGAATCAAAGGGGAAAAGTGGCCAGCAAAGGCTGTGCTTCTGAGAAACTTGGGTTTGGTGGGCAGCAGTAAGCTTCTTTCCTCCACAGGACAGAGGCATTATAAGGGTTAAATGGGGTAAGTACAGGAAAGCCATCTAAAAACCATGGTACTCAGGCTGTGGCAGGGTAGCTCAGTTGGTTAGTGCATCGTCCAGATACATCAAGGTTTCATGTTTGATCCCCAGTCAGGGCACATACAAGAATCAAACAATGAATGCATAAATAAGTGGAACAACAATTCAGTGTTCCTCTCTCTCTTTCCTTTCCTCTCTGTCTAAAACCAATAAATTAAAAAATAAAATAAAAAACCTTGAATTGTCTAAAAAATAAAAATAAATATATAAATAAAAACTATGACACTCAAAGCCATTTCCAACCAATGTGAATAATGTTGTATGGCGGCTCTGAGCTCTCCATATGGATGGATGATGAGACCGGCAGGAGGTGCCAGACACTTTACCCGTAGTATGGTAAACTTAACTGACACAAGACAGTCCCAGCACAGAGAGATCAGGTAATCTGCCAAGGTCACACAGCAGAGCCAAACCTGGACCATCTGCTTTCAAAGCCCATTCTCTTTCCACTGCACCTGCTGGAGCTGGTGGATCAAAGTACCAAGACAAGACATCAGAGATTCTTTCCTAATATTCCTTTTTCTTTCCCCACAGAATCCTGATATACAATCACCTTCTGGTGGGAGAGGTTTCACAGTCTTTCCCAAGCAAAATTAGTAGCTTTTGGGGTAATACCATACAGTTTCAATAAATGATTCATTTACTTTTTGGTTGAAATACAACCCAAAGAACTTTAAGGTCCCATATGATGGAGTATTTACACGAAAACCTTAATTAATACTGCAAAATGGCCAGATAAGCAGGAAAGCCCTGGATCTGAACTAACACAGGGCCAGCGCCACCACGAAGACGAATGAGCTCTGAACGGAAGTGATGTAAACTACCTGAGACTACTGAACTGGTGGGGGCCATGGTATGCTAGACTTCATGTGTTCGTCCAGACGTTAGAGTATGTTCACTTACCTGTTGCCACACCGCACAGATGCTTTCCAATTCCTACCACAGGCAGTTTCTCTCTGCTTAGCACAGGAATCTTGTCTGAAAGAATAGGAAATGGGAACTAAGCGAGCTCCCTCATGAAATAAGGCTTTAATGTGCCTCCCCAAACAGAGAAATAATTAGAATCTTTGAATTTTAGGCCTGAAAGAGACTCAAACAAAAAATTCTCACTTTGTAGTTCAGGAATAAGAGGCTCCAAGATGCAGTGACTTGATAAGCAACACAGGTGGCCACTGAGCGAGCGAGAATACAAGTTCCTTGACTCAGGCCCAGGCTATTTCTCCTGCACTGCCTCAGGCCTCCCCTTGTTTGCCCTGAAGCACTGTTCTGCACGACTGAATTTCTAAGTAACCCTCAGAGCTGGAGACGTCTATGATTTATAGTAGACAATGGAAAGTTATGCAACTTACTCAAACACAAGTGTTGAATATCAATCTGAAGCCTTTCAAACACTGAGTTTTTCCTTCTGTGTTTGCCATCGACCTGCACAAACAGAAAGTTGTAACAATGGATTTTTTTATGTTTAAAAAAAGTTTTATGAAAATAAAAATATTCTATTTGTTTTCAAAATTCAGAGCAAAAAAGTTTCCATCTTATTTAGTCTTTATAAAAGAGGATCTTAATACAAAAAATTTAAGATTGTATGTTTTTTGATGAAAACTCCAAAGTAATATGAATTTTTATAAGGCTTAAAAATTTTATATATGACCACGTATACCTTATGTCCTTTAACTTGAAACACTCCCAAGATACCAAGGGTCACTAAGATCATTCGCCTGCTCCTTTATCTGCGGCCCCTAGAAACTCTGCTGCAGGCTCACGCCTCCTCTCCCGCCCCCTGAAGGGTCACCACTGGTCTGCTGTACAGCCAGGCTCCTACGAATTACTAGTCTGTGCTGCGGCCCGGAGCTCTCTGAACACCAGACACCACATCACCAAGTATGCAGCTTCCAACATCTGAACATCACTCATTTCCTTCCTTCCTCTCTGTCCGTGGGCACAGCCTACACTCTGGTCCATTTCTCATTTGGATTTTTGGATAATAATGATCTTATAATCAATCTCCCTGCTTCAAGTTTCAGACTCTCTGACCAACTTGAATGACAATGTTTTAGAAACCCTTTGCATCTTGTGCTCACCATTATAATGAGGTTTAGCATGCTGAACCAAAGACCTGTAAGGCTGCCCTGCTGCCATGAGCATCTTGAAGACAGGAACTACATCCCCATCACGGAGCAGGGTGAAGTTGGACGCCACTGGAGAGCATAAATGAGACCGTCCGTAACCCAGCCCTCCTGCCCTCTCCCTACTGCTGAACTCCTTTGGCCCCAAGTCCTCCCATCATGCAGAAATGTCTCCATGTTTCTATTTGTTTCAGGGACGTGGGTCACACTGTTCTTGCTTCCTAGAATGCTTCTCAGACTCTCCGTCTGGCAAACACTAATTCACCTTTAAGTACATACCATACCTCAAGCATCACCTTTTTTGTGTAGTCAATCACCCTCCCTTCTGTTCAGAAAAACTTGTCATTCCCTCCTTTGGACCCACATTGACCTCCGTGCAGACTTTTCTGTGTTTTAATTCTTTCTTTTTTTAATAAATCCTCACCTGAGGTTATTTTTCTATTTGTCTTCAGAGTGGAAGAGAGGGAGAGGGAGGGAGAGGGAGAGAGAGACAGACAGATATCAATGTGAGAGACACACATTGACTGGTTGCCTCCCGCACAACCCCAACCAGGGCCAGAGACGAACCGCAACTGAGGTACATGCCTTTGACCAGAATCAAACCCACGACTCTGGTCAGTGAGGCGATACTCTAACCACTGAGCAAACTGGTCGGGGAACCGTGGTTTAATCCTTTTCTATAATCATTTATTGATTTGTCTGCCTCTCCTTTCTATATATAATTGACAGAGCTATAGACCTTGTCGTATTTGCCTTTGCCTACCCTATGTCTATCGGGGTGCTGGCGGAATGCTCAATAAATGTTTCCTGAACAAAGAGTTAAGTGGCAGGGGACCCAAGACTTTTAACTCCTAGCTTGAGCTTGGCTCTTTCCACATATTTTCTTGTCTCTGCAAATAACTTTTAGAACTCAGATCAATGGATTACCAAATTTGGATTAAAAACTGTATCTTCACCCTTGCCGGTTTGGCTCAGTAGTTAGAGCATCGGCCTGCAGTCCAGAGAGATCTGGGTTCGGTTCCCGTTAAGAGCATGTACCTTGGTTGCAGTTTGTCCCCGGCCCTGGTTGGGTCGTGTGGGTGGCAACCACTCGATGTGTCCCTTTCACATCGATGTTTCTCTCTCTCTTCCTCGCTCTCCCTCCCACTCTATCTGAACAAAAAAATGGAAAAAATGTCCTCGGGTGAGGATAAAAACAAAACCAACAAACAAAACTGTATCTTTAGTTCCAGTCACCAATATAATTAGAATAAAAAGCTATAACAGCCCTGGCCAGTTTGGCTCAGCGGTTAAAGCGTTGGCCTGCGGTACAGAGAGACCCGGGTTCGGTTCCCGCTAAGGGCACGTACTTCGGTTGCAGTTTGTCCCCGGCCCTGGTTGGTCGTGTGGGTGGCAGCCACTCGATGTGTCCCTTCACATCGATGTTTCTCTCTCTCTCCCTTCCTCTCTCTCCCTCCCACTCTATCTGTACAAAAAATGGAAAAATATCCTCGGGTGAGGATAAAAAAAAAATCATTTAAAAAAAAAGCTATAATAAACACAAAGATTCATTTTCTTCACTATGTTTGTTTCTTTACAAGGAAGAGCAAGCAAACAGTTTGATTACTAACACGGCGGTAGTCCCACTCACCTTGAATCGTGTGGTCACCTTCTCTACAAGGATGAAGTGAACTTTTTCAGCATCTTTTAAGGCAATATCAACCCAATGAGATAATTTTCCCTTTCCTGCTCCAAACTCAACAAAGCATCTTCTTGGACCAAGTAACTTTAATTTTTCAATGTTACCTAAAATAGAAGCCTGCAAACTTCACGTGATTATTTTATAAACCAGAACAAACACATTTGGCTCAAATGGGGAAAATAACAAGGTTAATTTCTACATAAGGCAGCATGTTCACATTGAGAAATTCTGTTTGGCTTTAAATTTTTTTCTCTTTGCTTTTAAATATGTAACGCACAGTACTCAGAACCATACCCATGCCAAAAATATTTAATATATGTTTATACATATCTTTTTTAATTTTTTTATTTTTTATCCTCACCCGAGGACATTTTTCCATTTTTTGTTCAGGTAGAGTGGGAGGGAGAGAGAGGAACAGAGAGAGAGAGAGAAACATCGACGTGAAAGGGACACATCGAGTGGCTGCCACGTGCACGACCGACCAGGGCCGGGGACAAACTGCAACCAAGGTACGTGCCCTTAGCGGAAACCGAACCCGGGTCTCTCTGGACCGCAGGCCGACGCTCTAACCGCTGAGCCAAACCGGCCAGGGCTATACATATCTTTTTTAAATGGAAAGATTCTGTACCCTGAAAGGTAAACTAAATGAAATCTCATTAATAACTATATTTAGAAAGAAGAGATTGTTAGTTTTGGACAAACAAACAAAAGGCCATTTTTAATTGAGTTACTATGGCCTAAACATACCTGCTGTTTCAGGTGTTTGGTTGCAGAATCACCATTTTTAGGGTCATTAAGGGCATCATGCAATGCTGGATGGGATAGAATTTGATCTTTAAGTGTAGAGTTCAAACCTGTGCCAAATATAAGCACAACAGCTTAAGCAACCAAACATGAAACCGTAGGGCCCTGACCTATGGTAGTAACATTTTTTAAACCACTTTGGTATCAATTCACATACCACCTAACTGTTCTTAAAAATCTTGAACTTGCAACTTTAGGTAGACTTACCTTCACTTGCCTTTTTCAGCTTCATAATTAAAATTTCCAACTGCTCTTCAGAGAGAGAAGAAATTGGAACCTACATACCAAAATGAGGCATAAGATCATTAAGAACATCAAATCTATAGAAAAATGCACTCTAAATTTTTTTAAAAATCTATTTATTCCAAACAAAAATTAGAACACAGCTTATTCACAATGTGGAGATAGCTTATGGATATTGTTTAAAAGTAAATATTAAGCCCTGGCCGCTTTGGCTCAACGGTTAGAGCGTTGGCCTGCGGTCCGGAGAGACCCCGGTTCGGTTCCCACTAAGGGCATGTACCTCAGTTGCAGTTTGTCCCCAGCCCTGGTTGGGTTGTGCGGGTGGCAACCACTCGATGTGGCCCTTTCACGTCGATGTTTCTCTCTCTCTCTCTCTCCCTCTCTCCCTCCCTCCCTCTCTCCCTCCCTCCCTCCCTCCCACTCTATCTGAACAAAATGTCCTCGGGTGAGGATTAAAAAATAAAAATAAAAGTAAATATTAAGTCAGGTACTTACCATTTGTTCAGTTATTTCCGTTTCATCTTTTAAGCCCGCATTAATATCTTGAATAAAGAAATCCTTAACAAAAACAAAACCATAAAAGTACTGTTAATGTGAAAAGCTTAAAAAAATTAAGCTGAATATGGATCCTTCCCTTCTACCCATCATCTGCACCTCCCTTCATCCATTCATTCATTTCATAATTATTGAGCACCTACTGTGGTCCTTAATTAGCTTTAGATGCTGAGGATTCACCACAGTAGAGAACAGAAAAGACAAAAGTCTCAGTGTTCATGAATCTTACAGTCTAGTGAGGTGGTTTTGTGAACATCTGTGGTCTAAAGAAATTCATTAGCAATTTTTATTAAAGTTTTTCCCTCTCTACAGCACAAACTGAATGCTGTGCCAGTTTATTTATGGTGTTAAAGCAAAAACAAAGTATCAACTATACATGTGGCTGCTTATCAGACAGGAAGCATGACCAAAATCAGAGATAAAATACAGATATTACAACAGTTTAGGTCTGACTTTTCCTACCTAAAAATACTAATTAAAATAAATGCCCTGGCCAGTTTGGCTCAGTGTTTACGGCATCGGCCTGCGGTCCAGAGAGACCTGGGTACAGTTCCCACTGAGGGCATGTACCTTGGTTGCAGTTTGTCCTGGCCCTGTTTGGTCGTGCGGGTGGCAGCCACTCGATGTGTCCCTTTCACATCAATGTTTCTCTCTCTCTCTCTCTCTTTCTCCCTCCCACTCTAACTGAACAAAAAATGGAAAAATGTCCTCAGGTGAGGATTAAAAAAAAAAAAAGATAATTATTCTCTCTGAGAAGCTTTTCTTGACCCCTTGGACTTCATATTAAATTTTATATATGTATATGTTCTTATCATGTGTACTTCTGCCACTGAACTTATTAAACAATACCCATTTTTTCAAGTTTACTTACCAGTTTCAAATAAGCTCCTTGAAGGTTCGGATCATATTTTATTAAAATAAATTTAGTAGGCACTGAGTAAATATTTTTGAGTAAATAAATTGTGAAATTATTAGCTGAACAACACTTTGGTTGCATAAAATTCTATTATCTGAATGAAGGCTATGTGTGGATTCTCAGTCTGATACAGAGCTGGCCTTCACAAACTCAAATGCAGTGATCACAGTCAAGTCTCTAAGAGAAGAGTCTTTTTATCCTCACCTGAGGACATTTTTTCGTTTTTTGTTCAGATAGAGCGGGAGGAAGAGAGAGAAACATTGACGTGAAAGGGACACATCGAGTGGCTGCCACCCGCGCAACCCAACCAGGGCCGGGGACAAACTGCAACTGAGGTACATGCCCTCAGCGGGAACCAAACCCGGGTCTCTCTGGACCACAGGCCAATGCTCTAACCTCTGAGTCAAACCAGCCAGGGCTAGTCTTTTTAATATTCACATCTGTAATCTACTTAGTACGTATAAACATTACACAGCACACGTTTCAGCATTCAGTTTCACTGATCAAATACTTACAGGTTTTGGTTTCTCTCTTGAGTTACATTTTTTCAAATGCTTTGCTAGTTGATCTTCGTATACTGTGCTGCATTTAAAGAGAAAATTATTTAAAATAATACTTGTGACAATTACCGTGTTCAGCAAAGAAAAACGCTTATCTGACCTTGTACTTACTGTTTTGGATCTAAAGGACACAGTATTCTTTTCCGAGCATTTTCTTCCTAGCAAAGAAAAAGGATATATTTATTTCAATAAAATATCGAATTTATTGTTTACAGGTACTAGATTTGACTTCAGTGTAATCATAAGTTTATGCATTCTCAAAACAAGGCAAGGACATCTTAAAAGGCCATTAATAAAACATTGGCTCAATTAGGTTATAGGATTTAACAACAACAAAAAAAAGTGGCCAGTGTAGCTGATTTATGTATATGAGCAAATAATGGTTTGGACAACAAGGGTCTGTAGCTTCAAACAGGTTATAAAGAAGACCTACAGATGAATTTCTGAACCTATGATAGCACTGACTAAAATAGACACTATTTTAGGCACCACTAAGAAAAAATACTTCCAATTTAAGTTATGACATGTCATCGACTTCATGATATATCTGGATGTCAGAAATGTTAAAAGAAAGTGTTTTAGAAACAATGAAATATGGCATTTTAACTATTTGATAGGTGGCCAAATTCTATTCACTTTGCAACTTGTCAGGAGAGCAGTCACATACTGTTTTTTCCTAAGTTACATGAATTTAACTACATGCACAAGGAAAAATGAAAGGAAATAGCGATGGCAAGTCTACCCAACATTCACACGAATCTGTATGTCACAGGATAGTATTGAGAGATATGATTCTCAGCTCTAGCTCCTAACTCTATGACCTGAGGTAGATATATTGCCTCAACCAAAACATGTCAATATATCTTGCCTCTGAAAATTTAGGAAGATTAAGTGAACTAATAGTTTTTTAAAAACCTGCTTAGCACAGTGCTGACATATTCCTCTCCACGAATATCGATCAGCTTGTAAGGATCTATTCACATTCTATTATATCATCATCTGCTGTCATCTTCCAGCTGTGTGGTTAAGATAAAGTCCAAGGTCTCATAACAGAGTGAGAACAAAATGCTTCTCTTATCATAAATCTCATTCTTCAAGCAAGGCATGTTTGCTTGTCCCCTCAAAAGCAGCCAAGAGTCCTCACTGTAAGTCACAGGTCACCCACAATCTCAAACCAGAATAAGCTTGTTTCAACACAAACACTACCCTCTGGGCAAATATCAATCATGAAATAGATACCTGTCCATTCGGTTTAATCCTTCTAAAACCTATCCAACAGGTATTTTCCCAAAAGCATTCCCCTCTGCTTGTTCTCATTTTTATCTATCATCTATACCCTAAAGAGATATAAAAATACAGACACACATAAAAATATCGACACATAAAACATAGTACAATTAGAGGCCTAACTGTACTAACAAAATTGAATGTTTTTGTTAATTCTCACATGACGATATTTTTTCTTTTTTTTTCCAGATAGAATAGAAGGTAGAGAGAGAGCATGAGAAACATTGGTTGCCTCCCAAAGGGCCAGGGATGGACTCTGCAACCTAGGTACCTGCCCTTGGCCGGGGATGGAATGGGGGCCCTTGGGTCCACAGGCTGATGCTCTAACCGCTGAGCCAAACCAGTCAGGACACTGTTTTCATTTTTAAAGGGAGAGTCAATTCTTACATGTTTTAAAATCTTTCTTCTCCACTAAGTACAGAGTAGCAGTTACAGAATAGTCATGGGATGTAAAATACAGCTTAGGGAATATAATCAATATTTTAATAGGTATGTATGGGGCTAGGTGGGTGATAAGAGTTATTTGGGATCACCTTGTAAGTTTTTAAATGTCTAATCACTATGTTCTATACCTGAATCTAATACAATATTGTGTCAACTGTAACTGAAAAATAAGTTTAAAAAACGTGTCCCTTAAAGAGCTCTGGTGGGAGATCTCCTCCTTGGGTGAGCCCAAGTGTCAGCATAGATTGTTACGTTCAGGTGCTGGAAATTTCGGGGGGATTACTTTGTAAAGTACATGATTGTCTATCCACTACGCCACTACGCTTCACACCTGAAACCTATACAAGATAATACTGAATGTCAGCTGTAATAAAAAAAATTTTTTCTTTCCTCTTTCCAGCAAAGTAAGTATAACTTGCTTCCAACTTATATTTTTTAAGAGTTTCTCTCCACCGCATTGACAAGAGGTGGTCGCTCAGGAAACCCGTAGGGACCTGGGATCACTGTGCACGGCGGGCGACAGCTCCCACCCGGAAGGCGGCGAGGAGTAAGAGGCGGGAGTTGGGGAGTAAAACTGAATTCGGGGTTAGTATCCACACGGCCGGTCCCCGCCGGCTCAGCGCTCCCGGGGGCCCAGAACCGCGCCGATGAACGGAAAAGGCTGGAAACCCCAGGGAACAGAAGCAGAAATCGGTGCGAGAGGAAAGGTGCGGGGCCAGGAAACTTATTTCCGACTCTCGGGAGGGCAGCGCGATACCAGACCTCCGCGGCACCAGCGTGTTCGCCACAGAACCTTTTCCCAGCTGCCACCACCATTCTGCAGAACCTCTTCTTCTTGGCCACATAATAACCGCACCGGCCCTCGGCTGGGAAGCCAGTCGCGTGCGGTGTCGGCGCAGAAGCCGCCATAATTCAGGGCAGGCATCAGATGAAGGGAGGGAAAGCTGTCCGCCTCCCTTACCAAAGATGGCCGCCTCGGGTCCCGCCACGCAGGTGGATGCCCGGAACTGCCCCTCTTCCGGTCGCCCTGCAAACCGGAAGGAGGTGATGGTGGCCGGCGAGGGCCAAATTCCCTTCGTCTTCCGTCTATTTCTTTTCCCCGCCCCCTCAGCGGAAGTCGAGCGCCAAACTCAAACTGTAGCGGGACCCTGACGCCGCTCGGGGCGGTACCGCGGTCCCGGCCCATTGGACGTTGCGCACAGCGGCGGGGCGGCGGTCCAGCATGAGCCAGGTTCTGTTCCAGCAGCTCGTCCCGCTGCAGGTGAAGTGCAAAGACTGCGAGGAGAGGTGAGGCCGCGTTCCCCGGTGCCGGCGGGTGGCGGTTGGGGTGGTCGGAGGGGGAAAATGGCGGCTTCGGCCGGTGGGCTCCGGCCTGCGGCGGGGTGTCCGGCCCGCGTCCCCGGGACGCAGGGGTAAACTCACCTGGGACGCGAGGCCACCTGTCTCACTGAGCGGCGGTTGCCGAGGACGCGGAGGGAGGGGTTGAGGAAATGGGGAGCTGACCCGCCCAGAGTTAATGTGGGAACCGTGGAGGTTAGAACCCAAGACTGGTTTGACAGATGGACGCTCGGGCCCAGGGAGGGTGAGCGCTGGGACTCAGGCCTTGGAATTCTATTGGAAGCACATGTAAGCCTCACCTTCAGAACAGTTTTATGGTGCATTGTCCGTTCACACATAACTGAAAGTCAAACGACGTTTCATCGGCTAGAAACAGTAGGGACAACCAGAAATTTCATTCATCCATCCACCCAGCACATATCGCCGACATGCCAAACGCCGGCTGGGCGCTAGGGCCGCAGCGTGGAGAAACCGGTCTTTGTCTTCCTGGGGTTGGCAGCCCGTGGAGTAGCAAATAAAGGCCCATCTCTAGGCAAATGCAGTTACAATTTTCACTAAGGAGGTGGCGCTTAAGTAGAGAGATTGCAGCAGAATTCAGGAGACTGCAATTTTTTTCCATTTTATTTAATTTATTGGGGTGCCATTGGTTAATAAAATTATATAGGTTTCAGGTGTACAGTTCTATAATACATTATCTCTATATTGTGTTGTATGTCCCCCCCAAATTAAGTCTCTTTCCATCACCATTTTTAGCCCCTTACCCTCTTCAAACTCCTTCCACCCCAGGAGATTGCAGTTTTGTTGGTTTTTCCACCAATTTGCTGTCTCTTAGCTTCTCATGTGTAAAACTGGTATAACGTGCCTGCAAACATGATCGTTAGGAGGGTCAAGTGTGAATATGTGGCATAGAAAATGAGGATATTGATTTATCAAGTAATGTGAAAGTAGTGTATAGTTTAATTAGTTCCAAAATTGATTATGGAGCCAGGCAAAAAGATGGCACCACACCAGCAGCTGCACATGGAGATCTGTGGGTTATTTTGTTTGGTCATTCTTTCCTGCTGCCAGTATGCTAGCCACATCGCACATTATTGGACATTTGAATTGGAGCTAATTGAATTGATGTGCTGTAGAGTAAAATGCACACTGCACTTTGAAGACTCAGTGTTAAAAAAAGGAACGTAAAGGATCTTGATTTTTATATTGATTATATATGTTAAAAAGATAATATTTGGGGGGGTGTTGGGTTAAATAAAATATTATTGAAGTTAATTTACCTGTTTCTTTTTATTCTTAAAATGTGGCTTCTAGAAAATGTAAAATTTCGTACGTGGCTCATATTTGTGGCTTCCATTCTTTCTCTGTTGGACATGGCACTCCCCCGGTTCTAGAATGATTATAGAAAGGTGAAAGGTGGGGCATACTATCTGATTCCAACATCTAAACTCCCACCTCTTTTCTATCTCATTACATTGTTAAGCAAAATTTTTAACTTCCATAGCTGGAAGTCTTTTAAAAACAATGGGTCTTTTGGGCCATTGCTAGCAAAAAAAACAAAACAGGTGTCCTGGGACATGAAACCTAAAGTACTGGCAGCATCGCCAGGTGGAAAAACCGTCCTGGATGGAGTTGGCAAGTGTTTTTATACACTAAGGGGCAGAGGGAGATGTATGTTGTTTAAAATATATATACACTGAAAAAATAAAATAAAAAATATATACACTGGTTCTAGGTAAAGGGGTGGGAGAAGGTGAAGTGGGCTAGTTTTGGGCTGGGTGCAGAGTCCCCAGGGAAGCATCCATCCTCTGCTGTGGATTAGCTGTGGGCAGCAGAGTGGGAAGTTCAGGTGGAAACCAGAAGCAGAGGCTCCTGCGGTTCGGCTGGGCCTGCCTGGCTGCTCTCTCCTAGCTAATCACAGAAATAGCCACCTGGAAGTTCATCTAAAATTTCAGCAGACTTATAGGAATGTGAGCAGTCTTAGGTCAACTGGCCCATAGCAACTGACTGGTTAATCATTCCTGTCTGTTTCTCTCACTCACTGGCTGCTGTTTAGATAGAACATCTCAATTTTTTTTTTTTTTACTTGTCTACATCATCACAGTTATCTTCCCAAGACAGTTTCACCCTTTTCACTCCTCCTGTTAGAAACTTTTCCTGGCACCTGTAGCGGGGGTCCACAAACTAGAGCCCGTGGGCCAGGTGGCCCACTGCCTGTTTTTGTGAATACAGTTTTTTTCTTTTTGAGCACAGCCATTCTCATTTGTTAAGGAATCATCAGAGCCTAAAGTATTATCTGACCCTTTACAGAAAAAGTTTGCTGATCCCTGGCCTATGGGAAAAACAGTGCAGATTCTTTTTTATTTATTGATTTTTAGGGAGAGAGGAATGGAGAGGGAGAGAGAAATAGAAACATTGATGAGATAGAACATCGATTGGTTGCCTCCAGCCCCCTTGCCCCCCACTGGGGATTTGGCCCACAACCTGGGCATGTGCCCTGACTGTGAATCTAACTGGTGACCTCTTGGTGCATGAGTTGATGCTCAACCACTGAGCCACACCGCTGGGCACAATGCAGATTCTTTAGTTAAGTATTCAAGGCCAGTTAAGCTCAACAAATAATTTATGAATGCCTACTGTGTACCAGGAACTATCCTAGGCGCTAAGAATATAGAGCTTCCTGCCTCCTCACCCCCACCCCCAACAACAGCAAAACTCCAGTTTTTATTCTGATCCTCAAGGAACTCACAGTTTAACAGGAAATAATAGGTTTTCCTTGGAGAGTAGCATAGCCCAGGTTAAAGATTTCAGGCTCTGGAGTTAGATTGGGTTTAAATCCCAGTTCTGCCACTTACTATTTATAAACTTTTTTTTTTAAAACTTTATGTCTCTGTGCCCATCTTTAAGTTGATGATAAAAGTACTTGCCTCATGGGATTATTGTGAATGTGAAGTGCTTAGAACAGTGCCTGGAGCATAACAAGCATTCACCAAATATTAGCTATTATTAGAGTGGGATAGGTGCATGAAGTTTATAAATGTGCCAACCTCGTGGAGAGGAAGGCAGTTCAGTTTAAGACAGTGGCAGTGCTCAGAGAACTGTCTGGAGGAAAGTGATGAAACATTTTGAAGCCCATGATCTGACACCAACCTGCTTATTTATTTTCCTATATTGATTTTAGAGAGAGAGGGAGAGAGAGATAGAAACATTGATGAGAGAGAACATCGATTGGTTGCCTCCTGCATGCCCCCCACTGGGGACTGGGCCCATAACCTGGGCATGTGCCCTGACTGGGAATCAAACCAGTGACCTCTTGGTGCATGGTCGACGCTCAACCACTGAGCCATACCGGCTGGGCGCATTTTTGTTTCCTGAGCTCCTCTCTTCAATGTACTAGTCACACTAGATGACGTGTTATCTTCCAAGTGCACCTGATTCTCAATACCCTTCCTCTGGTCCTGCTCTTCTGTCTGCTTCTGGTGGTTTTTCTTTCACAGCCTTCAAGGTCTTTCTTAAATTTCATCAACATAAGGATCTGTTCAAAGTTGCTTAGGTTGAAATTAATTAACCTTATTCATTTATTAGATAACATGGTATAGGTGAAACACCCGAGTTCTGATTTGGGCTCTGCCATGTGACCTTAACCAGGCTTGTAACTGCACCTCTAGTTCTTCCTTTATAAGACAGAAATAATATTTACTTAACACAATTACTATTGTTAAATAAGGTGATTTATTTAAAGAGCCTGGCAGCCCGACCAGTATGACTCAGTGGTTGAGCATCAACCCACGCACCAAGAAATTGCCACTGGTCAGGGCACATGCCCAGGTTTTGGGCCCAATCCCCAGGTTGTAGGCATGCAAGAGGTGGCTAATTGATGTTCTCTCTCATCAATATTTCTATCTCTCTCTCCCTCTCCTTTCCTCTCTCTCTAAAATTCAGTAAAGAAAAAAATATTTTTAAGGGCCTGGCAGGTACTCAGTAAGTGTTAGTAACCTTTTCCTCCCCTCTCTTGAAGTCCTAAAATACAATCAGAAGCAAATCTGGGGCAAAGTCATTTAATCTGATCTCGATTTGAGGACATGGACTGTGTTTATTTTTCTGTTTGTATCCCTAGCACCCAGCACAGTACCTGGCTTAGAGAAGCTTTCATTTGTTTGAATTGAGAGCTTACGGTCACAGCTTCTAGATTGCAGAGGTGGGCTGGAGTTCAGGTGTGCTAATGCCAAATTTACTTGACAGGGAAGATGTTATGTAGGTATATACATCATTCAGAATATGACATTTATTTTGAGAAGTAGCATGTTTATTGATTTGCTTTATATTGTTCCTGTGACATTAACCATTACAATGGATAAAATAAGATTTCAGATTTCAGGTAGTGTATCTTCTGAAAGCACAAATTTTTCTACAAGATATTTGGAGTGAAGAGGGGAGGTGAAGTAAATGTGGGGAATAGGTTTAGTCTACGAGCCTTTTCTCCTTTTTTTCCTTCCCACATCTAATGCATATGAACATTGGAATATATGCAACAAAATCATTAATATGATTGGAAGTTATCATGGTAATATAACTCTTCCAGTGTTGTGTAAAGGATACTTTATTAAGTGAATGCTTCTTGAATGCTTACAAATTTATCATCTGTGTTTTTTTGTTTTGTTTTTTTCATCCTCACCCGAGGATATTTTCCCAATTTTTGTTCAGATAGAGTGGGAAGGAGGGAGACAGAAACATCGACATGAAAGGGACACATAGAGTGGCTGCCTCCCTTACAATACCAACCAGGGCCAGGGACAAACTGCAACCGAAATACGTGCCCTCAGCGGGAACTGAACCCAGGTCTCTCTGGACTGCACGCCAACACTCTTAACAGCTGAGCCAAACTGGCCTGGGCTGTGGCAGGACTTTTAAAACAAGTTATCAACCACGTTGTTGTTCCACTGTGACATTATGTACTAGAACAAAGCTTCAAAGATGAAAACCAAACATAATGACATTGTAGAGCTGGAAAGGCTCCCACAAACCCAACGCAATACGCGTATCTTAAACATTTGAAAATGGAAAGGTACCCCCCCATAAATGCGCTTAAGTTTTGTGAAATTGGAGTAGCATCTGATCTGTTTACAGGTTGCTCTAGATACTAGAAAAATAAGAACAAAAAATCCTGTGGTTTTAAAGACAATTCTTCTGTTTTGGTGGTGTTCACCAGTGCTGCCTGTTCCTTTTCAGATAGCGGACACAAGTTACAGTAACCTCACATGAACTAAGAGTTAGCATCCGAGTATATGTCCAATAAGAAATTTAACTAAAATGACATGTTTGTTTTAAAAAAAATTTTTTTTCTTTATTGATTTTTAGAGAGAGAGGAAGGGAAAGGGAAAGAGAGATAGAAACATCTGTGAGAGAGAACATCGATTAACCGTCTCCTGCATGCTGCTCCCACTGGGGATGGGCCTACAACTTGGGCATGTGCCCTGACTGGGAATCGGACTGACCACCTCTTTGAGCCACACCAGCTGGGCCTAAAATGACATGTTTTAAACCAATGTAAAATTATAAGTCAGAGCATAAAAAAATTCAAACGCTTGAATCTAGCCTTGGTCAACTGTTACCAAGTTTTTCCATCAACACCCAGTTGCTCTGTCTTTATTTTTTATTTCTGTAGCAGATTAGTGGTAGAATGTGGGAAAGATTTAAAACACAACTTTGGAAGAATAACTGAAGAGTGGACAAATTTTTATTTTTATTTTTCCATTATTTAATTCTAGCAGAATAGTTTGAGAAGCACTTATATAGAGATGGTTTTTCATCAGGTTTCTCCTTTATTTTCTAATTATTTAAACATCTTTGTTCAATTTGATTACTGTTTATGAGCTCCTTTATATGCCTCTGTCCGATACTGGATTCTCCATGGTGTAGTGTAGAATGTTGAAAGCTATGGTTTCTTTTAGGAATTGAGAGTTAATCTAGGATAAGATAGGTGATAGTAATTGGTTGACAGTACTTCTGTGGACATAACTGCATAGAGTAATTAAGCAGTGGATCTGAAAAAATATTTTGTGTGCATAAGGGGAGGTAATATGTTATCTTATTTCTTGCTTGAACATTCCAGTATTTTGATATTACTTCACATTTTAAGTTTTTTATATGGAATCTCTCTCATAAATCATTTGATGATTTTTTGTTGTTAATCTTTACCCAAAGATGTTTTTCATTAATTTTTAGATAGAGTGGAAGGGAGGGGAGGAGACAGACAGACACCCATGTGAGAGAGACACATTGATTGGTTGCCTCCCAAACAGGATGGAACCTGCAACCCATGTACGTGCCCTTGACCGGAAATCAAACCCAGGGCCCTTCAGTGCGCAGGCCAATGCTTTAACTGCTAAGCCAAAACAGCAAGGGCTCATTTGATGATTTGAATTGATCATTGTTTATGTGAAAAGTTATTAAATTGATGGTTTATCTTTCAATAGATGCTATTTTAGAATCAGGGTAATAAGGTTATGTACCAGACTAGTACTAGGCATTTCCCATCATTTATCTCTCTTAATCCTCACAGCAACTCCATTTTATAGGAGAGAAAAATGTAGCCTCAGGTTAAAGACCTGCTTATTACTCACTATCAGGAGAACAAGAACTTCACCTTCAAATCCAGTGTGCTTTCCCAGCATCTCCTAAGTTAGGAACACCTGTGGGAGATTATGTCGCTAATACAGGTGATAGTGATAACTCATGTCATGTGACTGTTCCTGATGCTTGGCTTGTCTTTTCATACAGGAGAGTAAGTGTTAGAGTGAGCATTGAACTACAATCAGTTTCTAATCCAGTTCACAGAAAGGTTGGTATTCACTTCATTTTTTAAACATGATCATTTTGTTACATAATAGATAATTATTTTTGTTCTTTAAGAATGTGAGATCTGTTGTTACACCCATCTTGCTTTACATCTGGGGCCATTTAGTAACTTGCAGATCTGGAATGGTAGCATTTACTACAATAACAACTGAGAGATTATGATATATATTTCTAAAGCATGCAAAAATGGGGGTTGGGAGACTAGATTTCATAGATTTTCCCAGTACACTTATGATGCTAGAATATCTATTACTACTTTGTAGTGTTGGCACTTCATGGTGTACACGTGAGAACACAATGAGTTGACTCTGCTCTGCAGGGAGTTCTTGCATCTTTTCCTTTGCCTTTGGAAGAGATGCATCTACAGCGTCAGTCCTATGTGATCCTCAAAAGTATGCGTCATTGGCAGAGATGTGGGTACAGACTAGAGGGCTGAGAAGTAGAGCATCTCTTTTCTCTGTCACAGCTTTCCGTAAAATATTCAAGGACCTGGGAGTATTCGCAGCAGCTTCAGTTTTCTGCAGCATCTTGGGGTGGGTTTCAGGAAGTACTTCAATAGCAGTTGTTTGAAAAACAGCATTCTGAGACAGAGCAAATGCCTAGATTGCTAATTTTGGGGAACAGATTCTATATTATACTTCCTACACATTATTCCTGTGCCTGCTGTGTACCTCTTCATTTTCTAGCTCTACTCAGAAGCGGGTTATATTTTCTAGGACCCCTAACATTTAATTTCTCAGTAGCCACAAGGAGATTTTTTTTCAAGTGGGATCTTTCTTTTTCTTTTTAATTTTTTTTTCCTTTACTGATTTTAGAGAGAGAGGAAGGGAGAGAGAGAGAGAAACATCAATCAGAGAGAACATCGATTGGCCGCCTCCTGCATGACCCGCACTGAGGATCTGGCCCACAACCTGGGCATGTGCCCTGACTGGGAATCAAACCAGCGACCTCTTGGTGCATGAGTCAACGCTCAACCACTGAGCCACACCGGCTGAACTATTTTTTTTCTTTTTAAACGTATCTTTATTGTTGAATGTATTACAGATGTCCCACCTATTTTCCCCATTGATCCCCTCTTCCACCCTCTTCATGCCTTCTTCATAGTATTGTCTGTGTCCATTGGTTATGCATATATGCATAGAAGTGCTTTGGTTTATGTCTTCCATCTCCCTCCCTTTGAGGTTCATCATCTAACAACCAATTTATACTTTTTTTATCCTCCCTGAGGACATTTTTCCACTTTTTTTTCAGGTAGAGTGGGAGGGAGAGAGAGGAACAGAGAGAGAGAGAGAGAAATATCGACGTGAAAGGGACACATCGAGTGGCTGCCACCGCACAACCAACCAGGGCCGGGCCAGGCTGACACTCTAACCGCTGAGCCAACCGGCCAGGGCCCTGTAAATTATTTTTTATTTCAGTTAGTTTTCTTCATTTCTGACTGGTCTTTTTTTATGTCTCTTCTTCTGACACTCCCATGATGTGAATGTTGGTATGCTTGAAGATGTCCAGAGGCTCCTTACACTATCCTCATTTTTTTTTTTTGTTCTGATTGGGTGTTTTTTGCTTCTTTATATTTCAAATATAATTTGCTTTTTGGCTTCATCTACTCTACTATTGATTCCCTGTAAATTATTATTATTTTTTTTTATCTTCACCCGAGGACCTTCCTCCATTTTTTGTTCAGACAGAGTGGGAGGGAGAGAGAGGAAGAGAGAGTGAGAGAGAAACATCGACGTGAAAGGGACCCATCGAGTGGCTGCCACCCGCATGACCAACCAGGGCCAGGGACAAACTGCAACCGAGGTACGCGTCCTTAGCGGGAACCAAACCCGGGTCTCTCTGGACCGCAGGCTGACACTCTAACCTCTGAGCCAACCAGCCAGGGCCCTGTAAATTATTTTTATTTCAGTTAGTTTTCTTCATTTCTGACTGGTCCTTTTTTTATGCTCTTGAGGTCCTCACTAAGTTCCTTGACATTCTCACTAAGTTCCTTAAAATTCTCACTAAATTCCTTGAACATCATTATAACCAGTGTTTTGAACTCTGCATCTGTTAGATTGCTTATCTCTATTTCATTTAGTTCTTGTTCTGGAGTTTTGTTCTGTTCTTTCATTTGGGACATGTTTCTTTGTCTCCTCATTTTGGCTGCCTCCCTGTGTTTGTTTCTATGTATTAGGTAGAGTTGCTATGTCCCCTAGGCTTCGTAGGGTGACCTATTGTTGTAGGTGTCCTGAAGGGTCCAGTGGCACAGTCTCCCTGGTCACCTCAGCTGGGCCCTCAAGGTGCACCCCTCATGTAGACTGTCCACCCTTCTGTTGTAATTAAGTCTTAATTGCTGTTGGCACGTCAATGGCAGCCAAACTGCAAAGTTTGGCCGTGTCCACTGACCTCTGACTACCTTAGAGGATCAACTGTGCAGGGCCCACCACACAGAGCAAGACTCTAGCAGGGCTATGGTACCCACTGGATCCGCTCCTTGAGTGTGTTGCTTGTGGAGGTGGTTGGGTGGTGGTGCCTCGCTGTGGTCTGAAGCTGTCCACTGGGTGTGCTGGCTCTGGGGCGAGGTCAGCCACTGCCTGTGTTCTACCAGGGCCACCAGGCATGAGCTACAAAGTGATCTACAGATGGCTGCTTCTTGTGCTGGTTTTGGAGGTGCCCAGGCAAAACTGTGAACCAAGGCTGGCTGCTTCTAGTGTCAGGCCTGGGGCCAGTTATCTAGAGATATGGGGCTCGCTGAGGCCAGATGCTGCTTGTTTGAGAGAATTTAGGAAAATCTGAAGCAAGAGCCAAGACAGGCCAATCCTATGGTACAGCCACTGGAAACGGTTCAGGTGGCGGCTTAGCAAATAGTGTGAGCCAGGTTGCTGGAGTCTCAGATATGGTGGCCATCTGCCTGCCCCATGGGGAAAGGGCTCACCAGAGGAACAAAGGCCTCCATCAGCACGTCTGTCCGGGAGAAAGCTGCCTCTCCAGCTCTCACCCCAATGCCAAACAACTCAGTTCTTCCCCATATGTCTCTGGTGCATCAAGTGGGATCTTATTCTTGACTGGAGTGCCTGTTTCTTTACTTTCCTTCATCATCCCGTTTTCCTTATACCGCTGTCCTCTGAAGGACGTGGTTTCGGTGCCCGTTTCCGCCAGCTGGAGCTGCTGTGCTGCACTGGCACATGGTAAACTTGATCTGGGAAGTCTTGATGAACGGTGTTGACTTCCTTTGAAACTGAGAACAGGTGGGTTCCACGTCTGCGGCCTCCTGGAGCTGGAGTGGTGGGCTGAGGAAGGAGCCCTGGCAGCCTGTCACCTGATACCTGTCCTCTGCCCGAGGCAAATGCTCCTTTTTTCCAGGGTGGATGATAGTTTCTGCTGATTTATTTGCCACTTTTTTTTTTAATCCTCACCTGAGGATATTTTTTTTCCCATTTATCTTCAGATAGAGTAGGAAGGAGAGAGAGAAAGAGAGAGAAAGAAGGAAAGGAGGGAGGGAGGGAGGAAGGAAGGAACGAACGAATGAACGAGCATACATCAGTGTGAGAGAGACACATGTACTGGTTGCCTCCCACATGACCCAACCAGGGCCGGGGACAAACCTCAACTGAGGTACGTGCCCTTGGCCAGAATCAAACCCACAACTCTTTGGTCCCTGGGTTGACGCTCTAACCTCTGAGCCAAACCGGCCCAGGGCTATTTGCTACTTTTGAAATACCAATTAACTTGCAGGAAACTGAAAATATAACTCAGTAGTATATGGTCAGGGGTAAAGATTATTTTTGTCGTGGTGTCACAGTGTGGCATGGACTGGGTCTTAATTTTCCTAAGCCTCTGCTAGGATGATATTCCTGAACTGAAAACTCCTAGTATTTAAATTTACCTTCCTTGACTGCCCTGTGGTTCTCTAGAAGCAGAGTAAGTACCTCTGTTTCAGATCTAAGTCTGTTAGACTAGTGAAAAGCCAGCAGCACCAGGAAACAGCCACCTGAAGCATGATGTTGGTACATCCATGTTGTTGGACGATATGCTTATTACTCTGAAAGCTACAGCTACTAAAAACATCTAAAAAACAATCTTTCTTTTAGGATTTAGTTATTCGTCTGACCGATGATACTGATCCATTTTTCCTCTATAACCTTGTTATATCTGAGGAAGATTTTCAGAGGTAACTAAATTTATTTTTTCTGGTTTTATATTTAACCTAGGAATAAGTAAGTTTTTTAAGTTTTATGAATGTATTGGTACTCTTCTCTTTGAAATACCTTTTAGAAGCATTTAGGTTTTTTTGAAACACTAGACTATTTATACTCTAATTACTCAGAATGTTTTTGAAAATATGGATTATGAGAGTTCTGCTTAGAATAGTTCAGATGAGATTGGGCATGTTCAGGGTGGTATGGCCGTAGACTGATTAGAATAGTTCAGAAATTTGTATCTTTAGATAAACTTATTGACCTTTTTCCTCTTATTGTATAAATTTTTATAAAAATCTAAGTTCCCTAGCTTATTAAATCTTGACTATGAGTGTTTAGTAAATAAAAAATCTTCTTTTCCTGTTTTCTGTGCAGTTTAAAATTCCAGCAAGGTCTTCTAGTAGACTTCTTAGCTTTCCCACAGAAATTCATAGATCTCCTTCAGCAGTGCACCCAAGAACACGCCAAGGAAATCCCAAGGTGAGTCTCGTGAGAACCCTGTATCATTAACCTTCTCCAAAGTGAACTCTTTTTTGTAAGACAAGTTGATATTTTCTGTATTGTAAGTATTCTTATCTGTCTTAAAAACTGAGATTCCAGGGCTCCACTACCTTTTAAATCTAATCTCATGATTAAAATGGGAAATACTGCCCTGGCTGGTTTGGCTCAGCAGTTAGAGTGTCGGCCCGCGGTCCAGAGAGACCTGGGTTCGGTTCCCACTAAGGGCATGTACCTCGGTTGCAGTTTGTCCCCGGCCCTGGTTGGGTCGTGTGGGTGGCAACCACTCGATGTATCCCTTTCATGTCGATATTTCTCTGTCTCTCTCTTTTTCTTCCTCTTTCTCCCTCCTACTCTATCTGAACAAAATATGGAAAAATGTCCTCAGGTGAGGATTAAATAAATAAATAAAATGGGAAATATTTACCCTTAATTTTCATGTGTTGACAAAGCCATTAAAATTATCTGAAATATTTACTAGCATCAAGTATATGTTTTTATAATGAACTTGGGAAAAGGAGAGAATAAGCGTGTGTGTGTGTGTGTGTGTGTGTGTGTGTGTGTGTGTATTCATGAGCTGCTGGTACCTGATCCTTCCATTGTCAAGTTCACCAACCTTTTTATATGTTGGCTCTTCGACTGATGCTTGTTCATTGAATCAATTATATCATTAAGGACTACAAAATTATACTTTTCTAATTCTATTCTTTCTATATTTATTGGGTATAATTCTTCTATAAAGAAGAACTTTTCCTTATCAATTATGGCGATTTGATTACTCTGAAAATTCATACAGGAAAGGATAAATGCTTAGTTCTTTACAATTGTCAGTTTTTAGAGTGAAAGTTGTTACTCTAGTTATTTTTGTGGTTTCAGTGGGGTTTTGGTTTTTTTTTGTTGTTGTTTTTTAATCCTCACCTGAGGACATTTTTTGCATTTATCTTGAGGGAGAGAGGAGGAAGGAAGAGAGAAACATCAACCTGTAAGAGACACGTCGAGTGGTTGCCACCCATACCACCCACACAACCCCTACTAGGGCCAGGGATAAACTGCAACCGAGGTACGTGCCCTAAGCAGGAACCGAACCCGGGCCTCTCTGGTCCGTGAGCCAATGGTCTAACCACTGAGCAAAACTGGCCAGGGCTTGGTATTTTTTTATTTTAGTGTTTTACTTTCCTAATCTGTCTCATCATGAACTCATGGACATTTATATATTCATTATGTTCCAGTCAGTCGTTTCTTTGTCCAATTGAGACATTTTACTACTTATGCCAGTTTATCCAATTTTACCATTGGGAGTCCTTTCATATTGAACCTATGATTGCAATATACCCCTTTTCCTTCTAATTGCTGATGATTCATTGAAACATAGAACATGATGTGATGGGGTTCATGATTCAATGGGAGATTTTCACTAACTCGTAAATGTGTTATAATGTGGCACTTTCTTTCTAAAGGTTTTTACTGCAATTAGTTTCTCCAGCAGCTCTTGTGGATAACTCACCTGCCTTTTTAAATGTAGTAGAGACAAATCCTTTTAAGCATCTTACACACCTCTCCCTAAAACTTTTACCTGGAAATGATGTGGAAATAAAGAAGTTTCTAGCAGGCTGTTTGAAATGTAGCAAGGTAAGATTTAAATAGAAGTTATTCTTTTAAAATAACTGCTGAAACACTCTGATAAATCACTGAATACCTATATTGCTTTTAGTTTTGTTTTTTTGGAAAAGATGTCCAGGAAATTTTTATAACATGTAATGAGTTAATTTTATTTTTCATTTGCTGAAGGTACAAGGATAGAACTGAACCAGGAATTGAGAAAGTTAGGTCCCAGGGTTTTTACCAATTTTCTGAGATTTTGGGCAGGTTACTTAAACTCTGGGTGACATAGTTTCATCAGCTTGTAGATATGTGTAGAAATATCTAACCTATCTTAAATGGAATGAAATAAAATATCTGCAGGTATCCTGAAAATTACAAAGCGCCCTATGACAACATTGGGAGGACTCTTAAGAATGTTCAGAAAGTCTCCTTAGTCAAATGCTGTTGATCAGTGATCTCAAAATTTAATGGTATACAAATCTTCTAGGGATCTTGCTGACCCAGATTCTGACTGGGAAAGTCTGAGGTGGGTCTATGACGCTGCATTTCTAACAAACTTTAGCATGATGCTGAGGCTATACTTTGTGACAGAGTGAGTAATACAGCTACAGATGATTAAATTGTAAGCTACATAATTTTATTTTTATAAACAGGAGGAAAAATTATCATTGACACAATCGCTAGAAGATGTTACTAGGCAACTGAATTTCACACAAAAGGTAATTAAATTCCATTTTTCTTCATAAGTCATCCAAACATTGGCTCTGAATCTCCTCTTGAATCCCATCCAGGCTTTTGTGTATTTTTTCAAAGCATGCTACCACAGAATTCCTTCTCCTTTCCCACCTCTCCTACCAGTTAACTGTCTTAATCTGATGCTTTCTCTCCTTGATATTTTATTCCAGCCAAACATTTTTGTTATCCTAACATAGGACACATTCCCTCCAGGTCTTCGTTAAATAAGATAATGTATAGTAGCTGTCACGGTTTCCTTCTCTGCTCCTCTTGTTTACCTCATTCCTCTTATCTAAGGCGGACTTTCAGTTCCTGTCTCTTACACTTTTTCCTGTCTTCCTTCTGTTATGTTTAGAGTTAATTTCTCTGATAGGTTTATCATTTGTCATAACTACTACCTTTCTGCCCCTAGTACTTGAAATTGAGGACCAAAGTATCTGATAATCTGTTTTTCTACATAGCACAGCCCACCTTGGGAACCGTGTTACTGGGCTTTGTGTGTTAAGTGAACTAACTACTCCCTGTGGCTAACTGGCTCCAGTGTGGGTTTATTTACTTCTTCATGGGTGGTGAAGAGCCAGATTTAACTGAAAGGTTAAAGATACGTTAAGTTTGACTGGTGGGCCATTGTAGACCTAAAATTGCTTTTATTCTAAAATTGCTTTTATTCTCATCTTGATTCCCTCAAATTCAAGAAATCTTTGAGTATGTTTTAAAAACCTGTGATTCCTGCCCTGGCCGGTTTGGCCCAGCATTTAGAGCGTCAGTCTGCAGACCAGGGAGTCCCAGGTTTGATCCCATGGCCCCGCTTGGGGTCGTGCGGGTGGCAACTGATTGATGTGTCTCTCTCACATTGATGTTTCTCTCTTTCCTTCCCTCCCACTCTCTGTGAAGATAAATGTAAAAATATCTCTGGTGAGGATTAAAAAAAAAAAAAGCTGTGGTTCCATTTTCTTTAATATCTTTGTAAATGTTACCATATTCTAACCCGATAACCTATTCAGGAAACTCATAATATTTTTGTATTAAACTCTAATGCAGACATTATCAGAAAAAATCCAAGAATTAGATAAATTGCGGAACGAATGGGCGTCACACACAGCAGCTTTGTCAAGTAAGCACTCTCAGGAGCTGGCCAGTGAGAGGGAAAAGGCCTTGCAGGTATGAGCTCGAAGGGAACTGGAAAAGGGTTTGAATTGCTCTTGATCAGACTCTTTTTTTTTTTAATTTGTTTTTGTTACAGATGTTTCTCATTTCTCCCCCATTGACACCCTCCTCCCATTTCCCCCCACCCCATTCCCAGCTTTGTTGTCCATGTTCATTGGTCATGCATGCATGCATATAAGTTCTGTGGTTTATCCCCCCCAATCCCCCTCCTCTGAGGCTTGTCATTTTGTACCTCATCTCTATGTCTCTGGGTTAATTTTGTTCATCAGTTTGTTTAGTTCATTATATGCTGCAAATAAGTGAGATCATGTGATATTTCTCTTTTCTGCTTGGCTTGTTTCCCTTAGCATAATACTCTCTAGGTCATTCCATGCCATCTCAAAAGATAAGAGATCTTTTTTTTCTTACACTTGCATAGTACTCCATTGTGTATATGTACCATAGCTTTTTAATCCACTCATCTACTGATGGACACTTGGGCTGTTTCCAGATCTTAGCTATTGTAAATAGTGCTGCTACGAACATAGGGGGTACATATATTCTTTCTGATTGGTGTTTCAGGCTTCTTAGGGTATATTCCTAGAAGTGGGATCACTGGATCAAATGGCAGTTCAATTTTTAACTTTTTGAGGTAATACCGTGGTGTTTTCCACAGTGGCTGCACCAGTCTGCATTCCCACCAGCAGTGTACTAGAGTCCCCTTTTCTCCACACCCTCGCCAACACTTATTGTTTGATGATTTGTTGATGGCAGCCATTCTGACAGGTATGAGGTGATAGCCTCATAGTTGTTTTAATTTGCATCTCTCTGATGATTAGTGATGTTGAGCATTTCTTCATATGTCTCTTGACTATTTGTATGTCCTGTTTGGAGAGATGTCTATTTAGGTCCTCTGCCCATTTTTTAATTGGGTTCTTCGTCTTCCTTTTGTTGAGTTGTATGAGCACTCTATATATTTTGGAAATTAACCCCTTATCTGATGCATCATTGGCGATTATGCTCTCCCATATAGTGGGATTCCTTTCCATTTTGATGGTTGTTTCTTTTGCTATGCAGAAGCTTTTTAGTTTGATGTAGTTTCATGTGTTCATTTTTTCTTTTGTTTCTCTTGCCTTAGGTGTTGTATCTTGGTCATATTCTTAACTCAAAAGAGAACTATGTGCTGGCTTTCAAGTGTTCAGACATTCCAGAAGTCTACAAAAATAATCTCTTCTTCAGAGTCTTACTACCCAGAGATAATCTATGAATACTTGATGGGTTTTTATTTCAGACTTTTCTCCATGTTTGTAAATATATAACTTGTAAATATTTGTTTATATTTACACTTGAAATATGTGAATTACATATAATTATAGATACATGTATACACACAGTGAGTTTTAGTTTTGTCCTATGCTGATGAGATCCTACTGGATATATTGACTATAATGTTTTTTCACCCAAATAGTGGTTCTCAACCTTCCTAATGCTGCGACCCTTTAATACAGCTCCTCATGTTGTGGTGACCCCCAACCATAAAATTATGTTTGTTTCTACTTCATAACTGTAATTTTGCCACTGTTATGTCTTAGGCGACCCATGTGACAGGGTCATTTGACCTCCCAAGGGATCGCGACCCACAGGTTGAGAACCACTGAAACATGACATTGTAGGTATTGTTCTTTTTCAGTTCAGATATTTCTTTTTTTTTTTTTAATTTTTTTTTTTTTCCCCTCACCCGAGGACATTTTTCCATTTTTTGTTCAGGTAGAGTGGGAGAGAGAGAGAGGAACAGAGAGAGAGAGAAACATCGATGTGAAAGGAACACATCGAGTGGCTGCCACCCGCACAACCGACCAGGACCGGGGACAAGCTACAACCGAGGTACGCGCCCTTAGCGGGAACCGAACCCGGGTCTCTCAGGATCGCAGGCCGACGCTCTAACCGCTGAGCCAAACCGGCCAGGGCCAGATATTTCTTTTTTTCAGTGGCTGCATAGTAGTCATTATTTGGACATAAATTACTTAATGCTTACCCAACTGGTGGACATTAAAATCTTCAAATTTTTGGTTATTACAAATAATACTGTAGTGAACATTGCTTGCTCCTACAAGTGAAATTGCAATATACTCATATAAAATATTAATGGATATTGCACACTGTAACATCAAAGTGACTGAAGGATTTGTTTGCCTTCTTTACTGCTTTTTTTTTTTCAAATCTTTATTGTTGGATGTAAAATGTATTACAGATGTTCCACATTTTTCCCCCATTGACCCCCTCCTCCCTACTCCCGCCCCCCTCCCACCTTTTCCCACACTATTGTCTGTGTCCATTGGTTATGCATATAAGTTCTTTGGTTTATTTCTTCCCACCCCCCAACCCCTTTCCCTTTGAGGTTTGTCAGTCTAGCAGTGAATTTGTGCTTCTCAATCCCTTCACCTTTTTCACCCATTCCCCAACCCCTCTCCCAACTGGCAACCAACAAAAATGTTCTCTGTATCTATGAGAATGTTTCTGTTCTACCTGTTCATTTTGTTTGTAGATTCCATTGTTGATAGATCTGTGTTCATTGCCATTTTGTTTGTTCATACATTTTATCTTTTCCTTCAAAAAGACCATCATTTCATATAATAATGGTTTGGTAGTGATGAACTCCTTTAACTTTTTCTTGTCTGGGAAAGTTTTTATATGTTCATCGATTCTAAATGACAGCTTTGCAGGATAGAGTAATTCTGGTTGTAGGTTCTTGGTTTTCATCACTCTGACTATTTCTTGCCACTCCCTCTGCCCTGCAAAGTTTCTTTCGAGAAATCAGCTGACAGCCTAATGGGAACTCCCTTGTAGGTAACCAGCTGCCTTTCTCTTGCTGCTTTTAAGATTCTCTCTTTGTCCTGAACCTTTTGCATTTTGATGATGATGTGTCTTGGTGTGGGCCTCTTGGGGTTCATCTTGTTTGGGACTCTGTGCTTCCTGGACTCGTATGTCTGTTTCCTTCACCATGTTAGGAAAGTTTTCTGCCATTATTGTTTCAAACAGGTTTTCGATTTCTTGTTCTTGCTCTTCTTCTTCTGGCACCCCCAAGATGCGAGTGTTGGCACGCTTGAAGTTGTCCCAGAGGCTCCTTACATTATCGTCATTTTTTTGGATTCTTTTTTCTTTTTGCTGTTCTGATTGGGCATTTTTTGCTTCCTTATATTCCAAATCGATGGTTTGCTCCTTGGATTTACGTATTCTATTATTGAAGCTGTGTAAATTATTCTTTATTTCAGTTCATGCCTCCTTCAATTCTGTGTATCCATGATTTCTAACTGGTCCTTTTTTATGCTCTTGAGACCCTCCCTAAGTTCACTGAGGTTCTCACTAAGTTCATTGAGCATCCTTACAAGCAGTATTTTGAACTCAGTATCTGTTAGTTTGCTTATCTCCATTTCGCTTAGTTCTTTTATTGGGGTTTTGTTCTGTTTTTTCATTTGGGACGTGTTTCTTTGTCTCCTCATTTTGGCTGCCTCCCTGTGTTTGTTTCTGTGTATTACTTAATGAGAGGTATGAGGCTAGCTGAGACCAGATGCTGCTCTTTTGAAAGAATTTAGGAAAAACCTGAAGCAGGATCCAAGACTGGCCAATCCTATGGTTAAGCAAGTGGCTACAGCTTGGGTGGGCTTGAAAGTTGGGTTGGGCGGGGCGGGGCCTCAGGGAGTCAGCAGGGCGGGGCTACCAGTGTGATCCAGGTTGCTGGAGTCCCAGATATGGCTTCTGTCTGCCACCCCCGGGAAGGGCTCACCAAAGGAACAAAGGCCTCTTACAGCACGTTTGTCCCCGAGAAAGCCCCCTCTCCAGCCCTTGCTCCAGTGCCAAACAGCTCAGTTCTTCCCTGTGTGTCTCTGGCACCCCTCGAGCTGCCTCCCCTCCGAGCTTAGAGGGAGAGAGTCCGATAAGTCCGTGCGCGGGCCCTTTAAGGAGCTGCCTGGGGCTCCAGCCGCCTCAGCTTCCCTGAGCCTCAGTTCCTGCTGGTTTTTCCAGCCAGAAGTGATGGGGATTCTCTTCCTGGCACTGGAACCCTGAGCGGGGCACCTGGTGTGGGACGGGGACCCCTCAGTCCTCAAGGAGGACCTTCCCAGCCAAGGTGTCCTCCTGATTTTTATCCGCCACACGTGGGTGTGGGACCAGCCCGTCGCGCCCCTCGCGCCGCCGCCCCTCCTACCAGTCTGGATGTGGCTGCTGCTTTAATTCCGTAGTTGTAGGGCTTCCATTCAGCTTGATTTCAGGCGGTTTTGAATGATGGTTGTTCTGTAGTTTAGTTGTAACTTTGATGTGGTTGTGGGAGGACGCGATACCGCGTTTACCTACCCGCCATCTTGACCGGAAGTCTTCTTTACTGCTTTTTATGATAGGTTGTGAATCAGTCCTTTGAGACTTTAAAACTAGGCCACTCTGTTCTCCTCTTGCTGGTAGATTTTCTATCAGAATCAACTGAAATAAAGTAGAAAATGTAAATGATGTAATTCTGTCCTACACCTTTTTTTTAAAACAAAAACGCCAAAATTGTAATGATCACTGGGATCATTTTTCTCCTTATACTGCCTTTGGCCTGAGTTGCCTGGAGTGTGTCTGAGCACCCTCTGAGACAGCTCTAGTCAGCACCTTGCCCGGATCGCTCCGCTGTTTCCTCTGGGTGCTCCTGCAGCGGCTCTCTGCAGGGCTACGCTTTCCCTTTTAAATGGCCTCTTTCCTGTTTTATCTTTTTTGCTCCCTTCTCCTCCCCTTTTCAATTTTTCAAAAATGGGGGTATTCATAAAGTAGTTATGTGAAATTTCCGAAGTATTTTATGAAAGAAATACTTTCCTATACTTGTGGTAGGAATTTTTGAATGGGTACAACTTTTCTATAATGCAGTTTTATATTTTATTTTATTTCTTAATTTGTTTGTTGTTAGTTTTTATAAGCAAAAGTTTATTTAAAAAGTCACGGAGGTAGAAGAATTGAGCCAGCTGGGCTTTGCGGGCTCAGGAAACAGGCAAAGGAAGGACCCTTGGAGCTTGTGGGGGTGGAGGGGAGAGAACGCTGGAATGCAGTTTTAGAACTTCTGTCGAGCTTTATATATGTTTACATTCTTTTACCTATAGTTGATCATAAGGAAATAATCTGAATTCTGGATGTGTGTCTATCTATGTACCATAATATGAATTGTTTTATTTGTAATTGTTAAATTGGAAACTGTCCACAGTAGGGCAGGGATTAAATGAATGAAGGTACAGCTATGGGTGGAGCGCTGGGCAGCTACGAACGTGTTTGCAGAGTTTTTCTAGTGGCGTGAGGAGGTGTAGATGGTAAGAGAATAAAACGCATGATTAGCCCTGGCTGGTTTGCTCAGCAGTTAGAGCATCGACCCGTGGACCCAAGAGTCCTAGGTTTGGTTTCCACTAAGGGCGCTTGCCTCAGTTGTAGTTTGTCCCTGGCCCTGGTTGGAGCCGTGTAGATGGCAGCCACTGGATGTGTCCCTCTCACATAGATGTTTCTCTCTCTTTCCCTCCCTCTCTATCTCCTGCTCTGTCTGAAAATAAATGCAAGAAAAAAAGAGCATGATTAAATTGTGTACATACTTTGTTCACTTAAATATGTAAATTGTGCATGTGTGGGTGATATTAATTTATATAAATGGCTGGAAAGAAATACCCTACATCTTTAGAGTGACTTGCTGGATGAGATTATTGGTTATTTGTGATTTCTTTCTTTATGCCTTTAAGAGCATGTATAACTTTCATAATCAGAAAACTAGACTTTATTTTTTAAAAGTATTTAGGATTTGATAGTGTTCATCAACAGAAGTTACCAAGATATGTTGTAGTATGATTCAAACAGCACCAGAGCTTACACAGTTCAAATTTTAGTTTTGGTAAAATGTGACTACTAAATGTAGGACTAACTAATGCACAATATCTTGCTGATTTCACAAATTTAGGGGGTGGTGTTTTTTTTTAATTTCATTATAAAACATATTCTTGTAAAAAACAGAAACAGCATAATGGTGTTTAAAGCAAATATTGAAAGTTTCTTATGGACCTACTTTTTTTTTTAAACAAATAGGTTCACTCTATACATACTGTTTTGTAGTTTGTTCTTTTTACTTACTCATACATTACTCTTCTCTGAATTTGAAGATTATTACATCTAAACATATATGTGTCTAGGAGAAGCAGAAGTTATGAGTGAGGTTAGAGTATAAATCTGTCTTACTTTCTCCTTCATGAAATCCATAATTGAAAATAGATCCTCTTCAGAACAGGGGAATCTTATAATTATATAGAAGAATAACTAAGATTTTTTTCTTCTTCAAATTTTCCTGTGTTTGTATTTCTGGTTTTTTTTTCTTTTTGAGATTGGTACTGTATCTTATTATATAATAGGCGCAGGTTCACTACCAACAGCAGCATGAGCAGCAGAAAAAAGACTTAGAAATCCTCCATCAGCGAAACAGCCAGCAGCTGCAGAGCAGGTTGTCTGAATTAGAAGCAGCTAATAAAGACCTCACCGAAAGGAAGTACAAAGGAGATGCCACCATCAGAGAACTTAAAGCAAAACTGTCCGGGGTTGAGGAGGTATTGAACATTGGCTTTGGTCCCCCCCCCCCCCCCCATATAAAGAACTTATAGCAACAGAGATAAATATTAACTCTAGATTATGGTTCTCACCCTTGGCTATCCTTCGAATCAGTTGCAGAAGTATTAAATGTCCTAGTGCCTGGTCCTTCCCTCATACTGACTAAATCAGAATCTCTTGGGGGTGGTACCAGGCATCTGACAGATGTACCTTGGAGATATTTCAGGTTGGGTTCCAGAGCACCGCAATAAAGCGAGTACAGTGGTTTTTAAAAACTTTCCAGGTGATGCAATACGCAGATGAGTTTGAGGGTCGCTGTTTAGATGGTAGAATGATAAGGTTTTTAATTTATTTTATGTATTTTGAAATTCTATTGTAATCAGTATTTATTACCTAAGTGATTTTTTAAGACAAAATTTTCTCGTGTCTGTGTTTCTGTTTTTTTCTTATTAGCTTTTTTTTTCAAGTTTTAGTAATCAATTCATAAATTAGGATTGTTTTATTTTCCCTTGTTGTGATTGGATTAATTTTAGTCTATTTTACAGCTCTATTCCAAATCACAAGTTACATATACCCTTAGACTTTCATGTCCTTTAGAAAAACATCAGTATTAAAACTTTAAAGTTATTGAAGATTTTTTTATATTTTAAACATTTTAATTACAGATATGTAATCAGATGGGCCAGCTTCACGTTTTCACTATGCATCATTGTTTCCCCTCCTCTAGGAGCTCCAGCGGGCTAAGCAAGAAGTCCTCTCTTTGCGGAGGGAGAATTCTACACTGGACGCCGAATGCCACGAAAAAGAAAAGCATGTTAATCAGCTACAAACAAAGGTGGCTGTTTTAGAACAGGAAATCAAGGATAAGGACCAGCTTGTTCTAAGAACAAAAGAAGCGTTTGATACAATCCAGGAACAAAAGGTCTGTTTTAAAATTTTGTAAAGAAATTGATGTTCACATTTATAGACGGATGCTCTTCTTAAACAGTTGTCCTAATCATGTTTTTAAAAATATATCAGGTGGCTTTAGAAGAACATGGTGATAAAAATCGGGTGCAAATAGGAAAACTTGAAGATACCATAAAATCATTATCAGCAGAACTACTTAAGGTTTGTCTTTAAAAATAATAGCACATTAATATTTTATTGGATTATGTAGAAGTAAACATGAAGCTCTTTTACAGGCAAATGAAATTATCAAGAAGTTACAAGGGGATCTGAAAACTTTAATGGGTAAATTGAAACTGAAGAACACGGTTACCATTCAGCAAGAGAAACTCTTGGCTGAAAAGGAAGACAAATTACAAAAGGAACAAAAGGAATTACAAGATGTGGGACAGTCTCTCCGAAGTAAAGAGCAGGAGGTGATTCATATTCCATACTTCTTTCTGCAGGCAGGATTATTTGTAAAGGATACAGATTTCCTCAGACATAAGTTTAAATTTCTGCTTTGTTATATTAGAAAATGGCTTGGGCTATTTTTTTTTTCCCCCAAAGAGCATGACTAGATTCAACAGAAGTTAGTAACTTATTTTTGTTTGAAAAGTTAGTTATCATGGCTCACATACCTTGAGTGTTTGTGTGTGTGCACAAATATTTTCCTGCATAGGTGAGCTAATTTTATCATTTAATAATAATTAGGAACAATGGACTCTTTAATTAATAGTAATACATTTCTCCAGTTTTTATTTTAGTCTTTATTATACTGATGAGGATTGACAAATTTCAGGTATGCAAATTACAAGAACAATTAGAAGCTACCATTCAAAAACTTGAAGAAAGCAAACAGCTTCTAAAAAATAATGAAAAGTGTAAGTATGTTATCTTTTTATGTAAATAAAATTTGTAGTTTTATTCTTTTTTTGATAGAGTGGGAGGGAGGGATGGGGAGAGAGAGAAAGAGAGGAAGAAACAGTGTGAGAGAGACACATCGATTGGTTGCCTCCCACACGACCCTGACTAGGGTTGGGGATGGAACCTGCAACCCAGGTACATGCCCTTGTCCGGGAATCAAACCCAAGACCTTTGGTCCAAGGGCCAGTGCTCTAACCACTGAGCAAACTGGCCAGGGCTATAGTTTTATTTTTAACCTGAATATTATATTTGAATTCTTAGAAGTTTAGGAAAATCAGGATATTGCTATATACAAATAATTTCTGTTTGAAATACAGTGTTTTAATGTCTTTGCTGTAGTAAATTATATCACCTGCCCTGTAAAACAATTACCATCATTTTATAAAAAACAAACTATATTATATGTATTGGTAACCCAAAATTAAAAGTATTGAAAACATTAACTATAACTTATAAAGTTCTTCACGACTCTTTTTTAATTGCTGTATTTACCTAATAGTAATAATATGAATTATTAAGCCTTTAACATTTTTCTGAGTTTCTAGTATCGGTTGTCAGATGTGAGTATGAACTTGAAGTAAACTGTAAGGTATTCTAGAAATGAAAGCCTTCAGAGGGATCCTTTAGTTAGGCTAGTGATAGAATAAGGGGTCCTATTTGGCAGTTGCTAAAATGAGAATCTTCAATGACAGAAATTTAAGTTGTTCTCCTGTGATAGGAGGTAGTTTAAAAAACTTAAAATTTTAGAAACCTGAATAGAATTTTTAAATATTTAAAATTATTTGGAAACTAAAAACAGTCTAATAAAGTTCTTTCCCTTGTTTCTTGTTCTTTTCTGTCAGTGATCACATGGCTAAATAAAGAACTCAATGAAAACCAGCTGGTGAGGAAGCAGGGCGTGCTGGGCCCTGCCACCACGCCGCCAGGGCTTCCGGCCAGCGCCCTCAGGGGCGGAGTCTCTCCCAGCCCCAGTGCGGTGAGATTTAAACGGGGACTGCGTTTCCTACAGCAGAATGTTCCAGATTGTTAGGAAGTCTCCGTGATGTAGGTGCTGGTGCTGAAAGATTAGTGTCTTGCAGTTATTAGTACTGGTAGAGTTTAACTAGTTGCCCGGAAGTGGGACACATTGGTGTACTTGCTCTTAAGAGAGGCTGTATTTCAAGGGCACACACATACACACACACACACACACTCCCCTCCCTTCCTTCCTCCATCCCTCCCTCCCTCTCTCTCTCTCTCTCTCTCTCTCTCTCTGCACACACATATATATATTTAGGAGGCCTCAAGAAGGGAGAACAAGATTTGGTCTCCAGTTTGGAACTGTGGCAGAACGAACCTGAATGGAGTTCTGTCAGAGAGACAAAAGTCCTGCTACCAGGCTTGTCAGCTCTGCATTCTGGAAAAAAACTGCCTGTGAGAGAAGTTTTCTAGCTTCCAGGACCAGATCTCTTTTTCCTTGCCAAAAATGAGACCTGGGTGTTGATAGGAGCTGGACTGGCACTCCCAGCTAGGGTCGGACGAGCCCACTGTGACTGCTGGGTCAAGACACAAGCAAGACCACTCCAGCCCTGGCCAGTGACTCAGTTAGTTGGAGCGTCATCTGGTACACCAAAAGGTTTCAGGTTCAGTTCATGGTCAGGGAAAATACCTAGTTGCAGGTTTGATCCCTTGTCAGGGCACATGGGAGGCAGCTGATCTATGTTTCTCTCTCTCTCTCTCTCTCTCTCTCCCCCCCCCACCCTCTCCTTCTCTAAAAAAAATTAATAAACATGTCCTTGGTGAGAGGATTAAAAAAACAAGTCCACTCCATAATCATGTCTGAACACAGACGAAAGTACAAACATTGCCAAACCACAAAAGTGGGCAAACATCTTATCCTTGGTCACCTGGATCCTTTAGTCCCAGTTACAACTTTGGCTTAATGCATTTCTCCTGCCTTCAGATGAGATTTACTCGTACCCAGACAGACAGTTAGCCTCATCTTATAGCATCCAGTCCATAGGAAAGCCCCACTTTCTCAAACCATCTCTAAGTCATCTAGCATCTGGCTATAAGTCCCTTTAACAGCCTGTGACTGACACCCTGTGGTTCCTCATTGCGTGCAGTCTTCCTCAATGCCAGGAGCAAGAAGCAATGATCTACCCAGCGAGTGCACCTGTAGATGTATTTCTGGAGTCACTGGCTGGAGTGCTTTGGCAGAGGATTTAAAGTTCAAATGTCTAATGAATTTCTAATCTGCTGGGAAAGGATTTCTGCTTATTTGGAAAAGTGTAGAAAGAGGTGCCTGATACTGAATTACAAAGTTGAAAAGACTGATGATAAATTGCTGTGTGAAGGATATTATTTGTTACACAGCCACTGATGTACACACTTAATATTTGTGTTTCAGCTGGCTTCTTACTCAGTCAACTGTCTTCATGACATTGGTTAATGATGGTGTTTGTAGAATGAAAATTATCAGCAAAGCAAATAATTGTCTCAGTCAGTTTAAGAACACTGATGATCTTGTTCCTACTCTGGCAGAAGATACTTTTTTTTATTCCTGATTGGTTTATTGATCTATGACTCCACTCCTTTCCCCCTTTTTTGGAGTGGGGGCAGGAGGGAACCCAGATGCTTCAGAGTCTTTGTTTTCATTGTTCCAGGCAGGTTCAGTGGTGGGTGTGTTGAGCTTGCACAACCCCTCGGACAGGCCGAGCCCCGACCTTGCGCTGTGTGACCAAGCAGAGCTTGGTGGTGTCATGGTGGGCACAGTTGGCCTCTGAGATGGCGCTGTTAACTCAGCTGTTACAGCACATGCTGATGCCTCTTGGACCAGCACATACTGTTTAGAAGTGATTTCTCATTGTTAACGTTCTTGTATTTGTATTTTTAGGTTGATGGTAGACTGACTTACCCAGCTTGTGGAATTGGTTACCCTGGCTCCTCAGCATTTGCTTTCCAGAACACCTTTTCCCACCCTCTGTCTGCCAAGAGCACCGGCTACCCAGGTGTAGGACCAAAGGTAGGGAAATTTGTACTATTTCTTTTTAACATGGCAAATTATTAACATATATAAATCTTTAAAAATGTATTTTGTGCCCTGGCCAGCTTGACTCAGCGGTTAGAGCATCAGCCCTTGGACTGAAGGGTCTTGGGTTTGATTCCTGGTCAAGGGCACATACTTGGGTTGCAGGTTCGATCCCTGGCCTCAGTGTCTCTCTCACATTGATGTTTCTCTCTCTCTCTCTTTCTCTCTCTCCCTCCTTCCTCCTCCCTCATCCTCTTCCCTCCTCCCTCCCTCCCACTCTATCTAAAAATCAGTGGAAACTATCCTCTGGTGAAGATTAACAACAACAAAAAGTATTCTGTGATCAGCTGTGAGTATGGGATAGTGTATGAGATGAATGTATTATTGACTGTCTAGTGTGTGTGCTTACAGGAAATACTGTGCACTGTGTGATATGTCTTGTCATTGGGATTTATAACTGTCTGGACATCATCTGCATAAACTGTATTTATTCCTATTCAACCACTCTCTTTTTATTCATTCTTCTACTTATATCTCCTACAACTCTCAGACCTAACCAGGACTCCTGCTGCTGAGTGGGAGCTGTGGCGTCTGTTTCAGATTCCGTTGCCAGTACTTCCAGGTCTGGAAGGGAGGCTTAGAGCAGAGCCCGAAACGCAGTTCTGACGTCCTCTCAGACGGAGCGTGCTCAGCAGTCCCTCTGGTTGTTGGTTTCCTTGCTGAGGCTCTTTGCATTAATTTGAGTTCTTCATCATCATTGTTATTCCCAGTGTCCTAGATTTATTTATTCTTTTCACATGTGTTATTTTACTTTCACAGTGATCTAATCCACCCAGACCAACCACTGATTTTATTTTCATTCCTAACTTCTGGTCTAGATTGATTTCTTCCTCTACATCTTAGAGACAAACATTTCAGAAAGAATTTTATAAAAGGCACAGCTGAGGGCTTTGGAAACGCGTTAGGAGCCCTCAGGTTGCTCTGGCCGCTGTGCTGCTCTGTGGCTTTTGTCTGAGTGACTGTCCGGACTAGAGAGAAGCTGCAATGAAATGAGAATTAAGCCACTTTTATGTTTAGAATAGCATTGTATAGAGTATTTAGATGCATTTTATTAACTTGCTTTGTAAGTTAAGAAGAATTAGATATGTATATTCAAAAGAATACTTTTATTTATTTATTTATTTTTATCCTCACCCGAGGACATTATTTTTTTCCCCATTTTTTGTTCAGATAGAGTGGGAGGGGGAGAGAGAGAGAAACCTAGACGTGAAAGGGACACATCGAGTGGCTGCCACCTGCACGACCAACCAGGGCCAGGGACAAACTGTAACTGAGGTACGTGCCCTTAGTGGGAACCGAACCTGGGTCTCTCTGGACCGCAGGCTGATGTTCTAACTGCTGAGTCAAACCAGCCAGCGCTGTTCTTTCTTTAAATACAATCACACTTGAGTGTACGGATTTTTATCATAGCATCAGTTTTTTCTTGAGAATTATGATTGAGTTCAAAATTGCTTTTCATTTTAAACAGCTTTCCAGGATTTATATAATGTGTAAAAGGAGGATAAGAACAGGTTGGTAGGGCTAAACGTGACTTAGGAAATAATAGGTTTACCTTTCTTATAGTCCAACAGGAATCCTAGAACAAGATCGTTCTTCCTCACGGGCGTGGCCTGCAGGGAGTCCTGTGTCATTTTGCTACACGCGCTTGTGATCGTGTGTCCCCAGCAGTGAGACACAAATGAAAACAAAACACTTTGAGTTTAAGCCTCTAAAGCATGAATATTTGTTAATTGCATGCTATGCTACTGAGCTACTGTATTATATACAGTGTACTTTAAAGGTTAACATAGAATCTGATGTGAAAGTTTTAATACTGCCTCTGTCAAGCCACTGAAAAACAACAAAAGCAGTATCCAACTCATGCTGCAGTTTCCACTTGTAAAATGGAGCAAGATCTTAAGTACCTTACTAGATTATTGTGGGGTGAGTGAGTTAATGTATTTGCTTAGAATATTACCAGGTGCATGGTAATTGCTCCATAAATGGTATCTATTATTATTAATAAAATGTACTCAAAAATAGAAATTAAAGAATGAGATTAAAAATGTATATAACTTGCCCTGGCTGGTGTGGCTCAGTTGGTTAGAGTGTCATCTAGTACACCAAAAGATTGTGGGTTTGATCCCCAGTTAGGATGCCTATGGGAGGCAATCAATCAATGTTTCTCTCCCTCCCTCCCTTCTTCCCTCTCTCTCTAAGATCAATAAAAATAATATCCTATGATGAGGATTTAAAAATGTATATAAGTCAAAATTACAGGATTTTTTCTTATACCTCAGTGGATGGTTGTAATCACCGCCTTCCTTGGAGACCACTAATCTGGGTAGCCTTGTGCTAGCATCTGCTGCATGTGATCGTATGCACATTCATTCAGCTTGTGCTCTGCTACTGGGCTGTTAGGTTGTTTGCGGTCTCTGTGGCCTTACACAGATTTGTAGGATGGATTCTGGAAGGTAACTGGGTTATAGGCATTTTGGCCTGTGTGGTATTTTCATGGTTATTAAGTGAGGAGCATCTTTTTATATATTTATGGGTTGTGTTTCTTCTATAAAATTTCTGTTAATCAATTTTATTCATCTTTGGGATATTTAACCATTATAAAATGATGTCATAAATATATTTTTTAATCCTCACCTGAGGATAATTTTTACATTAATTTTTTAATAAAGCTGGAGGGAGAGAAGGAGGAAGGGGCGGGGAGAGAGAGAGAAACAACGATGCGAGAGAGACGCATCGATTGGTTGCCACCCGCACAACCCCGACTAGGGCTGGGGATGAACCGCAACTGAGGTACGTGCTCTTAGCTGGAATCGAACCAGGGACTCTTTGGTCCGCGGGTGATGCTCTTACTGCTGAGCCAGACTGGCCAGGGCTATAAATAGTCTTATATGTTCCAGACATTAGCTGTTGGTTTTATATATTTATTGTCATCATTTCTCTATTTTGGACTTGTCTTTTTAGTCTCTTTATGGTGCCATTTATTTATTTATGTGTTTATGTATTTATGTATGTATGTATATATGTACTTACATACGTACGTACATGCCCCTAGTGGAAACCAAACCCGGGACTCTCTGGTCTGCAGGCTGATGCTCCAACCGCAAGCCAAACTGGCCAAGGCTCTTTATGATGCCTTTTAAATTTAAAACTTTACTAAGATATAATTTACATGCCATAAAATGCTCCCATTGTTATGTTTACAATTTAATAACTTGAGACAGTTTGTAGAGTTGTGACACCGTCACAACAGTCCAGTTTTAGAGTATTTATGTTTTCCTGACAAGTTCCATAGTGCTTTCTGCAGGTGATCCGCACTCTTCCCCTAAGCAGATGAGCAACTACTGATCTGCTTTCTGTCTCCATAAATGTGCCTCTGCGTTTTATAGAAATGGAATCATGCAGTGTATAGCTTTCCTTGTCCTTTTTGGTCAGTGTCAGATGTCTGAGGTTGTGCAGAGGCTGGTGCACATGAGTAGTTCGCTCCTCGCTGCGGTGCCCTGTATGGCAGGCCGCGTCTGTGCCTCCGTTTGCCGTGTGAGGGCCAGCTGTGTCATTTTCAGTTTGGGGCTACCGCAGAGAAAGCTGCTGTGGACATTGGTGTGCAGCCTTTTATTTCTCTCGAGTGAATACCTACGAATAGAACGACTGGAGACATACTCAATTTTTAAGAAACTGCCCTATTTTTCTGAAGTGGCTATAACATTTTCAGTCCTGCACTGCCTGCTGTCCAGTATTTGAGAATATTTTTATTATTTTGTCCAATTTTCTAATTGTTTATGATTGGTGGTCAGAAACTGTGTTATGTATTAATATCTGATACTCAATTTTCCTCACTTTTTTTGCATGTTTATTTTTTATAAGGAATATTAGAATCACTTTGTCTTGCTTTTAAAAAGTCCTGTTTGGCCCATCTGGTGTGGACTCAGTGGTTGAGCGTTGACACATGCACCAAGAGGTTGCAGGTTCGATTCCCGTTCAGGGCACATGCCTAGGTTGTGGGCCTAATCCCCAGTGGAGGGCATGCAGGAGGCGGCTAGTTGTTGTCTCTCATTAATGTTTCTGTCTCTCCCTCTCCCTTCCTCTCTCTAAAATCAGTAAAGGGAAAAAAATTATTTTAAATAAAAAAAAAATTAAAAAGTTCTATTTGTGTTTAATGTTACCATGTTAAATGTGTAGATCAATGTTGGGAAAATCAATAACTTTTTGGTGTGCAATTTTTATTCATTTTTGTTACAGATGTTTCTTCTTTTCTTCCCCCTACAACACCCCCCTCCCGATCCCTCCCCCAGCATTGTTGTCTGTGTCCATTGGTTACACATGCATGCATATAAGTTCTTTGGCTTATCTCATCCCTCCCTCCTGCCCCCTCTGAGATCTTTCAGTCTGAACCGTACTCCTTTCTGTATCTCTAGGTCTGTTGTTCATCAGCTTATTTTGTTCATTATAATCCACAAATAAGTGAAATCGTGTAGTATTTGTCTTTCTCTGATTAGCTTATTTTGCTTAGCATAATATAGTCGGCCCTCATTTATTGCAGTTAATCATATCCAGACTCTACCGTGATAAATGAATTTCCGCGAAGTAGGATTGTTTATACAGTCTTCCCTCGCCACTTCACTCTTCTTCAAAAACACCACATGATAGGATAGAGTGAAGCCACGAGTCGAAGCGCGAAGTGTCAAGGGGCGACTGTACTCTCCAGGTCTTTCCATGTCATCTCAGAGGATGAGAGATCTCTCTTTCTTACAGCTGCATACTGTTCCATTATGTAAATGTACCACACCTTTTTTGTATTTTATTTTTTATTTTTGCCTTTATCTTTAGATAGAGCAGGAGGAAAAGAGGGAGGAAGAGAAGTGAGAGAGAGAGAGAAACACCAATGTGAGAGAGATACATCGACTGGTTGCCACCCACATGACCCCAACCGGGGCCTTGGGGCCGCAGACAAACTGCAACTGAGGCACGTGCCCTTAGTGGGAACTGAACCCCAGACTCTCCAGTCTGCAGGCTGACGCTCTAACTGCTGAACCAAACTGTCCAGGGCGATCACAGCTTTTTGATCCACTCATCTGCTGATGGACATTTGGGCTGTTTCCATATCTTAGGTATTGTGAATAGTGCTGCTGTGAAAATGGGGGTACATATATTCTTTCTGATTAGCGTTTCAGGTTTCTTAGGGTATATTCCTAGAAGTGAGATCACTGGGTCAAAAGGCAGATCAATTTTTAATTTTTCGAGGAAACAACATACTGTTTTCCATAGTGGCTGCACCAGTCTGCATTCCCACCAGCAGTGTTCTAGAGTCCCCTTTTCTCCACACCCTCACCAGCACTTGTTTGATGATTTGTTGATGGCGGCCATTCTGGCAGGTGTGAGTTGTATTAATTTGCATCTCATAGTTGTATTAATTTGCACCTCTGATGATTAGTGATGTTGAGCCTTTTTTTATATGTTTCTTGGCCATTTGTATGTTCTTTTTGGAGAGGTGTCTATTTAGGTCCTCTGCCCATTTTTTAATTGGGTTCTTTGTCTTTTGTTGAGTTGTATGAGTATTCTATATTTTGTACATTAACCCTTTATCTGATGTATGGTTGGCAGTTACACTCTCCCATATGGTGGCTTCTCTTTCCATTTGGATGCTTGTTCCTTTTGCTGTGCTTTTTAGTTTGATGTAGTCCCATGTGTTCATTTGGGAAAATCGGTATCTTTAGAATACTGAGCCTTGATAGCCAAGGACAGCAGCATTTAGCTTTCTAAGTTCTAATTTTATCCTGTTATGCTACTGTCTATGCTGATTTTATTAGGAGTTTTTACCAAAAATACTGTTTTTGTGTGCCTTTGATCTGTTAGGGTGGGGATTCATGTTTGTGGGTTTCCTAACGTAGACATTCACACATTCCTGGTGTGAGACCTGCTCAGTCACATTAGCTGTTACTAAAAATAGTTCTGTACTTCATGCTGATGTTTTGGTTTGGTCTTTTACATAGATTCTTGGATTACTTCTGATTATTTCAAAATTCAAATTCCTAGTCCTCATTCATAGCCCTTAAATAAATCTAACACAGGCTTTGAAAGTTCTCGAAAAGGGAAAATTCTCCCACAGCGCATGGTGAGTGTGGCATTGCCGAGTGTGGGTCCTTTCGCCTCAGCACTTGTTTAAATATGTCAGTGTGTGTGCTTTGTTTCCACTGTTCGTCTTGTTGTGTGACAGGAACTTTTTGGGCAAAGAGAGTATCTCTTCTCATTAAATCTGCTCAATAAAATGTGTTTGTGTTATGAACTAAAGGGTAAACCTGGCCATGTATGTTCTAGAGTATCAGAAAAAACATTTAACCACCTACCTCTGTATAGAATTGTCTCCATTCTCACTAATTTAGTTACATGAGATGTTTTCTCCCTTTCCAGGTTCAGTTTAACTTGCAGTTTACGCAACCTGGTACGTCGCTAGGGGATGCCCAGTCAGCAGCAGCTATTAGTGTGCCTTGCTCCGCTGATAAGGAAAAGTAAGTACTTGTTGACATAAGACTTCATGCTCGTCGCTTTGAAAGTCATCTAGAAGATTCGATCGGTGCTTGGAAGGCCTTGGTGCCTACTTATTTGTGACACTTTAAGTTGATGATCAGTGGAACTTAAGTTTGGTCCTTCGTAGCTGTAAGAAAAAGGTTATTCATATATTTTTTAAAACTCTATAATACAGTTAGATATATAGTGAAATTTTTAAAAAGAGATTTTTCTACATAACTGAAGATCCCCTTTCAAATATTCTTGAGCAGGTAGCCAGAAATCTTTTCAATTCCCAGGAGTCCGCTGCTCGTGGTTCTGTTTCCCAGAGGCTGCCTGCCGCCCGCAGCACTCCTTTCTTCTGACCTCGAGTGAGCTGGTGAGCCAGCTGCTCAGACTGCTCTGATCCACAGACCAGCCAGTGAAAGTGCTAGAAGCCTTTGGTAAATAAGAGTACAAAGGCTGGTGAGATTGTCCCATAGTGAGCATAAATAAGCTTTACTGTCAGTCTGTGACTTCTCTTGTGCCTACTCAGATTTCTTCCTTTGTCTTAGATCTCAAATGGCCATGAGCTGTGGCTGAATTAAACAGCTCATGTATGCAGACTTGTCTCTCCAGTAGTCCTCCTGTTTATGATGTTATCCGTATGCTTCCTTGTTAAAATTCATTAGCTTTAAGGGCCACCTGCTGGCCCTGGTCCACAGGAGCAAAGAGGCTTCTTCCTTCAGCTGTCTGGCCTTGATTCCTTGGCTGCTCTGAAGCTGCCACCAGGACAAGTCTCAAAATAGTGAGCAGTTGGGAACCTCTCTTTTTATCAGTGGTGGACACCGTAATGTTCATGTACTTAATCATGTCACACACCAAAAGCCAGTTTACTTGCACAACGCCTGATGACCATATTTACAGAACAGAGCCAAACAATCATGTTCATAAAATTAGAACTGGTCAGCTATTTTGAGTTTTTTCTGTTTAAAACTTTTTTTTTTCTTTTTCATTGTCAGCTAGTAAAAAGTGGCAGTGGGTATCAAAGGTTAAAGAAAAAAAAGTTAAAATTGAAAAAGTACCTATGCACCTATTTCATTCTTTGCTAGAAATTGGGAAGAGACCATCCTTTGATTTTAAGGTTATAATGTCATTGTTTTGCAAGGGCTTTTAATTTCTTAGTATAATTGTATTCCAGAGCAGCTGCTAACACTGGGCAGATTCCGGGGGAAGGGATCTAGTGGTGGAAGGGATCTAGTGGTAGAAAGGCGAAAATACAAGCACAAGAGTTTTCTTTCTTTTTTTTTTTTTTTTTTTTTTTCAGAGAGAGTGGGAGAGAGAAAAACATCGATTGGCCGCCTCCTGCACACCCCCCACTGGGGATTGGGCCCACAACCTGGGCATGTGCCCTGACTGGGAATCGAACTGGTAACCTCTTGGTGCAGGGGTCGATGCTCAACCACTGAGCTACATCAGCCAGGCCATAGTTTTCTTTCTGAAATATCATGTTTGTATTAGTCTAGTCAGAATTCCTTCTTGTCACAATGTATATTAATGACCACTTTGAAGCACAATTTTTAAAGAAAGAAGAAAGCATTCATTTTAAATATTGGTTGAGATAGGAAATCCTAAATAATATTGATATTCTCAGGGCATGCACGTGTTTTTTTTTTATCCTCACTCGAGGACATTTTTCCATTTTTTGTTCAGATAGGGTGGGAGGGAAGGAGAGAGAGAGAAACATCGACGTGAAAGGGACACATCGAGTGGCTGCCTCCCACATGACCCAGCCAGGGCCGGGGACAAACTGCAACCGAGGTACGTGCCCTTAGCGGGAACCGAACCCGGGTCTCTCTGGACCACAGTCTGATGCTCTAACCGCTAAGCCAAACTGGCCAGGGCTGTATTTTTTTTTTTTTAAATCTTCACCCAAGGATATTTTTTCATTTATCTTCAGATGGTGTGGGGGGTGGGGAGGTAGAAAGAAACATCAGTATGAGAGAGACACACTGAGCAAAACCAGCCAGGGCCACACGTATTTTCATAGTGCTCTCAGAGTGTTTGTTTCTCCCACATTTCTTATCACAGCTTTTAGGATTTTGTTTTACTTATTATCATTTACTCTATACTGGGAAGAGGGGTACTTCAGTTTGTGTATAGATAAATTATTTGCTGAAGAAATCAGTGAAGAATGTGATTTATTTTGAACAAAAATTGTAAATATGTCTTATGTACAGTATATAGATTAGATTCAGAATTGTTCAAGTGGATAATTACTACTTTCCTTGTAAGCAGTGGAAATGTGGGGCTGGAACCCAAGTACCTGAAGCAAAGGGAGGGGAGCACCCCGTTACGTGGGCTCAGCCAGAACCTCCTGGGCAGCTCAGGTGAGGAGCATTTGTGAAACCGTAGTCACTGTGGGGAGTGAGGAGGGACGGGGCCTGAAGGGAAGCAGTCACCGTTTTTGTCCCATTTGCAGACCGCCAGAAAGATGGCACGTTGGGAGCACTGCAGACGTCCTGCAAGCCAGCCGCGGTCCCTTCCTCCTCAGCGTACTTCCCCGGGCAGCTACCGCACAGTTAATCCTGGGGCCACGCTGCCCTGCAGGCGACGGAGCCTAGCGCAGACGACAGCCCCACGCCCGTCTGAGCTGGCCTGCCTGGCGCAGGTGGCGCGCATCTCGGCCGCGTCCTCGTCCTCGCGGCTCGCTGCCCGCTGGCGCGGAGCTTGTGCTCAGACGGACGGGGAGGCTGCAGTGCCGCGTGCCTGAGCGTGGTGCCGCCCTCGCCGTGCGCATGCGCTGCTCCGCCCTGCCAGTCCTTACAGTTCTGAGGCAAGAGCGGATCTTTCTAAGGGACGTCCCGTCGTAATGACGATCTGGGTAAAGTGAACTTTTCAGACGTAACGGGGAACCAGAGAATGGTAATTATTTTATCACTTTCATTGCTAAAATAAAGTTTTAAATTTGACACAAGAATTATGAGGGAAGATGATTATCTCCCGAGATATCTATATTATTGATAATAATTTACAGTAAAGGAAAAAGTTCTAAAACTGAATTGATCCTTCATAGGAAGTATTTTTCTTGAAACCTTTTAGTTAACTATTGAATAAGTCTATTAATTCTGATAGACTTGTAAAAATAACTTGAGGGATGTATATTTACAGGATGAGATTAGACATAAAGAACTTTAGTCATTTGAGCTGCAGTTTATAGGATTTTATTGCTTCCTGAAAGTCTATACTCATCTAATTTTTCTCTTTCATTTGGAATTCTATTAATTTTTATGCAGTTAAATTTGTTGGATTTTGTTTGGAAATTAATACCATACAAAAGAGCATCATGACTATTCATTATATTTGCTTTTTAATTTCAAAATGGGTTTAATATTTGCTTAATAAAGTGGGCACCTATCTCTTGGTGTAAGTTTCAAGTAAAAATAGTTCCTTGGAGAAAAGTCCGTGATTTTTAAAAATTCACTCAGAATCATGGGGTTCGTTTTTTTCTTGTTGACAACCATCCAACCAATAGAGTAGCATTCTCTTATCAAAAGTCACAATTTTTATTTGGAAATGTTGCTGTTCATTTCATCCTTTAAAAATTATTTTTAAGGACCATATTATATAGATGAGGAAAGAGACATTTCAAGATACTTATGGCATACTAACAGTTCCATGGTAAGACTAAGAATCTTTGCTAATTTTTTTTGTCATCGTTAATCCTCACCCAGGGATATTTTTCCATTGATTTCTAGATAGAGTGGAAGGGAGGAAGGGAGGGGGGGAGAGAGGGACAGACACAGGCATCATTGTGAGAGAGAGACATTGATTGGTTGCCTCTCACACACCCACTGGGGCTGAGGATCGAACCTGTAACCCAGGTACATGCCCTTGACCGGGAGTCGAACCCGTAACCCTTCAGTGTGGCACCTGAGCTCTTTGTTAATTTTTTAATGAAGCCATATTGCGTCTGATGATACTCGGAACCTGCTGGCAATTATAGGATGCCCTAAACTAGGAGACTTACCTCAAACATTCAGTAACCATCACTAGACAGTGACTTTTCATATATAGTTCTCTCCTCATTTACATGCAAAACACCAGTCAGTGTGGTCACAGGGGCTTGAATTTGCCTACAAAAAATCTGGGAAGAAGCCTCTTGGTGACGTTCGAGTCTGCGTTCTTTGTCAGTACTGTGATATATGTATGTTTATGGACAGGGTTGGGTAGATGGCATTCAGGGTGCTTTCTTTTTTAGATATAAATATCCTTTTCCATATCCACATAGAAAATGAGGAGAATTTCCAAAAGATAGATCACTTTGATGTGCCAAAGATTTTTCTTTGTATTAGATGTACATGTACAGACTTTTGAGTGTGCTAATTCTTTGCTCTACCTCTTAAACTTATATTTGAAATTGTTATTCATTGTAAAGTATACATGGTAATCAAAATGTTGCATTTAATGTATTTCTGTGAATTGTGTGAGCTTGGTTTTAGTAAGTTAATATTTTGGGAGAAGGACATGTAAAAACTATATAAAAACAAAAAAGATTTATGTGTACAACATCTTTGCTCAGAAAATTGCTTTAACTACGGACTAAGTTTTCATTTTTTTGTCTTTCTACAAAAGCATTTATAGTGAAGGGAAAGAAATGGATTCAGACAGAAGGTATAAAGCTGTGATCTGTTACTGTAGAAGTGATCATGGTGACAAAGCAAAACAAGCCCTAGAGGGAATCACAGATCAAGACTTTCTTTAAAAAAATCATTAAAATATTTAATTTTATTAACAGAATATTTACATTTCTCTTAAGACCTTATTTAACCATTAAGTGAATGTTCCAAGTTTAAAAAGCATTAAGCAGTAATCACACACAAGATGAAAACAGTGTAAACTATACAGTACTTTATGTACAATTTTTACAAAGTAACACTTTTTTTTAAATAATATAACTGGACACAAAAATATACACTTTAGAGAAATTCACATCAGTAATTGTATAAAGCTCTCTTCTAGGGTCCTGAAAATTTAGGACAAACATTAGTTCTGTAAATAAAGTGTTACTGTGACAGTCCTGAAAGGCCACTATATATATTTATCTACATATAGATATCACATTGACATTTTCAAGGCTACCAGCTTTACTATGTGTTTAGATTATGTTCAAGTGTTGAGGTTAGGGTTATGCAAACATTGAAGGACAGTGGTATGACGAGCTGGGGAACAACTTCGAGCCAACACATAGATCACAGGCTCCAAACAGTCAACTGAATGAACCTCTACATGGCCGAGATTTTATTTAAAAAACAGTAGTGAAGAATGTTTAAAATAAAATTACTACAAACAGGCTTAAAACATGATTCAGATTTAGTACAATTTTCTTGAGTTTTTAAAAATGCAAGCAATTCATTTACCATTTCTTTAGTGCATCTGTATTAAGGCTTTGAATTATTTGACCCAACGTTTTAAGGTAAAATCTGACTCAAGGTTTTACAAGGTTAAAAACGAACAGGTCCACAGCCATACTTCCTATTCTGTCTGCTGCGAGTTGGCATAAACAGTTAAAGCTCAACACTTGGGGAAATGGTAGAGACATTGCTAATCTAAGAAGTCACATATAGTTTTTAATGAAAGGATGTATATAATAAAACAAACAGCTTAGTGGCAAGAAAGTGGTGCTAATAAACAAAAGGTTTCTTTTCAAAAGAAATTGTAACATCTTTGGAAAACTGTCCAAAACTTCCTTTAGTCCCCAGGAGTCCATGCAGATACGTTTCTTAAGACACCCTTCAAGTGTATCGTAGACAGAAGTGGAATGTACATCAGTACTGCAGGTGCACACTCAGACCTGGGTGCAGGTGGAAAAGTCTTCCTGATTGCGGCTGTCACCTGTCACACATTGGTGTCCTGGAGTAAGGGTTCTTTGGCCTCTCCTGGCGCCTGCGCGCTATGAGGATGGCTGTGACCGCCACAGTGCTTTCTCCAGCTGCTGGACCGCAAGCTTAAGTTGGTGTGTTCCGGAATAAACAAGGCCACCAGCAGAGCCAGCAGAACCGAACAGGCTCCAAAGAGAAAGGGGGGGCCAGGGATGATGGAATTCTAGGGAAGAAAGAAAATTGTAATTAGTATTTTTGCATAAACATTGTTGCCCATAACTGACTGCTATGAATTATAAGACTACTCTCTTTTAGTATTAAAGCCATAGTTAGAAAAAGCATTCCCTTTTGGGGAGAAAATTCTGGGGATAACAGATGACCCAAGAAAGCAACCTATGCAAAAAGAATGTCGCTTGCAGCACAAAACCTGAACACATTCTAGGAGCCTTCACTTAATTTGTTAGTTCAAGAGGAAAACAGGGCAGAGATCTCAAAAGTGAGACCAAGTAGCTCTTCTGCCTCCAGCCACAGAACCAGTGCCCCTTTCCCTAGGGGCTGCAGTGGGGCAGACACTGCTGTGACCGTGGGAAGACGCGACACGTCTATGATTCAGCCAAAGCTCGCGCTGCCACTGCTGTGGACCGCCCGCAAACAAGCACTTGATGAATTTAAAACCAGCCTGCACGGGTTAGAAAATTAGTGCACAATCCTGCCCAAATAAGCAAGGAAGCTGCTGAGCAGCCTGCACTGGTGCGAGCACTGTTTGCAGGTAAGATTCTGTGTGCAGAGGGAAGGCTAGCAAACGAGCGGGCACGGTGCTCGGTGCTCCGCGGACCTGCGCCTCTCCGCAGAGTGCAGGCTTCCTCCGTGCTCCGGACACCCCGGGTGCGTCTCAGGTGGAGCCGAGCAGCACTACAGTGACTGTCACCGTGCCCCCGCGGTGCAGTGCCAAACTAGCACACTGAAACGGCTTTTCCTTCTCAGGGGTAATGTACGCACAGCCAGTCGGGCTCTGGTTTACAAGTGTTGTAGTCAATCTGAAGTAATGGGAATGTCCCAGCTTTCGTGAGCAGCCCGTGTCTTTTTACCTGTTCAAAGTGGTGCTGTGGGCTGGTGTTTGTCCCCAAGTCTGTTCCCGTCATTGGCAGCTCTTTCAGTTCCACGTGGAATATGTAGAAAATGAACCCGTAAAGAGCTGGTCCCAGACCGTTGCACAGCCCTCGAATTCCTGTTATCATTCCTTGAACGACACCTAAGTGTTGGAACAGAGGACCGCTCAGCGCTCTGCTACCCTCGAACCAGCACCAACAACTGGCAAACAGCTCGTCTAACACCAGCAATTGACTGTGATGGCCTTCAAAGTCACTCAGAGGCCATCAGCTCTACAAAGTGCAGGGACCCTGCTGTGCAGAGGGGAGCTCAGGTGGGTGGGGTGCAGGAACAGGAGGGCAGAAGCCTTTTACCCCCCTGTGAAAGTTCCCAAGCCAAGAGCCAGGCAGGAGTTCACAGACGACTGTTCTGTGCCCCAGGCCGCCATCTGTATCCCCATCTAGTCACATGTAGACCTGTACATATTTGTCTTTGAGATGTTCTCTCATTTAAAATGCAACTTGTTTTCTGTCCTCATGTACCAACCAAGTGGCCACTGCCCCTTTTATGACTAGATAGCCTTTTCAAAGAATTATGAGCATTTCAAGAATTAAATGTTCCCACCACAAAGCTAAGACGATTGAAACGTTTGCCGTGTGTGCTCAGATCACAGCCTGGAGGACTTCCGTAAGGACGCACGTCCCCAGGTGTCCAGGGCATCAGAGCAAACAGGAGTGGTCAGTGTGTATGAGGGGTCAGAGTGAGAGACAAGGCTCTGTCTGCACACGGAGAGAACACAGGCTGTGACGCTGTTCACACAGCTGTCACAAGTCCTAGCAACTCACCTTGTTGATCAGCATCAGCAGTTCGGGACACAAGTGCGCTGACAGCGGGGAAGGTGATGCTGGACATGGCGGCCACGGCCCCTGCGGCCCACATCATCCTGCAGGCAGAGCGGCAGAGCTGAGACCCCTGCTCCACTGGCCCGGCACACGGCTCGGTGCGGCCACACCGCTCGGGGCACCATGTGAGATTTCTGTGCCCCGTGGAAAACCCAAGTCACTAGATCCTGGAAAGGCCCCCTCCCTCCTCTGTATGTGGAGAATGTATGTAAAACAAACACTGAATGTTTCCAAGCACATGAAACCAGCAACTGTTCCCACTGACTTCTGAGTCAGTGGAGGTATCACTGATTCAATAAAAACTTTGGACGCTATGGTTCAATGTTTAAAATAAATGTTTTAGATAAGCTGTGAACAACTCCTAAAAGCTAGACTAGAAAACAAAACGTCCACCAGCCCACACCAAGTCCAAACCGGTGATGTGTTCAGTTTGCAGAACACAATTACGAGCGGGAGCTCAGTCCTGACAACTGAGCACGAGTGGACAAGGGCCATCTGAGGTGGGCATCCTCATCCCCTCCCCTCCCCTGCCTCAGGGAACCAGTTTGGCAACAAGGGCGGATGGGTCTCAGCAGGAAGCTGGACCAGAACTACTGGACTCTGCTCCCTGACTTCTGGTTTGCCATCAGTATTACCACTGGGGCTACTCGACTTTTTCTAACCAGAAAAACAAAAAAAGGTAACACCAGGTTTCAGGGCCCTGTTGCTGCTATGTGCTTTCTCCTAATGACAAAGTGATTAAGGCATTAAATGCTCATTAGAGATTCAAAGGCCTCAATAATCTCATTAGAAAGCCCAGCCTGTGACTCAGCTACAGAACGTCACCTTTCTGACCTCAGGCCATCCGAGAATATTCAAACACACAAGGAGAGGTATCTTATACAGTTTGAAAGAAAAAAACAGAAAGAGACTAAAGTCTAAGCCTTAGTTGAGAAGCAAATAACTACAAAAACTCAATTATATCTCAAAGTGAGAAAAAAATACGAAAGAGGCAAACACCGAGGCGTGTAAGAAAGGTAAAGCAATCACACCTACCAAGGCTCAGAGCCGAAGCCGTACCACGCCAGCTGTAGTATCTGAAACCCCAGACCCAACAGAATGGTGTTCTTATTTCCAATTGATCTCATAAGTAAGCTCAAGACTATGGTCTGAAAAAAAAGAAAGACCAAAATGGTTTGTCAGCATGAATGACTTTTTGAAAGAAAAAATATTTGGTGACTTCTTTCAACCTATAATAAGAGGACTATTACATTTTCTTATATTTTGATTTTTCAGCAACAACTACCCTGAATGTGTCTGAGACCATCCCTCCAGGTGGCAGAAGCAGAAACGAAGGGTCCTTCTGCTGACAGGCCCAGGTTCAGGGAGAACCCAGGAAACTGAAACAGAAGTGAGCTTCATGCAGCAGCACTTTTCTCCCGAGGACCCCCTAAATCGGAAATTCAAGTAGTAGGGTCAAAGTGTTTCCAACCAATGATTTGGGAATCCCTGCTATGTAATAACTTAAAAAAGTTCTAGGTCCGAATTACTCTGACATGCTTAGCCCCCTGCACTAAAAAAAACCTAAGCAATCTAGTTGGCCCTCGTTTATCATGGTGAATCAGTCCCAGACGTTATCACGATAAATGAATTTCCGCGAAGTAGGCTTCTTTATTTATACATAGTCGTCCCTCGCCACTTCGCGCTTGGACTTTTGTGGCTTCACTCGATCGCAGTTTTTTTCCAAGATAGTATAGATTTGAAAAACCGTGATCGAGTGAAGCCGCAATAGCTGAAGCGCGAAGTGGCGAGGGACAACTGTGTCCTTCACCTCGGTTCACCCGCTGCCGACGCCATGATGCTTGACGGGCAGTCAGTCAGGTCCCCGAGCAGACGTGGGAGAAGCACAGCACAGGAACCAAGAACTCAGCCTCTGGGGAAACAGCCTGGATCCTGCTCTGGGCTCTGGCCGTGTGGCCCTGGGCAAGTCGCTGCACACTGACAGTCTCTTGTAAAGCGTCCCTTCCACAATGGCAGTACCAGCACCTGCTGCACACTTGTCACGTTCACATCACGTGCTCAGCACTGCCTGGCACACAGGAAGCATTTCATAAACACTTTTGGGTTTATGGCTCAGTGCTGGAGCATCGACCCTGCACCAAGAGGTCGCCAGTTCAATTCCTGGTCAGGGCACGTGCCCAGGTTGTGGGCCTGATCCCCAGTGGGGGCGTGCAGGAGGCAGCCAATCGATGTTCCCTCTCATCAGTGTTACCATCTCTCTCTCCCTCTCACGTCTGCCCTTTCTAAAATCAATAAAGGAGAAAAACAACAATAAAATAAATTACTTAGTATATATACAGTGTACAACAGGAAAATAATTTAGTGTCCATTCAGTATAACTCATTTTGAAGAGAGATTAAATGGTTTATGACTTAACCAAGACGACAATCAGTCGCGCAAACGTTTGCCGAGGCGCTGCTACAGCCAACTGTACTCTCCTGCAGAGGGCAGTGGCCTGAGTGATCAATGAGCAGGTCAAAGTGCTGGTCAGCAAACATTACCTCCCGATGGAGAGAAGACGGACAAAAGCACACTTATTTCACAAGATAGTTCCAGGCTGTGGCCGCCGAGAAGAAGGGAAAGTAGGGCCGTGTGAGAGGTGCTGCTGACCCTGGGTGGGCAGAGATGGCCTCAGAAAGGCCTGGTGACAGCAGACACCAGGGGATGGATGACTGGGTTCAGAGGGAGAACAAATCAAGGATGCCGCCGAGTTTTCTGGCCCCACAACCCAGACATGGGAGACACCTACCTGCAGGAGCAGGGCGAGTGCACTGGAGGGAGGAGGCGGAGCCGGGTGCGGGCCGAGGAGGGGCGCCCGCAGACAGGCTCGCACTGCTGCTCACGTCTGAAAGCCACCAGCACCCAGAGGCCGGCAAGCGCAGAGGCAGAGAGCTGTGGCAGCCGAGCTCCCCCCACCCCCGTGCAGTCACTCTGCAGGTGCCGGGACCTACGGGAACTGAGCCAAGGCCCAGGGGCAACTCTGCTGGGCCCCGGAAGGTGCATCTATCTAGCGTTACCAGAGCCAATGGTTTGGGGGAACTGCATACCCATATTTTTATATAAACTTCCCAATTCCGACATGTTTACTACTACTTTTTCAAGTTTTTAAAATGCTATGGAAAAACCCAGTGACCTCTGCCTGGGTTGGCAATTGCGGGGCTGCAGGCACAGTGCAGGGTGCTGGAGGGCCCACAACAGACGGGAGACCATCCCGACCTCACGACCAACCTGGGCAAAACCGACAGCAACAAACAGGTGAAACCTGAAACACAGTGTATTCTTTTTTTTTTTTTTTTTTAATCCTCACCGGAGGACACTTTTTCATTCTTTGTTCAGATAGAGCAGGAGGGAGAGAGAGAGAGAGAAACATCGATGTGAAAGGGACACATCGAGTGGCTGCCACCCGCATGACCAACCAGGGCCGGGGACAAACTGCAACCGAGGTACGTGCCCTTAGCGGGAACCGAACCCGGGCTCTCCGGACCGCAGGCCGACGCTCTAACCGCTAAGCCAAACCAGCCAGGGCCACAGTGTATTCTGTACACGGACAGGGCTATGCCCAAGTTCACACGGGAACTCCGAGAAGGGGTACTTAGGACAGAGAGAGGGAGACCGAAAGTACAGGAGCAAAGGCATTGGGTAAGCAGTACCATCGACAGGCATGAGGGGCTGCCAGGAGCAGCTGCAGGCTGCTGGGCGGGAAGGGAAGGACATGGCCTTTCATGGGCTCAGAGGTCAATGGGTCAGTCATTCTTAATTGTTCATTCACACAAACAAGAGTACAAGATGATCCTTCTACCTTTGTGCTTTCTATTCACAACGTTTTAGAGTTCACCTAATGACATAAAAATGCAGTTACCAATAGATACAGACTACATACCCTCCTCTACACCTGTTTTTGAACACCAACTAATTTTGCCCTTTTAAAATGTGATTTCACATCTCACATACTATGTTTCCACATAGGCCCAAAAGCAAAATGGTCACTTAAGTACCATATACCTGGGCCATCCACCCGGGGGGCTGGGTGTGCCACCTCCTCCCCAGACTCAGGGCCCTGCCACCGCGTGCTGTTTCCAAGAACCCATGCACACTCCTGCAGGCACCCGACTGCCCTCCAGGTTCTGAGCTCCAGGGGCTGTGGTCCACCTGTGTCCCGTCTGCCAGGTGCCACCTGATGAGCTGAGGGGAGGTTCCCCTGCAGCACCATCAGCTCATCCCAGCACAGTCCATGTTCCTGCCTGAACGTGATCAGATCAGAATGAAGCAGACTCCCAACCTCACAGCTACTCTCTCAATGATCATGATCGTGAACTTTGGCCTGATCTCTCCATCCAAATCTCAAACAGAATACCAGTAAATCTACTCGCCACGTCTGAAAAACATAACGCTACATGTGGCCAGCTCGGCTTCACCCCAGGAGTCAAGGTCACTGAACACGTCCAGCTGTTCTTCCTACGTGTCCACTGTCCTGTGTTACTCTAGTTTATATATGAGAAACGAAACACTTTCCTCCCAAACCGAAGAGCCCTTTTTGGGCAGGCAGGAATGAGTATTTAAATGCAGTGTATCCCACATTCAGATTTCCAGGACACAGAAATCAGAAGCCGCACTGACACGCAGCGGCACGTGTGCACGGGTGCGGCCACGGGGAAGGCCTGTCACAGAATTGAATTTGAGTTCATCACTGACCTACCAAAATGCATAGATGATGAGCTCTGCAGAGGGAGCCCCACTAAGAGACGAAGGAGCCCCCAAGAGTCCAATTAAACAACTCTCCCTTCCACTTTCTCAACAAAGAAAGCTGGGACCTGACAGACTGGACCCAAGGAGGGAAAACACATTCCATCTTTCAGTCTAGAAAAAACAAAGCCAATCGGCCAGGAGTGAGTGTGTGGGGCTTTTTTTTTAACAGAAAGGAGACTCCAAGTGAGGAAGAGATTCCAGTCACTGGATTAGAATTTATTATGGAACAAAGGTAGCTTGCAGGCCATGAAACAGTATCTCCTAAGAAAATCCAAATTCTTTCTCAAACAGCCCCCGGTGAGCGCCTGGGCTCCCGGGATGCACACTCCCAAGCCGTTCCTGCCCAAGCCTGTGGGTTCCTGCCCTTCCTGAGTCTGAGACAGCCCGAGAGGCCCGCCGGACCTGCCCCCGGACTTCCTGAGCAACTCTCTCCTGGGCCCTCTCCCCGGCCTCTCGGCCACGGGCTGTCCTCTCGCGTGCCAGGCAGTCCCCCGAGGGGGTTTTGCTCTGGTGCTGCTGAGCCCTGCTTCCTGCACGGCTCCGGGCTCAGTCGCATCCTGAGTCTGCTCCCAGGGAGGCTGGGGCATCAGCAAGGCCTTCCCAACCCTCCGGGGAAAATCACACCTGTCGCTCTTTACATCCCCTGGGCCCCTTTTCACAGTTCCCATTACACCTGGTACGTTCACACTGACACACTTAATACGTCTTATTCTGTAAGAGTGTGACCCCGCAGCCGGAACGGAGTCAGTTCACTGTCACATCCCGTGGCCACCACATAGTAGGTGCTCAAATATGTGCTGAACGAATGAGTCAACGAGAACAGAACATGAAATTTCCCACTTTCGGCAGGTATGTACCCTGGTGTAAGTCAATAAACTATCTTTCTGATTTATACATCACGTTGGTATGTCAGTCCCCAAATCTGAACAATCAGCTACTGACAAAATTAACTTTCTGAGCCTGTAACCCACAGAGCCCACAGGGCAACTCCACTAGGACCCCATCACGGGAGTGTCACCGGAGGCCCCCGACGCCAGCCAGGGCCCAGCCTCTGTGACACGGCTCTGACTGACAAGACGCTCACCTGCGCGATGATGGAGAGGATGCCGAGGACGGCTATGAACGCAGCGACGCTTTCTGGTGAAAACTTCATTATCTAGGTTTCCAGAAAAAGTTACATTAATAAATAAAAAGGCACAGCAACACCATACTTACTACTAATGCAGCCACTTGTATGTTAACATTGGATAGGCCAGAAAAAACCCCAAACTACTCATTTATAACCAAAGAATTCCTCAGCGACAGAAGCTGGTTTGACTGAGAACCAAAATTTACAAGTGTTATAATGCTAAACATGATACCGACTTAAGTCAGGGTAAGTAATCGAAGTCCCTTTGCTCACACAGGCCGGGGGCAGGCCCAGCACTCAGACTCCGGACAACGGGACGCACCGCTGGTGCCTTCCTCGGCTGAGCAGAGAGCAGGGCGAGGCCGACCTGGCTCCCGGCAGCCGCGGGGCTGATCCAGACGGCAGAGCCGGTCTCTGAGTGGCCTGAGGCTTTACCCTATCACCCGAGCCCTGAAGAAAACACTCCAGACAGGGAACCCTCTGTGACGAAGGACAGGAGCCTCACCGCCGGGAAAGCAACGCGTCAGCTGCTGTACACAAGATGGTATTTGTCTTTCAAGGTCTCTGCTCTGCAGCTCCCGAGGGGCCTCGCTCTGTTCTCGGTACGAACAAGGGGGGCGCAGCGGACCTGGGGCGCGGGCTCACCTGTCGGAGGTACAGGAAGAAGCTGGAGTACTGGCCGGCCTCGGGCAGGTAGGACAGGAACACCGTGATGCAGATGAGCAGCACTATGGAGTCCTGGCCCACTTTCTTCAGGGACTAGAACGAGAGGACTGCCGTCAGGCTCCCCAGCAAAGTGCTGACCGCTGCTCAGATGACACAGAGGTGTCGGGCAGCATGTGTCCAGACACCCATATCTTTTTCTTCCATTTACTTCACCCTCCCCACCCAAATAATTCTCAAAAGAATTTGAAAAAAATGTTTAAATCCCTCCAAATATTTTCTTCCCCAGACATGTTCACAACAAAGTATCACTGCTGCATGGAACCGCGCGTTCACTTTTTGGCTAAAGGGATGGGAAAAGTGGAAGCTTACTGCAAAGGGGTCAGCCTGTTCCCAAGAGATGGGCGCCCCCCAGGATGCAGGCCGCATCTTCTCGGGCAGAGACTCGGGCACAGCCACCAGGATGAAGCAAATATCCAGCAGGGCGATCGCTGTGGCCAGGACCACCACCAAGCTGTCCCCGTACACCCGCCCGAGATAAGCCCCGATGGCAGGGCTGATCACCAAGCTTGCGGCGAATGTTGCTGAGACCTGGAACAAGTCAAGGTCAAAGGTGAGACAAGTGAAGACATGTAACCCCTTTCTTCCACACCAGAGTGACTGATGTCAGCCCTGGATGCCCCACCCCCTTCCTCCTCCTACCTGTGTGGTGCCTTACAATCTGCAGGAGAAACACAATCAGGCTCTTGACTAAAAACCACTAAGCCTCTGAGACAGTGGCTTCAAACTTTTTTGAAGCCATTTGTTCAAATCCTACAGACAGACTCATAGGTAACACAGACGGAGCTGAGGAAGGGCAGGGGGGCCTGGCGCACCTTCCCCAGGTCCCCTGCAGACACCCTCAGGCTCTGTGAGAGATCTAAAAACAACTCTAAGGAAGTCCAAGGTCACCTGGATGTCCCCACAACAGGAACATTAAATTAAATGACTGTTCACCATGACACATACCTAAAGCTGGCTGAATGAAGCGAAAAACCCGAGGACCACCTGCTCATCAGGCCACAAGTCCCCACAGGCAGCAGGGCTGGAAAAAGGGCGTGCACGGAGCACCTTCTGCCACGTCTCTCCAGCTCGGAGGACGTCTGTGCAAGTCCCCACGGGCGGCAGGGCTGGAAGAAGGGCGTGCACGGAGCACCTTCTGCCACGTCTCTCCAGCTCAGAGGATGTCCATGCAAGTCCGAGGAAGACAGGTCAAAGCAGAGAGGACACGAAGGAAACTCAGCCCCCGACTCTCTGGCCTACTGGACAACGGGGCCTGCACATTAGCAGACGTGACTGCATGTGACACTTATCAGAGACTACACCCTTCAAACGTGTGCTGGACATGTGTGAGCTGCTGCTACGGCCTGGCCTTGACTCATCTTGTTTCTACACCACTTCGACTTTGGGGTGGAGGATTTCAGCTTCACAGAAGTGCTTATTTTTAGCTGTTTATTAATAACTACTCAAGACAAGCAATTCAATTTTCAAAGGTCAGACACCTGACAAGTACATACAATTCCAGTAACTTCAAACATCTAGCTATCAACTCATGTCCATCTACTGGTGAATGGATAAACAAAGCGTGGTATATCCCACCCGGAATCCACGCAGCAATGAACACGGATGGCCCTAAGAGACTGCTAAGTGAAGGGGGCCACACACAAAGACTGCCTTTTTCATTATTTCACTTCTATGGAACTTCTACTAAAAGTAAAGCTACAGAGACAGAAAGCAGACTGGTGGTTGCCTGAGGTCAGAGTCAAGTGAGGATGGCTGGTGGGGGCGTCTCAGGGACTTTCTGGGCGGATGGAAATATTCTACTAGATGGTGGTGTATCTGGTTGTGACAGCCTGGCAAACTCAACACAGTGGGCTGTGGTCCCAGGGGGCCTGGGCATGAGCAGAGCTGTGCCCGAATGGGGAAGAGGAGGGCAGTGAGGGATCTGGGAGTGTCAGAGACCAGAGTGCGGGAGTGAGCAAGGTCCACCCAGAGTGCAGTGGTCGTGTCCTGTCCCTTCTCCTCCATGCTCCCACCCAGCAGGCAGGCAATCAGAGGACCACAAAGGTAAATGCCCCACCCCCCTTCACCTGCATCTATATTACTCCAAAAGACTTAAGTTGAATTGCTAGAATATGCCTTTAACACATAAAGCCTCCAGGTTGAAAACTGTTAATTCCAAAGATATGGCTATGACAAATCACTTCAGCAAAAGCAAAAATTGGATTTTGTTTTTGGAGCATGGTCACGGTTGCATAACTATATAAATGTACTAAAATTCACTGAACTATGCACATAAAATGGATGAATTTTCTGGTATATAAATTATATCTCAATAAAGCAGTTAAAAAAATTCTGGCCACCATCAATATCTTACCAATAAACGTTCTAAATTTACAACTGGAATCATTAGTTCTTCTAAGTTTCTCACTTTGGGTATTCCCCCCAAAAACCTCTCAATTCCATGATTCTTTGTTATAGTGTCCTTCGAATCAATGACAGTCTCTCATAAAACTAAGATTCAGCCTAACACAGGTATTCGTCATTTATCAAGCTGCTTGTCCCGCCTGGCTGGTGTGGCTCAGTGGTTAAGCGTTGACCATGCACCAAGAGATCGCCAGTTCGATTCCTGGTCAGGGCACATGCTTAGGTTGTGAGGGGTGTGCAGGAGGTAGCCAATCGATGTGTCTCTCTCCAAAATCAATGAAGAAGAAAGAAGAAAGAAAAAGAAAAGATGCTTGTCCCATATTTGCTGAAACTCATCACTGCTCCCCTGCTGGCTACCTGTGTATTACTGTGCAGATGGGAACTATTCTATTCCTAGATCTGAGACAACAGGCTGCACGGCCACTAACTATTCAGTTCACCTCCACAGTGTCCAGAGCTTGGCGAACTGCCACCTGGGGGCCTCAATCTAGCTGAGCACGGCTCCTGCGCTTTCAGAGCTGTGAACACACATAAGGCGCCAACCAAAGCATGTGAGAGGGATGGTACGGGGCCCACAGAGTCACAGAAAAGGCTGATGTCGGAGCCAGGTTAGCCTACTGATTTAGATCAGCCATTAAATATTAGTAATTTTTAACTCATGATTACTTAATTCCTTTGTTGTAGTATAATGTTCAAAGAACTTCAATATCATAAAAATAGTCTACTGTAGTTTCAAATCTGACATGTAACTAACAAATACATACTGAATGAAAGTATCAAAACGTACAAGGCTTTATACGCAAAAAAATGTTTAATGTAGTCTAAAGGAACGGTTTTATTATAAAATGTGCTTTATGCAAAAAACAAACCCTGGCGATACAAAGATGTGCCTCCCTGGATGCGATCGACAACCCAGGTGGCACCCACAGGTGGAGCACACGTACCTGTCCGTAGGCCATACTTCTTTCATGTTCTTGAGTTATATCTGCTACGTATGCGAACACCACAGAGAAAGTCACTGCAAAAACCCCAGACACGGAGATGACAGCGAAGTACCACCTGGGATCGAAAGACAGTGACAGGAAGTGGTGAGAACAGTCGCTACGACCTCCCTCCCGCACTCCCGTAAGTGGCTCGGAGGAAGGCGGGCTGGCTGCCGTCACCGGCTCACCGGGGCAGTTAGTTCTTCTGTAAGTGGTGAGCCACAGAGACTAGGAAACACAGGCTAGGTGGCCCTTCGACATCAGCTCAGCTACGTGCAGGGATAGTATCCAGAGCTGTAAACTTAGATTATGTCTTCAGGTCAATCTTTTACCAAACTGTTGAATTTTTAAGTGGTTTCGTTTCTACTCAAAACAGCAACAGAGTCTATTATAATTCAACCATTACTATCGCCCACATACACAAAAAAAAACAAAATTCAGTAAATAAAACTGAGAAACAAGTTATTCTTTATTTACTTTGAGCCTATATATAGAAACTAGATGTTTTTCTTCTGTAAATTATCTTTAGCTCTTTAAACATTGCCAAAACAAGTAACTCAGTCTTCACGTAGAAAAAAACCTATATGGCAGTATTCATAAGACTGAAAATAGTTACTATAAAGAGAAACAAAAGGTATTTTAAAAAGCTCTATGATTCCAAATAACAAGTTTCTAGTGTAATGCTAATGTCTAGTTTAAAAGCACGTGTGCCCATCTAAACCCTGAAATATCCCATAGACCGCAGCGCAGCTGCTTTCCACAGCGAGCTCTCTGCTCATTCCCGACACGCCCTTGCTGACACTTCCTCTGAGTCGCTAGCATTCACCAGAGGTCTGGATTCCGAGTTGAGGGAGGCCCTGCCCTGTGCACACCCTCGATCTCCCGGGCACCCCCAGAAGGGCAGCCCACCCCCGATGTGGGTTAGCTGACGTGACTGCTCAGGGACTGGAACATGGGCCAGAGAACTAACCAATCACCACTGAACTGGGCTCTGTGACGCTGCGACAGTCATTCTGAGATTCCCTTCCCTTCCTCCTGCACGAAGACCCTGGCTTCACCAGGGGCAGTGAGGCCAGCCTCGTGTCCCCACGAGCAGCATGTGCCTGAAGTCAGGCCCACAGCGGGCGGCAGGAGTCTCGCTGTTTCCTAACAGGAAACGGAGCCAGTCCTGCCATCTTGCTGCCTGAAGTGTGACACGGGAGCTGGAGCTCAGACATCCTTCTTGGACAGTAAGGTGACAGCGGATGACGGCACAGTGGTGAGAAGTCGGGTCCCCTGGAAATGCCACCAGCTCTGGACTGATCAAGTCCAGGCTTCTCTTACACGGACAGAGAAATCGGCTTTCTTGATGTTAAGCAACTATTATAATTCAGAGCTTTACAAAATCTATTCCTAATTAATACAGATAATGATGATAAACTTTGTGTTTGTAACATTCTACATAATAAAATAAAAAGCTGGCAACCCTCTCCAGTCCTTAAAACATTGTTTTGAGATTTGGGCTCTGAAATCCGAGCGTAGGCTTGCCAGCCGCCTGCACACTGCCTGGTGCAGCATCCGGTTCTGAACCTTTGTGACCCATGACCAAACTGCTCTTTGAAGGGCCCTCTTCTCTGTGTTGAAGAATAAAGTAAAGAATACAACTAAAACCCACATAGACAGGATGGCTAAAAAGTGAGATAAAGAAGGGACCACACGGGCAGCAATGACCAGAAAGTGCCGTCTGGCTGCTGCGACCGACGATGCACGTACCATGGGCTGATCTTCATTAAGGGAATCGGGGCACATGTGAAAAACACCGTTAGCAGCAAGAAGGATTTTCGGCCCCAAACATCAGAAAGAGCACCAATAAGCGGGGCACTGAGGAATGACAACAAACCCTAAAAGAAGGTAAATGAAAAAAAAAAAAGTACGTTATCCATGTTGATAGGCCAAAATTAAATCACTGTACCATAGTATGAGAGAAGAATTTTAAGCAAGTTTATGTCTAAGATAAGCATATCAGCAAACTGTAGACGAACAACTTATTTCTTGTCTGTATGGAATTTCAAACCTTCCCAGACCGTGCAGAATGACCTGCAGGGTCTGGCTGTGTACTGCAGAGGGGAAGCTGCAATGACTTTCAACCCCAGTGAATCCACATGAGCAGTTCTAGAAAGAATATCGTGTTTATCTGGTTTTATACTCATAGGCTACTTACATGTTTATAAAATTTGTTGGTCAAATGAAATCTAGAGTAAAGAACATGAAGAATAATCAGGACCTACCAGACTGATAAAGTTTTACATCTTTGCATTTTTAAAATAGTTCTTTTCTCTTCAATTTACATTGTTATGGGCAGTTCACAAAAGCATTCTGATCTCTGGAATAAAAATGCCAGCACCTCAGACACCAGGGGCATCGGGTGTGATGGGATCTGTCAGTACACACTGATGGCTACGTTCGAGTCAGATCAGATTTAAAATCCAGACACTTCAAACACTTAAGTAATTCCTCAAGATATACTCTAACTGTAAACATGAACACTTAGTGGGTTAGTCAATTAACTAACTAAACATATTGGCAAATGATAGAGAATGCCAGTATGTTAAATGTACATGTGTTGAGTACATGCACATGTGAATATGTATATATGACGGATCCTACCTTTACTCCTTGAATTAGGCCATTCATCAGAAATGTATGTTTAGGGAAGGTTTCATGTAATACCTAAGGAATACAAATAAGATTAAAATACGATGCTACATTTTAGTCTCAGTAAAACTTCTACATCTGCATTTTAAAACATCCCTCACAATAAAATCTAATTTTACTTCACATAAATTTTCAGCTCTGTATGACACTATGTATGTGAGTAAATACTAATAATCCCAAACATTTATAGCGCATCCACTATGTCCCAAGGCATTTACTGGGGCGATTTACATACATCACGTCCTTTAATTCCTCACACAGACACTATTAGGAAATGGATACACACGATGATCAGAGGTCGTGCCCAAGGCTACACAGAGGCAAAACTGAAACTGGACATAGGAAGTCGGGTGTGTGAAGCCATGCTTTTGTCTCACAATGCCATTCTGCTACCCACATATAACTGGCTGCTGTAACTGCCTTACAGACAGGTATATATTAGATATCTCAGTATTATTATTTGGAAAATAATAGAAAAATTTCAATTACCAAAAAGTGGATCTAGAAAGATTCCATAAAGAAAAACAAAAACCCACCCTATGAAAATGTCTGACAAGTTACGCTGCCCTGCCCAAGGCCTGGTGTTACACCACAGGGTGTGGACGTCTTTACCAGGTGGCCGTGGCCGTGGGGAAGCCACTAGGGTAGAGCGCCTGGAGGAAAGGGGCCCGAGAAGGCAGAGCAGCAGCTGGCATTTTACAGCCTCCGAGCCAGCCTCTCCACGTGCTGCCCACCATCCGCCCTGACCCACTGTGCGTCACATAACACCATCCCTTCCAGATAAAGCAACTGAGTTCCTCTGGGCTACGCTTTCCTCCTGGCCCTCCTGGCCCTCCGAGAAGACGGGAGAGGAGGGCAGTGTGGGAACGAGAAGGGTGGGGCATCTTCTTAGGCAGAAAACTGTGCGGAGTGTACTTCCTGACATCTTGCAAGAAAACTTTCACAAGGGATAGCATGTTCCCCTTTCCAGTTACCCTACTTCTGCCATTAACAAAAAGTTCTGCAACAATTAGCTCATATGTAAAAATAAAGAAAATTAGAAATGAAGTGCTTTAAGAACTTAAACACTAAGTGCCTCTGGACCGTCTCGGCAGCAAAGGATGGTAACCATCTACCGGAAGGGGGACAGAGGGCTGGTCTGGGTGCTGCCACAGGCCCCGCGTTCAGTGAACACTGGTCTTAGTATTTCTAGAACCATAGGGCAGTCAAAAAAGTAAAGCCACTTCTTAGCATTCTAGATTTTAGACCCATGTCATTATTTCTTTGGATCTAGTATGTTATTTAAACAAATCACTAATCATTGACTGGACACCCATAGTCATAAGCTCTCAAAAGTGTTAGACTTCAGCTCTTCAAAATGTTTTTTTGGTATAAAATTCTCTGTAGCGAATGTAAATCTCCTTGTTGGGAGAGATCCAGAGCCTTTGTTCTCTGTGAACCCAACTTTCCATAAGCTCTATGGGCTTTAAAACAACGACAGCTGCAACAACAAGCAGTAAAAAGTTAGTCACTTCAGCCCAGCCGGTGTGCTCAGTGGTTGAGCGAAGACCCATGCACCAAGAGGTCGCTGGTCTGATTCCTGGTCAGGGCACATGCCACCCAGGTTGCAGGCTCAATCCCCAGTAGGGGATGTGCGGGAGGCAGCCAATCAATATTGATGCTTCTCTCTGTCACTGATATTCCTTTTTTCTTTCTTTTTCCGGTACATGTCCCAAGCAGGAACCAAATCCGGGACTCTCTGGTCTGTAGGCCGATGCTCCAACTGCTGAGCCAAACCAGCCAGGGCAGTCATCGATATTTCTATCTCTCTCTCCATTTCCCTCTATAAAAAAAATCAATTAAAAAAATAACATTAAAAAAAAAAAGTTATTCAGCCCTGGTCAGTTTGGCTCAGTGGTTAGACCGTCAGCTTGCTATCCAGAGAGACCCAGGATAGGTTCTGGTAAGGGCACATTCCTCGGTTGCAGTTTGTCTCTGGCCCTGGTTTGGTTGTGTGGGTGGCAACCACTCGATGTGTCCCTTTCACATCGATGTTTCTCTCTCTCTCTCTCTCTCTCTCTCTCTCTCTGCCTCCCACTCTACATGAACAAAAACTGGAAAAATGTCCGCGGGTGAGGATTAAAAAAAAAAAAGTTACTCAATCCAGCTGGTATGGCTCAGTGGTTGATCATCAACCCATGCACTGGTTCGATTCCTGGTCGGGGCACATGCCCAGGTTATGGGCCTGATCCCCAGTGTGGGACATGCAGGAGGCGGCCAATCGATGTTCTCTCTCATCAATGTTTCTCTCTCTCCCCCTCTCTCTTCCTCCCTCTTTAAAATCAAAAAGGGGGGAAATTTTAAAGTTATTCACTTCTCATCTATTTTAAAACCTAAAACTATCATAAATCCAAAACCAAATATTTATTATAATTAATCTTATAATGAATAACACTAGTTATCTGTTTAATGAATTCATTCAAAAATATCTTTGCAAGGTGAATTGCTGAAACTATACATTTTGAGAGTTATGTATGGGAAGAGATACTTAACATACAAATAAAGGAAATTATATCTTCATCCTCATTTTCCCTTTATAAATGAATGTTAGACTGTGACTCTCTAGCAGGCACCGTTTATCATCAGCTTCAAAACACATATGACAAAAACAGAATGTTTCAAGGTTAACAGACTTTAGAAACATCAAAATGCTACAAGTTGGTGCCTTACGCTATCCTGAAGCCCACCTCTCCCCACACCCCAACACGTGGATTGAAAATAAGACCAACAACCAAGTCAACAACAGTAAAATCTGCAAACAAAAAGCCCCTAAAAGTAGTCCTTAATGAGTGATACAAACCAGATACATTGAGAACCACTTCTAAAAGAGACCCATGCCTGCACCTCACCCCTGAAGGTTCTGATCTCAGCAAGATGGGGTAGGCCTGCACATTTTGAGAAACCTCCTCAGGCATCCCTTGATCCTTACCTCTGGCTGACCAATCAGTCCTAATGGAGAAGGGAAAGGTACCCTAAAAGCCAGAGCTCCCAGCCAGCGGCTGCCCAGAGCTGAGGTGGGTGGGAATGTAGACTCTGCACCCTCCCACGTTTCCTACTGCTCCAGGTCTACCGCAGGCTCTAACATTAGGAAGCACTGCAGGACATACAGGGAGAAGAATGCATCTACAGAGATAGTTGCACGTGTTCCCTTGCCCAATTTTCCTTAGTGTTTCAAAGATCCTTGCTGTTCCAATGCACAAGGACCAAAGGACCTGAGAGTCTCCAGAGCCCACGAACTTCAGCTTTGAGATACAACCTCATCTCTACAACCCAGTATGTTTTGCCCAGGTCTCTGCCCCCAATTCGTCTCCACCCCGGGGATTTCCCATCACAGAAGAGAAAAAAGCAGAGCAGAAAACAGCAATTATTTAAAAACATGTTAAAAAAAAACCCTAGAAAAATAAAACTCTGGGCCTATATATGCATTAACATTAAACTTTTTTCTGACAGCATGACTGAATTAAAAACACAATCAAGTAAAAATGAAAAAGGTAAAGAATTATAATGAGGATAATATTACTAAGCATAGCTCAACACTTTGTCATCTTAAAATTCAAGTATAAAGAACAAATGGGAATTAAGAGTAACTGTTACAACCACCATGGGGTGGGGGGGGCAAGTCTTGCTATACATCAAATAATTGGCAATGATATTATAGCAATTATTTTTTAAAATGTAGTCATGTTGGCAAAAAGTAATAATAATTAAGTCCCCCCAAATTAGCACCATTTTCCTGACCAGAATTTAATTTAGTATCTTAAAAAAAAAAAATCAAAGGCACTATCCATTTTTTCATTAACAAAAACAATTAACAGACTAAATACAAAGTTAATTATGTCTAAATAACTGGATTCCTTTCTTGTTCTTAAATAAGACAGCTTCCCTTTGTCTAGTCGGGGAAAAAGATACTAAGGTTGGACAAAAATCTGACATATCTACAAAATATAAACCAGAAGCACATTTAAAAATGGCTATATACACTTCAAAGGCTGATGGCAAACGATGGAACATCACGAGAAGCCTTCTGAGGGCCTGCTCACAGCTCACCCAGCATCTGAATCTCTGCCTGGCTAGTGGGTGGGCTGCCCAGAATCCACTAGCTAAAACATGGAACTCCAACCCTAGCTGGTTGGGCTCAGCGGTTAGAGCATCGGCCTGTGGACCAGAGAGTCGTGGGTTCAGTTCCCGCTAAGGGCACGTACCTCGATTGTGGTTCGTCCCTGGCCCTGGTTGGGGTTGTGCGGGTGGCAGCCACAATGATGTTTCTCTCTCCCTCCCGCTCTACCAGAAGATAAATGCAAAAATGTCCTCGGGTGAGGATAAAACAAAACAAAACCAACAAAAATAAAACATGGAGTTCTTGCCAGCAATCCCCGCCTGAGCACTGAACAGAGCAGGGCTGGGCTCCACTGCCAACACCGCACTTGACCTTCAAAGTAGCAAGCAGGCTGCTTACCTCTTCTAACCCTTAATTTTCTCATCTGTATTATGTGTCCGATATCCCACCACTCCAAAGTGGTTTTGAGTGTTAAAAGGGACACTGTATTAAAGTGCTGACTGTGTCAGGACCCAGGAGAATGTAAACACACGGACGGTTTACTATTACATAGCTCGGTACTTCAAACCACCAGACGTCCATGCTGCACTGGCGGATTACCAGCAAGCACACAGGGACAGAGGGAGCTGAGAGACAGCGTGTGACCACAGTTAGGATGGCAACCCAGGAGCCCCTGACATCAGGCTGTTACAATGTAATGAAGCTGCCTGTGTCGTAATGGACTGGCATCATCTGATGGAGTTCCAAATCAGTGAACTTGGACTATGAAGGCAGGAAATGTGTCAATTCATGAAAAGATTCCCATCAGAAATTATTAAACTAAAAAAGAGGTCAATTTTAAAAGTCCACTTTATTTATTTTGAAAATCCACTTATGTCAAATTGATGACCCAATCCAGGTGAATGAGCTGCTGGAAGAGTCCCAATCTAAACAACACACATCAGCATTCTTACACACCATGGCGGAGAACGGTTCTTATTCAGGGAACAGGTCTAACTCGAAATGCAAGGTTTATTATAAAAGGAATTGTGTTTATTTGAGATTGAGTTTCTTCTCAGTCTTGTTCTAGCAGTACTCATGCATATGCCTTGTATATTCAAAATAACTTAGATATCCACATTTTATATAGATACAGTAATGATCTTGTAGCCAAATAAATATGCCAAGAAATAGGGAACATAATTTTCTTAGACTACTTCAATCTATTTATATGATCACTCAATTTATTTATAAACCTTTTTCAAAAACTTTTTTGTAAATGAACAAGCTCATAAAAATATAAGGAAGTATACTTCTTTGATTTCTGTTTTCCTGGGGTTTGTTTTGGTAAGATGTCCATCTACTGTAATCAAACCTTTTAATACCAAGACCTCTCCAGGAATTCTTCCTTCTTCCCTTCCCCTTCTCTACACCAACTCCTCCTCCTCCCTTCCCCATCCCTTCTCTACACCAACTCCTCCTCCTCCCTTCTCCCCATCCCCCTCTACACCAACTCCTCCTCCTCCCTTCTCCCCATCCCCCTCTACACCAACTCCTCCTCCTCCCTTCTCCCCATCCCTCCTCTACACCAACTCCTCCTCCCTTCCCCATCCCCCCTCTACACCAACTCCTCCTCCTCCCTTCTCCCCATCCCCCCTCTACACCAACTCCTCTTCCTCCCTTCTCCCCATCCCCCTCTACACCAACTCCTCCTCCTCCCTTCCCCATCCCCCCTCTACACCAACTCCTCCTCCTCCCTTCCCCATCCCCCCTCTACACCAACTCCTCCTCCTCCCTTCTCCCCATCCCCCTCTACACCAACTCCTCCTCCTCCCTTCCCCATCCCCCTCTACACCAACTCCTCCTCCCTTCCCCCATCCCTCCTCTACACCAACTCCTCCTCCCTTCCCCATCCCCCCTCTACACCAACTCCTCCTCCTCCCTTCTCCCCATCCCCCCTCTACACCAACTCCTCCTCCCTTCCCCATCCCCCCTCTACACCAACTCCTCCTCCCTTCCCCATCCCTCCTCTACACCAACTCCTCCTCCTCCCTTCCCCATCCCTCCTCTACACCAACTCCTCCTCCCTTCCCCATCCCTTCTCTACACCAACTCCTCCTCCTCCCTTCTCCCCATCCCTCCTCTACACCAACTCCTCCTCCTCCCTTCTCCCCATCCCTCCTCTACACCGACTCCTCCTCCTCCCTTCCCCATCCCTCCTCTACACCAACTCCTCCTCCCTTCCCCATCCCCCCTCTACACCAACTCCTCCTCCTCCCTTCTCCCCATCCCTCCTCTACACCAACTCCTCCTCCTCCCTTCTCCCCATCCCTCCTCTACACCAACTCCTCCTCCCATCCCCATCCCCCCTCTACACCAACTCCTCCTCCCTTCCCCATCCCTCCTCTACACCAACTCCTCCTCCTCCCTTCCCCATCCCTCCTCTACACCAACTCCTCCTCCTCCCTTCCCCATCCCTCCTCTACACCAACTCCTCCTCCTCCCTTCTCCCCATCCCCCTCTACACCAACTCCTCCTCCTCCCCATCCCTCCTCTACACCAACTCCTCCTCCCTTCCCCATCCCCCCTCTACACCAACTCCTCCTCCCTTCCCCATCCCTCCTCTACACCAACTCCTCCTCCTCCCTTCCCCATCCCTCCTCTACACCAACTCCTCCTCCCTTCCCCATCCCCCCTCTACACCAACTCCTCCTCCTCCCTTCTCCCCATCCCTCCTCTACACCAACTCCTCCTCCTCCCTTCTCCCCATCCCTCCTCTACACCAACTCCTCCTCCCTTCCCCATCCCTCCTCTACACCAACTCCTCCTCCCTTCCCCATCCCCCCTCTACACCAACTCCTCCTCCTCCCTTCCCCATCCCCCTCTACACCAACTCCTCCTCCCTTCTCCCCATCCCCTACACAGGCAGAACACTAGCTAGCCTCTGACTTGTTCAATCTGGCAGAAAGGTCTTTTCTAAGGTTCCAAAGCTGGGAATATTTGGGTAAAATCAACCCAGGCCTATGAAAAGAATCGCCTTTCTACATGGTTACCTCTAGATCCTTGGCTTAAAACTAAAAGAAATTTGTATGTAGAAAGTGCAAATACATGAATGAATCTCAGAATAATCTTGTGGAATGATTCATGTCAGTCTCATCTGGCCTAAGCCTGTTGGCATAAGGATCCTTTCCACCCTCCCCAAGCACAGGGGTGGAGCCCTTCTTAAACATGTTCCCCTACCAAGTCATACCCACTCAGCCCTCCCAAATAGCAAGGGAGAAGTAGGGCTGAAAAGGATACTGAAGCACTAAGATACAGTACTGAAGTGTGGACAATATTCATGGGATAATTAACCACAGAAATAAAAAAGTGTTGTCTTCTCCCCCTCACACCCTGGAACTGTAGAAAAAGAGATTTTAAAGTAAGTGATAAGCAAGTTAAAAGATTACTTACCACCAACGTGGGTGCCGTCAATAATCCCCAAGCAAAAAATTCCAAAAAGATGACGATAACTGCATGATAAACACTAGGAGAACCTATTCCTTGAGGCTAGAAAACAGATGTTAAACAAGTTAACAGTACATAACATCAGCGATACCAGGGATAAGAATCTCGTGTTCTGCTTCTCTACTATTTTTCTGCTTTCTCTACTATATTTCATTTTGCTCAGTTTTACTTTTCTTGGTACTTTCAACAAAGCAGCTCATGCCTTGCTCTCTAATCTGTCAAGTCATTTTACCAATTCACATGTGAAAACTCGTACGTTTGTCAATTTGTCAGAGATGCAGTCCCACAATTATATTCACAAAATAAAGACCATATAAAGAAAGAAAACTCAGAAGAGAAATTCTGTTTTTCATAAAATATAGATGTGGCTCTTGGGCCCTTGGCCTCTAACAGGAATGCTCACAAACTAGCTGTCATTCATGAAAATAACAAAACTGGGAGTACAGCAAACTCAAGTTTTGCAGAAAACAACAAAAACCATCAATAAAATTTAAAGACAACCTAATGAATGGGAGAACATATTCGCCAATGATATATCCAAAATATATAAAGAACTCACAACTTAACACAAAAAAACAATCAATTAAAAAATGGGCAGAGGACCCGAACAGACATTTGTCCGAAGAGGACACACAGATGGCCAGCAGATATGTGAAAAGATATGAGGGATGCAAATTAAAACCACAATAAGATATCACCCCACATCTGTCAGAATGGCTGTCACTGATAAATCAACAAACAACAAGTGTTGGCAAGGATGTAGAGACAAGGGAACCCTCGCACTGTTGGTGGGAATGCAGACTGGTGTAGCCACTGTGGAAAACAGAATGGAGGGTCCTCAGAGAAATTAAAAATAGAACTACTATATGACCCAACAATTTCACTTCTGGGTATTTATCCAAAGAAATAAAAACGCTAATTTGGAAAGATACTATATACCCCTTACCCCTATGTTTACAGTAGTGTTTACAATGGCCAAGATACGGAAAGACGACTGGATAAGATGTGACATATGTATGTGTGTGTGTACCTATAATGAAATTATACGCTGTCATAAGAAAGAATGAAATCTTACCACTTGTGACAACATGGATGGACCTAGAGAATATTATGCTAAGTGAAATAAGTCAGAGAAAGACAAATACCGTAAGATTTAGCTCATTTGTGGAATCTAAAAAACAAAATAAACACAACAGAAATAAACTCAAAGAGAACAAACAGATGGTTGCCAGATGGGAGGGGTACTAGGGGGTGGGTAAAAAAGGTAAAAGGGATTAAGAAGTACAAACTGCCAGCTATAAAAATAGTCACAGGGATGTTAAGTACAGAGTAGGGAATATAGTCAATAATATTGTACTATGTACGGTGTCAGATGGGTGTTAGTTAGACTTATTGGGGTGAGTACTTTGTAAGGTACATGAATGTCTAATCCCTATGTTTGTACATCCAAAACTAATAAAATATTGTATGTCAACTGTAATAGAAAAATGCATTTAAAAATTTCTAAGCAATTACCCACCCCCAAACTGGAAGTATTCTAAAATGTCAGAATGCACTTTTAAATTCATCTGTCCTCAATGTCCCACACTGAATAAGAGCTATATCAAATTGTTACATACATTAAGATTTTAACTAAAAACTGTTATTTCTACATATAGATACTTCAAAAAGCAAACTCATGATAATGCTGTTAATGTCACAGTACTTTCATTAGTGAAATGGTACACAGTAGATAATTAAATATTTACTGAATTTAACCTGTGGAATTTTTCTATAGTGAATTATATTGTCTTCAAATTGAACAACTGTTCTTAAACTTCCGAGAATCTCCATAGAAAAACATAAATCAAAGAAAACTGCAAAGAGTTCAGGGTGAGCAGGCCCAAGAAAAGAACTCCTGATACACAGGGTTGGCAAAAGGAGGTTTATAGTTGCGAGTGCATGAAACACAGTTTTTTTCTTGTATTATTTATTAATTATTGCATTATTTTCCAAATGAACAACTATAAACCTACTTTGCCCCACCCTGTAGAATCATACATCTTCATGTCATTTACCTTAACTGTGTGCAATTCAAACAGGCAACCTATGGTTAGCCTTACCATGGCTCTAGAGCCAATTGAAATACAAATTCAAGAAAAGAAAAACAGCCTGGCTGGTATGGCTCAGTGGTTGAGTGTTGATCCATGCACCAAGAGGTCACTGGTTTGATTCTTGGTCAGGGCACATGCCCAGGTTGTGGGCCAAATCCCCAGTGGGGGGCATGCAGGAGGCGGCCAAATGATGTTCTCATAGATGTTTCCATCTCTCCCTCTCCCTACCTCTCTAAAATCAATAAAGAAAAATAAATTTAAGAAAAGAAAAACAGGAATTTATGATTAACCTGGTATTTTGGAAGGGTTCATTTCTCTCAGCTGTTAAAATCTGTTCTAACTGATAAATCATTAACAACTCATTACAAGTCCTGTTGATAAATGTTAAAATTGGCTGACCAAGCTTACAAAGATGTCATTAGCAGAGGACAAAGTGCAATAATTCTATTAACGTTATTGAACCCTAGCAAAAATACTGAAGGGGGTCAGGGCAGTATCTTTGGCCGGCCTGTGAGCTACTGTTCACAGCCTGTCCCGTATGAGACTTGACTTTGAATGAATCCACGCATTTGGTGCAACTTTCACACAGAATGAACAATATCAAATGGCAATTTTACTCCCATTCTTAAAAAATGTTCATAATGGTGGTAGTCTGACCAATTATAAGTAGAGAAGCTGAAAGGCAAATGCCATTTTAAAATCATGTCTATGACTTTATAAAAGTTTTACTTTTATTTTTTAACTGATTTTTAGGAAGTGAGGAAGGAAGAGGGAGAGGGAGAGAAACATCAATTGGCCACTTCCTGCATGCCCAACACCCACTGGGGATTGAGCCAGCAACCTGGGCAATGTAAGAGTGAAACACTGGTCAACTGCGTCCTGCACGCCCCCTACCAGGGATGGTCTGGGCATGTGCTCTGACCAGAAATGGAACCAGCAACCTTTTGGTACATGGGAGGATGCTCAACCAACTGACCCACACTGGCCAAGCGAAAGTTTTACTTTTAAAGTTATGTTTTTATTTACAGCTTGAGTGGACTAAAATATAAACCCTGCAAAAAATTACCCTGACACTTATGGTAATGTAAATATCTCCTGATTATATATAGGAATAAGTAAAAATTAGTGCAACCTAAGTGTATCAAGATGATAAACGATAATATCCTCATGCTCACAGCCCTCCAGAAAGGTTTCACTTATTCTCTGTGCCCTCTTAAAAACATTGCTGGTGTAAAAATTGTGTTCTGTGGCGAAAAGCAAGCTACAAATTCACAACTTTGACAAATAACAAGACAAAAAAGATAAACAAGAATCTCAAAGCTCACAGGATGAGCAATGAAAACATGTGTTAAGTGAGTCAAAACTTGAAAGAGAGGAAACCCCACCAACTTTTCAAGGAAGGAAGGTGCTTTTCTTCATCAGCTTCACTCTTACTTTGTACAAAGAGCACTATTTAATGTATCACTTGCTTTTATAAAATACAATCTTGTGTTACTTCTATTTGTAGATTTTATTAAGAACTTAAAATATCAAGTCCCCAGGGTTGACAAAGGCAGCCAGTATTCTTTCAAGCTATTTCTTTCCACAGAGCAGTTTTTACCAACTTGCTTAAAAGAGCCAGGGCTACCCACACCTGATTTAATCAGTGATGCTTTAATTAATCAAGTAAAACAAAAAAATCTTAGGACTTGAACTGCAAAGTTTCTTTTTTCACCAAATGTCAAATCCATGACATCTAAGAAAACTGACAGTTAACTAAAAGTATATTCTGACATTGATCCATATGTCCCAAGCTTTCTAAATGTTAGCATACTGACTGGCCCTTATTCTGAAATGCCAAGTAAAGTTATTTATTTCAAATGAATTCAGCAAATCCTCCCTAGTGGCCCACTCACACTTAGCACTGTGCTAGCAGCTGATCAGGGCTCCAATATAAACAAATATGGAGTAAAAGGAACCATTTCTGCACACATCCCAGGAAAGGGAGCCACGTATTTCACCTTTCTGTTCTGTTTCGGAATGGGACAGCAAAGACTGCAGCAAGACCGAAAAGTGTGGCAATGGGGAAATTACGGCATAAAACTGTCTTGGCGAGTTATTTTAGCCCAGGTCGGGCGCGTTCAGGGTGGTATGGCCGTAGAGAAGGCGAGTTATTTTCAATTAAAAACCCTACGTCCCCTGCTGGTTAACTGTAGCGCACTGCATAAAGTTTATTGTGATGACAACTGTTTCTAAAAAGCAAAACTTTTTCTTGCCCTCAAACTGTATTCCCTTCAAAGTGTCTTCTGATCCTCAGGCCATGATCAATCCTATTTAGTTTTTTTTTTTTTTTTTTTCTACATTAAAACACACAAGGTGGTTTTAAAACAAAAGGGTGACTGCTGTTTCGGTCTAGGCCCCGGTGTCCTCCGCCAAGGTGCCGACGCGGGGACGGGAGGGGACAGCCCACCTCGGCCGGCGTTTACCGGTCTGGGGCCGCCAGTGCGGGCGCCGACCCCGAACCCCCGGAAGACGGGAGCGGGCGCACCGGGCCCAGCGGGGTGGCCGCGCAGGTGCCACCGTGAGCAGCATATGGACAGACGGGCAGGCGCTGCTCCCGACCCCTCGACAGCGCGGCGACGGCTCGCAGGGCCCCTCGTCCACTGTCCCCCGGCGGAGGCGCACGTGGGCCCAGACCCCGGCCCCGGGGGCCTCCGGAGGCGAGGGCGGCAGGTGCGGACGAGGCCGGCGGCTCCTCCCAGAGCACGGGCCCCGGAGGCCACAGGCCTGGCCGGGGAGAGAAGCCCACGGAGCCGGGGTTGGGGGTCCGAGACGGCGGCCCCGCGGACGGGGCGCGGCGGGCACTGAAGGCGGCGGCGCGGGGGCAGCAGGGGTCGGATGGGGCCCGGGGACGCTCCCGGCGCACCCCGCTCACCGTGCCGCCGTCCTTAATGATGATCTTCTTGGCCAGCATGATACTGCGGTTCGCGGCCCGTTTCTTCTTCTTCCCTTGGGTCATTTTACCATCCTCGAGTCCTGGCGCTGCTGCTGCCACTCCCGGGGCGGCCGGCCCCCGCGGCGAGTGCCGTCCGGCCACTACTACCGGGCCGAGCCGCTCGGGGTGCCCGCCGCCATCTTCAGGGCCCGGCCTGCCTCGGGCGGCGCGTCACATCGTGCGATCGGCGACGAGCCGCCCGGCCCCGCCCCGTGACGCCGCCGCCCCCCACGTGACGCCGGCCGCCCCGCCCCCTCGGCCGCAGAGCCGCGCCGCGCGCGAGGGAAGCTGGCGGGGCGGGGTCCGCTGGCCGCCAGGCTGCCTCGTCCCCGCGGCTCGCCAGCTCGCCGGCTCGCCCCGTCCTCAAGCTGCCGTGGGCGTCGGAGCGGTAGCGTCCCCGTCGCAGGTGCAGAAATGTCCGTGCCTGTGACGCGCCTGCTTTCAGACGGCGGCACGGCGTGGTAGCGCGCTCCAGCTGTTCCCGGGACGAAGGCAGCAGCTGGAACGGCCGAGATAAGCCCATGCTCCAGAAAGTGTCCTCGTGCGCAGGCCCCGGAGCGCAGCTGGGGCTCGCGCTTCCGGCAGGCCCAGTCCGGGGCCTTCTGTCCATTGCCTGTCACACTTTGTAGCCCACTTCCAGTTTTGCCCTGTTGTTTAAAATCAATTTATGAAGTGAGGAGTTGCTACAAAGGACAGCGGCAGGTTAACGAATGACCAGTTTTGATTTTGATAGTGTACTGTGTTATGTAAGAGGATATCCTTTCCCTCAAATACACACTTTAGTCTTAAGGAGTGAAGGGGTGAATGAAGCTGCTACTGCTCTTCGGATAGGAAGTAACGTGTGTACGTGTGAGGGGGGGAACAAGTGTCAAAGCAGAATGTCAAGAAGCTAAACAGTGGTGTTGGGGCATGGCGGTTTTAAGACATGTTCCAGCCCTGGCCAGTTTGGCTCAGAGGTAGAGCGTGGCCCGCAGACCTGAGTTGCGGGTTCCATTCCGGCCCCTGGCCTTGGGGGGTGGGGGGCAACCAGTCAATGTGTCCCTCTCAGGTCGATGTTTCTCTCTCCCTTTCTCTCCCTCCCACTCTGAAGAGAAATAGAAAAATATCCTCGGGTAAAGACAGGCTCACACATTCAAAGATACTCCTCTCTGGAGGAGGTGGAGTCTAACTCCGTTCTTGAATGTGGGCTGTGCTTAGTGGCTCCTTTCTGTCTAATAGAATGAAGCAGCAGTGACAGCACAGGCTTCTGAGGGTAGGTCATAAAAGGCACAGAATCCCCCTGCTGGCTTGTTCATTCACTCTGGGCTCAAGTCTGGGGGAGGCTAGCTGCCACATCATGAGGACACTCAAGCAACCTTTGGAGGTCCAGGTATTACCAACAGGTATGAGTCACCTTGGGAGCAGACCCTCCAGTCCTGGTTGCTGTCTTTAACTAATTGCAACCCCTACCAACATCCTGTCTGCAACTTCAGGAGACCCTGAGCTAGGACCACTCTGCCTAGCTGTTCCTGGTTTCCTGACTCGGAAACTGTAAGATAAAAAGTACTTGTTTTAAGCCACTGAGCTTTGGGGTAATTTGTTACACAGCTATAGATAACTAATACACAAGTTAAAGGAAATGTGTGTTATTTGTATTATTATTGCAACTTTTCTGTAAATTTGAAAGTATTAAAAAATAAATTTGGTTGAGTTTTCTGTTCTGTTTCTGTAACTTAGTAGAAACAGAAATCAAACCAATTTTCATGGAAAGAAGGCATTTTAGCCTGATAGATACTTCAAGTTACATATTCTCATCAATAGGTAAACTCGTCATTTGTTTTAAAAAATTCTCTTGCTGAAACCTTTTAGTTGAAGGCCAACTTGAAGCTTTTTGGAGAAAGTAATAACTGAATCCCCAGGATCTTGTTTTGGACGGATGTAGAGGGCAGGGAAGATAATTTATTGTGTAGTTACTCTGATTTATCATGGCCCCTCAGAATTGTACTTCATCCAGCTGCACCAATTTTATCATCCTTAACAAATGATCATTGTCCAGTCATTAAAAAAAACACCCAGTTTACTAGACACTAGGGATATATCGATAATGAAGTTATATTCTTCTGCATGGAGTTTACATTATATGGGAGAACACAACTGCGAAACAAACACAAAAGGAAGATAACTGCAGATTGTATAAGTGCACAATGACATAAGAGAAGTTGGAAATGACACAATAAGAGAAATTTAACACATAATAAGAGAAGTTTAGCACAACAAAGGTGTTGTGCTAGAGGAGTTGCAACAGAAAATAAGGGATGAGTCTTGTTCTAATGGACTTATTCTGTATATACTTGTGGCTTTGTATGCACTGGCTACCATAGATAACACTGTCCAGGACTCCACTTGATGAACAACTGGAAAGGACTGTGTAGTTTGGCGCCCCCTAGACTCAACTCTCTGTGTCTCTTCCTTGGACTGGTTCTAATTTGCATCCTTTTCTGTAATAAATGGATTGTGAATACAATAGCTTTCAGTGAGTCTGTTTCTCTAGTGAATTATCAACCCTAAAGGTGAATTTGGGAAACCCCTGTATTTGCTGTCACCAAGACGCTCTCTACTACAGTAGGATTTTAAATCTTTCCTCTGCTGTTTTCTTCAGTGTATATGTAAATAGTCTTGTTTGGAAGGAATTCTCTGTTTCAGAACAGTAGGGAAGACCATTATGATTACTATTGCTGGTCACTATCTGACTGTGGAATGGCAGTGGCATGGATGAAATTTAGATTACGAGGTGTATTTGTGTAGCCCTGGGATTTGAGGATTGTGATATATGGTACTTTGTTGTTGTTGTTGTTTTCTTTTATTATTTTTTTTATTTTTAGGTACTTTCAACAAAAGAAATATTGCCATATCCACCCCCCCAAATTAAAGTGCTTTTCTTTTTCTTTTTTTGTTAATCCTCACCTGAGGTTATGTTTTCCCACTGATTTTTAGATAGAGTGGAAGGGAAGGAGGGAGAGAGAGAGAAACATTGATGTTGAGAGAGACACATGGATTGGTTTTCTCCCACATGACCCCAACTGGGGTTGGGGTTTGAACCTGAAACCCAGGTATGTGCCCTTGACTGGGAATTGAACCCATGATCCTTTGGTCTGCAGGCTGATGCTCTAACCACTGAACAAAACCGGCCAGGGCAGAAGTGCTTTTCATGAAAAGATACCAAAGAAAAATATACATTTTTAAAAAGCTGATATTCTTATTTTAGAGACCTTTTAAAAGAAAGCATTTTGTACAAGGTTACTTCAGTAATAGAAGTGCCAATAAAATCCTTTATATTGCTTATCATTTGATCTCTATGCAGTGAATTGATAGTCACAAAAGCAGCAATTATATTCAAATAATGAAGATATATACCAACTACTGTAATTACCTAACCCTGAGGTTAGCAAAGAGATCATTTAAAACAAAGTGTAGACTATCATCCTCCTCCAGGTAGAGAAATTCTGACTAGTTTAAATAAAACCCAGTCTCTTATACTTGAGCATAAGTTAGAAAAAGATCACGTGACAATGAGAACTAGAGAGGCAGGGAAAAGATCCCTAAGTCATTTGTTAAATATACAGAGGAGTCTAATTCATGAGTTATGTCTGATCCTGTTGAGTAGAGAAGCAAGGAAATATAGGAAGACATTTATATAGTTAATTATGAAAAGCATCTATTTTCATAAATCTACTAAGTACATAACTGGATACCAAAAAATGACAACAAAATTTATCAATTTTAAAAAGCCATTTAACAAAAAACCGGTTTATATATTCTTTGAATTAGCTCATAGAAAATTTAAATATACAAATTACATTCCCAAGCCCAAAATAATCTTTCTAAACAAATAAAATATATAGACATATAGACAATTTCAGAACCCAAATTAGTATTTGTTTAAGTCACAGTAAATGATATAACAATAAACAAAACCATGACAGTTATGAACCATTGTTAAAATGTGAAAAACTCAATGATGGAGGGCTGGTGACATAATTTATTTAAATATGTTCTATCCACTAATGCTTGTATAGTATGCCTACCTTAATATTCTGTTAGGTAATGGATTTACAGAGCAGATGTTGAAACAACCAAAAATTGAATCATAGTTACTCTTAAACATCCTAATTTTGCCTAAGTATCCAAAGTTGTGAATTACAGTAATAGCCTCCAGAAAACAAAGTCAGGTGTTTTGGTAAAGCAAGGCACATAGGACCAGCTTTTCACAAAGGTGCTTTTTCTTTGGTCCTATAATTACTTTAAATATGCAACATATCTTAGAGATTCTTAAAATGACTTTCAATATAGCATAAATAACTTTTATAAACCTTTCCTTATGTAAAGCATGCATCAACGTGTAATTAAATATTAAAACAATGAAAGTGTAAGTAAAATGAGTAATGCTAAACCCTGTTTTTAAAAGAAGCTCAGTTGAATGACTATCTGATGACATATTAAAAGCCCAATAATTTGATATGTAGGAAAAGCGTATCAATTCTTAAGAACAGTAAGCATTACACTATGTCTACTGAGCACAGTTTCCTTTCAGATTCTGTCTCCTTAGAATCTAGTTTAAATATCAAATTACCCTTCCTTCTATGAAATGTGACATTCAATATAAATTGATGTAAACATTTAAATTCTGCATCTCTAAACTACATCTTCCACCATAAAAACAGCCTACACCAAAAGCACTTGTTACAGAACTGACACTATGACTCTGTGGAAACATCTTCACGTGGCATTTCAAACTCTTATTCCCAAATACCATGTTCTTAAGTGTTAAGAGAACTATCAGTTGGCACTTTTCTCCCATGAATTAGCATATTTTTATAATGAATAAAGTAGTTGAGAGATAATAAGTAAACTTTAAAAAATATTGAATTTAGATAGTCAAGGAGCCATCATTATGAAATGGCGTATCTGTGTATATATGACATAATCTGGAATACAGGTCCACCTTCCCAAATGTGATTATGTCTTTATGAATTAGAAAGTATGAACTACACAACCCAATCTCTAGTAATGCTTTCAAACTGACTAGAAAAGCAAAATACAATAAAAAATTGCTTTGAAAATATACTTCAGACTATTTTCTCCTTTCTCACAACTCTTGATTATAATTTTATAGACTTTGTTGGGAATCTTGAAAATTGTGTTGTTTTGGACACCTGAAAATATATTATCACTGTAACTGACATATCTGATACCCAATCATGTTCGTGTATTATTTTCTGAAGTGTTAAAATAGGACAGATTAAACCTGAATTAACAATTAATTGTGAGTACATAATGAATTAATATATAATTACACAACCAAAACTACTTCTGGGCTAAACATAAATCTTTATATTTAGTCTCAATGTCTATGCATTTGCAGGACTTGGATTTCACTTTGCAGGAAGAATAAGATGTCAGTTTGAGTGTTTTTACAGTCTAAAAGCACCATGCTTGAAATGTGCAGGTTACTAACTACTCTCAAAGGTCTTTTTACCTGGTCACCAAAAATCATATGTCAGGCTTCCAGAAAGTCTGCTTGGTGCCCATTTAGAATCACCAGCAAAATCGTTTAAAATATTTTGTGATTTTAAACACATTTAAACTCTGGATGAAAGGGATCAGGCCTGTGTCCTATAGAGACCAGGTTTGCCTCAACAAAGTAACAGCCAAACCTAATTAGCGAAGAGTACTCAACTTTGTAAAATAGTATTTTTGAGCCAAATTCTGTTCAACAAAATCCTAACATCAGAATGATATAAAAATATTTACTTTTTACAGTTTTTATATTAGAACAGGAAGCTTTTAAAAAATATAAAATAAGAATGAAAAAAATAAAGTAAAATATGTCTACTCAACAGGTAATTCTGTCTAGTCAATAATTAAACCCACATTCCAACTTTAGAAAGTATTTTGCCCACCAATTCATCTTATCACTTCTGCTATATTCTCCCTCCCTTGTACCAACTTCTTAAATAACTCATGTAATTTGTAACTTCAATTCCAGTGCTAATCAAAATGGCAAAGAAACCGTATTTAAAGGCAAGTGGTGGCTCCTCCCAGCAGCACAAGGAGACCTGGGAACTAGCTGCGGTCCCAGAGGTGTGATCAGTGTTCCTGGGGATGGTGGGTTTGTGAGCGGCCCCTGAAGTTCTTCTGAGCAGCCTTGAATTTATAGTTAGAGTGCCATTTGAAATAATGTGATACCGTGGCAACCTGGAACGTCTCCAAGAAAAGTCGTTTTGGTCTCAATTCCTTGATAGCAGTCTACTATTTTTTGGTGGTTGCTTTTGTTAACAGTTGTAGATTTTACAGATCAGTGAGTAAAATACTCATAAAAAAACATCCTAATGTGCACAGTCCATGCTTTGATAGTTCAAAACTCTCCAAATGGAGATATTAGATAATAATTATTTTATTTTAAATTATTAAATGAGTATTTAATCCCTTTAAATTACATATTAAAACTTCAGTGGAGCACACACATTTAATTTAAAGTACTAATAAAGATTTATCTGGTTTACAGAAAAGAAATGCAATTAAGATGAAGGACACAAAGTTAGTGTCAAAGCCCCTGGCCCCCACCTAGCCCAGGAGCAACTGGATTGCTTTCAAAGCCCTGAAAGACCCTAAAATGTAGGTGGAGAAATATGTGTATTTCTCTACATGGAATTTAAATATAAATAATGAACTTTATTCTCTGACAAATCAGATCCAGAATGTTACTTCATCAATTTTATGTGGTTGAACAAATAACATTTAGCTATCTTTTGTTTACCAATCTTTTGTATAAATATAGAAATCTCAGATGCGTGAAAATGTTTTTCAGATCATACTTCTATTTCTTCACAACTTTATAGATAATTATAATTTTCAAACTTTGACTATTTCATGTGATTGGCTATATCTATACAGAAAGAGTAAGATAAAAACATGGAATAAAATGAAATAGCTCTAGTTTGCAGAAACTGATATCTGACATTTGCTGCCTGTGGTCTGGTAAAAAGTGCATAGGTGATTTCTGCAGCAATCAAAAGGGTGAAATCTCTCTAAACTCAGATTTCAAGTTTCCTCCACTGACTCTAATCCCTGGAAATAGTTTCAAGTTTGGATTTCTAGATGCAATAGGTATTCTGTGATATTTACACATATTTTATCCTTAAATATTTTTGTTTTCAAACCATTTGAACAGTATGGTCAGATTTCAGCATGATACCTTCTCAGAATCTGCAGAAGTCCTCTGTGTGAGTTGAATGTTGCAATCCCCAGGGCACCACTGTGACAAGCCAGTGAGAGAGAGCACTCGGCTATGCTTTAGTGAGATTTCCTGCAGGTCTGGGGTCATAACCATATAGGAAAGTAGCTGCTATTACAAGGATGGCTCCAAGGAAAAAGACACTAAGTAGATGAAGGAAAAATGAAAAAGATACAATCAGATTAAAAGCAAAACAAGTTCCTTCTATTTCTTTATCTAACAAGCATAATTGGAGCAAGTGTTTCAGTAATGCGGCTAACAAATCCTGTTGACTACATTCCAGGTATTCAGCTAGGTGTTTACATGCATTCTCTCTTTAGTTCTCACAACCACCCAAGAGGAAGTAATAGTACTGTTCTCTTTTTGTAATACACGAGGAAACTGAGGTTAGAGAGTGTAAGTATCATGTTTCCTGTCCCATAAGTCTAAGTGGAAGATCGGCTTCAAATCCAGTTGTGTCTGACTCCCGCCTTCACTCTTTTTTTATTTATTTTTTAATCCTCACCCAAGGACACTTTTCCATTTTTTGTTCAGGTAGAGTGGGAGGGAGAGAGAGGAACAGAGAGAGAGAGAGAGAAACATCGATGCGAAAGGAACACACCGAGTGGCTGCTACCCGCACAACCGACCAGGGCTGGGGACAAACTGCAACCGAGGCATGCGCCCTTAGCGGGAACTGAACCCGGGTCTCTCAGGACCGCAGGCCGACGCTCTAACCGCTGAGCCAAACCGGCCAGGGCCCGCCTTCACTCTTACCCACTTCACTATACTGTCTCCCGAAGCAAAGATGTATGAAATGTATTTCATCTTAATATGCCGTTTGCCTGCAGTAGATTGAGTAAGATCTCAATTTTTAAAAATATATTTGAAAATATAAAGGAATATCTGCATTCTTTTCAAACCAAAGTAAATTTCAGTTTAAAATCCAACATAGTGCCCTGGCCATTTGGCTCAGCAGTTAGAGCGTCAGCCCATGGACTGAAGAGTCATGGGTTCGATTCCAGTCAAGGGCATGTACCTTGGTTGTAATTTGGTCCCCAGCCCTAGTCGGGGTCCTTCGGGAGGCAGCCAGTCGATGTGTCTCTCTCACATCAATGTTTCTCTCTCTCTCTCTCTCTCTCTCTCTCTCCTTCCCTCCCTCCCACTTTATCTGAAGATAAATGGAAAAGTATCCTTGGGTGAGGATTTTAAAAAAATATCAGATAGCATAGTAAAGCATTTAACTGGGAAAATAAAAATAAAAATAAAATCCAACGTAGTAACAAGAAAAACTTGCCCTGGTGGGTTTGGCTCAGTGGTTGGAGCCTCGGCCTGCAGACCAGAGAGTCCCGGGTTCAGTTCCCATTAGACCCTAGTGGCTAGGGGGACGTACCAAAAAAAAAAAAAGAAAGAAAAACTCATGACCAATTTTTTTAGATGCTTTTTAAAAGGAAGATTAATTGCAGGGAGATTTGGTTTCTTTTTTCTTTTATCCATAAATATGATCCCTTACTATAAACTGGGAATGAACTTAAGCTGGTATTAGAACTTAAACTGGACGTAAACTAGAATAACAATCTTAACTTTGACATACATTTTCCTCAAGAGAATAAAATCTTCAAAAAAGTTTTAGATGTCATTATATAGCTTTTTTATGACTTTATAGGACTTACTTTTTATTTTATTTATTCATTTTTATCCTCACTTGAGGACATTTTTGCATTTATCTTCAGATAAAGCGGGAGGGAGAGAGGGAGGAAGTGAGAGAGAGAAACATTGATGTGAGAGAGACACATAGAGTGGTTGCCACCCACACAACCCAACCCGGGGCCGGGGACAAACTGCAACCGAGGTACATGCCCTTAACGGGAACCGAACCCAGGGTTCTCTGGTCAGCGGGCCGACGTTCTAACCGCAGAGCCAAACCAGCCAGGGCCTTACTAACTTTTTAATATGACTTTTTATTTTGGGGGAAAAAATCCATTCACATCTATTGGGAAAATTCTGGCCAGCTAAATTTGTATAAAAATGTTTCCAATGGAACCCTGGCGGGTGTGGCTCAGCAGATTGGGCATTATCCCCATGTAACAAAAGGTTGCTGGTTCGATTCCCGATCAGAGCACATGTCTAAACCACCCCCGGTAGGGGGCATGCAGGAGGCAGCTGATCAATGTTTCACTCTCCCATTGCCATTTCTTTCTCTCTTTCTCTCTCCTTCCCTCCCTCCCTTTCCCTTTCTCTCTCTCTAAAAATCAATAAAAATCTTTAAAAATGTTTTTTCACCCTGGCCGGTTTGGCTCAGCGGTTAGAGCGTAGGCCTGTGGACCAGAGATGTCCGGGTCTGGTTCTCACTAAGGGCACGTACCTCAGTTGCAGTTTGTCCCCGTCCCCGGGTAGGGTCGTGTGGGTGGCAACTGGTGATGTGTCTCTCTCACATCGATGTTTCTCTCTCTCTCTCTTCTGCCCCCTCTCCCTCCCACTCTATCTGAAGATAAATGCAACAAATATCCTCAGGTGAGGATAAAAAAAAAAGGTTTTTCCAGTGGAAGATATTTTTGTGCATTTAATTTGAAACATTTTAAAAAGATAGTTAAATGGATCTTTTATAACATTTCTATGATTCTTCGAAAGTTATAATAGAGCAAGATTTTTCAGACCAGACCTTAAGAAAAATTCTTATTTTTCTATATCCTTTTGGAGGTTTAAAGAAAAGAAGATGTTACCTGGTTGGCACAAAATCTTGTAGCCAAAAATAGGATATCAGTGTTGATAATATTATGGATAAAGAGGTTGCAAATCCTTTCAAAATGTTATCTGCATACTTTATAACAGCAGCTATTACAAGGCCTCCAAGTGCCTGCAGAAGTTTTAAAAGATAATTAAAAAATATATATATATATGTACATAAAACTGCTTCTCAAAACCATGTCATTACTCAAGCTTTACAGAAGCTTTAAGCTTTTGTCCTATGAATTTAATCCCATTATTATAAATGATTTTCATCAAACATTTCTTATAACCAGTAGCCTTCTAGGTTTTGTTCAATAGTCCTCTGATTTCAAAAGGTGTCTGATAAAGTAAATACCAGTGTAACCTGCAGTTTGTCATAACAGAGTCTGATCATATTACGAATAAAATATCTATTCTTATCCAATTTAATATAAACATCACTGTTCAGACAAATGTGGGAAGACTGGTCACAATTTGTGAAATGTTTTTACTTTTGAATAAAAATAAAGTGCTACTTAAAGTTATTTTACTACTAGCCTTTCAATAGCTTCCTAACGTCACGTTCTTCCTCAGTTTCTCCCCATTCAAACCCACCTTTCATTGTATTCATTACTTTTCTCAAAGCACGGTTTTGTTTGTTGTCTTTAAGAATACAAAGAGAATTTTGTACCAAATCCCTCTCAATTTCACTGTGGCTACTTAAATAATGAAAGCAGACTATACTTCATAGTTTTGTCTTCTGCCGGTCCCTCTTAGCAGCTTCCCAGTCTGGGTTAGCCACCTGGACACTTTCACAGAACCTCTTCCAAGGACAGAGCTTTCGTGGCAAAAGTCACAGACTAGTCCAACTGAGCTCACTACAGTTGACATTTGAGTTCCAATACTTCTTCACAATGTTCTCATTCTGTTTCCTCCCGTTGAATCCCTCATACCAACTGTACTAAACCTTTTTTTATTTCACTCAAATCTTCAGGGAAGAGGGCTTCCCTCTTTGTTAAGATAAAAGCCATTATTAATAAACTCTCCTGACTTACCCTATTTCTACTTCAAATTTTGGCTCAGTTTTCACTTATTCTGTCTCCTTTTCTCTTATCTTAATGATAGAAGTAACCTTCCTGCTTTCAAAACACCACTACCATTTGCCACCATGACTGCCAACCAAGGGTACTTGGCCCCTTACAGGGAAAGGCTTTGTGAGGACAGTGGCTTGTGCCTGCATCTCCATGTCCTCCGAGAGTTCGGAAAGTCTTTACTGCAGATGAAATTACTCAACCCTGGAGGACTTCAAATAAACTGAGGTCACTGACAGGGAAGTTCCAAAATATAACTACTACAGGAGGTACAAGCTGTCGTAGATTACACTTCTGGATGTGCTCCCTGACCTGATGGGCTGACCACTGACTTCCTGTACCAGAATGGGTACAGAAAAATCAGAAGTTACATTTGCTCTCAGCTTCAACTCTTCTCTTTTTAAACTTGCACTTTATCAGGTTAAACTGAAGTGCCACGGAATTCACTCACGTCCCCTCTTCAAAGAGAGGTTTCACCGTGGCATGAAGACCATGCTACTTCAACTGCCCGGAGTCACCCAGCGGCGATGAGCGTCAGGGGCCTTGCCTCCTCGCAGCAGGGCATCGGTAGCTACTTTGGTTGTCTAAGAGTCAAGTTAATTAGCATTAAATATAAAAATAAATGTTTTACCTGAAGAGCAACAACTATCCAGGTCAGTCGGTTATATCCCTGAAAAAAACCATTTTTTGATACCAATTCTCCATCATAAATGTATACACCCATTAATCCAAATATACTCCCAAAGAAACCTAAAAAAATGGAAAGTTTATGTCATAAGCTGTCCATGGACATTCCAAATAATTTTATACTTTTTTTAATAAAATTTGGCCACTTCAAAATTTTTCTACTTGGATATTTATATAAATTTAACAAAAGTATACTTAGTACTAGGAGTCTAAGACAAAGACATGAGAATATAAAAAAGAACAGTGATTACCAACCTTAGAGCATTAACAAAATATAATGCAGAGATTGCATGATTACATGGCTGTCCTTTCAAATATTTGTAAAATGCCCACTTTGGGCAGATTTCAATACACCTTGTATCTTCCTATTGCTAGATATAGATTTGCACATATTCACATACATACCTGCAGATATAAAAGCTCATAAAAGTAGCATGCATTTTTCCTTAAGAAGTTCTGAAGGTTCAATTAGTAATATCCAAAAAATTAGAGTTAAGAAATAGTCATAGGCGACATCAGACCCTGCTGTTGCTGAGGCCCTCCATCGGGAGTCGCTGGAGAGCGGGACTGTCTTACTGCGGCAGCCCTGACCTCTACAGCACAGCTGTCACGTGGCTGCCGATCTCAGGATTCCCAGTCCTCCACTCTGAGTGAAGTCATGGGCATTGGGCATTTCTCCTATCTGGTAAGGAGTGCAGTCAGAGCACAGGATTTCTTTTATCGAGCTGTAAATAATCAAAGTGTACCAGAGGGAAAGGAACTGGGAGGGATGTGAAATGATCTTTCTAAAATTTCATCTATGCCAGCTCTATCATCTTAATGTGTTTCATTTAGAACATGAAAATAATATTGGCCTACTACATACACAATTATAAAAATAAATACTTCCAAGGATTTTGGTTTTTTATTATAAAAAGAACACTGGGTAATTACAAAAATGTATAAAATACTGACATGTATATACTGTATGTCAGTATGTACAGACCTACAGCATTCTTTCTATCCGTCATATAATAGTCCATTGTAACATGAAATACATATATTACATGAATTAGTCTAAGTGATTTACATATGTCCACTCACATAACCCTACAAGGCAGATACTGTCCTGTCCATTTGACAGGTGGAGAAATGGAACCACAGAGATGTTAAGTGAACTTGGTGAGCTCATGCTGCAGCTAAGTGACGGACTTGGGATTGGATTCCACCACTGTGGCCCTGGAGACCATGATCTTAATCACTACACTAGGTAATCCCACTGATATTTATCTGACCAGTCCTCTACATGTTTCCCACCGCACCAGTGCTGAAATGAATAACCTACCTTTGTGCTCTTATGTAAGCAGAGCTGTAGGATAAACTCTCATCCAGGTGTGCAAATTTTACACCAAAGACTTTATTTATTTAATATTTTGTTAAATACTCCCAAATTGAGATCCAATAAAGTTATACCAATCTATACTCCTAAGAACCACAGGAAATAAGAATTCCTGCTTCTCCACTCTCTAACATGGGATCTAATCAGTTTGCTGATCCCTGACAGCTTGATGTTTGAAAAATGCTAATCACTTTTTAATTTGTTTTTTTAAAATTTTTTTCCTTTATTGATTTTAGAGAGAGAGGAAGTGAGAGGGAGAGACAGAAATATTAATGAGAAAGAACATGGAGCCCTGGCCGGTTTGGCTCAGCGGTTAGAGCGTCGGCCTGTGGTCCTGAGAGACCCAGGTTTGGATCCCGCTAAGGGCACGTACCTCAGTTGCAATATGTCCCCGGCCCTGGTCGGTCATGCGGGTGGCAGCTACTTGATGTGTTCCTTTCACATCGATGTTTCTCTCTCTCTCTCTGTTCCTCTCTCTCCCTCCCACTCTACCTGAACAAAAAATGGAAAAATGTCCTTGGTTGAGGATTAAAAAATAAATAAATAAATAAAATAGAAAGAACATGGATTGGCTGCCTCCTGCCTCCCCTCTGGAGATCGAGCCCACAACCTGGGCATGTGCCCTGACCAGGAATCAAACCGGTGACCTCTTGGTGCATGGGTCAACGCTCAACCACAGAGCCACACTGGCTAGACTATGTTTTTGTAATTCCAAGCTATCTATTACTTATTTATGTATCCTTTCAAAACTTTGAGCCTGTGCTTCATATGAGGTCAAAGCAATGAATAAGACATCCATGAAGTATCACAGAGTTATCAATTCTGAACCAACTTTTATGTTTATTTTATAATTCAAGAAAATTTAAGGCAACTCACACAAACCTTGAATATGTCTTTCTTTTCTGATATTTGCATGTTTATGTAAATAGCTGACATCAGTGCTTAGTTTATGCAAGGTATTTTATCCTAAAAACTTCGCATGCAGCCCTGGCCGGTTTGGCTCAGAGGTTAGAGCGTCGCCCTGCGGTCCGGAGAGACCCGGGTTCGGTTCCCGCTAAGGGCACGTACTTCGGTTGCAGTTTGTCCCCGGCCCTGGTTGGTCGTGCGGGTGGCAGCCACTCGATGTGTCCCTTCACGTCGATGTTTCTCTCTTTCCCTTCCTCTCTCTCCCTCCTACTCTATCTGTACAAAAAATGGAAAAATGTCCTCGGGTGAGGATAAAAAAAAAAAAAAAAACTTCGCATGCATTATCTCAATCCTCATAGCAACATATAAAGTACTTTATGTACATTTTATAGGTGAGGAAATATATAAATTATTTGCAACATCTTTTTTATTTATTTTTTTATCCTCACCCAAGGACATTTTTCAATAGTTTATTCAGATAGAGTGGGAGGGAGAAAGAGAGAGAAACATCGACATGAAAGGGAGACATCGAGTGGTTGCCACCCACACAACCCAACCAGGGCCAGGAACAAACTGCAACCGAGGTATGTGCCCTTAGCGGGAACCGAACCCGGGTCTCTCCGGACTGCAGGCCGACGCTCTAACCGCTGAGCCAAACCGGCCAGGGCTATTTGCAACATCTTTTGGGAAAAACACAGCTACCAAGGATAAGTTATTAAAGCTCCAAATGGTGAAGATAGAAAGAGGCTACACCTACCTTTATGTTGCAGACCTAAAATTCCATTTTATTGAATAAAAGATAGTCATTTAAAGTGCAAAATTTTAAAAAGGCCAAAACCTTGCCAGATACATGGATCAACCACACATTTCATGAAAAGTTTATTTATTTAAAGATATATAGAAATCAGCCCTGGCCGGTTTGGCTCAGCGGTTAGAGCGTCCGCCTGCGGTCCGGAGAGGCCCGGGTTCGGTTCCCACTAAGGGCATGTGCCTTGGTTGCAGTTTGTCCCCGGCCCTGGTTGGTTGTGCGGGTGGCGGCCACTCGATGTGTCCCTTTCACATCGATGTTTCCCTCTCTCTCTCTTTCTCTCTCTCCCTCCCACTCTGTCTGTACAAAGGATGGAAAAATGTCCTCGGGTGAGGATAAAAAAAAAAAAAAGATATATAGAAATCTTTCAATATAACAGAATCACTTTAAAAAAATAACATCTGAAAATATTTCAAACTTACCCAGTTGAATGTTTCTTATCCACACCGACTGTTTGGTTTCTTTTAAGATTTTCTCAAAGTAAACCCCAGCAAAGCCACTTGAAAAACATGCTGTGAGAACTGCCATGAGGCCCACAAACTGAGAGCCAGCCGAAAGCTCCTTAGAATCCAGCTCTTGCGAATCTGAGGGCCACTGAACAAAATGAAACACAGCATGGAAGTTTAATCCGTCTTATTTCAGCAAGTGCCTATTTAGAGCCCACTCTTAGACTTGAAGATAAAAATGCAACCAATACTAAATTTGGGGATTGCAGAGGAGAGCTTTGAAAGACAACCTTGGACTCGTTTTATTCCCCCACAGTGATATTCCTGTTGCCGCACCAAGGAGTTGAGCGGCCCTGCACCCACCGACCATGCTCACCATCTAGCCGTATCCTGTCCATTAGTGCTCCTGAAACCAGTTACTTGCTTATCATCTTCATGGTCTTTGTCAAATTCATGTTTCACCTGGACTATTCATTACTTGATATTTTAATTTAAAATATCTCCCTTTTTAAAATTTAATACCTACTTTAACCTATCCTAAGCAATATCTATGAAGATAAGGGTTTGCTATGCCAGTTATATTTTTCTAAAACCCATTTAAAATAAATATGAAAAATATTTATTCAAGATATATATACACTACACTCTGGGGAAAGTGATGAGTGGCCTCTGAAAGGCAGGAAATCAACAGGACTGGATTTGTTTTTAGACAGACCACAGTGGTCACTACGTGGAGGCTGAATTTGGGGGGATGGGTAGAACTAAAGCAAAAAGAAATCAGTGAGGCGCCAAAAGATCACATGAGAAACAAAGAAGGCTGGGGAAATGCTGTGAAGACAGACAGGACAGAACCTGGAAGTACTAGAAAGCAGAACCAGTGAGGTCTTAGTGACTGGTTAGATGTACAAGCAGAAGGAAGAGGCTAGGACCACTCCCAGGCTGAGTAAAAACAACTGGCAAAAATAGAGACAAGTACAGGTTTGGTTGGGAAAAGTAAAGCTTAGTTTATTAGGCCTATTGAACAACCTAACAAAATGTCCAGCAGGATTTTATATACACACATCTGAAATTACCCGTGACAACCAGAGCTGCTGACACAGACCAAGGAGCCACCAGCATGTAAGTGTTAATAAAAACCCCCCGAATGGATGAAATCTTCAAATATAAAGACATAAAGAAATAACAAGCCTACCAGGAACCCAGTATCTAAAGGGAGTATCAAGAAAGAGGACCCCAGGAAGGAAACCAACAAGACCACTTGAACGATGTGAGAAGAGCCAGGAAAGAATGGTCTCAGAGTAGCTGGTGGACGATAAGAAGGAAATGTTAATAATTTCCAATGCTCCTGATATCCAGTAAAAATTAGTTTTGTTTTCCACAAAGCAGTGTCCTATTTCCCTAACTAGATAGTTCACGTCTTCATGTCCGATAATTTGACTTTAATATATTTCTTAGCTTCAGTAGTATCTTGCTCAAAGGAAGCCCTCAAAAACTATCTCAGCTGTCAGAATAAGCATTTGTTTCTTCACTAGACAATAGAACCATATTGTCCATGCACAGTAAATAAGGTTTTGAAACTGTAATGCAGTGAAAGGTATATTTATCTTGAATAGTTACCTGTACAAAAGCAACTCCTGTCATCAGAATTACCAGGGAGAGCCACTGGTACACACCTAATTTCTTACTAAGCATAGACACAGAAAAGAGTGCTGTTGTAAGAATTTTCAACTGATACGTGACCTGAAACAGAAAACAGCTAATGTTATTAATGATTGTGGGTCTGTTTGTTAAGAGAACTACTAGAAATGTATTTTCAGTACCTGATAGGTAGCTGCATCTAGATTTGACAATGCCACATAGAGTAAATTGTTCTGAAGAGTATATATCCCTGATGGAATAGCAAGTTTGATCGTTTCCATAGGTTTATTAAGGATTTCATCATTTAGGATTCGATTCAGTGCTCTCAGACTACATTCTAGAAAAAAACATGAAATGGACAAAATCAGTCATTAAGGAACTGAGTAAGTCACGTAGCCTCTCTCAAGGTCTCAGTTTTCTCACCTGTAAAAAAAGAAAACTGGGCTACATGTTAAGATACTTTAGGTCTAAACTATACCTTTAATGATGCTAATTTTTCAAAAGTTAAATAATTATAAGGTAGCATATTAAGAATAGCATTATCCTTATATTCTTTTATTTTTATATATTTTTAAATTAAACCTCACCTGAGGATATTTTTCCACTGATTTTTAGATAGAGGGGAAGGAGGACAGGGGAGGGAGAAACCTTGATGTAAGAGAGACATATCAATTGGAGGCCTCTCGCACAACCCTGACTGGAGCTGGGGATCAAACCTGCAACCCAGGTACGTGCCCTTGACTGGAAATCAAACCCATTAGCCTTGGGTCTGTAGGCCAATGCTCTAACCGATGAGCCAAACCAGCCAGGGCAATCCTTATATTCTTTTATTTGGTGCCCTGGCTGGTGTGGCTCAGTTGATTGGAGCATCTTCCCATGCACCAAAAGGTTGTCAGTTCAATTCCCAGTCAGGGCACAAGCCCAGGTTGCAGGCTCAATTCCCAGTAGGGGGTGTGCAGGAAGCAGCCGATTGATGTTTTGCGCTCACATTGATGTTTCTCTCCTCCCTAAAAATCAATTTAAAAATCTTAAAAAAAAAAAAACTGTATTAATAAATGAAAAATATTGAAATGTTCTTAATACTAGAGTATTAAATAATGCAGAAGTGTTCAAATGTATAGTTACCAACATATATTTACACATGTCATACATAAGTAATACCAAACAAATAAATTTCAGTGACTTAAAAAACAAAAACCTAGATACCTACGGCTCTCTTTGTAGACTAATAAAATGCAGGCCATTATCTTCAAAATTTCAGCAACAACCACTGCTGTAGAAGACAGATAACGAGGTCCCTCCTCTTTCAAAGTCCTAGAATAGCGCATTGTTAGAACCAAACTGGTCGTCTGAAAGACCAAAATTCCCAAGGAAAGGTATTTTAGGTTGGCAGACATTGTTTTATCTGCATCTGCCTGAAAAACAAAATAAACAGGGCAAATAAACAAAACTGGAAAATACATTAACTACATTTTTAAAAGCCAGCAAGAGCCGTCAGGTCCCAGACAAGCTGGAGTACGTATATTCTAACCCATTCTTTCTGCCTTGGACCAAACACGAGAAGCAACTATCAGGAGACTCTGAAAGGTGAAGACAGACAAACTGGCTAGAGACCATAGGTATTGAGTGATAATCCAGTAATGAATTCCCTGGAAATCTTTTTTGCCGTTCAGGTATCTCACCCTGGATGTTGTAGCAGTTTATCCCCTGGAACCACCAACAGAGACAGATCAACAACTAAAATGCCCCAAGAGAAACCCACATCTCTGGCCAAAGTCCTGGGCAGACAGCTACCCTGCAGGATGGAACCCTCCCACTGGGTGCCATGTCATCTGTGGGAAAGAGCCTTGCTGACCATCCCCACCCTGCACTAACGAAAGCAGAGATGGCACCCAGCTCCTCCCTCTAGGGCCTGCAGCCACAAAGATGATGGGGGCAGAGTCCTGTCATCCATTCCCGCCCCATGCAAGGTGAATGTCAGCAGAGAGTAGTACCCTTCCTCCTTCCCCAGGGTCTATTAACATAGAAGATTTAAGTAAGAACCAAGGGCTCATAATGTAGTAGTCAAAACATCCATGATACAACCCAGAATGAGTATATTCATGATTCCAAAATGTAGGAAAATATCTCAAATACAATGAGTGAGGACAACAGATAGTAACAGAGTTGACACAGGTGCTGGAACGATCAGACTGGGATTTTAAAGATGCTACCATACACATGCACCACCAACATGCAATTAGAAACACTCTGGATATCATTTTAGGCTCATACAGAAGTTGAAAAAAAATAGTTCTTTACCCATTCTTGAACTACTCATGAGCATTTCAGATCCTCCTCTCATCCTTTCAAAATTTAAATTAAAAAAATGTTAAAATTCCCTTAAAATGTTTCAATAAGTAGCTTCTAAATATTACGTAAGCCACGAGTATTTTAAGCTATTTTTGTAAAATTTAATATTTTATATGATTTCTCAAGTCTCTTCCAGTTCTAACACACACACTTCCATTATTCTAATTTCAATGTCTCATCTAAAAGTTTTGTCTAAATGTTTAAATTGTAAACTTTGAGTATATCTTTGCATATATATATACACACACACACACATATATACACACACACACATACAGTAATGTATAACATGATGAGCTCCTATTTAATTATTAGTATATACTCACTGTATTAGAATAATAATAATATATAAGTATGATCTCTGGTATGTGTATACTACAATCCCACTGATCTTGTATGACAATCCCACTGCAAGGACTTCTAAAAGTCCTACACAAAAGGACTATTCCAGGGTTTGGTGGTCAGTCTAATAGATCTTGTACGTGCTTTCCAGTCACTATTTTCCTCTGAACTGTTAAATGAGCTTGACATTTACACAGTTAGTTTTATTATTTTAAATCCCTTCTCGTACCTAAGCTTCATTCATTTGGATTTGATGAGTTTGGATAATAGCTTGATTAGTATTTACTTCTGCATTTGGTACAAGAAATATTAGTAAGCCCTGGCCGGTTTGGCTCAGCGGTTGGAGCGTCGACCGCGGTCCAGCAAGACCCGGGTTCGTTTCCCGCAAAGGGCACATACCTCAGTTGCATTTTGTCCACGGCCCCTGGTGGGGTCGTGTGGGTGGCAGCCAATCAATGTGTCTCTCTCACATTGATGTTTCTCTCTCTCTCTTCCTCCATCTCTCCCTCTCGCTCTATCTGAAGATGAATGCAAAAAGTGTCCACAGGTGAGGATAAAAAAAAGAAAGAAATATTAGTAAGCTTCTTTAGAATTCAAAGAAGATCTCAGTAACTATTTAACAGTTAATAAAAAAGGTTTTCAAACATACTAGGAAGTACATTTTAAGCACATTTGCTGTTAATTCCATGTCCCTCGTTTTCATTAAAGCAGTTATCAAATGCTTTACAATGTTTTGTCAGCCAATCCTGAGTAACTTTAGAGGCTTTCAATGTTTACAAAATATCCATTACATGAAGTAAATGTATCAGGAGTGCAAACAATGCTACCACCTCCACCCCAAAATTTATCAGGATTAGTGAGAAATTCATTGTTTATGCATCATTAATTGCACTTGATAGGCATTAGCTAAGTTCAGAAACAGTCAAAACATTATATACTAATAATTTCTATTCATCTTTTCAAACATAAATAGGTCCTTGTAGGTAAATCTGAAAATCAGTCTGGCTGAAGACTTATTTCCAGCAGCTTACCATGCCTGTGTCTCATCTTTACGTCTGTGTGAGAAGCCCATCCTTCTACAGAGACAATAATGTCTGTGCTTTGCTGATACATATATCCAGTCACTAACAGTCCTAAAAAGCTAGATGTTAAGCAATGTTTCAAAACTGTAATAAAATTTACATATATTTTCTAAGACTACCAAGTACCTAATAAATTCTGCAAATCAATTTTCCTTCTATTATGAAAACAAACGGCTACATTTCTGCCTTATCATGTTTAAAGTGGCTATACTTACCTTTTCTAAACATTAGTGCTGAAATACACCCCCAAAGCACACCATAGTAATCTACTAGGGTGCATATAAAAACACACAAGTTAGCCCTGGCCAATTTGGCTCAGCGGTTAGAGCGTCGGCCTGCGGTCCTGAGAGACCCGGGTTCGGTTCCCACTAAGGGCACGTACCTCGGTTGCAGTTTGTCCCCAGCCCTGGTTGGTCGTGCGGGTGGCAGCCACTCGATGTGTCCCTTCACATCGATGTTTCTCTCTCTCTGTTCCTCTCTCTCCCTCCCACTCTATCTGAACAAAAAATGGAAAAATGTCCTCAGGTGAGGATTAAAAAAAAAAAAAACACACACAAGTTAAAAGTGCTATGCAAATATAAGTTCACATTATACATGAGGCAGAACACAGCTACTGGCGTAAAAACAAACCTATTAAGGTTTCTCCAAGTAAATGAACAGAAGAAGACAATCTCTACAGAACTGCTATAACCTTGGTTGCAGTTTTTTGGTCCATTACCTCACACGATGCCAAAACTTTAAAGCTGCAACCTACAACTGTATGCCACATGATGACAAATAAATTCCACCCCAAGGGTCTTTACTTCCCACATATCTATATATCTTTCTTCAAACTACCTTAGCAGTAGATATAGAGTAGTCTCAAAAAAGTACCAAGCATATGTTGTAGTTCAAATCCATAATCCTGTGAAGAATCCAAAAATCTTATTTTTTTATAAAAAGTAAAACAAATATGGGTTAAAGGTAATTTACATTATTGGTATATTCAATTTTCTTTCTAGGACAGAAATGATCACTGCCACTAAATTAGTTCACTCTTCAGTGTTCACTAAAAGTGTTAAAACACACTGTTAATTTGTGTGTTTTTATATGCACCCTAGTAGATTACTATGTTGTACTTAGGGGTGTGTTCACTCTTTAGTGCTTAAAGAAAAGTACAATCCTGCTCAATAACACACAAACGACTCTAATCTTTAACAGTGCCAGTCCCTGTTTCCAGTCTGAATTAGACAACTCTTCATTGTTCTTCCTTCCCTTGCTTCCTCTGGGCACTGAGTGACCGTTTACATAATATCATCTCAACTTTCAATTAGTTAATTTTTACCTTGGTCTTTCAGTCTGCAGAATTTCCATGACTACATTCAGGTAAAATAAATATTTCTTCAACTATATAAATCTGTAACTGATTTACATTTTCATTTTGAGATTAAAAAGTGTTTGGTATTGCACTCTCGGTCAAGTTACTGATGGAGACAACAGAACCTTCGGCTGTGTGGCGGCCTCATTGCGCTCTCCTGCTCCACTACTTCCTACTCTGGTCACTTCCTGCCACGTACAGCCAGCAGGCAGCAGTGAAAAGTCGGGTGGGATCCATGACTAAGGCTAAGGAGATGGGGGCCAGAAGTAAAAAGTAAAGGTAGCCTGGCCGGTGTGGCTCAGTGGTTTAGCGCTGACACATGCACCAGGAGGTTGCAGGTTCGATTCCCAGTCAGGGCACATGGCCAGATTGTGGGCCCAATCCCCACTGGGGGGCATGCAGGAGACGGCCAATCAATGTTCTCTCTCATCGATGTTTCTCTCTCTCTCTCTCTCTCTCTCTAAAATCAATAAAGAACAAAAATTAAGCAAACAAACAGAAAGTAGACATATACAATTTGCCATCAGTATTTCATAGGCACTTCCTGCAGTGAGGCCCTGGGACGAGCACTGGGTCCACAATGATGAACAGGACCAACAGAATCTGCTTCTCCGTGGGGTTTATCCTCTAACATGGAAGACGTACCACTCAACTAATTCATGAGTCTGGCCATGACACAGGGGCAACAGGAAAATATCACAGGGAACTGTGGTACCTCATGTTACATTATATCAACTTGTTTAAGCTCAAACATATTTCCACAAATTCCCTTCAGTGTGGTACCAGGTTAGAATTGGCCTAAGATTTGGAAGGCAGGAGTAAAGCAAAAGCCATTACTCCAGAAGGTTCTCAGGGCTAAGAACACACCAGCAGGTTCTAGCGGACCCATTCTTCCTGCTCTAGGTCAGCTCTTCTTCCCAATGGCTGGCCCTGCTGAGCAGCAGTGGGTCCAGGTGCTCCTCCACGCTCCTAACTGTGGACACCAGGCTGCTCCGCGAGGGGAGAGCTTCCCATGAATTCTTCCCGAAGCTCCAGGTGTGGTCCTACTCTAACCTGTCTACCCATGCTAGTCTTTAGGGAGGGCAGCCTAGTCACTTTCCAGGAATCCTCCAACACTCTCTGTTTCTTAATTTAGATTTTATTTTGCAATTAAGTTGACAATCAATATTATTTTGTATTAGTTTTAGGTGTACAGCTTAGTGCTTAGATAATCATATACTTTACACAGTGACTCCCTCCCCATATTTCTAGTACCCACCTGGCACTATATATAGTTATTATAATATTATTGACTGTCTTCCCTGTGCAGGACTGTACCTCCCTGTTGACTGTTCTGTAACTGCCAATCTGCACTTGAATGCTCCCTTCTTTGACCTTGACCCTCCTCCTCCTCCCACAACTGTAAAAGCCCTGATTCCTATTATAAATCCCTTATTCTATAACAGTGAAGTGCTCTGTTTCTCTATTGAACCCAAACTGACACAGCTGGCACCAAATGTGGTTCCAGAACCACACGAGAGGGATCTGGAATCAGCTTTCTGATCTGACTAGACATGAAGATAGCAAAGACCTATTACCAATGGAGAAGGAGACATGGGTGGTTCATCACACCATGAGAGATAATACTTAAATTATCACCTATAATCAAGATTGATCAAGTCATTGCTGCCACAAGCATTTTATTGGAAATAGGTATATAATGGTGTTCACGGGTTGCCTCTAAGTCAACTAAAAAACTTGGAAAAAATATGAACTTTCCCAAATTCACAGCCCAAGATCCAAGTAAGGAATCAGAATAATGGCTCCTCAAAATATCAGGCCCTAAACCCTGAAACCTACAAATGTTACCCTATTTGGAAAAGGGGGTTTTGCAGATGAAACTGAGATGGAAAGATTATCGTGGGTTAGCTAAGTGAGCCCCAAATGCCAACACAAGTGTCCTTGGAAGAGACACAAAAGGAAAACACAGATAGCCAAGTGGAGAAGGCATTGCGAAGATGTAGCAGAGACATTCGAAGATGCTGGCCTTGAAGACAGCAGTGATGCAGTTACCGACTGGATGCAGGGAGCACCAGAGGCTAGGAGAGGAGAGAAATGGATTCTCCTCTAGAGCCTCCAGAGCAGTGTTTCTCCACCTTCCTGATGCCACGACCCTTTAATACAGTTCCTCGTGTTGTGGTGACCCCAACCATAAAATTATTTTCATTGCTATTTCGTAACTGTAATTTTGCTACTGTTATGAATCGTCATCGGAAATATGTGTTTTCCAATGGTCTTAGACGACCCCTATGAAAGGGTCGTTCGACCCCCAAAGGGGTCATGACCCACAGGTTGAGAACCGCTGCTCCAGAGGGAGGGTGGCCCTGCTGTCACTGTGACATCAGCCCAGTGATATTAACGTGAATTCTGAACTCTGGAACTGGGAGAGAAGACTTAGGATGCACTTGATTTTTAGAGGGTTGAAATCTAATGTTAAGCTACCAATTCATAACAATCTTAAGTACACATGTTTCTAAACTTACATTTTTCTCTTGCTAATGTGTCTTTTTTTTTTTTTATTAATTCTCACCTGAGGATATTTTTCCATTTTTCTTCAGAGAGAGCGGGAGGGAGGGAGGGAGAGGAAGAGAGGGAGAAAGAAACATCAACCTGAGAGAGACACATCAGCTGGTTGCCTCCTGCACAACACAACCCCATCCAGGGCCAGGGACAAACCACAACAGAGGTACGTGCCCTTGACTGGAATTGAATCCGTGACTCACTGGTCTGCAGGCCGACGCTCTAACCACTGAACCAAACTGGCCAGGGCTTGCTAATCTGTCTTTTATTATAGGGGTCTCAGCTAAGAACTTAGAAGAGTAGAGAAAAAATTATTTTCCCTCCCCTACAGGGTGAGAATAACTATATCATCTTACGAATTTATTACTAGGATCAAAAGAAGTACTAAAACAGATCAGAAAAGCACTTTCACATATAAGGTTCTTCATAAAAGTCTGAAATCAGGAAATGCTACAAAACAGAAGTTGTCCTTGCTTCCAGGAGCAATATAAGAGTTTGACTGTTTCATTGTATGTTGTTTTTTTTTTCCCCTTTTTTGATTTTCGAGAGAGAGGATGGGAACCAGAGAAAGAGATGGAAACATAGATGAGAGAGAACGTCGATTGGCTGCCTCCTGCATGGCCCCCACTGGGGATTGGGCCCACAACTTGGGCATGTTTCCTGACCTGGAGTCAAACCAGCAACCTCTTGGAGCATGGGTCAATGCTCAACCATTGAGCCATACCGGCTGGACTCACTGTATGATTTAATATAGCAATTATTTATTATGAGTCTAATCTATCTTAATGCTGTGCTCAAGTACTACAGTGCTAAAGAAATTTAAAAGATACAATTCTCTTAAAAAGCTTACATTCTAATAGGAATACATTTCTCTAATAACCATAGTACAATGCAAATTTAACAAATATTATAAGATTTATAAAGCCCAACACAACAAAAAGAGAATGGTGTAGACTAAAGGTAAACTTCAGAAAGCTGCATATGAAGCAGGTGGTATTTGAGGCATTAAAGAATAAGTAGCCCTGGCCGGTTTGGCTCAGCGGTTAGAGCGTCGGCCTGCGGTCCGGAGAGACCCGGGTTCGGTTCCCGCTAAGGGCACGTACTTTGGTTGCAGTTTGTCCCCGGCCCTGGTTGGTCGTGCGGGTGGCAGCCGCTCGAAGTGTCCCTTCATGTCGATGTTTCTCTCTCTCTCTCCCTCCCACTCTATCTGTACAAAAAATGGAAAAATATCCTCAGGTGAGGATAAAAAAAAAAAAAAAAAGAATAAGTAGAGTCCGGCCAGTATGGGCTCATGTCATCCCAGAGACTGAGAGGTCCTGGTTGGATTCCTGGTCAGGGCACATGCGAGTTTTGGGCTCGAACCCCAGTGGGGGGCCTGTAGGAGGCAGCCAATTGATGTTTCTTTTTTTTTTTTTTTTTAATCCTCACCCTAGATTATTTTTCTATTTACCTTCAGCTAGAGTGGGAGGGAGGGAGAGATAGAAACATCGAAGTGAGAGAGGGATACACTGACTGGCTGCCTCCTGCATGACCCAACCAGGGCCAGGGACAAACCAAAACCAAGGTATGAGACATTGACCAGAATCAAACCCATGACTAATTGGTCCTTGGGCCAATGCTCTAACTGCTTAGCCAAACCGGCCAGGGTTCACATCCATGTTTCTATCTCTCTCCCTAAAAAAAAAGAAAGAAAGAATAAGAATTTCTACAAGGACAGTAAGGAAGGCTTTCCTTGCAAGAAGAAAGGATGTAAGCAAAGACCAATGCAGGCAGGAATACAGCATGTTCAGAAATTACATTTCAAAGTAACCACTCAGTTTGGCTAAAAATTAGGGTATGTGAGATAAAATAATTTAAAAACCAAAAAAGAAAGGGACATATTATTGTGATTGGAGCCACAGACAGCTAATTTTGTTTTGTTTTGTTTTTTTTATCCTCACCCAAGGACATTTTTTGATATTTTGTTCAGATAGAGTGGGAGGGAGAGAGAGAGAGAGAAACATCGATGTGAAAGGGACACATCGAGTAGTTGCCACCCGCACAACCCAACCAGGGCCGGGGACAAACTGCAACCGAGGTACATGCCCTTAGCGGGAACCGAACCCAGGTCTCTCAGGACTGCAGGCTGACGCTCTAACCACTGAGCCAAACCGGCCAGAGCAAATTTGGAATGGCTTTGAATGTCACCCTAAATAATTTGAATTTAGCTCTGGCTGGTTTGGCTCAGCGGTTGGAGCGTTGGCCTGCGGACCAGAGAGTCCCGGGTTCGGTTCCCGGTAGGGGCACGTACCAAAAAATAAAATTTTTAAAAAAAATGTATTCCAGAACTAATAGTCACTGAGCATTCTGAGAGAGTGACCAAAGAATGGCTTTAAGAATAAACGTGGAGCCCTGGCCAGTTTGGCTCAGCAGTTAGAGCCTTGGCCTGAGGTCCAGAGAGACCTGGGTTCGGTTCCCGCTAAGGGCATGTACCTCAGTTGCAGTTTGTCCCTGGCCCTGGTTGGGGTAGGGCGGTGAGGGAGGGATGTGTCGCTTTCACGTCCACGTTTTTCTCTCCCTCTCTCCCTCCCACTCCATCTGAACAAAAAAAAAAAAGAAGGAACATGGAGGTGAGGTTTCTGGAAGGGGACAGGCCCAGGGCAGACACTTTGGTTTGGAAACTTCTGCTCCTGTGCAGATAAGAACAGAGAAAGAGCCAGATTTACCACGGAGGTGGTGGAAATGAGAAATGGGAAAACTAAACTTGAGTGGTCCAAGAAGCAGAACCAAGGCTAGGGAAGAAAGTGAGAGCCAGAAATGGAAATTTAGAAGTCACTCCCTTAAAGGAAACAACCCGAGTTTACTGGTGAAAGTGAGTAAGGGCACCAAAGGAGAAACTACCAAATTTCATCCTTACCAAAGTTGAATGTTGAGTCCAGAAACAAAAAACTTAACTCTGGTTCCACTTTCAAGTGCTGCACATAATAGAACACAGTAAGAGTCTTCGACTATAAAGTAATGAAATGGAAGTGCTTTACTAAGCGAGGCCCATTTACTACATCTCATACTGCTCTTTCATTCATTGAACCGACGTTCCCGAGAGGTGTTCAGTAGCTGCTAGTGAATATGTTAATCAACATCCTCGCTCCCGAGACCCGCAAACCGCTCCCCTGGTACAGGCCCACCAGGCGGTTCCGACGGGGATCCCACCCGGCCTCCACACCAGCCTTACCACGTCGTGCAGCCCCTGCGGCTTCGGGAGCACCGTGCAGCTGAGGTGCGGGTGCGAGTGCGGTGGGCGGAGCCACCCAGGGGTCACGGGGGTCACCAGCACCGCCCCCCGCCCGGCCCATCAGCCGCCGGGCAGCGCCTGCCCCAGGCTCCCGGCGCGCACAGTGGTTCCCCGTCGCCGGACACACCCCTTCCCGCGGGCCCCTTCCCACCTCCACCCAGCACAATCCACACGTCGACCCGGGGAGCGACAACGTGTCACTCATGCGCCGCCACCCCAGCCGCGCTCGGGCTCCGGTCCCCGGCGCTGACCGGCTGCCGCTGCGCGCCTCCGCCCGCCCGGGCCACTCACCTGCCCCGCAGCTCGGCCGGCTGCGCGCTCGCGGGGCGGCTCAGCTCCGCCGGGCGCCCGGGGCTGCCGTGCCCGCCGGGTCCCCCGCGACCCCTGCCGCACGGCGCCGCCCGCTGCCCCCGCCGCCGCCAGCGCGGAGCGGCCCGGCGCTTCCGGGTTCCCGCGTCCCGTCCTCCAAACGCTCCGGCTTCCGCCGCGGCCGCGCCACGCCGTTCCCGGCTCGCGGTGGCCGGCCTGCACCTGCCGCTGCGTCCGAAGGCGAGGTCCCCCGTGCCTCCCTGCCGTGTCCACGCCGCCTGCCAGCTGTGCCAGGAGCGAAGTCCTTCGGGGCAAAGGCCCCGGAGAGGGAATGGGAGGTGGGTCCACAGAGCAAACCCGCTTCTGAGCACGACAGGCACTGGCACTGACCACAAGCGACATTTGCTTCGTCTGGAAGAAGGCTTGCTCGGATAGCCCAAACCAGAAGCCTTTCTTGCTTCTTCCCTCCCAGGGCTCTGAATTCCTCTGCTGCCCCATAAGCATCGTGAGGCATCCGGTGAATTTCTAGGTCATTTACTTACTTTGAGTTCTGCTCTGTTTTATGTCCACCCCTCCTGCCCAACACTTTCCTGGAGGGCAGCGCTATCCTCTGGATCTCCGGCACCTGCCGCAGTGCTCAGCACAGAGAAACTTAATACATGTTTCCTGAACTGAGCTGAATGGTGGGTGGTAACGTCCAAGACAAATAGGCGGCACAAAAGCTCACCAGGAAACAAGGTCAGCAGAGCCTGAATGGCAACCATAGTCATCCAACACTTTAAGAAAAATCAAGTCCGCATCAAAGGCCCGAAAGCTCCTTTAGTAACAAGAATCTAATAAGGATTGTACCTTTTGTGGTTTGCCTGCATCATCTCATTTAGCTCTGACAACAGCCCTATAAAGTAGGTATTAGCACCTATATTTTCCAGAAGGAGAAATTGAGGCTTTCAGACTTAAAGTCACATACTGAAGTTCCCATAGCTACTGAAAGGTAAGCTTGGATTCTACCCCTAATTTGTCTGCCTTTAAAGTCCACGCTTTAAAACACTACAATTAGCTGTGATCCGAAGAAAAATGATACAGAGAAGGAATGAGCATAGTTTGGAAAACAGGTGGCAGACAGCAAATGGAGCAATAGGCATAAGAAGTATCAGTAAAAACAGATGTCCATGAAGGAAGAGAGAAAAAAACAGCAACCTGGGGACATGGGGCAAAGGACAAGCTTTGGCATCCCTATGAAAACAGATCTTAAAGGCAGAACTTTGGCACTGGAAAGACGGACAAATAAGAACCTACTGTCTAAGGACAGCCAGACAAACAAGACTATGTATCTCGGTGGTAGCTGATTAGGGTTGCCAGGTAACATTTAGGACAACTAGTTAAATTGGAATTTCAAATAAACAAAGAATAAGTGTTTAGTTTATGCAATATTGGGGATACACACATACTAAAAAATATTCATTGTTTATCAGAAATTCAGATTGTCCTGGGTAGCCTGTATTTTTATCTGTGAAATCTGGCAACCTGTGGAAAGCATGAATGCATTATAACATCACACAATAAAATGTTTCCAATGGTGCCCCAGAGAAATTAAGACCAAATTAAATTATATTGGAGCAGTTGACACTGTTAGCACTATGCACACAAAATCACAGTCCCCAGTGAACGTCTTCAGGCAGAGCCAAGGCTAGTAGTTTAGGGACTTGAATGGCTCAAGACTCGGTAAGGAAAAAACAAAAAAACACACAACAAATAAGAAAGACAGTGGGGACTATGGTGATATTTTTAAAAGACGTCTGTTCAAAACAGTGAAAATACCAAAAAATGTCAGTGTTTAGAAAATTAACCTCAAGTTTCCAGGTGTCACTTATGCTTTGTTCCTACACAATCATGTTCTTCAAACTACTGACTTGAAATCCCAGCTCATTAAGGAGAAAAACCAGCTGGTTCCTTCAAGCTGCCAAATTAACTGAATCTGGCATGTTGTTGTTAGTTACTCAGGGCAAAGAAAGATTAGCTACCTGTCCATCATTTAGTTTTAAGAGAACTTAACTGAAGTCACTTCCATGTCATCAACAGCAGTCATGTGAACCTTTTGCTTTGAGATGGATCTGTAGAAACACTCTATAGCAGCAATTTTCATTTTTTTAAAAGACATCTTTATTGTTGAATGTATTACAGATGACCCCACTTCCCCCCCCATTCGCCCCCCCATCTCCCCAATCATGCCCCACTCCTGCCTTCCCCAAACTATTATCTGTGTCCATTGGTTATGCATGTATGCATAAAAGTTCTCTGGTTTATCTCTTCCCGTCCTCCCTCCCGGCTTCCCTTTGAGGTTCATTAGTCTAATAACCAATTTGTACTTCTTAATTCCTTTATCTTTTCCACATTAGCCACCACCCATCTGGCAAGCAACAAAAAGTTATATGTATCTATGAGTCTGCTTCTGTTCTGTTTTCTCATTTTGTTTGTAGATTCAATTGTTGATAGATATGTATTTATTGCCATTGTATTGTTTATATTTTTGTTCTTTTTCTCCTTCAAGAAGACCCTCAATATTTCATATAGTAGTGGTTTGGTGGTGATGAACTCCTTTAGTTTTTTCTTGTCTGGGAAACTCTTGATGTGTCCATCGATTCTAAATGATAGCTTTGCAGGATAGAGTAATCTTGGTTGTAGGTTCTTGCTTCCCATTACTTTGAATATCTCTTGCCACTCCTTTCTGGCCTGCAAAGTTTCTTTCGAGAAATCAGCTGACAGTATTATGGGAGCTCCTTTGTGGATAACAAACTGCTTTTCTCTTGCTGCTTTTAAGATTCTCTGTCTTTAACCTTTCGCATTTTGATGATGATGTGTCTTGGTGTGGGCCTTTTGGGGTTCATCTTGTTAGGGACTCTCTGTGCTTCCTGGACTTGTATGTCTGTTTTATTCACCAAGTTAGGGACATTTTCTGTCATTCTTTTTTTTTTTTTTTTTTTATCTTCACCTGAGGACATTTTTCCATTTTTTGTTCAGGTAGAGTGGGAGGGAGAGAGAGGAACAGAGAGAGAGAGAGAAATGTCGACATGAAAGGGACACATTGAGTGGCTGCCACCCGCATGACCAACCAGGGCCAGGGTCAAACTGCAACCGAGGTACCCGCCCCTTAGTGGGAACCAAACCCGGGTCTCTCGGGACCACAGGCCAATGCTCTAACCGCTGAACCAAACTGGCCAGGGCTCTTTTTTCTTTTTTGATACGTGCCCCTAACGGGAACCGAACCCAGGACTCTTTGGTCCGCAGGCCGATGCTCCAACCACTGATCCAAACTGGCCAGAGCTATTTTTTCTTGAAAAAATAGGTTTTCAATTTCTTGCTCTCCCCCCCCTTCTTCTGGCACCCCCATGATGCAAATGTTGGCATGCTTGAAGTTGTCCCAGAGGCTCTTTACACTATCTTCATTTTTTTTGGCTTCTTTTTTATTTTTGCCATTCTGATTGGGTGTTTTTTGCTTCCTTATATTCCAGATGATTTGCTTCTTGGCTTCACCTACTCTACTACTGATTCCCTATAAATTGTTATTTTTCTTTCTTTATTGATTTTAGAGAGAGAGAAAGGGAGAGATAGATAGAAATATTGATGAGAGAGAACATCAATTGGCCACCCCCTGCCTGCCCCCCACTGGGGATTCAGCCCACAACCTGGGCATGTGCCCTGACTGGGAATCGAACCATTGACCTCTTGGTGGATGGGTCGATGCTTAACCACTGAGCCATACTGGCCAGCCCTATAAATTATTCTTTGTTTCAATTAGTGCTTCCTTCATTTCTGACTTGTCCTTTTACGTCTTGTTGATGTTCTAAGTTCCTTGGAGTTCTTCTTAAATTCATTGAAGGTCTCACTAAGTTCCTTGAGCATCCTTAAAACCAGTATTTTGAACTCTGCATCTGATTGATGGCTTGTCTCCATTTTGTTTAGTTTTTTTCCTGGAGTTTTGTTCTGTTCTTTCATTTGGGACATATTTCTTTGTCTCCTCATTTTGGCTGCCTCCTTGTGTTTGTTTCTATGTATTAGGTAGAGCTGCTACATCTCCTAGGTTTGGTAAGGTGGCCTATTGTAGTAGGTGTCCTGTAGGGTCCAATGGCACAGCCTCCCTGGTCACCCTAGCTGGACCCTCGAGGTGCACCCCTCGTGTTGACTGTACACCCTTCTGTTGTAACTGAGTCTTGATTGCTGTTAGCACGTCAATGGGAGGGATTTACTCAGGCTGATCAGCTGCAAGGACTGGCTGTGCCCACTGACCACTGGCCTCTGAGTACCTTGGAGGACCAGCTGTGTAGGGGCCCCCAACACAGAGCATGACTTACTTCAGCAGGGCTCTGGTACCCACTGAGTCCACTCATTGAGTGTGTCACTTGAGGTGGTTGGGTGGTGGTGCTTCGACATGGTCTGAAGCTGTCCACTGGGTGTGCTGGCTCTGGGGCAAGGTCAGCCACTGCCTGTGTTCTACCAGGGCCACCTGGCATAAGCTACAAAGTGATCTGCAGATGGCTGCTTCTTGTGCTGGGCTTGGAGGTGCCCAGGAAACGCCAAGTTGTGAAAGCCAAGTCTGGCTGCTTCTAATGCCAGGCCTGGGGCCACTTAACAAGAGGTATGGGGCTCACTGAGACCAAATGATATTTGTTTGAGAAGATTTAGGAAAATCTGAAGCAGGAGCCAAAACAGTACAGTCCTATGGTAAAGCCACTGGAAACAGCTTGGGTGGGCCTGAAAGTTGGGTGGGGCGGGGCTTCAGGGAACCACCAAGGTGGGGCAAACAGTGTGAGCCTGGTTGCCGGAGTCCCAGATATGGTGGCAGTCTGCCGCCTGGAGGGGAAGGGCTCACCAAAGGAACAACAGCCTCTGCCAGCACATCTATCTGGGAGAAAGCTACCCCTCCAGTACTTGCCCCGAGGCCAATCAACTCAGTTCTTCCCCTCTGGTGCCTTTCAAGATGCCTCCCCAACGCTGGAGGGAGTGAGTCCGAGTAAGTCCATGTGCGGGCCCTTTATTTATTTTTTTAATCCTCACCCGAGGACATTTTTCCATTTTTTGTTCAGGTAGAGTGGGAGGGAGAGAGAGGAACAGATATATAGAGAGAAACATTGATGTGAAAGGAACACACCGAGTGGTTGCCACCCGCATGACCTACCAGGGCCGGGGACAAACTGCAACCGAGGTACATGCCCTTAGTGGGAACCGAACCCGGGTCTCTCAGGACCGCAGGCTGACGCTCTAACCGCTGAGCCAAACCGGCCAGGGCTGTGTGGGCCCTTTAAGGGGAGCAGCCTGGCCCTACACCATTTGGCTCAGCGGTTAGAGTGTTGGCCCGTGGACTGGAGAGTCCTGGGTTCGATTCCCGCTAGGGGCATGTACCTCGGTTGCAGTTTGTCCCCAGCCCCGGTTGGGGTCGTGTGGTTGACAACCAGTCAATGTGTTGCTCTTACATTGATATTTCTCTCTCTCTCTCTCTCTCTCTCTCTCTCTCTCTCTCTCTCTCTCTCTCCCTCCCCCCTCCCCCTCTTCTCCTCCCACTCTATCTGAAGATAAATGCAAAAAAAAAAAAAATGTCCTCGGGTGAGGTTAAAAAAAAAATTTTTTTTTCTGCCCTGGCCAGTTTGGCTCAGCAATTAGAGCGTTGGCCTTTGGACTGAAGGGTTTCAGGTTTGATTCTAGTCATGTGGGAAGCAACCAATCGATGTGTCTCTTTCCTATCAGTGTTTTTCTGTCTCCCTCCCTCCAAAAAAACCAATGAAAGAGTCTCCTTGGGAGAGGATTAACAACAACAATAAAAAAGTGTTTTTTAAAGACACTCAGAAACAAGGAAGGACTAAGTTTGTTTAACAATTATACTCTAGGTATTTATTCCAGACCATTTCACTTATTTGTCTGCTGAAATACGTTTTTTCCCTTTGTCCAATGATGGGAACAACCGGAGTAACAGTAAGCCAAACAAAAAACAACACAAGTCTGCACAGAATTCTATCTTGCCTTATTATGGATGTCAATAACAGCTGTTTTGCTTCTTTAAAATTTAATGTGAGTAAAATATGAATTTTTAAAATGTAAAGATAAAATGATGGATTATACAATTTATTTTAACCAAACCATAAAGTTTGCCCCCCACTTGGATGATGCAAACTTTGAGTTCTTATTTCCCCAAGATCAAGCTTTGGGAAATCAAAGGGAACTATAATTGGGAGAAACTAATGATTAAAATAAGTGAATAGATTATTGTCTACCTCTGCTCACAGAATCTAGGAGACAATGAATTGACATTATCTGGAAAATTACAGAATCTTCTTTGTCACAAGTTTCTGGCTTTGGCTCCTAAAGACCACAGACCAGTGTATCAGCCCTGAACTAGGTTTTGAGAAATTCTAGACTGTACAGTTGCCAACAGATTATTCATACACCAAAAGGTTATTTTGCTGCTAAGGTCAACATGGCTAATTAAATAAATTACCAAACAGTGTGAAATTCTTCCTTCTCTCTCTCTGCCCCCACACATCAGCCAAAAAGATAAGGGCCCAAAATAATGAGCCTTAATTACATGGTGGTAGTTGGCATCAACAAATTAGTTCAATGGTAAATAAAGGAAGGAAAGCAAAATATAGACCTTTAGAAAAGATTTTTATTTCTTTGACACACAGACACAAAAATGGCACTTGCCTACTAGGCAGAACAGTGGAAGATGTATCAGAAACGAGTTACAGTTCACACAGGTTATAAGGTCCCTACATGGGACGGGTCTCATGGTTCCTCAATGACCTGAGTCTTAAATCACAGCATACTAGTTAGGCAGGCAAACACACTTCTCCAATCCAAGGGAAGACTAATTTGCATTCATGAAGGACCTAGGCACAGAGCCCTACTCAGAACGTAACTTCGTGGCACCTCATCCCATGTCACACAGGGGTGAAGTGTTCTTCACTTTTATTCGAATGACATTTATCCCTCTAAATTCTGAAACTGTTGTTTTAATTCTCTTTGATGGAATAAGGTGTGCCATGCCTTCTGAAACTTTAAAATAGACCATGCAGATTACAACAATATTTTTTCATTAATATTCCTTATAGGAACATAACCGATTAATTTTCTAGTGTAACAACACAGTGTCTTAAAACTTTGCTGGGGTGGATGTTAACCCTATATGGCTATGTTTTAAAAATCATCAACTCGTCATTTATTATTAATTAATGAACTAACTTATTTGTCACATTTAACTGTCAGCCAGCACTTCTTGCTTTCGTGCAATATGTTGGTTTTCAGCTATTTGTCCCCCACCTTTTATTTTGAAGCTACATGAACCCTCACGACCAACATTCCTCTTTCTCAGGAAGGTCATTCCTTTTAACGACACAGGTTACAGAAGGCTGTCTACTGAGCAATGAAGAAGGAAGGGAACTTTGGAGCCCAGTGCACTTACAGATAGCAGTCAGGTTATTATCACAACTGGCCTTCAATCTGCAGCGCTTGCTCTGCTTTAGGCTGGAAAACCAGAAAGCTAAGCCCGTGGGGACTATTTCAGGAACGGGCAGCTTCACAGAGGGTGTGCAGTGACACAGGAAACCGCATGTGCTTTCAGGAAGGGCTGTTTGACATCGGAAAAATTTATACTTGTTTACTCTCCAGAACTTTTAGTTTACATGGTTTCCCTTCTTTATTTTCACTTCTTAGTCACACTGAAGGTGTTTGGGTAAGATCTCTAACTGGGAAGCATCACTAGAACATTATTCTAACTACATACCACTGAATAATATTATATAGTAATGAAAGGCCTTTTGCCACTATTTTCTTTCAACTAAAAGTATTAAAATCTATTTTAAGTGTTTTCTTGAGACAAAAACAGTAAAAAAAAAAAAAAAAAAAAAATCCCACTTAGAAAATAAGTACTATTCAAAAATGTCAAATCACATGTTAAAACCGTTTTTCTTTTATGACTTTTTCAGATTTATGTTATCTTAAAAATAACATGAAAAACTTTTCAAATGATTTTACTGAATTAAAGATCACTACTGAATTCTACCTCTATTTTTATTATATTAAGATTATTCTCAATGCTACACTTGTCAATGGTAGGTTTTGGTTACGAGGAAACTGAATTTTACTATGATCTATCAATACACTTTACACAGAGACTAAAAATAGTTACTAAATTTTAGAAAATCAATATAGCATTTTTCTTTAAAATTCTCATAAATATGCCCAACATTTTGCATTTTAAAAATGTAAATCAGCCCTGGCCGGTTGCTCAGCGGTTAGAGCATCAGCCTGCAGACCAGAGAGTTCTGGGTTCGGTTTCCGCTACGGGCATGAGCCTTGGTTGTGGTTTGTCCCTGGCCTTAGTTGGGGTAGTGTGGGTGGCGGCCACTTGGTGTCTCTCTCTTTCGCATTGATGTTTCTCTCTCTCTCTTCCTTCCTCTCTCCCTTTGCTCTGAGGATAAATGCAAAAATATCTTCCGGTGAGGATTAAAAAAAAAAAGCAGGTTTGACCATGTATGCCCCATTTATGAACATATATTGTAGGCAGACACTTCCATAACTCAACATTCATTTCATAGTTATTCAATGCAGTGTGGAAGGTGCTAGAAATACTTAGTAAAAGCTGAGACCATTAACTAACCACAGCCTATTCAGTATGTTTTGTTATTGAAGAAAATGTATACCACAATTTAAAAATAGTTTTCCATTGTTTTCATTATTACATTCTCATATTACCTTTTCACTTATGTACACAAAGATGATTACATGATTTCTCTTTTTCAAACTCTGTATTTCAAACTCGTTATTTGCAGGCATTTGAAGAATAGTTACTGAATTTGAAAGAAAAACATTCCATTGATGATAATTTTCTCTCTGACTCAAATCCAAAACTACCTCTGTACATTAAAAAGAAAAATGGATGCTTTATAGTTTTTACTTAATTGTGTATCAATATTATATGAGTGAGATTTTTAATATGACCCGAGCTGGTGCATATGAAGCATTTACATTATATTATGTCCTTGTATCCCATAATACAAGTGATTGCATCTTTAACAAATATTAATGAATCAACTACAAGTCATAGAGTGTTTCAAGAACAGTAGCAATTGACCACGCTTGTGTTTCGCAGCTGAAAGGACAGTGCTGGCCGCTCTCGTTGGTCAGTTCTGGAAGTCCTTTCCACGGGGATCTTAGAGAAAGAAAAGCCGCTTTATGAGATGTAATCTAAAACCTATCTTGTTGGATTAACCAAACAGGCAAGAGACCTGGTGAGTCTGCCCTTTTTGTATAGAAAACAATCACACATAGACATTTGCTATGAAACAGGATATCCTAAAGATGTGTATATAAAGAATTTAGATTGACATTATTATTTAATATTTAATCTTCAGGATTTAAGATTTTCAAATGCTAGTTGTGGAAATTACAGGCCTCTAACAACTTACCTCTCAAGATGAACATAATGCCGAGAAAGAACATTTTTAACCAGAAATACAGTCTTTGCGTTGGTCTCTGGACCCATCAATTTGGAAAAATATAATTTTGCACGAAGGAAATACCCAACAGGCCACAGCCACTCCTAGAAAAGATGCTTTAATTAGTAAAGAAAAGAACAAGCTGTGAATATCTAACATTATTTGAAGAAAACCAGAAACTCAGAAAAGAGAAATTAAATTCTTACAGGTCCTTGGTGATAATTGAAACCTTTTGCAAGATTGTAGTTGTCGTTGTCTAAGGCATTGTCATAAATTCCACAGTAAACCATATCACTGGAAAATAAATTAAATTTAGGTTAAAAAAAGATCAGACATTATATGGGAAGCATCAGGAAACATTTTCACTAGCAAAGGTAAGCCAAATAATCATGTTATTTTGTCTTCCAACCATTACCCATTTAACCTTAAATTAGTAAAGCCTGAGTTCAGAGAACTTAAATAATGTGTTAGGGAATGACTAACAAATACTGGCTAATACAAAAATATATATATAAAACATTCAGGTATCTTGCCTTCAAAGAGTTACCCTGACACTAAATATTGGTTAAAGTAAATTATTTCACTAGGCCTCTCATATAATTATAACAATTAAAATATGCATAGAGCCTGGCTGGTGTGGCTCAGTGGTTGAGCGTCGACCCATGCACCAAGAGGTTACCGGTTCAACTCCCAGTCAGAGCACATGCCCAGGTTGTGGGCCTGATCCCCAGTGTGGGGTATGTAGGAAGCAGCTGATCGATGTTCTCTCTCATTGATGTTTCTATCTCTTTCCCTCTCCCTTCCTATCTCTCTAAAATCAATAAAGAAAAAAAAATTTTTTTAATTAGTGATTACTAAAGATAAAGTTTTATTAATTATTAATATTGGAATAGTTATGCTTTAAAGTTCTCCATGAAATTATTTTAAAGTGAATTACAAGTGGAATATTATCAGATTAAAAACAGCAACTGAATACACAGAGAATTTATACACACTTATAAACCAAAGTAGTGCAACAGATAACACAAGACAGTTTCTATGCTCACTTTAATTTATTACTTTTTTTTTCTTTTAGTGAGAGAGAGAACTTGCCACATGAGTTGCTTTAACTGTGGGTTTCAGTTTTGGCCAGGGGCTCTCAATGCCTCTGAAAATGTGGAGAATGCCTCAGAAGGCAGCTGAGCACACAGATATAAGACTTTACAGCTCAAGGCTGAAATGAGTATGCAGCAGAGAAGGAAAAACCCTATAAAGAAGAGGGTTAGTATAGACATAGAAAGCAAATTGGTCATAGGTATCCAACACTAACAGAAAACGGGAGAAACAGAAAGGGCATTAGAAACTCAAGAAAAGACAAAGTTGGGCCTGGCCGGTTTGGTTCAGCGGTTGGAGCATCGACTTGCAGTCCAGAGAGACCCGGGTTCGGTTCCCGCTAAGGGCATGTATCTCGGTTGCAGTTTGTCCCCGGCCCTGGTTGGTCATGCGGGTGGCAGCCACTCAATGTGTCCCTTTCACGTCGATGTTTCTCTCTCTCTCTCTGTTCCTCTCCTTCCCTCCCACTCTATCTGAACAAAAAATGGAGAAATGTCCTCGGGTGAGGATAAAAAAAACAGAAAAGACAAAGTTGGAAAAGAAAAGAAATATAAAATAGCACAGACACATAATTGTAAAATAAAAACAAAACCATGTGTTGCTTTAAATAAGAATAGTGTGAGACTGCACAGAAAGGCGGAAGGGAGGTGGGGAGGTAGGTGGGGTTAGATCCTCATCTGTCATCACAGGAAGTAATAGATCATGTCTGATATTTCAAAAAATCAAGAAACAGCTGCAAACACATATTACTTTGAAATATTAAAGGAACTACAAGGAGTAACAACTTAGAAAATAAAGATCATCTCTGAGGAGATAATGTGTCTATACTCCAATGTCCACAAAAATCACTTTCACAATCAGGAAAAAAGTAGACATTAGAAAATATTTAGGACATGTTAGTTTTATACATTTAAACCCTCTGTTATTGGTTATGAATATAGGAGAATCCAAAGGCATTTAATGCTGATGTTTAATGAAGATACATAAGGTATTTTTTAAAACTCAGTGTGAATGCAATTTTTGAGATTTTATTACAATCTCGACACTCTTTTTTTTTTTCCTGTGACTTAAAATGTAATTTATTGAAAATAAAATATCTCAGTCAATGCATATAATTACTTGAAATTATGGCACTTATAGGAGAAGCAATTCAAAGCCTTTTAAACAAAATTTCCATAGTAGAAACTAAGTAAAGACTTTAATACCCTCTGGTTCAGTGGCCTTCATGCTGGCAAGATACAACTAAAATTTAGACAATAAACTATTAGAAAAAATTAGCTATGGAGCCCGGCTGGCGTGGCTCAGTGGTTGAGCATCGACCCATGCACCAAGAGGTTGCCGGTTTGATTCCCGGTCAGGGCACATGCCCAGGCTGTGGGCCCGATCCCCAGTGGGGGGCATGCAGGAGGCGGCCAATTGATGTTGTCTCTTATCGATGTTTCTGTCTCTCTTTCCCTCTTCCTTCCTCTCCTCAATTTGGGAGTGTCCTATTCTAATATAACAGTCAAAGCCTGTTTCATAGTAGACAGGAGAAATTTAGAGAATGAAATTGTCAGTCGTATCTTGGGCTCTGGCAGAGGGAGGGTGAACTAGACTGGATCTCTAGGAGAGCCAGAGTGTGTGGCTCTGGGCGAGCTGGAGAGAGGCCACCGGGAGCCCCGTGCGCTCACCGCAGCAGCCACTTTTCTCAAGCAGCCCCTCTCACCCGCAGCGTTAGCCTGGGAGAAAAGCAACTGCTCCTCCCTTGTGAATTCACCCCCCTAGCTCCTCGACACTCTTAATACACTTCAATTTAATCTGGATCCAAGTTTTCATGCCAAGATGAAATGTAATTATATACTAACTATAATACGAACAGCATTCTTTTTTTTATCCTCACCCAAGGACATCCTTCCACTTTTTGTTCTGATAGAGTGGGAGGAAGGGAGAGGAAGAGACAGAGAGAGAGAAACATCGACGTAAAAGGGACACATCGAGTGGCCACCTCCCACACACCCAACCAGGGCCAGGGACAAACTGCAAACGAGGTACGTGCCCTTAGCGGGAACTGAACCCAGGTCTCTCTGGACCGCAGGCTGACACTCTAACCGCTGAGCCAAACTGGCCAGGGCATGAACGGCATTCTTAATACTCATGTTGTAACTTACTCTGGATCCAAAGTCTTCATGCCAAGGGGACCAAGCAGTTTCTTTTCTGCCATCTCCAAAGCTTTCCATGCTTTCTCTGCAGTAAAGAGCTCAGGCGCCTAAGGAATGTCAACAACAAATATACAAAACGTTTAAGATCACTGAAGAGTTCGTTTCCATTCATAGTGGAACATAAACTAGCTGTAAACTTGTAAAAGAAGGAAAGCTATATTAAAATACAGTGTGGCCCAGAATTCAAGTGCAGATTCCAAACCAGATCTAATCAAATAAGACTGACTTGGAAGCACCGACCTTAGCCTTAAAAAATGAGGTGATTATTTCCTGTGTCGTTCAAAAAAGTGTACCAGTTCCAAAAGGAAGTTGCCACGGTGACAACTAAGGCAGAACATGCGGGAACCTATCTAATTTATTCCTTAGAAGACCTACAGTCGCTTCCTTTGAGTGTATCTGGCAACCATTTTTCGTTTCTGGGGTCAGAATAAAGTACAGAAGGACTTGCCCTCTGATAGCATGTGACACAGAGAAGACGAGAAAGTATCGCTGACTAAGAATGACACTGAGTTTAATGTGAAATTATGTCAAAGGCACGCAGAACCGAAGCTACCATGATGTGCTTTGCATTTGTTATCCTACTATAATTAAGAGCACTCCACTCTTTTTGACAAAGTGCAAACAACTAGGTGGACACAGAACACATACCCTCTCCATTTTACTGTCCTCATATTGATTTTTAGTCTAAGGAGAGAGGAAATAAGGAGGGTCTAGAATTCTTGACTTCATAGAACCAATTACAAAACAAAGGAAACAGGATGTGAGTTGAGGCTGCCCACACTAGTTCCCTAGTTCAGGGGTATCCAGCCCAAGGGCTGAGGCTCTGGTCACAGCACAGGTGTGGGAGATCAGGTGTCCTCAGCTCTCAGGGATGCTGGGTGGAGCCTGGGGCTATGTCGGATCTGGCCCAAGCTACCTGATCCATGAGCCCAGTGTGCTGTACAAATATGGTCATTTTTGAATGTGTGCTACAGTGTGAAATGTAGAAAGCACTCATCAGTCATCAGCCAGCATTTTCTATTTCTTTTCATACTGCATGTGATTGTTTAAGGGGATACATATAATGCTTCATTAACTAGAAAAGATTATTTAAAACCAGCTAGTAAACAGTATACTTTTTATCAATTCAATGAGTTTGAAAACAAACAGGAATAAAGAACTAAATAAATCCTCTCACAACAGTTTTGAAATTTGAAGATAAGAAACCCATCACTCACCACAACCATTGCGATGGTGAAATTCGGTCTGAGCTGGTAGTCACACCAAGGGCTGGACGCTCCATAACTGTCCTTGTATATGCCACGTTTGTGAACCAGACTAGGGTTCTTCTCATTAAGATCAGACGGGTCTTCGGACACATAAAATAGCTTTTCAAAGTTTTCCTGTATTTTTCTGTTCCATTCCTCATAGGAGACTGTCACAACCTTTCCTGAAACATGATAAATGACTGGGTGGTTCGAAGCATTCAGAGAAATCCATACGTTTAGTTATAGCTAAGAGTAATGTTTAGGTAAGAAATGGTCTACTTTTTGAAAGTGTCAGAGTGTTTTGGAGGGCACTAGCCAGAAATTAAAAGCTATCTTTCATGATATCACCTAGAAAGGATCAGACTCTGGCAAATGATCCTTGATTTGTTTTTGTTTGGATATATCTATATCTAATCTATATCTATATCTATATCTATATCTATATCTATATCTAATCTATATCTATATCTATATCTATATCTATATCTATATCTATATCTATATCTCATCTCTATCTCTATCTATATCTATCTATGCCTATACCTATACCTATATCTATATTTTTTACTGATTTTTAGAGAGAGCAAGTGAGTGAGCGAGAGAGAGAGATCGATGTGAGGGTGAAATATCGACCATCTGCCTCCTGCATGCCCCCTACCAGGATCGAGCCTGCAACCCAGGCATGTGCTCTGACAGGAAATTGAACCAGCAACCTCTTGGTGCACGAGATGATGTTCAACCAATTGAGCCACAGCGACCAGGGCTGGATCACTCTTACATGTTTGAAAAAGTTACCTTTACTGAGCACTTGATATGAGGCAGAACTGAGATGTGTCAGAATGTAAAAATCCATTGGATTTCAAAGACTTCTTATCTTGCCCTGACCGATTTGGCTCAGCGGTTAGAGCATCGGCCTGTGGTCCCGAGAGACCCGGGTTCGGTTCCTGCTAATGGCATGTACCTTGGTTGCAGTTTGTCCCTGGCCCTGGCTGGGTCATGTGGGTGGCAACCACTCAATGTGTCCCTTTCACGTCGATGTCTCTCTCTCTCTCTTCCTCTCTCTCCCCCCCACTCTATCTGAACAAAAAACGGAAAAATGTCCTTGGGTGAGGATAAAAAAAAAAAAGGACAAAAAAAAAGACTTCATATCTCCCCCCAAGAATGCAAAACAGATCAGAGATAACTGCACACCAATTACATGTTAAAATAATACTTAGCAGAGACTGAGTTAATAAAATTTATTATCATAGTTCATTTTATCCATTTCTTTTTACTTTTTTAATGTGGGTAATTTAAAATTATGTATGTGGCTTAAGTTAGATTTCTATTGGGCAGAACAGGTCTAGAAAAAGAGATGTAAAGATTTCATAGCTGTTCCGAAAAACAACTTGCTCACAATCGCACTGGGGACATAGAACAGCAGGAGAAGGCAGTAAAAATGATGCTTTTCACATCTCAGCTCAAAGTTGTTAGAAAAACATGGTGAATAACCAGGTTTGTTACAATTTTTATACAAGTAAATTAATGGTTTTTCTTTCCTCTTAATCTTAAGGGTTTCCTAATATAAGGTCATTGAGTCAAGTGATGGTTACACAGGTGAAGAATATACAGTGCATTTGGTGTTTCTTTGTAAATAAAATGAATAGCTTACCATGTCTTTTTACTGTGACTTTATTATACGGGAAGATGTTTTTTTGGGATAATTCCAGCAACCATCGGACGGCAGATTTACTTAGGCCCACAATTTCCACAGCAGACCCATCTCTAAAATTAAAAATATATTTTATTCTTTGAGTTGGAGTCATTTAAGCACTACTTAAAGAACATTCAATAAACATTTTTGTTGTTGTTGTTGTGAATCCTCACCCAAGGATATTTTTCCATTGAATTTTTTTTAGATCGAATGGAAGGAAGGGAGAGGGGGCAGAGAGAATCATCCATGTGAGAGAGACACATCGACTGGCTGCCTCCCACACGACCCCGACTGGAGCTTGGGGATCAAACCTGCAACCCAGGTACATGCCCTTGACTGGGAATCAAGTCCAAGGCCCTTCGGTACGAGGGCTGATGCTCTAACCACTGAGAAAACTGGCCAGGGCCAATAAACAATTTTGGTGAACTATACAACCAACATATTATAAAAATAACTATCTATTAAAAAACCTCCTACTTCATAGGATTGTGTATAAGAGATCTCTCTTCTTACTCTCTGCCATTGCTTACCTTTACGTGTTTTTAAAATTTTCTATGGAGCAGAATGGGGACTACGGAGTGGAGGGGGAAGGCATCTGGAAAGGGTAGTTGTAAGGAATCGGAGACCACTGGAACAGAGTCCCAGAGAAAGGACAGCAAACACGGGTATAGGACTGGAGAAAGCCAGCGAGGGTGAACATCATCATTTGAAAGCTTGCTTTAAGGAATGCAAAAGGGAACTACAAGAGCTTGTAAGATACCAAAAATAAACAGGTGTTTAAAAGAATTTGCAAACCATGTAACAACAGCTACTATTAAGTGATTTTTTGGGACAATTCTGACTGAAGATAAAATCTAGAATAAGAAAATAGCTTCTCAGACCTAACACTGTATTAAACACTTGAAATCATAAAAAGATTTTAAAATTTACGGGGAATAAAGATTCAGAAAGTGAAAGGATTCCATAAAGGATGGGAAAATTAGTTTCTATATTTAGTAAAGATGAGCACAGTGACTGTTTACAATGAAAGGAGGTCAGGTTAAGGAAGTATCTGAACCAGGGACTGTGGATGGTGAAGGAGGTGCTCGCAGAGGACCCTGCAGGAGCACTTCCAGGAGAGAACTGGTCTCTGACAGCTGACACCATGGGGGAGCCAGGAAGGGCGTGGAGGAGGAGGTGGGAGAGAGAGGGGGGCTGTCACTGGTTTAATGTGAAGACTTCGTGGAGGACAGAGTAAAAGGCTCTCCAAGTCCATGGTTTAGAAAGGAAGTACTTATATAAGCAACCCAGAAGCCGTGCCTAGGAGTGGCCGGGACGCCTCTGTTCCTAGCTCTGTCGCTTTCTCCCATTTTATCCATCCAGGTGCCGCAGTTAAAGCGATTTCCTCCATAAACGAATCCCGTTTCCTCATCGACTCCTGCGGTTATATTAAAACCTAAAAAAGCCAAATCAAACATGTATACAATGTAAAAGGAAGGCAATACACTAGGACCACGACTGGCAAGTTGGGAAGACCTCAGCAGTGGAAGTGTGCATCTCCTACCACACGGTGTTTTCATGTCCAGACACACTCCAGAGAGCCCCTCCCCATGGGCACAGGGAGACGCGGGCTGGGATATCACTGCAAACTGCTTGTGTGAGCAAAAATAAATAATAGCGGAGGAGAGGACTGGGCAAGCACTGGGCTTCGCTCGGACAGTGGAAGACTACAGCATTGAAATGAATGACCTGAAATGGTGCCGTATGTAATACTGTCAACAATACATAAAAAATAATAAATAGGAATAAAAGAAATAAACAGACAATGAATGAACTGGATTTACCTGAATCAAAATGGATAAATGCCCAAAACAACAACAAAAATTTTTTTAATCCTCACCTGAGGATATTTTTCCATTGATTATTATTATTTTTTAGATAGGGAGGGAGAGGTGGTGGGATAGAGAGCGAGCGAGAGAGAGAAAGAGAGAAACATTGAAGTGAGAGAGACACATCAATTGGTTGCCTCCCGCACAACTCTGACCGGGGCCAGGGATTGAACCCAAAACCAAGGTACATTCCCTTCACTGGGAATTGAACCTGAGACGCTTTGGTCTGTGGGCCAACACTCTAACCACTGAGACAAACCAGCCAGGGCTGAAACAAAATTTTTGAGTGAACAAGTTGCAAAAAGATAAGCATAAGATAATGTTTCTGTAAAAGTTTAAAATATGGCTAACACTAATATATACAACCACATATGTGTATGGGACTATGTCTTATGTAATTATAAGACAAATTTTAAAACATAAAATAATTATATATAGTATATATACTATTATATTATATAATAATATACTGACTCTATACTATATAATATGCTGACTATATACTACATAATATATAATATGTAATTTACACATACTCAAACATACATGAGCATATAAAGCACAAAAACATACATGGAATTAGAGACCTTGATTATAGGATAGTCATTATAATTCTAGAGAGGCAGAAAAGACAAGAGGTGAAGCTTTAGATATGTCTGTAACATTGTATTTCTTTTCAAAACAAAAAAGAAAGATCTAAAGAAAATATGGCCAAATGTTACTATCTGTCTTAACAACAGTTCCAGGTTCAAAGGTGAAATTTATATTATTTTCTGTATGTTTAAATGTTTCATAATTAAAAATTATAATAATTCAGAGGTAGCCCAAAAATGTGCTTTAAATATAAAATCTGTTTCTATTTAGTTCTCTTAGTGAAGGATAAAAAAATGTTCTCAGTGATTCTTACCAGCCCAGTTGGGTATAAAATCTGTATGTTACCACTCCAAACAATTAACTAAATAGGGTTTAATTACTGTTTAAAATATAATTTATAACATACAGTCGTCCCTCACCACTTCGTGCTTTGGTTTCACTTTATCGCAGTTTTTTCAAATATATTCATTAAAAGTTGATCGAGACAGTGAAAATGATACAGCGCGCTCTCAGTTGTCTGAGTCAATTATACACCCCTGTATTACAATTACAATTACAATTCCTGTACGTGTGGACCGTAGGCCTATGTATTCGAGCGCCCCAGGGACCCTTCAAGGCCAGGCGCAGCCGCTGGAGTCTGGAACAGATTAACTGCGATAAGCAAGGGACGACTGTACAAGGAATTTAGATTCTTGAGTGTATATCAGAATTTTCTAATGAGTTAGTGAGCTATTTGAAATATCTAGAGTAGCTCACTTAAAAAGGTTATCATTTTATATTAATAAAAGTAGTGTTAAAAAAAAACGAGGAAAAAAAAGATACATAGTCCTATTACTATAACAAAACTATTGCACTTCAGTCATCTTATTAATGAAGACGGGAACAATACAACTCATCCCCAGTGTTCTTGGGAGTGTTAAATATGAGTAACACATGCAAAGTGGTCAGCACAATGCCAGGTGCACTGTGAGCACTCAATTATCAGTGATTATTATTATGATTATAAATGCAACCACCAAACTACCTTTCTTTCACATTGGGTGACAAAAGATACAAACTTTTATCTTTTCTCTAGAAACTAAAACTTAGCCCATGAGATCGGGAACTGTGTTAATCTTTTTCACAGTTGTATTCTGAAGTGTTTACACACAAACTATTCATCAAATAAGTGACCGACCTCAGGGTCTAACCTCGTCTCACTGGGGAACCTGCGTCCACGGACGTACCTTCATCCTTCATGTTGCGGTCGATCTGCGGCCCAGCATTCCTTTCCCGGAACTGGATGCCCTGCACATGTCTCTGCATAGCTTCCTGTATGACCTCAAACAACGGCTGGTCCTGTGGGACACAGAACGGATGCTACCTGGGTTAGAAATGACGTTTTTCCTGTCTTCCCCTGAATCCCATAACTCAAGTTTTGTTAAAACATCTATTTTCCTTTGGAGGGAGAGACGGGGGTAGGGCTGGGAAAAGAAACAGCTTTGGTACACCAGTAATACAGTCAACCTTTGTGCGTGAATATTTAACATATTGTATCCACATCTGGGACGTGAAATAATTTATAATTTTGCTGACATACGAGAACAAATCTTGGGAGCATGTATAGTTTCTACTGGAGCAAACTGTTCAGATAATAAACGAATCTAGCTTACTCTACAGAAAGATAAACTCCGAGCTCCCTGGACTGGCAGTCAAGGCTCTCCGCAGCCGGCTCGCCTGTCCACAGCCTCCTGCCCCCCTGCAGGTGGTCTCCATGAAAAGCCAGACTAGACTGAGCAGAAAGTCCGGACTGGGCCTCACTCCACCCTGAGCTCTAGGACTTCATTCTCTTTGATGTCTTCCCACAATACCCTCATCTCTGCTGAAATCCCACTCACCTTGTCAGGTTCAGCTGAGGTGAAATTTTAGTTACTTTCCAGAGTCCCCCCTGAGACCCACCGACTAGGCCATCTCTCCCTCCCGCTCCTGTGCAAAGACCGTGCCCCCTGCACACCACCCTCTACCGCTGCCAGCTCCTCAAGCAAAAGGCAGTCTTGTCTCTGCACCTCTCATAGTACCAGCAGGTGCGAAATAAACAGCAATATCTGAATAATTCCAAATTATGTGTGTTTTTATATTAGAAGCAAAGTCATTTTTCAGGAAAAGAAATTATTGCAAGAAATGATTTTTACCACTGTGCCGGCAGGCAAAGGAACAGAGTCATCTGTGGGGTACATTCTGGACACAGGGCACTTGAGAATGTCCACGCCACCGGGGACCACATTGCAGTAATCCTGAACACACTGCAGCCACCACCAAACGGCGTCCCTGCAGTTGTATCTGGCGTATGTTCCTTCCCCCAGGAGGTTGGGGATGAGCCCATGTCTCAGGGTTCCAGCAAACGCTAAAATGATATTCCTAAAACAACAGAACCAGATGGACTGTTTGACATGAAAACAATCACTAAAGAAATGGAAGATAAAAAGGTCACTTTCGGTGACTGTTATTTTGGATGTGTTTCCTTCCCCGCCCTGATTTCTGGGTATTTCCATGTGGAAAGTGGTCACAGTATAGAACAAGCATTGAGTCACAAGGCAGAAACCTTGATTATAGCCCTGGCTTTTTCTCTAACAATTGTGTGACCCTCTCTGGGACCGTTTTTCTTTTTATTTAAGTGTTTTTATTGATTTTTTAGAGAGCGAGGAAGGGACAGAGAGATAGAAACATCGATGTGAGAGAGAAACATCAATCGGTTGCCTCCTGCACACCCCCTACTGGGGATCGAGCCGGAAACCTGGGCATGTGTCTTGACTGGGAATCCCACCAGGACTTCTCAGTCCAGGGGACGATGCTCAATCCACTGAGCCAACCAGCCAGGCTCTGGGACTGTTTATCACCTGTAGAGTTAGGTAGGGATGGGGCTGAATGATTTTTGAGTTATAGATTCTACTTTTAAAATCCTTAATATTTCAGATATAACATGCACTCTATTATTTTAAACAGCAGATAAAAAGAGCAAAACCAACATGTGAGAAAATAAATGGGTAAAAGCTGACCCTGAAAAACATGATTAATTTTCAAAAACTGGTAAAAGATACTTTGTCTTTTAAAGTGTTCCATGGATGGCTTGGCATTCTAAAAAGAGCATGAAACTAAGGAGTAAGAACACAGATTCAAATTCTAATGTTAACATCTGGATGCCTTGGAAAAGTCATTTAAAAGCCTCAGGGCTTTCTGGCTAAACCATTTAGAAATTTAATGAACTCTGTGTCTCAGTTCAATGCCCATTTCTTAATAACAGTGCCACAGGAAGCTCTTTCTTTTCCACAGCACCGAAGTGTTAGCATGGACAGGGGCTTCCAGTAAGAGCTTGGCCATCTTCACCATCCAGAGCCATGTCCTGCCCTTGAAAGCGAACGCAAGGCCCCTGTGCGTGGGCGTGTGAGGCAGACACGGCCACATGCTCACCACCGTGGCTGTGCCTCACGCCCGCCCGCCGCTGCGGGCGCAGCACCGCATTCGAAGGCAGAAGAACTAAAGGGAACTGATGTATGGTAAGCAGATGACCATAGTTATACATTTTATAGTTTTACTGAAATAAATGAGCAAATCTGAAAATAACCTGGCCTGTAATGTGGGGGATTAGAACTTACCAACGTCCAAGATTTTCACTCCTTGAAATTCTATGAATGTGTAAAAATGAACATGTGAAAAATAAAATTAAAAACACCTAAAGGAAACACTGGCTGGTATTGCTCAGTGGTTAGAGTGCTGGCCCTCAGACCAAGGGATCATGGGTTCGATTCCTGATCAAGGGCAAGTACCTGGGTTGCAGGTTCGATCCCCAGCCCTGGTCAGGGCACATGCGGGAAGCAATCGATCAATGTGTCTCTCTCACATCAATGTCTCTCTCTGTGTCTCTCTCTCTTTCCCTCCTTCCCTCCTTTCCACCCTCTCTAAAAACAAAAAGAAAAAAAAAATCCTTAGGTGAGGATTAACATCAACAACAACAACACACCCAAAGGAAACATGCCTCTTAAACGCTGAGAACAGATGGGAAAGAAGGAAAGTTTGAAAAGCACATGAGAGCACTCAGAGACACATGCGCTCTCCAGAGCCCTCCTACCTGGCCTCTGGGTAGCGTCCAGTGATCAGCAGCAAACCTCTAAGTGCGATGAAAGTGTCCCTTCCCCAGCAGCGGAAAATACCAGAAGAAAAATGAGGCAAGCCTAACAGAAAAGACAACAAAGTCATATATTAGTCTGACCTTACCTTGTATCTCCGTCTTCTGCTTTGCTGAAGCGAGGACTGACCAAGATAGCAGACATCTCATCTGTCTTGCTTACCAAAGTATGGCTATCATTGGAAATTGTAACTGGTACATAATACATCATTATAAACATTTATTGAATGAAAGAAAGAAAAGACTAATTATACCAGGTGAACTGAGAGGTAAAAGAATGTGACTAAGAGGAAAGAAAATGGGCAGGTCCTAAGTGTGCTTCACGAAGGAAGTTTCTGCTCATGGAGTCTCGGACATTAGGCACTATTTTCTTCTGCTAAGAAAGATCTAAGCTATTGGTAACATTAGACATGTCTCTCTATGGTCTCCAAAAGAATGTTATAAAACTTCCCTAAACACTCTGTGTGTTATTTGTACATAGTTCATATGTACGTCTCATCTATGGCTGCTGGGATAATTTGATGATGACGACAGCAGCTAACAGACTTCCTGGTGCTTTAACTCATGTAACACGTTGTAGGGAATGAGTTAGATAGATCCAAGGGAATTTGAGTTGGTATGACCTAAAATACAGGTAGTTTGTCTCTGTTAAAAAGTCAAAACCAGCGCTGGCCAGTGTGGCTCAGTTGGTTTCGTGACCCAAGCACGAAAAGGTTGCCAGTTCGATTCCCAGTCAGGGCACATGCCCAGGTCTTGGGTTAGATTCCTGGTTGGGTGTATATGGGAGGCAACCAATCAATGTGTCTATCTCACATCAATGTTTCTCTCCCTCTCCCTTCCACTCTCTCTAAAATCAATACAAACATATTTTTAAAAAAGTCAAAATGATAAAACCTCTAGCCTAGCACTAGTATGTGGAAATGTTTGTATTAACTTTCTGACCTCTGAGTATTTGACATACAGATCACATACCTTCTGACTGATTTCTACCTTGCCAATTATTATAAAAGTTACAATTACGACTTTTTTCACTACTGTCATTAAAGGAAGGTATTTCTGGCCTTCATATTCATTTTAAATGAACCCTAAAAACCTACCTGTAAATCTGAGTGCAGTCCTATATTTTGTTAGTATGGAATATATATAAAACACTCCCTAGGAGCAACTATTAGAACTTATTTATATTTATCAATGTATCTTTTAAGTTTCTACTTTTGTTTTATACTGTATCTGATATGTAAGTATACCAGGTATCATAACATGTCAGTATGTCAACTATGATACTAGTACCTCTGTTAGGGAGTGCTTAACAGCTTGTATAATTTAAACGTTGAGATCGCTATTTTACGTCAAAGGTTTCTAACTGGTAGGCTCTAAAACCAAACTCTGCATATGAATTTCCCTCCACAATGGCCAGTTGTGTCATGAGCACCTGCCTAGATTCACAGGAGACAGGTGAGTTCCAGAAGGAGATCACTTTGAGTGAACATCTAAAACTCAAGTCTATAATTAAGACATTCAGACGGTTCATATCATCATTATAAATGAAAAGTTAATTTATTTTGGGTCATGGGGTCCCAATACATCTTTTTTCTTGGTCTGAGCAGATGCAAATTTAAGGTGAGCAGAGAAAATCACACGGACAACACCACTGCTTCCACCCCAGTTTGCTCTTTTCCAGTGTAGTTTGGAAAATCCCAAACTTTCATGGCTTCAGAGATTGAGTACTTTTTAGACACAGCTTGAAACACATCAAGGGGAAAACAGAAGCCTGTGCTTTAGTCTATTTCACTGCCTTAGATTTATTACTTGGTTCAGGTGCCAATACTGCTTGCAGGGAAGAAGGCCAACAATAGCCAAAGCATTCGACTGCCCTTAAACACATGACATAAGCATGTTTAAAAAAGAACATGTTTGCCCTGGCCGTTTGGTTCAGCGGTTGGAGTGTCGGCCTGCGGTCCAGAGAGACCCGGGTTCGGTTCCCGCTAAGGGCACGTACCTTGGTTGCAGTATGTCCCCGGCCCTGGTTGGGTCGTGCGGAAGGCAGCCACTCGATGTGTCCTTTCACGTCGATCTCTCTCTCTCTCTCTCTCTCTCTTTCTTTCTCCTTTCTCTCTCTCCCCCCACTCTATCTGAACAAAAAATGGAAAAATGTCCTCAGGTGGAGGATAAAAAAAACAAAACAAAACATGTTTAACAAATGTTTTGTGTTTTGTAAACTATACAGGACCTTTACATAGTTTCTTGGTAATTATAAAGTTGGGTTAATTTTTAAAAATTGGAAAAGAAGTAGAATATAATGGAATCTGATTTAAAAAATACAAAACAACGAGTCGAAAAATAGAGAAACATGCAGAAGAAAAGGATTAACCAGCCACAATAATAAAGCAAAAATACACATAGCCCTGGCTGGTTTTGCTCAGTGGTTAGAGCATTGGACCAAAGGGTCTTGGGTTTGATTCCCAGTCAAGGGCACATACCTGGGTTGCAGGTTCGATCCTCAGCCCCGGTCGGGTTGTGACCAATCAATGTGTCTCTCCCACATCAATGTTTCCTTCCTTCTTTCCTTCTTTCCTTCCTTCCTTCCTTCCTTCCTTCCTTCCTTCCTTCCTTCCTTCCTTCCTTCCTTTCTTTCCCTCTCTCTCTTCCTCCCTCCCTCCCTCCTTCCCTTCTGCTCTATCTAAAAATCAATGGAAAAATATCCTCAGGTGAGAATTAACAACAACCAAAAAAGAAAACAAAACCCCCCATAAATATAAATGCCTGTTGCATAGTAATAATTAAATAGCAAGCATGGTTATAATTTTTACAAGTGATCATTCATTGTGAAATGTGGCTAAGCAGTAACATGAAATCTTAGATAATGTCATGAGTTTTTAAAAAAATGATCATTTCATCTAGCCAGTGTGGCTCAGTGGTTAAGCACTGACACATGTACCAAGAGGTCACCGGTTCGATTCCTGGTCAGGGCACATGCCCAGGTTGTGGGCTCAGTCCCCAGTGTGGGGCATGCAGAAGGTGGCCAATCGATTTTCTCTCTCATCGATATTTCTCTCTCTCTCTCTCAAATCAATAAAAAAGAAAACATTTAAAAAAAAAAGCAGTTAAAAAAATCATTTACCCATAGCTTTTGCTCTTTGAATACTGACTTACACATTCTCACTTTTCTTACCTGCTGCTAGAGACACACAGCACTGCTCCTTTTCTTTTGTGACCTCATTAATCCTGCACGGTACATCCACCAGGGACGGCGAGAGACGTGGCAGAGAGGAGAATTTTCCTACCCCGCACATTTGGACTGAACCCAGTGAAAGGTGTTTAACAAAGGTAGACCCATTCTGAACAAAGCTGCAATACAGTGACAGGATTCAATGTATTATTTGTAGAAATACAAACATTTTTATTATTTATTTTAAAATTTTTAGCGTGTCAAGCACACTTGGGGTCTCCCTCCTTAAAAGATCTGTAAGTGTGTAACACAATATTGTTGTTTACAGTGCGTTGTTGTGCAGCAGATCCCTAGAACTTATGTTGCATAACTACAATGTCATACCCCTAGGTGCCAAAAATTTTAGCAGTATTATTTTACTTGGTTTCTTTCCTTCAAGTAATCTCTCTGTGCAAACATGTAATAATGGCAATACCAGTTGAAAGACATTTCCAATTTGGTTAGATCTTCAAACTGCTTTCTTTTTGCTCAGCATTCTTGCTGGCTTATGTCTGGGGACTGCACTGAAGCAACGGTGGTGCTGAAAGCGTTGTTCTTTCTGAAATGCTGCCCAGAAATGCTGCCCAAGCCAATATGGCACACTCCAACCTGTGGTTTCCTTTCAGGACAACTCACCATTAAAGGCAAGTTTCATTCATCATAATAGCTGAATATTTTTCTCTTAATTAATGAAAAATTAGAAAAATAAATGTACGTTCTAAATAGTATATCCATTAACTTAACAAGTTAGTGAATAAATCGGGAAAACAATTATGTTTTCCCACCAACATGCTTTTTTAGCTTTATAAAACGATTTTGTTAGCTCAGTTTTGTATGTTCCATATGAAAGAATGCTAGCTAATAACCTGACTATCCACTGACAAATGTTCTCAGGTCTATGAGTCTCTGATAATGTGGCATGTTTTGGTGTTCTCAGAGCACATGTAAACAGACTCTGTATGTGGTTTCTACGTGAGCATGCTGATTTACTCAGACTTGGTTGGGTACCTTGACATCTGCTTCCACGCTGTATCCAGAAGAGTGGTGTAGGCACCAATCAACACAGCATCGAAGTAACATGGGATAAGATACCGTGGGATTTGCTTCAGGTAGAAGAACATAGCCTGCAACCATTTACCAACCTGTCATAAACAAAATTTAAAAAGTAAATTTGGTGTATTTACAGGCTGGGTGTATTTCTTTTTAAATAAATTTTTAGAGAGAGGGAGAGGGAGAGAAACATCTATGTGAGAGCGAAACAGCTATCGGCTGCTTCTAGCATGCCCCCTACTGGGGACTGGGCCTGCAAACCAGGCATGTGCCCTGACCAGAATCAAACCGGTGACCTATTGGTGGCATGGGACGATGCTCAACCAACTGAGCCACACTGGCCAGGTGGATGAGTGTATTTTATTTACTTATTTATTTTTTAATCCTCACACGAAGACATTTTTCCATCTTTGTTCAGATAGAGTGGGAGGGGGAGAGAGAGAAAGAGAGAGAAACATCAATGTGAGAGGGACACATTAACCAGTTGCCTCCTGCACAACCCTGACCAGGGCCGGGGATGAACTGCAGCTGAGGTACATGCCCTTGACCAGAATTGAACCCATGACTCATCGGTCTGCGGGCCGATGCTCTAACCGCTGAGCCAAAACTGGCCAGAGCTGGCTGGGTGTATTTTATTTTATTTTTTTATCCTCACCTGGGGACATTTTTCCATTTTTTGTTCAGATAGAGTGGGAGGGAGAGAAAGGAAGAGAGAGAGAGAGAGAGACATCGACATGAAAGGGACACATCGAGTGGCTGCCTCCCAACCAGGGCCAGGGACAAACTGCACCCAAGGTACATGCCCTTGGCAGGAACCAAACCCAGGTCTCACTGGACAGTAGGCCGATGCTCTAACCGCTGAGCCAAATCAGCCAGAGATGGCTGGGTGTATTTTAAAAGGCAAATCCAAACATACAACTCTACTAATTAGTAATGTATCAACCAGATATCCATTAATTAGAACTGAAAGATGATGAAAAAGGAAGGAAAATGTTTTAGGTTGGCAAACAATGTAAATGTTGTATCTTCCATGGTAACACAGTTCTCATGTGCCCTTGTTTGTCGGGACTACAATATAGCTATGCTTACCTCCGCAACGGCTCCTGACCGTGAAATAAGCCGGTTACTGACGTAGTCAATCATCCAATCTCCAGATCTCAAATTATCACAGAAGGGATGCCCCAAGTCATTCTTTGGTCTTATTTCTGCCAATACGGACATTAATCCTGAGAATGCATAGAAACATCATGCTGTGTTATTGGCGCAGACAATGTGTTCCGTGGCCGCGCTGCTGCTGGTGTCTAATAATTTGGTGTGGACACAGGGTTGCATGGTCCATGATGGCACTGCCTGTAGTCGGAGAGAAGTGTGACCACAGGCCTGAACCAAGTTACGAGGACACACAGGAGGGGGCTACTGTCACAAGAGTCCTGTCTTCTCAGACGGGTCTTGTTCATTTTGGATTTAATGTTATAATATTCAAAAGGAACTGGCATGGTTTCTCTGCCCCACAGCATCTTGGGGAGAAAAACTGATGTCTGTGTCTTTCTGGGTTGAAAAATAGATTCATTAATACTCAGGCAAGATTTAGGGAAATCACAGAACATGTTTCAGAGAGAGCAAGAGCACCTGTGGCGATATCTAAGAATAAAGCCTACTTTGGAAACAGTTTTGAAATATAACAAGAGGTACCTGGAACTAAATGGAGTGTCAAAGTTAAGTATACAGGCATGTCTTTCGATGATAACTCAAAGACAAGCATTAGAATTTCTTTGCATACACAGCACATGCTGTTATTCCAATGAATTATCTCCTTTAATCCTCAAAAAAGCCTGCATGCTAGACAATATCATTAACAGTTCACAGAGGCAGCCGCTGGGCACAGAGGAACGAGCTGCCAGAGGGCAGTGAGTGAGCAGCCGGCACAGCCAGTTTGCACCCAAGCAGTCCGGCTCTCAGCCACACTGTTATTTTTATTAAAAAGATACCATATGACTCTGAAAAACACCCAAAAGTTGAACTCTCCTTATACCTTGAAGACCCGCATACTTGAGAGATGACCAGTTTGGAATGTCGTAGCACCCTCCACCATCTTCTCGTTCTTCGGATTCACAGCGATAAAGCACCTGATTCAGCTCGGCCAGAGTTAACTTAGAGGCAATACTGAGAAATAAAAAGAACTGGTTAAACACTGACATCTCACTTGCTGTCAATAAAAATTGAGAAAATCTGAATCATAACCATAAAATGTCTTAGCAACTCATCATTATAATATACATAAGAAACAATATTGTTTATATACATTATAAATAATAAAGGATAAAACATGCTATAAAGTCGATCAGAAGTAACACGTCTTCCAAACCAAAGAAATAATCAAGTGCCAAATTTTATTAATTAAAAATATGCTGGAAAATCTTTCTTTTTAATTTACTGATTTTTTTTAGAGAGAGAGGGAAGGAGAGAGAGAGAGAGAAACATAAATAGGCTACCTCCTGCAGGCCCCTCACTGGGGATGGAGCCCGCAACCCGGGCATGTGCCCTGACCGGGAATTCAAGCCAGACCTCTCAGTCCCTGGGACAACGTTCAATCCACTGAGCCACACTGGCTGGGCTGGAAAATCTTTTGATTGCTATCTTCTTTAACTCAGAAATTTGTTTCTTTAATCTTTCTAATTTGGGCTTAGTTTTCCCCTTCCTTTACATTTTCCTGTGTGGGACACCAAGAACTTTTTACGTTAATTATCTTAAACTCAAAATACGTATCAAAGGACCAGAAAAGGGATCATTAATCGTCCCAGCTACGCTTAGAAATCACGTAGTACTCCCCTTGATAATTCTCTCATCTCTAAGGAAACCTTAAAATTGCTTCAGTCAGGCTGGTCATTCCAGGCATTAAAGTGGCACATCTCCGTGAAACAAGGCATACTTACGAAGCAAAAGGAACTTTCAATATAGGGTCTGAGTTGTCAACCACAAGACTCCCAGATTTAAAGTGAGGAGTGAACTGCGTTAGATGATTTCGAAGAATCCCAACAGCGACTTGGGCATGTGGGTTAAGACTAACTCTGCAAACATGAATTGAAAATGGGTTCATTTTTAAGAGGAATTTATTTAAAATTAATGTAAACTATTTTCAATATAAGCAAGGTCACAGTTTGAACTCTACCATACCTGAATACAATAACACTTCCTGGAGACAAGTTTTCAAATTCTATTTCTTGAATATATTCATTGGGTCCCTTTGTGGTAATTCCAACTTGTTTAACAATTTTACTTTCGTTAAGCTTGAAAAAAGTTAGATGAAACCATTCAATGAATAATTCGAATGTCTTTAAAATGTTCAACACCGTGGTAAGATAAGAGTACTAAATACCTGGATATGTTCTCTAATTTCTGCAGTGATATTAGGCATTCCATTGATTGAATTCTCATCCTTCTTATAAGGTTTTGTATTTCTTTCAATAGTTCTAGCTTCAAAAACTACTTCTTCAATTTTACCTAGAAATATATACAAATTTTAACAAAACCTCCTGTTAAACCATCTAAATTAGGAATTGATAAAGGGGTTTTAAATCATTTCATTGAAAGTTAATGATGAAGAGTCACTTAATTAAAAGAAAAAAAAGCAAGACAGTCTGAAAGGAGATGATTCTACCCAAGATGCGTTTTCACACAATGTTTTTGTTTTAAAATCACAAATTAATTAACAAAGCTTTATTTGAAAAGAGATCTTATCAAGTATGACTTGATAATTACTGAAGCCCTGTGTTCTCTTCCTCCCCTTCAGAGGTAACTACGGCCTGCGTTTGATGTTTTTGGATCCTGTACATTTTTACTAAATATGTGTTTCCCTAAACAACATGTATTAATTTCCATATTTCCAAGTTTTATTAAAGTGGATTCAAATATATATGCCTGCAGCTTGCTTTTGTATTGGACAAGACTGTATTGTTTAGATTCGTTCACATGGCTGGCTACATTAGCTCTTGCTTGTTTATTTCAAATGCCAATAATACTCCACTAAATGAACATACCAAAGGCATTCATTCTATTAACAATGTCACTAATTTTTCTCTATTATAACTATATATTTATGCACAAGCAACAATCAGACAAGATTATTACTGAATACACATTAGTGAACAGCTAAAAGAACTGATGAACATCTAACCTAAAACTATTCAAGTTGATACATTTTAAAATTTGGAGTTATGCATGTTTAGCAACTAGCAACCAGTCTATAATATGACAGTTTTTATGGGCCTCCACTTGGTCAACAGACTTGGACAGCTGCTGCGTGCACAGAAGCAGGTTAAGCTATAATATATGTAATAGTAAGGAAGGAAGTAAAATACACACATCTGGAAAAAATCAGGCAATAGTAAAGACATACCTCAGGATGTATTTTATGATGAAGTATGAAAGAAGTGATATAGAGACTATCATGGCTATATATTCAGAGCAGAGAGAGACTACTGAGTGCTCAGAGAAACTTCTCAAAGCTGGTGAAACTCTAGTCCGTCAAAGATGTAAAGAATTAAAATACAGGTGGAGTAAGACACGTGGGAGCAATGGAAATATCTATGTGGCTGAAACAGTGGAGTGACACAGACTAGGCAGGAGGATGAGGATGGATTATAATAAGTCTTAACTATGAAACTGTTTCAATGTGGGTGTACATATGTGTGTCTGTAAGTGCATACACATACAAATACACACACTAATATACATCTATATTTTCCTGGGTATAAAAGAAATACATGTTCACTTTAAACAAATCAGGAAATAAGGAAATGTATGAACAGGAAAACTAAACTCTTTCACCACTCAGAAACCATTAAGACTTGAAACATCTCTGTCTAGGTTTGGTCCCATGCAGTGAAAATATAAATTATCAAGATTTCTAATTCTTTTCCTCAACTGCATCCACAGGTCGCTGTGTTGTAACCCATGCGACACACAGCAGCAACTTAATGTAGCACAGTGTGATTTAACATAATGACATACACAATCACAACAGCGTGTCAGACCACATTACCAGGGATGCACAGTTGTGGCACTTCCTTGCTGTAGAATGAAGACTTGGGGTTCCTGAAAGCGGTTCTAGACACAGCCACAACTGACTGATGGCTGCTAGGTGAGTGTCTCGTCACAGCCACTATGTCCTCATCCACCTGATCCACATACACCTGAGAAACGGAAAGAGCGGACACATCGGTGCTCTAACCGGAAAGACTTACTCTGAGCTTGAACCTTAAGAAAGAAACTCAGAAAGTTTAGTTTCTTGCCTGCATAAAACTGCTGGCCCCAAGTTCTTGGTGAAGTCTGTTGATGGCACGCCTGGCGGCAATAATTCCACTCTGGAAATTAACATCGCCTGTATTTGCTGGCGATGCTGCAGGGTTCCACTTAGTGTAGAACCGTTCTTCGGAAACCACTGAAATCTGAACAAGGTGAAAACTTAGGAAGTGCATACACTTTCCCTACAATGAGCACTTTGGGTGAAAATGCCCAGTGCTGCTGGCCACGTGGGTTTTAATAGGCAGCACGGAAACAAACCTGGTGCGGTACTAATTCATCATAGCCCCTGGTGCTCCCACTCGCACAACACGCCATAGAGACAATGGTGGAACTGGGGAGGGCATCGTAGGCGGATCGATGCTAGAAATCAAACAGACAAAAACCCAAAGTTAACTTTCTTTCCAATGCAAAGTGCCATCAGATAGCATCGTGAAGTAAAAGGATAATTACAGAATACATTCAGTAAGATACATTACTTTGCTTTGAAACAAGCAACAAAGCATTCTAAACACTATGTACCACAACCACTTATAAATCTAACACTATTAACTTCTAAATAACACTATTTTGAAGTCTGTGGATATTACTGCCACTAAATATTAGAGAACTAGAGATCAAAACATTTAGCAAAATATGTAAATGCAAGAAACAGATTAGGCGCTTACCACAATAGGACATTCGTTGTCATGGGTGATGTCCATGAACAGGGCATGTGCAATAGCTGGCATCAGAGGCCTCAGACAGGGCTGAACAAAGGACCCCACAGGCTCACCTCCGTATCGATAAACTAATCTGCCCTCTTCGTGACTATTATGCGCGCTCATTGCCTCTGGAAAGCATTACAGAATATTTTAATCTTCATTATTAATGTCCAAGAAGTTAGATTCCCTATCATGACTGACTTTCAAAAAAAAGACCACATAACCACATAAATATTATAAAAAATACAACTACTTGCCCTGGCCAGTTTGGCTCAGTGGTTGGAGCATCGGGCCCAAGGACCACGCGTTGAGGGTTCAATCCCCAGGCCTGGTCAGGGCATGTGCAGGAGGTAACCAATTGGTGTGTCTCACATCGATATTTCTCTCTTTCTCTCTCTCCCCCTTCCTTCTCCCTCCCTTCCACCCTTTTTAGGGATCAGTGGAAGAACATCCTTGAGTAAGGATTAACAAACAAACAAAAAATAATAAAAATAATAAAAATAAATAAATAAAACTGCTTTAAACATTTAAGCAAATGTCCACTGGCTTAAGTGACAAAATAATTTGTCTACTCAATAATTTAATGGCTCATGGAGGTAAAGGGGAACATGTGCTGTTCATTAGGATGTTGATTAGATAAAATCTAAAGATGATATCGGGTATCTAGTTAGTCAAGATGAAAACCAGATTTGTAACATTTCAACCACCAAATGAGTCATCAATTCATCCCACTGGTCTTTCAATTTAAACTGAGGTATTTTACCCCACGGTGGAAATTTTTACTGAAAAAAAAAAACCAGACTGAGTTATATTAGGAAATTTTGTGTAGAATATTAACTGTCTTGAAAACTATTAAACATTATATAGAGAGCTATGATGCCTTTTAATCCTCTTAAACAAAAGCTAGAGTTTTAGATGGGAGATAACTTCAATAAGCCTACCTCTTATTAGGGAGGTAATGCCCAGTCTAGTGACGAAGATATTGTCCAGTTCTTCACTTCCTGTGAACAGTTCCGCCACGACATATAAATTGGGTTGCAATTTCCTAGCAGCATCCAACATGTACTGTAAAAAGCACAGTCAGAAATGTAACAGGGAGAGAAAAACAAGATGGGAGGGAAGCAGAGAAGCAAGACTAGGCATGGATCCGACAGGAAAATGCCACATAGCCAGACAAAATGGAAATCCAAGAAGAATTTCCAAATAAATTTAATTGTGTATGTGTAAAAAAATAAATAAAACAGACCAATATACACAATAAACAAGAGAGTTTAGAAAGAGAATGAAACAGTTAAAAGGATGATTAGATTTTGCAAAGATAATAGAGACACAAAAGGGAAAAAAGAAAAACGTCAGTGTCACGTTAAAAATGTAAAGCATCACACTGAGGTCTTGCTAGACTTTCCCCTGCTTTGTGTGTGTTTGCTTTCTAATACCTCTCATTTCCAGGCAGCGCACTAAGCCATTCCTGATAAAGTCCCTGCAATGAGTCATGTTGATGTTGCAAAGATTAGATCAGACTGACTAGAGTGCAGACAGCTGTTCCTACAGATGATGATGCACTCTTAACCAGGTATCAAACTGCTTCCAAAATTTTTAACAAAACGTTGCACAAAGGTTAGTAAAAGACTTGAAATTCTATCAGGGAACAAGTAGGATTCTAGAGCATTTTGTAACTTAAAATTAAGCAAATTAAGTTTTAATATTCTGTTTTGCCATAATGTTACAACAATCTTACGAATATGTATTTTTTCGTTGTTGCTAAAGGCATGAAAAAAAAAACAACCCTCTGCCATTTTATGAGAGTTAAACAATGTCCCATGACCTTAACTGATGTTCACTAAATACCTCCAAATCAAATCAATTTTTCATCACAGAACTGGAAATATACACATTAATACTGTTTTAAAATTACAGAAAATAATATTTTTCAGATAAGTACACATTTCCAAAGAAGACTAACTTATCACTAGGAAGCTATCAAAGATCTCACAAACAGGATGAAAATTATCAGTGTTTTACAAAGTCTTATTAGGTTGCCCTGGTCAGTTTGGCTCAGCGGTTAGAGCATTGGCCCACGGACCAAAGAGTCATGGGTTCAATTCCAGTCAAGGGCATGTACCTCAATTTCGGTTGTCCCCAGCCCTTGTTGGGTCATGTGGGAGGCAACTAGTTGATGTGTCTCTTTCACATTGATGTTTCTCTCTGTCTCTCTCTCTCTCACCCTCCCTCCCACTCTATCTGAAGATAAATGGAAAAAAATAACTTCGGGTGAGGATTTTTTTGAAAAGCCTTATTAGGTAGAAAATAAAGCCATAAATGTTGGGGCGGCTTACACTGCTATAAAGAGCCCAAAGAGGAGTAGGCAACCTTTATGTTTACAATTGCATTTTTATAAATCATAACTAAAAAACTGAATCAATTACACTAAAACGAACTTCAATATGCTATCATGTTAGCATTTAAATAATCACGATAAATTAATAAGCTATTCAACTTCACAGTGGCTACTCATATATAGAAGGCAACCTAAAAATAAAAGGACAAATTAATAATGATAATTGTTATATATAATATCATTATATTAGAATTAATTAATATAACATTAATCATTACAATAATCAAGATAAAGTTAATATTAATAATATAATTATATAAGATTGTATAAAATTAAATGTTAAGATATGATTAAATTATAATTATAATATATTTTAATGATATATATTAATTTTTATTGTTATTTTTAGGTTTCAATTCATATGAATTTTTAAATTATTAATATAAATATTAACACTAGTTTAATAAAATATGGCAATATGGTTGTATGTATATTAGAAGAAACAATCTGATCTACTTTCCTACACTAATAAAGATATTCACTCAAACATTTTAGAGCCCCGTATTCCATAATAACCATCGGAAAAGATGCTGTTAGAATTGTGCAATCATGTGGGAGTTTTAAATACAAGCAGCAAATCCAGGCCGGTGCCGGAGCGGCAGGCGGCAGGCCTCTGCGCCCTCTCTAAGGGAGGCCAGGAGAAGGCTGCGTTTCCTTCCCTGACGAGACTGTTTCCGCACCTCGGCCACGTGCAGCGGCGTGGAGTGGCAGTTGTCCAGCCGGACTCCCTGGAAGTAAGTTGCAGTTATCTCAGTGTATTCTTTCATGTGTGCCCAGAGGTAAGGGCAGTCCTCTGGCTGACTCCCATAGCGCAGTTTCACACTGTCTCCCCAGCAGATAAGTTCTCTCCTGAGGTAGACCTCTGAACCTGTTAAGAAAGGAGCTTGCTTTCAATGATTCAAGAAATAAAACAGAGGACTTCCGGTCAAGACGGCGGGTAGGTAAACGCGGTATCGCGTCCTCCCACAACCACATCAAAGTTACAACTAAACTACAGAACAACCATCATTCAAAACCGCCTGAAATCAAGCTGAATGGAAGTCCTACAACTACGGAATTAAAGCAGCAGCCACATCCAGACTGGTAGGAGGGCGGAGGGGACGGGCTGGTCCCACACCCACGTGTGACGGATAAAAATCAGGAGGACACCTCGGCTGGGAAGGTCCTCCCTGAGGAATGAGGGGTCCTCGTCCCACACCAGGTGCCCTGCTCAGGGTTCCAGGGCCAGGAAGAGAATCCCCATCACTTCTGGCTGGAAAAACCAGCGGGAACTGAGGCTCAGGGAAGCTGAGGCGGCTGGAGCCCCAGGCAGCTCCTTAAAGGGCCCGCGCACGGACTTATCGGACTCTCTCCCTCTAAGCTCGGAGGGGAGGCAGCTCGGGGGGCACCAGAGACACACAGGGAAGAACTGAGCTGTTTGGCACTGGAGCGAGGGCTGGAGAGGGGGCTTTCTCAGGGACAAACGTGCTGTCAGAGGCCTTTGTTCCTTTGGTGAGCCCTTCCCGGGGGCGGCAGACAGTCGCCATATCTGGGACTCCAGCAACCTGGCTCACACTGGTAGCCCCGCCCTGCTGACTGCCTGAGGGCCCGCCCCACCCAACTTTCAAGCCCACCCAAGCTGTTGCCACTTGCTTAACCATATAGGATTGGCCAGTCTTGGATCCTGCTTCAGGCTTTTCCTAAATTCTTTCAAACGAGCAGCATCTGGTCTCAGCGAGCCCCATACCTCTCATTAAGTAATACACTGAAACAAACACAGGGAGGCAGCCAAAATGAGGAGACAAAGAAACAGGTCCCAAATGAAAGAACAGGACAAAACCCCTATAAAAGGACTAAGCGAAATGGAGATAAGCAACCTAACAGATACTGAGTTCAAAATACTGCTTATAAGGATGCTCGATGAACTTAGTGAGAACCTCAGTGAACTTAGGGAGGGCCTCAAGAGCATAAAAAAGGACCAGTTAGAAATCATGGATACACAGTTAGAATTGAAGGAGGCATTAACTGAAATAAAGAATAATTTACACAGCTTCAATAATAGAGTACGTAAATCCAAGGAGCAAACCATCGATTTGGAATATAAGGAAGCAAAAAATGCCCAATCAGAACAGCAAAAAGAAAAAAGAATCCAAAAAAATGAGGATAGTCTAAGGAGCCTCTGGGACAACTTCAAGCGTGCCAACATTCGCATCTTGGGGGTGCCAGAAGGAGAAGAGCAAGAACAAGAAATCGAAAACCTGTTTGAAACAATAATGGCAGAAAACTTTCCTAACCTGGTGAAGGAAACAGACATACGAGTCCAGGAAGCACAGAGTCCCAAACAAGATGAACCCCAAGAGGCCCACACCAAGACACATCATCATCAAAATGCAAAAGGTTCAGGACAAAGAGAGAATCTTAAAAGCAGCAAGAGAAAGGCAGCTGGTTACCTACAAGGAAGTTCCCATTAGGCTGTCAGCTGATTTCTCAAAAGAAACTTTGCAGGGCAGAGGGAGTGGCAAGAAATATTCAGAGTGATGAAAACCAAGAACCTACAACCAAGATTACTCTATCCTGCAAAGCTGTCATTTAGAATCGATGGACATATAAAAACTTTCCCAGACAAGGAAAAGTTAAAGGAGTTCATCACTACCAAACCGTTATTATATGAAATGATGAAGGGTCTTTTTGAAGAAAAAGATAAAATGTATGAACAAACAAAATGGCAATGAATACAGATCTATCAACAATGGAATCTACAAACAAAATGAACAGGTAGAACAGAAACATTCTCATAGATACAGAGAACATTTTGTTGGTTGCCAGTTGGGAGAGGGGTTGGGGAATGGGTGAAAAAGGTGAAGGGATTAAGAAGCACAAATTCACTGCTAGACTGACAAACCTCAAAGGGAATGGGGTTGGGGGGTGGGAAGAAATAAACCAAAGAACTTATATGCATAACCAATGGACACAGACAATAGTGTGGGAAAAGGTGGGAGGGGGGCGGGAGTGGGGAGGAGGGGGTCAATGGGGGAAAAATGTGGAACATCTGTAATACATTTTACATCCAACAATAAAGATTTGAAAAAAGAAATAAAACAAAAAACAAAATGCTTCAAGGAAACACTGTTGCTTTTATATCACATGAACTATTTCTACCGCAGCCATATACATATTTGTTAAATTATATCTAAAATGATTGGGGATAAAGTTTTTAAAAATTATTATTAACTTACATCTCATCTATTTTGAAAAATTCTAACTCATAGTCTCTTCTAAAAATATGTGCTTAATGTAAAAAATCCAAGTTGCTTCTTAAAGGTAAACAGTAATATCTATAGTTCCACTAAAAACATTTAAAGCTTCATCTCCACCTTGCCACTCATTTTTGGTAATAGGTGGCATTAAATCCATGCTTTTTTTTTTTTTTTCATTTAGAATGGCCAGAAAGGAGAGGGAAGAGATACTTAAACCGAAAGTTATATTCTTTTTTTAAAAAATGAGATTTTTAAATTAAATTGATTATCATTTCAGACTTCTAGTCCTGAAATGTTGAAAAAATAAATGTATTGATGGGTTCCCTGTTAATTTTTCCTGGCAACGAAATCGCTGTAGAAAAATAAGATGTTAGGAATAAGTGAGAGGGAACCTAGACACAGTTAGTTTTTGGTTTAACTACTATGCAAATGCTTAACTACTTCTCTGGAAAATATCTCTTGTGGCAACATAAGTGCAGTAGCAGTGGTTCCAGAGATCTTTCATTTAATTAATTATTTTATGTATTTATTTATTTTTAATCCTCACCTGAGAATATTTTTCCATTGATTTTTTTTTTTTTCCAGATAGAGTGGGAGGGAGGGAGGGAAAGAGAGAGAGAGAGAGAAACATCGATATAAGAGAGACATCGATTGGTTGCCTCCTGCAGGACCCTGACCGGGGCTGGGTATCAAACCCGTGACTCTTCAGTCCACAGGCTGAGGCTTTAACTGCAGAGCCAAACCAGCTAGGGCTCCAGATGTCATAAAAATGCAATAGCATATGGTTTGGAGCATCATCCTTATACACCAAGGTTGCAGGTTTGATCTTCAGTCTAGGCACATACAAAAATCAACCAATGAATGCATGAATAAGTGGAACAACAAATCATGTTTTGCTCTTCTCTCTCTCTCTCTTCTCTATAAAATCAATAAATAAAAATGCAACAGCATAATATTTTGCAAAAATACAATCGTATGCACAAACACAGTGAAAAACAGATCAGAGCTGTTCTGTTTGAGGAGATGAGGGGAAGGAAGGGAAAGGAGGAAAAGATGAATCCCATCCTTTTTTCTCTCAAACTGTATACACCTCTGCGATGAAAGAGTTAAGAACACCAGCCTAGTGGGGAAAAAATTGAATGAAACAGTTTATATTTTGTGTTGCCATGAACTTTCTTTTTCTGTACACAGAAAAGTAACCAAAATGGCGTACACACCTGGTTCAGCGAAGTTCCGGAGGGGATCATCTCCCATTACCCATCCATTATGTGCCATCAGAAAGCACGCTTTATTTGGGAGATGAATCATGGACTCTTCTGTGGAGAGGGTCGTTTCTTCAAATGGGAAAGTAAAATATCTATGGAGATATAATTAAATATTAAATCCATACAGAGAAACTCTTTGGAGAAAACTTAAATTAGCAGTGTTAAAATTAAATTTCCTCCCTGATGAACAAAATAAGTAAGATTAGTTGGACATCACTTATAGGAAATAAACTGTAATACAAGTCAAAAATCTTCAGTAGACTTTGTTTTAGTAAATCTAGTAGATATGAGGAATGGAGAGGTAGCATTATAACATATCTGGTCAACATTTTAAATAACTTACAAAATCTCATAATTTGCTAATAAAATCACTGAGGTCCTGGTGTTACTTCTGCTACACTTTAGCTGCTTAATCCATGTTGCACCTTACTTAAAAGGAGCCAAATGCTGCTCTGTTTGATTAACAGAAATTACTTGTATGTATATATAGGCTTCCAGAGATATTAATATAAAATAATGATAAATTGGTTCATATTGATGATAGTTTTTCTAACCTAAGGTCTGCCTAACAAAATTAATTAATAGAATGCCTAGTTACCAAATCAGAACTTTTATTTCCATTTAAGAAATGTACTAGAAGTCATACATTAAAGGAATAATTTAGGCTCCTTCAAAAAGCTAAATACATGTTTAACCTTTAATGAGAAAAAAACTAAAATAGAATACCTGGTAACTAAAGGATCTTTCCTAGTGACAGCTCCTAGTTTGGGACCATGGCCAGCCAGACGTTCATAAAATACATTTCCCAAAATGCAATTAACTGCCTAAAAAACATTAAATTATGTTACGTCAATGACAACAACAGACAGTATGACAACGTAGAGAAAAACAGCAGTTGAGAAGTAGGTGAAACCTGTTCCTGATGGGAGTTCACAAGTTGATGTTTCTCTGAATTTAATTCCTCAAGTCTCTTCCGGAACCAGTTACAGCATTCGTCAATCGCAGCCAGCCCATTGCTAGAGCAGATAGAGCAATATAAACCTATTAATGCTTTTACAAATTCTACATTCAGATACTTTCTAGAGGATGGATGAAAAAGGGGAGGGATTAAAAAGTACAGATGGGCAGTTACAGAATAGTTACGGGGATGTAAAATACAGCATAGGGAATATAGTCAATAATATTGTAATGACTATGTATAGTGCCAGGTGGGAGACAGATTTATTGACTTAATCACTTACTAAGTTATTTAAATGTCTGATCATGGGTTGTACATCTGAAATTAATATAATATTGTATGTTGACAGTAACTGAAAAATAAAAATTATTTAAACTAAAAAATTTTTTTAATAAAATGAAAAAAATTTTCTAACAAGATTTCATAGATTCTTTAAATTATTCATCAGGATCTTAATTACGACTAAAGAAGTTTTTTAACTGTAAAAACTTTTACATACACCCATAGGAACATGGACCAGCACACAGAAAAAGGGGGACATGTCATGAAGTGGCAGCAATAGAACTATAGTGAATTACTTTGTTTCATTTCTATTCAAACTTTTAATAAATAGCACGAAAATAATACTAGCCCTAAGGTTTATAAGTAACACTGTTCTTTATTTCACAGGACACATAACATACTCATGCGGTATGAAAGTCGCCAGTGCAATGTCCATATCTACAGTGCAGCCAAGCCGCCTGTACTCAGGGTCCTGGGTAATCTTCAGATGTTGCTTGGGATCAGGTATGGTTGGTGTTTTCCTATTTCCTGAAAGAAAAGAAAGTGAAGTGAAGTGAAGTGAAGTGAAGTGAAGTGAAGTGAAGTGAAGTGAAGAGAAGAGAAGAGAAAAGAGAGAAAGAGGGAGGGAAGAAGAGAGAAAGAGAAAGAGAGAGAGAGAGAAAGAAAGAGAAAGAGAGGGAGGGAAGGAAGGAAGGAAGGAAGGAAGGAAGGAAGGAAGGAAGGAAGGAAGGAAGGAAGGAAGGAAGGGAGGGAGGGAGGAAGGGAGGGAGGAAAGAGGGAGGTAGGGGAGAAAGAGAGAAAGAAAGAGAAAGACAGAAAGAAGTGATATTGAAAATGCATATATCCATAAGGAGATTGTAACTGTTACTGATTCCAAATTATTAGATTGTAATTTTTTCATAGAAAATAAAACAGATGTTTATTTCACAAACATCCTTCCTACCTCCCCTTCTGACCTTCAGCACACCACCTCACACACACACACACACACACACACACACACAGAGGGAGGGAGAGAGGGGGAGACAGAGGGGGAGGAGGAGGGGGAGAGAGAGGGAGAGATTAAGAGAAAATAACATGGAAGAACAACACAGGGATTTCTATCAGTTCAACCCCAGTCTCCCTTTTCTGCCTCAGTCAGTATTCACTTATTCCACACATTTTTTTAGGGCAATAGGATGTTAGTATACATTTTCTTTCCATGTTCTACACCACACACTCTAACCAAAGACTTTTTCTAAAGTAAATCTCATTAACAAACTGACTTTCTTTGCAGTCCCAGAAAGAAGCACATGAGTTTGTTTTTATACTTTTTTTCTTTTTCTTAAAACTGATAGAAAAATTCTAGTGTGTATCCTTTACCTTGTGTGAGGCGTCCTCTAAATTGTTCAACTGCTTTGTAAACGTCTACTTGGAAAAATTCCCAGAGCTGAATCTTTGGGAAAACATCTTCCCAAATGATTTTTCGAATGCACTGAAAAATTTCAATAGTTAAAACATAGGTAGATACTTTTAAATCGTTTTACTAAATATTATTTAGCATATCAAAAGGCAGATTGTAGATAACTTTCAAGCGCACATTTAAGTTGTACTTCGGAAATGGGGTTACTGTGTGTTAGTGTGGAACTCCTCTGTACATACTGACATGCATTTGATGGTCATTTTCGATCAGAGCGGGCACCCCTTTTTCTTTGTATTTCCCGTCAGCCACGTCACAGGAGAGGTGCCATAGTGCTCTGTCTAAGACCCAGGCAGGCTTCAGATGTGGAGAATTCACCAGGTTGTACGCACTTTCCGGATGCTTCTGGATCCATTTACTATTAGCAGCTTACAGAAGAAGGAAACATAAGGAAAGATCTTGTAACAAACAGATGTTAGTATCTACATTAAGTTTAAAGGTGAAATAAAATGTCACCACTGACCACTCCTTTTCTTATCCATGAGACATAAGTATTCTATAATGATACTGTAATATGAAAAAAAGTTTTGGTGTGGTATCCCATCATCCACTTCACCATCCATTTTTCTTTTCAGTTACAGGGATTTTTCATTGATAGTGGATAAGATGCAACACGGACTGATGAGCACGTTGTAATAACACATATACTGTTGTGGTGGGAGGTAACAAGGGTCGTGCCCTCAGCTTGTTTTGAGGGTTCTTGAATCAACTATATAAAATGCTCCTTCGGCCCTGGACGGTTTGGCTCAGCGGTTAGAGCATCGGCCTGTGGTCCAGAGACTCGGGTTCGGTTCCCGCTAAGGGCATGTACCTTGGTTGCAGTTTGTCCCCGGCCCTGGTTAGTTGTGCGGGTGGCAGCCACTCGATGTGTCCCTTTCACATCGATGTTTCTCTCTCTCTCTCTCTTCCTCTCTCTCTCCCTCCCACACTACCTGAACAAAAAAATGGAAAAAATGTCCTCGGGTGAGGATAAAAAAAAAAAAAAAATGCTCCTTCGGAGCCCAAAGGGCATCTTTTTCTGGAGGGCAGAACTAGGCTCCTGCCCGACTTCGAGTTCTCTGGCCTTCTGTTGAGGCAGAAAGTCACCTGTGTGACTGTTCAGGGTCTGGCTCTCAGGTTCCAGGGCAGGAGAATAGGCCCCTTTCCCATTTATTTTCTCCCACTTCTTGTCTCTGGAATGAGAGGACCCTTCTTCGGTCCCATCTAAGCGCTAGGTTGTATCTCTTACTCTAACTTTAGAACTCAAAAGGCCATGTACACCTTTCTTCCTACACACTCCTTTCTTCTTTGTATTTTTGGGGGGAGTGTGGTAGTGAGAGGTGAGGTTCCTCCCTCTGGATTTTTAAATATGCTTGTATTTCCCCAAAGCTAAGAATACAAACAAGCACACATCCTGTCTAAGAAGGTATTTCTCTAACTTCACGGTTGCTGACTATCAAGAACGAATGTCTTGAAAATGCAACCTGTACCTGCTGTACCCACTTTCTCCCCACTCTGCTGCCTGCTGCCCCCAGCACGTGGCTGGGGTTACCCAGGCCTCCTAACTACGACACCTAGTGCTACGTCTCACCTTCATCCGGCCACCCTACGCACAGCCTGCCATTCCTGAGCAGTCCTTCCTTGATTTACATGCAAATATTTACATATTGATTATATATTCAACTAACACTTCAGTTTTCTTTGAAAGAAAAAAAGTGATATTTGTAAGGTGATTTTTATTTTATTTATTTATTTATTTTTTTGTTCAGATAGAGTGGGAGGAGAGAGAGACAGAAACATCGACGTAAAAGGGACACATCGAGTGGCTGCCACCCACACCACCAACCAGGGCCAGGGACAAACTGCAACTGAGGTACGTGCCCTTAGCAGGAACCAAACCTGGGTCTCTCTGGACCTCAGGCTGACGCTGTAACCGCTGAGCCAAACCGGTCAGGGCTGTAAGGTGATTTTTAAATTGAAGGACACCTAAGCATCATTTGTGTTTCCAGTATTATATAAAACTGCAAGGAATAAAATAATTAGAATTAAATATTTTCTTCAAAATGAACAGTAGTTAAGGAAGCTCATACCAGTGTGATTGTAGACAACATCAGTAATACAAAGAACATTCCATTCCTTTTTCAGTTTTTCCACTAGTTGTCCAACATCATTCCAGGTACACTTTTTATTAGGTCTTGAAAAGTCAGGATTTAATTCCAACTGATTAGCAAGGGAGTAGCATGACCGAGATTGTCCAAGGGTCTGCAATGGGGTAAAATGAATCATGTTGTAACCTGCGATGAAAGAAAATAAACAAAGATCACTGTAAAAAAAACAAAAAAACAAACCCCTAAAACTAAGCAAAATACAACTTCCTGAAGTAATTCAAAATACTGTACAACTTCCTTAAGCAATTCTAAACAGGAAGGCAACCATGGGACACCAAAGAGTCAGACGGGGCTCGGATCTGGCTGCACCGCACATCTTCCTCCTACTTCATGCTCTGCAATACTTGCGCTCTGTTTAGGTGCGCCAGTGAGCTTCTCATCTCTTTCTTCACACCTCACTTAGCTTGAAAGTAGAAAATTAGTATGACCCTTTATTAAAGAGTGAAATACAACCTGTTTCATTTTACTCAGTATGTATGGCAGCCTTCCATGCAGAAGACAGTTAATCAGTATTTGTTGAATTGAAGTTATATATAATGATAATATATTCTCCAACACATTTTTGTAGTGTACTATTAATCTTTATATATCAAAGTTAAGTCTTAGGAGCAATAATGATCTTATTTTATCACACAGTTCCTTAACTTAAGCTAAACTATATAATTTATCATTTTCATAGGTTAAAAATGGTCATGTCAACAATTTCATATACTTCTATCTTTATATTACTAAATATACTAAGAAACAAAATTAAAAGAATTAAAGCCTCTGAAATCTGTATCACAGACAATAATGACATTTATTAAGAAGAAGAAGAAAAGAGAGGAAGCTGACATTACCTGATTCCTTTGCGACCCTCAGTCGGCTTTCCCATTCATCGAAGGGTCCCAGACACTTAGCTAAGAAGGTCTGGAGAGTAACACAGTCCAAAGGTAACACCTGATGATCAGCACCGATGTGTAAAATGGGATCCACAACTATGTAACCCCCACCACTTTTCTCGTTCCTAAGGAATAATAATGAAATAAAAACTTCTCAATTAAGGATAGGATAAAAAATCCTCATCTAATAGTCTGATTCTCTAAAGGGAAGTGAATTGTTTCACTTAAAAGTCTATTTCTAAGCACATAAAATCATTTTTAAAAATTGTAATAAAACTCAATAAAAAGCCATGTTTGATCCTTTTCCAATCTTTACATAATAACATAATGTATATAATGTCTAATAATATTGCTTTAAGAAAAAAGTGGGTGTACTAAAATCTGTCAGTAATAACATGGGCACTCCAGCCTGCATGAAAAGATGAGCGTATTTAAGCTGTTATTTAAAATAGTAATAATAATACTTTGAATCTACAAGGAGCCTTCTAATCACTTCCTAGAAGAACCATTTTATGTTTGCATCTCAAGAAATTCCTGTAAAAATTGCAATGCCATGGCTAATATGGTGACATTTTACAAATTAAATAAGTTTAAGTTATAGAATAAATTTAAGGTTTTGTGTTTGTTTGTTTGTTTGTTTTTGTGGTACATGCCCCTAGTGGAAACCAAACCCAGGACTCTCTAGTCCACAGGCCAACGCTCAACCACTGAGCCAAACTGGCCAGGGCTTAAGTTCTTTTTTTCACATTCAGAACACCTGGCTTACCCTTGAAGGAAGTAATACTGAAATGATCCGGCTTGTTGAAGGTGAAGGTTACAGCGTTTATCAGAATCATCTTCTCTTTCTGATGGATTTTCCCATTCCAGGGTACGGAATTTTTCTCGATGAAATGCTTGTCCAGGAAATGGGTAATTTGTATACACAGTAACTGCTTTTCCCTGTAGAGTAGGACCTAATCGAAACTGCAGTTCAAACCCTAAACAAAAAGCACATTTTGATAAACTTATTGTAGGACTTGAATGACAAAATTAACAAAATAGATATTTTAGTTAAAGTATTACAAAAACCATGATTTCTCAACTATGTTTAACATAACTCCATATATGCAAAGCTGTTTTTGGAACTACTCCGCCTTCTCATTCTGCTGGGTTTCACCTCGTACAGATAGTACACACAGATCACAGAACTGTCTGCTCAGTACTGTCTGTCCCCTCCTCTTCTGGAAACAGATCCCAGTTCACATGACTACTTTGGAATACGTGAGTTCTTACATGACCCCATTTCACACGATCCCCTCAGCCCCTTCCAACCCCCAACCCCCACCCTGGAACTGACTGACCCTTGGTAGGATGTAACCAGAGACCTTTGCTGGTGTTCGAAAACTGCAACAGAGAAGTGAGTTTCTCTGTAGTGTCAGAGTATGTGCTAGCATGTAGACGTTGGGAGGTGTCATGGGACCACTATCTCACCATCTGGAGAAAACCAGTCTTCCCTGAGAGAAGCCCGCCTCGAGAAAGGCAGAAGTCGGGTTCTAACAGGGGTTCTAGGGGCATCGGAGCCCCGCTTCCAGCTGACGTCGCTCAGACCCAAGGAGTGGGAACACAGGGTTAGTAAGTGGCTGTGGTGGGGGCGCAGGTGAGGTCACGAGAGCTCTGATTTGCAGTGTTTGCTGACCTCCTGGTGTAAACAATCTTACCACGGCCCATCTCAAGCTACCAACATGACATCACTGAGCTGGGAATGTGCACGACCAGCTCTTAGCGCCACATGAGTGACTCCAGCAAACCACCACCCATATCCCCACTTGTCATTCGTCATGGTTTAGTTACTTAAGCCTTTCTTTCTTTTTTAAAAAAATTTTGTGGTTTTTTTTTTTTCCTTTATTGATTTTAGACAGAGGGGGGAAGGAGAGGGAGAGAGAAATAGAAACATCAATTGGCCGCTTCCTGCACGCCCCCCCACTGGGGATCGGGCCCACTACCTGGGCATGTGTCCTGACCGGGAATCGAACTGGCAACCTCTTGGTGCATGGGTCAGTGCTCAACCACTGAACCACACCAGCTGGACACTTAAGCCTTTCTACACTACAATTATGAAAACACAGATTGAGAAATAATTGAAGAATTATAATCTGAAGTTTTAATAGTTAATGACTGTGAGAACCATAAATGCCTACATCTCTGCAAGAACGACTAAATTCATCACAGAAGAAATGGTGTCATTCTGAACAAGTACACATATCAGAGACTAGCTATCTGACCATATTTAAACAACCTGTCCCTGTTCAGTTTATACAAATATTGTTTTTATAATTACACAAGGATTCAGGAATCAAAGGTTAAAAGGCCCATGCCCTGGCCGGTTTGGTTTAGCGGTTAGAGCATCGGCCGGCAGTCCGGAGAGTCCCGGGTTCGGTTCCCACTAAGGCACGTACCTTGGTTGCAGTTTCTCCCCAGCCCCAGTTGGGGTCGTGTGGGTGGCAACCAGTCATGTGTCTCTCTCACATGGATGTTTTTCCCTCTCTCTTCCCCCCTCTCTCTCCCACTCTATCTGAAGATAAATGCAAAAATGTCCTCGAGTGAGGATAATAATAATAAAAAAAAAAGGTTAAAAGGTCCAAATACTCAAACAATATTTAGATCACTGGTCTATCTTCAGAAATAAAATGATGACCATTCTCCAAATATGAATATTTATTTTTTCACGTAATATACATGTCTGATGATTTAGTAGATTATGTAAATTATAAAAACACCAAAATAAGTGTAAGAAGTAAATAAAATAAACAATATTTTATTTATTTTTTGTTAATCCTCACTCGAGGACGTTTTTCCATTTATTTAAAAAATTTTTTTAGCCCTGGCTGGTTTGGCTCAGCAGTTTGAGCATTGGCCTGCGGTCCAGAGAGACCTGGGTTCGGTTCCCACTAAGGGCACACACGTCGGTTGCAGTTTGTCCCCGGCCCTGGTTGTTTGTGCAGGTGGCAGCCACTTGATGTGTCCCTTTCATGTCAATGTTTCTCTCTCTCTCTCTCTTTTCCTCTCTCTCTCTCCCACTCTATTTGAACAAAAAATGGAAAAAAAATGTCCTCAGGTGAGGATAAAAAAAAAATTTTTTTTTAGAGACAGTGGAAGGGAGGGAGGGAGAAAGAGAGAGAGAGAGAGAAAAACATTGATGTGAGAGAGACATATTGATTGGTTGCCTCCCACATGACCCACACTAAGGCCAGGGATTGAACCTGCAACCGAGGTATGTGTCCTTGACTGGAATTGAACCTGAAACCTCTCAGTCCTCGGGCTGACACTCTAACCACTGAGCCAAACTGGCCAGAGCAATAAACAATATTTTAAATAACTAATTTTATTTATTAACAGATGGACAAATATTTTAGCCCTCACTAAAAATTAATATTGATAATATCTGTCTGTAAAAGAAACATTATTAAATAAATTGCATAAATTTTTAAACATCTTGTGATAATACAATTTCAAGACTCCAAGTTCTGTTTATTTTGATACTTGTTTTTTTTCTTTCTTTTTTTTTTTATCCTCACCCGAGGATATTTTTCCATTTTTTGTACAGATAGAGTGGGAGGGAGAGAAAGGAAGGGAGAGAGAGTGAGAAACATCGACGTGAAGGGACACATCGAGTGGCTGCCACCCGCACGATCAACCAGGGCCGGGGACAAACTGCAACCGAAGTACGTGCCCTTAGCAGGAACCGAACCCGGGTCTCTCAGGACCGCAGGCCGACACTCTAACTGCTGAGCCAAACTGGCCAGGGCTGTTTTTTTTCTTTTTATCCTCACCAGAGGACATTTTTGCATTTATCTTCAGATAGAGCGGGAGGGAGAGAAGGAGGAAGAGAGAGAGAGAAACATCAATGTGAGAGAGACACATTGACTGGTTGCCACCCACACAACCCCTACTGGGGCTGGGGACAAACTGCAATGGAGGCCTGTGCCCTTAGTGGGAACCGAACCCGAGCCTCTCTGGTCTGTGGGCTGACGTTCTAACCGCGGAGCCAAACTGGCCAGGGCTTGATACTTGTTTTAATGGCCTCAGATTAAAAAAAAAAAAAAATACTGCACAAAGATCCCCAAGTCCAGGTGGAAGAAGTTCTTGGTGGCCATGTTTACTCATCCATGATACAACCTTTTCAATCACATTCACCAGTTATATAAAGATTTTTGTTGAAATGTGCCAGTAAATATATATATTTTCCCTGACATACATCAGTTGTTTTTACAAGCTAATCAGAAGATACTCCATATTTATATATTAAATAGATGATATGAAAAGCAACTGAAATCCTTAATTGGGAGGATTTTAAAATTTTATGAACTTTCTAAAGTGGGAAGATATTCATTTATATGGGTTCAATCTTATGATAGAAGTGCTACTAAAATACATATTCAAAATGCTCTCACTATATAGCAAGGGTCGGCAAACTATATCTAACCTACAACCTGTTTCTCTACAATATTATTGGAACACAGCCACACCCATTCATTTATGGACATGTCAATGGTTGCTTTCCTGGTACAATGGCAGAGCTGAGTGGCTGCAACAGAAAGTGAATGTCCTGTGCCCTGGCTGGTGTGGCTTAGTTGGTTGGGTGTCGCCCCTGTACCAGAAGGTCACTGGTTTGATTCTCAGGTCAGGGCACATGCCCAAGTTGCAGGCTCAATCCCCAGTATGGGGTGTGTGGGAGGCAGCCAATCAATGTTTCCCTCTCTCATTAATGTTTCTCTTTTCCTCTCTCTAAAAATCAATTTAAAAATCTTTTTTAAAAAAAGTATATGGCCTGCAAAGCTGAAAGTATTTGTTGTATTAACTTTCCAGGAAAAAATTCTTCTCTATAACATTAATTTCCATCAAAAGGCAGTTCAATTTGTCATGTTTACCTAAGAGTTAAATTGTGTTTATTTTTTCTGAAAATAACTTCTAAGTATCATACTATTGAAGGCTACATGTCATTCCTGGAAAGTGCAAATCTCAGACAGCAAATTTCAAACTCTTTCTAGCTCCTCTTTAAGTTTGACAACCTCTTGAGATAAAGAGGCATTTATGGTTACTCTACCACAATTTATTCAATACATAGCTCTTACAATACAATGTTCTGTATCTTTACAAAAAGATTCTACCACTTAAGGTAATATAACTTGTATCTCTACGTATCCTGGCTTAGGTAAAGTGTAATTAATTCATGGCAACATACTGCAAGCAAACTGGTGATGGTGTGACTGTTAAGACCTTCTAGACCTACAGCCTCCATTCTTTCCTCGGAATATGTCATTTTGTGTATAACACACTGACTTACAAACTGAAATTATCAATGTCATGTATAAGCAATACTGAATTGCTTTTTAAAAATCCTCACCCGAGGATATGTTTTTATTGATCTGAGAGAGAGGAAGGGAGAGAGAAACATTGATTGGTTGTCTCCTGTACGTGCCCTAACCAGGGATTGAACCCTAGGTAGGTATGTGCCCTGACTGGGAACTGAACCTGAAACCTTTTGGTGCACAGGACAATGCTCCAATCAACCAAGTCATACTGGCCAGGGCTTAAATTACCTTTTTTTTTTTTTTTCTTTACTGATTTCAGAGAGAGAGGAAGGGAGGGGAGAGAGATAGAAACATGGATGAGAGAGAACACTGACTGGCCACCTCTTGCACGCCCCCCACTGGGGATCTGGCCCACAACCTGGGCATGTGTCCTGACCGGGAATCTAACCGGCAACCTCTTGGTGCATGGGTCAGTGCTCAACCACTGAGTCACACTGTCTGGGCTTGAATTACTTTTTTAAAACAAATATGGATAGGTAGATATGAGAGAGAGAGAAAGGAAAAAAAAAAGAAAGAAAAGAAAGATGAATCCTATAGTTTTTTTCTATGTTCCAATAGATAGATCAGTGCATTCCCCCAAGGGTCCATAGCTACTCTGTATACTCTAATCCAAGTTCCTGAAACTAAAATTCTTATACACAGTAAATGAAGCATTAAAGTATCAAGAGTATGTCAGATTCCATAATTAATCGGACAGTTTGCTAAAATTAGCTTAGGTCATAGCAGTACAGGGTGTGGCTATCTTATTTATTCCCACTAAACTATCATTGTCAACTAATTTTCTATCTTGTTCCCTCCACTCCATTTATACAGACTGAGCTCTGAATCAAGGAGCCTTTATAAATATTTTCTTCACAAAAAGTAAAAGCTGAAATTTGACAGACCTATATAAAGCATGGAAGAAGCCCAACCATGAGGAATGCTGATTTTGTTCATTATTCTGCCACTAAATGAGATAGGAAATACAGGGAAAGGCTATGATTTGGTTAGAAAAACTAATTATTTTGTGTTGTACTTATTGATATACAGGATCTACAGAGATATTAGCCTTGAAAATGAGGAGGAATCCTTTTTTTGGAAAAAGTAAAAAAGAAAGAAAAATTAAGAAGGGCACCCTGGCCGGTTTGGCTCAGCGGTTAGAGCGTCGGCCTGCGGTCTGGAGAGACCCGGGTTCGGTTCCCGCTAAGGGCGCGCACTTCGGTTGCAGTTTGTCCCCGGCCCTGGTTGGGTCGTGTGGGTGGCAACCACTCGATGCGTCCCTTTCACATCGAAGTTTCTCCCTCTCTCTCTCTCCTCCCACTCTATCTGAACAAAATATTGAAAAAATGTCCTTGGGTGAGGATAAAAAAAAAAAAAAGAAAAGAAAGAAAGAAAGGCTTGGTGACCAATTATATATGAAAGAACCAAAAATTGCCAGTTTTTTTCCCTCATACCTAATTGGTCACCAAGTCCTATGACTTTTAAAATGTTTCATACTCTGTCCCCTCTTTTACAGCTCTTGTGTAGTTAAACCCTTCCCTTTAACTGAACATGTTTTTAAAAATAGCATTTTTGATTATTTCTTATTTCCAGTGTCCCTTTTCTTCATTTTTCACATTACAGCTATCCTCTAAAATAATAATATCACATTATTATAGCACAAAAACATTGGGTATGTTCCCACTTATAACATCTGGATGAATTTACTGATCTTAACTAGTTTATAAACCCTTAGTTTCTAAACCCTTCACAGTCCCCTCTTCAAATAGCTTGGCTGGATTTACAATTTTTGGTAGTTTGAACTGGTGGTGTCATAACCAATCAGCAGAGATGTATTAACTGCTGCCCGTGGGACTTATGATACTGTCCCTATCCTCAGATGGTGAACTCTAGTTGGACACTCTTAGACTAACAGGCTTTTAGACACTGCTACATTGTTCCCTGCCGGTTGTATAATCGGAAATCAAAGAAAGCAGTAACAAAAACATGACAACTTCATGGAGGAGGTGAGATTCTAGCTGACAGTTGATAGGCAACACACAGAATGTCAGTAAAGGGATTTAATAGATGTAGAGGAATCTAAAGTGCAAGTGTAAGAACTAGCATGAGAAAAGCCCCTGGGGAGGGAATTAATAAGGGAACTGTAAAAATGTAGGACACTAATCGTGAGGAACAATGAGACACGAGCTTGACTAGGGAGGATGGAGACCATTACACAGTGTCTTGAAAGCCAGGCAGAGGTGTTTACATTTGACTTTATAGATGCCAATTAATAAAAAGGTAGAGATGGCCTACGAAAATTATTCTAGCATGCATATTCAGGCATATGGAAGAGACACAGACAGGCAAACAGAGGTATTTGGAAAGAAATCATAGTGCTTAAAGAGAGATAGCAGTTAAAGAGAAGAGTATAAAGTTTCTAGCCTTGGAAACTGAAAATGGAGACATCACAAAAATCAACAGGGAACCTGGGAAATAAAGGAGGTTTGGGAACGGAGGGGAGGTGATTGTGGGCAGTGACTTAAGCATATCCCAGTGGAGCTATTCTATGACTATTCTATAGCATAATACTGGGATGAAGTCAAGAATCTAGGGCAAGAATAGATAGGTATAGTGCTCTACTAACATCTTATATCCATTTAAGAATTGAAAGTCATATATGATTAATTTTGAGTCTCAAAACTCAGTCAGGTAGAAGAGCAGATTAATACCTTCATTTCACAAATAAAAAAAATCAATGTTTAGAATTAATGTGACTTGCCCAAAGTAAATAATCTGTGAGCAGAAGAATCAGGAAAATCCTCGTTCCCTACTCTTGCCATTAGACTCGCTAGCTTCCAAGAAGCAAGCAGAGCTGAAGGCCCTTCTTCCAAAGAGAGTCATTAGCGTGCCCTGGCCGGTTTGGCTCAGTGGTTAAGAGTGTCAGCCCGTAGACCAGAGAGTCCTGGGTTCAGTTCCCGCTGAGGGAACGTACCTCGGTTGCAGTTTGTCCCCGGCCCCAGTTGAGGTTGTGTGGGTGGCAACCAGTCAATGTGTTTCTCTTACATCGATGTTTCTCTCTCTCTCTCTCCCCCTCCAGCTCTATCTGAAGATAAATGCAAAAAAAAAAAAAATGTCTTCGGGTGAGGATAAAAAAAAAAAAAAACATCAGCATGGAGGCAACAGCGGAAGCCACAAGAAAATATAATTCTTTGACGGCAGGAGAACAGAAAAATAAAAAAGGATTCCTTGCAGATATATACAATTAATTGCAATGTGGAAGAAAGAGAGCACAGCAAGAGACACCACCAAGTTAACAGGGATACTCCACAGGGTAGGGAGGAAAAATCATCAAAACCAGAAAAGTTGAGTCAGGAAACCAAAAATTGAGTAAGTACTTGATGATTTTAACTGCCAAAGGTGGAAGATGAAGATCTGGCATGGAGATAACGCATTTAATGGTAGAAATTTTTTCAAAAATTTAACTTGAGATATTGGGGGGAAAAATTCCTTCAAAATGGTTACCAGTAACAACCTCCATTTGGTACATGAATAAAAGGGGTCACATTTTATTTTCCATACATGAAACTACTACTTCACAAAGTACATTAACAGAAATGAGTATAAAATGTCTTTTGATGATGAAAAATTAAAAAGTCTAAGAAAATAAAGTATCTACTGAATTAGTCTTATGGAAATATAATTTGACCTTTTATTTTTATTTTTATTGATGTTTTAGAGAGAGCAAAAGGGAGAGAGAGATAGAAACATCAATGTGAGTGAGATACATTGATCAGCTGCCTCCTACACCCCCCCCCCCCCACCGGGCATAGAGCCTGAAACTTGGGCATGTGCCCTGACAGGGAATCGAACCAGGACTTCTCAGTCCATGGGATGACGCTCAATCCACTGAGCCACACTGGCCAGTATAATTTGATCTTTTAAAAAGCTCAAATATATTTCAACATAATCCGATCAGTTATTTCATTTTCTATTTGGCAAAAGTTATTTTGAGCTTTTACCTTCTCCACATTTGAGAGGCTTTTGATAAACATAAATAATAGTTTACTATTTGCTATGATCTATTTTACTAATTCAAAATTCCAGTAAAGGAAAAGAGTAGGAGCTATAAATAAGCAAAACTACAGCTAGAATAAAAGTAAAATTACATATGAATTTACCAACTTCTGTGTTAAGTGGATGTTAGCATGCAAAGAAAAGTGGACTATTCCATCTCGGTTCAACATGACTGATACAAAATATTTTCAACTAAAATCAGTTTTCATTTCTGATGTTTTTAGAACACCACAGTCTTTGCACAAACTAAGTTTCAAAGGGTCCTTGTAAATCATATCCATCTTAAAGCTTTAAAAAATGTAACATGACAACTAAAAAAGTTTAAAGACAGACTAATCAACTTGCCACTGACCTTGTTCAAGTCTGAAGAGGGTCTTTTCCAGCTTTTCCATTTCGTTCAGAAGTAAAATTCTAACCTGTTCACTGTGTCCCATTTTGGCTTCTAGAAGATTTGAAATCTTTCAGCAGAATGAAAAGAACTTCGGAATCGAATGAGTGACTCCTGAAACACACACACATACAAAATCAAGATAAAGAAAATAACCGTTATCTTAAATCCTCTAAGGCTGACAGCCACACTTACATGTTCTAAATGTGTTTTAACCCTAGAAGAGGAAAGAGAATGAGTCTTATATATAAGGCCAGGGAAGGCAAATTGATGGTCGTTTCAACACTTGAAACACAATATGACCAAAGCAAAAATTCTGTTTTATAGACTCTCAATTACGGAAAAAACAACAAAAAACCCAAAGCAATGCGTTTTGGAAAGCGGGCAGGTGGGTAGGGGGTGAAAGTCCCAGCCCCAGGCCAACCAGCTTGGAAGGCTCGAAATGGCACCTCTACTTCAAAAGGGTAGTCCGTTCCAAGAGAACAGGTGGGAGATCGCCCCGTTCCCAAATTCGGGTCAGAAGCCACCAATGGGACGATGGGACCGAGGGAAGCAGTTGTTGCCCCTGGAATAGCTGCGGTAGACATAGGATGTGCAGCCGGAGCTATAGATAGAAAGCAGGCATTTCCCCCAGAGGCCAGCGGCATTCCTCGCACTTACACGGAGCAAGTTATACGTGCGGCTCCCGGGACACTGCGGGACCCGCCACCCTGGTGTTGGAGTCGGGGAGGGGACGGAAGGAAGGAGAGAGGGGAAGGCAGGCTGCCCGGGCGCAGCGAGCAGCTCCACACCGGGAGGTCCGGGCGCCTTGAAGGGCAAAGGGAGGGGCGGCTGCAGCGGGACCCGGCCCTGGCCGCTGTGGGCGTGGCCCGGGCAAGGTGGGCGTGACCCAGACGCGATGGGCGTGGCCGACAGCGTCTCCGGGACTCCGCCTCGCGCTGGTCTCCGCCGGGACCCTCGGCACCCCCCGGCCTCTCGTGCTGCCTTCCCGGGTGGCGGCGGACGGCTTTTCTCGCCCACTTCCGGAGGCGCCCTGCCCGCTAGTCTCGCGAGAGCCTGGGCGCGGGTCCCGGTCCGGGAGGCGACTGCAGCCCAGGGCGCCGGCCGCTCCTCTCTGGCCGCGGGGCAGGTGCGGCGGCGCGGGCTGAGCCTGGCGGGTGCGGGGGAGGCCGCCAGCTGGCCGGAGCCGCGCCGCACGTCGCTCTGCGGACCGGCGGGATGGGGGACAAGCGACCAGGCCTCCCGGGCCGGTTCCACCACGAGTGTGGTATCTTTATGTTTTATTTTTATTTATCTCGTGGCCTAAGTGTACTTGGCCTAAGTTGTCTGAGCCTGATTTTCCCGTGACTCAAATGAGGGGCCTGGCCACAGCCCCGGTCCCGTGTTCCCCGCCTCTAGTCCTGACCCAGGGCCATCTCCGGAACGCAGCCGGGAGGACTAGGTAGGGGAGGGGCGGCCAGGCAGCTCCCAGCCCGGTGCCCCCCGCCTGTGCCCCCAGTGTCTGCCCCAGCTCGGCGATCCTGTGCGATCAAGGATCTCTGTTGCCTGTAGCTGCACAGACCAGGCCAGAAGTTCAGGACGTGAGCCAGATGCCGAAGGAGACTGTAGGAACCTAAAGGGAAGACAAACCCATCTCCCAGAGTCCTTTGAGGGCAACTGAGGCTCGTGAAAAAATGGACAAATGGTTTTGAGTGTGGAGAAAAGTCTTGTTTTGTTCATTGTGGAATTACCGGAGGCCCCAAACAGTAATGGGCTAAAACAGAACGGTGCTGAAATGTTTGTTTCAGTAGGTCTCTGAGTGTCTAGTTGCCAGTGGTCCAAAACTGAGTTTGGGAACCCACAGCTCATTTATTCATTCCACTAATATTTTTTGAGAATCTGAGGTTTGCCAGGCACGTAGGTACTGGGAACACCACAGGGAAACAAAGGCCCTCATGGAACTCTCCTACGTTTTATTAGTGGTAGGCAGATAAATTAACAAGTAAATTGCAAGGGATAATGAGAGGTTGTGAGAAAGAGAAAAGAAAGTATACAAGAGTAAGGTTTGCAATTCCAATTAAAAATACAACGGTAAAGGATTTGCTTCTTCCCAAACAGAAAGAGGAGGTCCAGGGTGACGTATAAAGGTATTAGAAGTAGGAAGGCTGTGAGGTGAATTCAGGGAGGATTCAGCTGGAGCTGAGTGGAGAAGAGAGTGGAAAGAAATTGGGAGAGCTAGGTGGCGGGGCCAGATCTGGTGAGGCTTTGCAGGCCACTGCAGGGACTGTGCTTTTACTCTGGAAAGAAGAACCATTGGAGGGTTTGACAGAGGAGTGGCATAATCGGAGTGCCTTTTTTTTTTTTTTGTAACCAAAACTTTAATCCCATGGATTCTCACAAAACATATTACAAATGACAGCATGAAAAAAATTTTTGCACAGTAACTCAAAGTTCAGCTCTACAATGTACCCTTGAACTGGCAGGACACTGGTATCTTGAATAGTCTCAAATTTCCAAATGAATAGTTACAAAGACTTATGTAGTCATATACAGCAATCACATAAGAAATTTACGACCTAAGCGAAGAAGGGTAAACTAACTTACTTGAAACTTCTTAGATTCTACACTGACTGGACAACCTGTGCCCGGTGTGAAGACTAGTTGGAGTGCCTTTTTAAAGGATCCCTCTGCGCCCTGGCCGGTTTGGGTCCGTGGAGAGCGTCGGCCTGTGGACCAAAGGGACACAGATGTTTCTCTCTCTCTCCCTTTCTCTCCTTCCCTCCCACTCTATCTAAAGATAAATAGAATAATATCCTCAGGTGAGGATTAGAAAAATAATAATGAATGAATGAATAAATAAATAAATAAATGGATCCCTGCAACTACAGGGAATAACTAACAGTAGTGTGTGGAAGGAAGCAGGGAGACCAGTTAGGAAGCTATTTTAAAATACACATTCAAGCTTTGGCCAACCGGCTGGGCAGTTACAGCTTCAGCCCGCGGACTAGAGAGTCCTGGGTTCGGTTCCTGCTAAGAGTACATACCTCATTTGTCCCTGGCCCGGTTGGGATGTGTGGGTGGCAGCCAGTCGATGTGTCTCTCTCGCATCTATGTTTCTCTCTCTTCATCGATGTTTCTCTCTCTTCCTCCCTTCCTCCCTCCCGCTCTGTCTGAAGATAATAAATGCAAAAATGTCCGAGTGAGGATACAAAAAAAAATACGCATACAAGAGAGGGGTGTGTGTGTGTGTGTGAAAAGCAGGTATAGCAATGGATGTGGTGAGAAGCTGTTGAATTATGGATCTATTTTTAAAGCAGAGCCTACACAGTCTGCTGAGAGAGAGAAAAGAATCAAAGATGTTTCCAATGTTTTTAGCCCGAGCAAGCAGAACATTACTGTCCAAGAGAAATATAATGTGTCATGTAGGTAATTGAAATTTTTCAAGTTGCCACGTCAGAAAAAAGGAAAAAGAAACAGGTGAAAATCATTTTAATATGTTACTTGACTCAGTATATCTAAGACATTGTTTCAACACGCAATCAATATAAAAAAGTTATTAATTAGATAAATTAGATTCTTTTTTCACACTAAGTCTTTGAAATGTGACGTATATTTTACACTTCCAATTGTCTGGATTCTGGTAACTACATTTCAGGTGGCTAGTGGCTACCAGTTGGACAGTGTAGAGGAAGCTGCCATAGAATAAGAGGAAGAAAACGGAAGGAACGAGATTGGAGGGTGTAATTCAGGAGTTTGGTTGTATACTTGTAACAGCCAAGTGAAGATGTCCACTTGTTTCAGTTGACTGTCACACATCCAAGCAGAGATGTCAAGTTAAGCATTTGTAGCCCTCGTCTCTAAAGTCATGCTTTTCAAATTGTGAGTTATAACCCACTGAGGGTTGTAAAAAGAAATCATCTCAGTTGCAACTAACAATTTTTGAAAAATAAAGTAGGAAAGATCTGAATGCATTGCAGCTGATTCACGAAGCTTCTGTTTCTATGACGTGCTTTGATGGGCCGTGTATTCCTGCAGGGGGTCGTGGTTCAAGGCATGTTTGAGAGCTCCTGCTTTAGAGTATATGCTGTGGAAATTGAAATTCATAATCCATGATTATGAAATGGTGCCCGGGTCAGAACCCAGCTCTGTCACTAACTAGTTGTGATGCTCTGAAAGATATTCAACCTCTTTGTGCTTTGGTTTTTCCAACTGTAAAATAGTGATAAAAATAGTGCCTCAGCTCATTAAATGAGGACGTGGAAGTTGCTTGATACAAACCACGTGCTCGTATAAGTGGAAACGTCGGAGCAGAACGGCCTTGCACACTTGTCTGTCTCTGGCTCTCCTTTGCAGATCCCCTTCCACTTTCAGCCCCATCACACTGTCCTGCTGTGGCTCACTGCTCTCCAGCACTCCAAAACTAGCCGGTCCTCCAGCAAACCTCTCACTGCAGTGCCCAATATTCCAGCTGGAAATACGGAGTGAAACAGATTGATGAAAGGAATTTCTTTAATAGTGAATTATCTTACATAAATCCTTGAATTTTGAAAGATTTGTTCATTTATATGATCATCTTGGAGATTTCATATTGTGAAAACAGCAAAGAATTGTTAACAGAAACATAATTTAATGTGATGTGCCTCTAAGATTAAGTTTACAAATACACAGTTTTTTTGTTTTTTTTTTAAAGGAAGTCACACTTGCATGCTATTTGTGAAGTTCTTGGAACGCCAGTGAATTTGCAGACTTAGGCTACAGTGGTGCCAGAAGCAGCCTTTATTGTGGTGGATATTTGTCATGTGTCTGTCTTGTGTACAACAGAAATCTATATATACACAATCTCAATGCTGGCTTCTCCAGGAGAAAAATATCTTTGAGGAACAGCCCAGGGATAATCTCAGCTACTCCATGTGATTCCAGTGTTTTCTAAAACATTGCTATCAGTGTGCTTGGGGAGTGGGAGAGGGCTGTGGTCAGAGGGGCACTTTCAGGTTCGTGTATGCACGTGCAGGTTTCCTGAAAGGAAGGAGTCATTTGCGGATTACTGGTTTGTAGTTAGGTCCCAATCCTCTGATCTGGATCTGAAGTGGGTGGGGCTGCCTTATTTACTTTTTATAATTTTCAGTCTTTTCTGGGTATAATATTTTGTGGTCAATATGCACTGATATTATTCATAATTTTCTTCAGTAAAATTTGGAATTGTGTTTCCAAAATCCCTTTTAAATTGAATAATTTAGTCTCTACTTTTAGAAATATCCAGAGAAAGTCAGGGAAGAGAACAAGGGATGTAGGAAGGAAATAGAGTCAGAGAAGTAGAAGGACCTGAATATAATGATCTAGAGGTCTGGAAAACCAGAGAGAGATTTATTCTGAAGGAGATAGTATAACATAAAGAAAATGGGCTTTGGAGATGAACAAACCCCAGGTTAGTTTTAATCTTTCTGAATCACAGTGGATTCATCCATAAAATGGAGAAACCGCCTCACTGGAGGGGTCTATGTGAAATTAGATGAGATACTGAAATTATCTGTTGTAGCATTTAACATATATTTGGCTTTTAATAAATGGTAGCCTAGGAAAAGGAGAGTGACAGCTAGTTGTCTCTACTGGGTCAAGGATGACACTCAGACGAATCAGATGAAGAGGAAGCTTCCAGGGCCTGGCGGACACAACAGACATAATCAAAAGGTTTCTTACTCTGAACAGAGAGTAGAAGGGGGAATCCAGAGAGCCAAGTCAGAGCCTAGGATTTCAGCCTAAATTATAGAAAACTCAGGAAAAGCAGAAG